AACTTAAGCTTCTAATTCTTATATTCTTTTCTATAATTGAGTGTTTTCTACTTACTATTATTCAGTCGGCTCATTTTATTATTACATTTATTCCTTCTATTTTTTCTAAATAACATCAATCAACATTTTACTAGCATCTGTATTTTTTTAAGAAAATTCTTTCATATCATCTTTTTCTATTAGTCCTAATTAAGCAAAAATAGTTTTTCTTTATTCATAAAATCTTTTTCTCCAATCTTCTTCCCTTTTTCTCAAATCCAAATCAGCATGTGCTAATTCATATTCTAACTTCTTAATTGTATCTGTATATTGTTTATTTAATCTTTGATAATATTCTTGTTTTTCAGCACTCACTTACATTTCCCTTCTAACTCTAAGTAATTCTATTTTTTCATCTGATAATTTTTAACTAACTGCTATAATTTATTAACTGAGTTCATCAGGATTATTTTATCTTAATGTTCTCTCTAAATTATCTAATTTCTCTTTGTAATTATCAAAATAATCTGCTTTAAGTTATAATTCATAGAATCTATCTCTTAATTCTCTATTTTATCTTTCAACTTCTGATTTCATATCTGATAATTCTTTGACTCTTTTTGCTTATTCTTCAACTCTTTATAAAGTCACAGTTGGTAATATTTTTAATTTTAGTTCAGTAATTTACTATTCATATGATCTAATTTATTCTGAAAATATAGTATTTTATTAAATAATTTCTTGTGATTGTTTAAGAATTGTAGTATCATATGATTCTGATTATAATTTCAATTTTCTTAATTCATCCAATACTTTTTCATATTTCTAATTAGTTTGTGCTTCATGCCATCTAGCAACCATAAGATGATGATATAATTTGCCAATCATCATATTTTAATCTGATATTGCTTATAATTCTTTTATTGTTTATTACATTGTGTCAGTATCATTTTTTATTTTTTCAATAGTTAATTTCATACTCTTGGTTTACATGACTGCTGTATCATATAATTGTCTATAGGTTGTGATTGCACTATTTTAATCAGAAATGGTTAATCTTTATTATTCAATTTATTTAGTCAATTTTTCACTTTCATCTCTCGATAAAGCTCCCTTTAATCTTTCTAACAACATAAGTTTTTCTTCCCTATCTTTATAAAAAGTATCATTAGATCTTTCCATTTAATTTTAAAGTTCGAATAAAGTCTTAGTTGTATCCTTTAGTTTTAATTCAGTACCAGTTAATTAGTTAAGTAGAACTTCACATTTTTATTAGGCATTTCTTTCTCTCATTTCCAATATACTTATTTTCATTTTTAATCTATCTTCTAAAGTTTATCCTTTATTTTCTAATTTTGCTTTTTAAAGTGTAAGATCTGTTTCCTATAAACTTTTCAATTGTTCTGTTCTTTATTAAATAAATTGTAATTTTTGATATTTTTCCTCCTCTGTTTTAGCAGTTCTTAAATAATTTAACATTTCATTATAGCTAATTTATCCATTTCGATCTAAATCCATTTAATCAAATAGTTATCTAATCAAGTCAGGTGAGATGCCTCCTTCTAACTCTCTGAATAAAGCTTAAAATTCCATTAATGTAATTATTTAATCTCCATCTCTATCTATCATGTTAAATACATCTAATAATGTTAATCTTTAATCTTTAATTGATTGATCCAATTTACACATAATTTAATACTTTATATCTAAAGTTAATTAAATTGATTTTCCTTAATTGATTAATTCACTTTTTACAATCTCATCAAACAATACATAAAACTCTTCATAATTTATTTAATTATCTCCACTAGTGTCTGCCATTCTAAATATATAATCTATTGCTTTTTAATCATGTTTAATATTCATCTCAGCTAAGGCTTCTTTCATATCTGTTTTAGATATAACATTATCACAATTAGTATCAAATGCTTGAAAGGCTGATCGTAAATCATAACCTGATTCCTTTATTGCATTATATAGTTAATATAATAATTAATCTTCTGGTTTTCTAAGATTAATTCCTGATCTTTTAAGTTTTCTTATAAATTCTTAATATTCAATTTAGCCAGTTCCATCTAAATCTACAAACATGAATACAATTTCCATATCTTCATTAGTTACAGGAACTCCAATATTACCAATAGCAGTAGTGAATTCATTTCTTGAAATTTTATTATCTCCATTCTCATCAAATAATTTAAATATTTCAATAACTGAAATATTTTTAATTTTAATAAATTCAACAATATGTTGATATATCTTGACGTATTTATCAAAAGCAGGATCAAAACTCTATAATCTTTTCTTAATAACTTCCTCTTCCAATTAAATTTCTACTAATTCTTCTTCTAATTACCTTACTCTCTCTCCCCTTTCAAATGCTTCTCTTTCATGACTCTCAAGAACTGCAATTCTCTTTTAAAATTCTGCCTCTTTCAATTAAGCATTAGCCAATTTATCCTAAGTGTATTCTAATTTTTATCTTAGATTGTTGAATTCATCTGCTGGTACTGAATTCTTTAATTCTTTGATCATAATTCTCATATGTTCTTCTGCTGATTTCTTCCATGAAATCAAATTATATATTTTTTCTAACAATTCCTTTTCTTTTGCTATACTCTCACTTTCTACTATTGTATAACTTGTCTTCATTTATTTATATTCTTCAGTTAATGCATCATATTTTCTTGATAATTTAATCAAATTGACATCTAAAATTGCAGTTCTCTTAGACATCTCTCCTAATTTATCTTCCAATTCTTTCTTTGGCTTCTCTCTATCTCTCATAAAATCTTCATAATGAGCTAATTTAATCTTGGCTTCCACATTCAAATCCAATTAAGCCTTATATTTCTCTTGAATCTCTCCATACATCACTTTAAATTTGTCTCTTTCTTCAATATATTTCACAAATAATTAATCTTATACCAACAAACACTTTCCCTTTACATCCTCTTTTATAGTAGTAACTTCTTATAATAAATTGGTATACTCAGCTTCCTTCTATTATAATAATCTTAAAGTCTCTATATTCTATAATTGTAATGATGCTAATTCGTATTTCAATTACATCTGATCCATACCAGAATCCCCATATGCTGAGGACATATCAACTGGAAATCTAACATTAAAGCGTTAACTATAACCTTCTTTAATATCATTATAATTTCCGAATGCTCCTGGTATTGGATTAGGAGGAACACTTAATTTATCCAATCCTGCTGTATCAACAACTTATTTTTATTATATAATTGATTATTTGACTTATGTAGTCTCTTAAAGGTTTTATCCTTTCATAGTTTTTACTATCTCTTAAAGTTATTCTTTCAATTCCTGTTATTGTTTCTACATCATTTCTTACATTTAATCATTTGTAACTCTCATAATTCCTTATTAAGTGCCCATTCCCACACCTCCATAATCTTATTAATTTTAACGAATATGTGCATTTTCTTCTTCTAACATCTTTACTTTACTTTTCAATTCCTAATTTTCCTTTCTCAATTGATTATTAGATTAAGAATCAAATTCTTCTAAATTTACTTCACCTCCAGCAACTTATTCTCTCAATTTTCTTCTTAATCTTGCTCTCTCTTCTTCTAATTCTTCCACTTCTCTCTCTAATTCAATCACTTGAGCTCTGTACTTTTCTACTTATAATTGTCCCTCTTAAATCACATCATCCAATTCAAATTAATAATCATCTGGAACTCCTGCCATTTTCCTTAATACTCTATTTTCAGCACTTAATCTTTCAATTGCCTAATTTAATGCATTTGTTTTTTCCACTAAATTCTTAAGTTTCTCTCTATTATCTTAAACTTCATCTCTATAATGAAATTCATCCTTTACTATATTTTCATCCTTGTATTTCAATGACAATTATGTTAATTACCACATCAGATTACCATTTTCAAGTTTCACTTTCTCTAATTAATCAATATATTATTAAACAGCAGCCTTCTCTCTGTCTAAATCATCTTTTGCTTTATCTAATTAACTCTTTAAGGTCTCTTTTGTATATGCATCATCTCTATTAACCATCTTTTCTAATTCTCTCATTCTAGTATAACAATCATTATATTTTGCTTTCTATTCTTCATATCTTCCTTAATGAAATTCTTATTCTGCTTCCAAAAAGGCAATCCTTTAATCTTTCTAACGACCATCCTCTCTCAATTACTCAATCTGTTTTTTAAGCTATATGATTTCTCTTCTTAATTTGAAATTTTCACTCTCAGACATAATTTGTAATATATCAATAAAATAATATAATAAATAATATTACAAGAATAGTTTTAGCATTTATTCATATCTATTATACCTTAGAAAATCCCATAACTATTCTGAATTAGACTTCCCAAAAAATCAGTAAATATTATTGATGAGAAATTGTTAATTTTTTATTAATTAATTTTATAAAAAGACTGATTTAATACTTAAAAATTGAATTCCCTTAAGAGTTTTAATTTCTAAAATAATTTATTTTTAAATTGTATGTAGCAGTTTTTTATTTAATTATCCTAAGCAGCTGTTTTGAAACAATCAACTTATAATGATTATCTTTTTGCATAGAAATTAAAATTTTAAGATTCATATTTAATTTTAATATAATAGGTTGCGAAATCAAAATTTTCCTTTTTTTTTCATTTTTAATTACTATTTTATTTCATTTCTACTTATTTTTATTTTAAATATTATTTAATCTATATCAATTTTTTTTCTTTTTATTTACTTACTATCACTTCCTTTTTAATATCTCTTTAACTTACAAAAAATACATCCTTTCAATTTTAGCAGGTTTTGGAATATTTAATATAATTTTTATACTGTTTTAAAATATAGTTATATAAATATAACAATCACTAAATAAATGAAAAAACTAGTTTAAAGTACTGATTTTGATACTGTAATATAGAAACTCAATATTCAATGCAAAACCAAAATGGATGATTGTATATAATAATATTTTTCTAACAATAGATTTAGATCCAATGTAAAAAATAAAAAATTCATCACCTATGATTTTTGGTGATTATGCTAACTGCAATACACCAATTCAATTATAATTATCTCCTATTGATACAAATTAAAAGAGTTATATTTCATTATTATCAGATAATATTGAATTTTCGGTTAAAGATAAAAAATAAGGGTATAATACATAACAATCCTTTGAACAGACCAAATTTACATATTCTGAAGGAATCAATTCTTTCATTTAATATGAAAAAATTAATAATGAAGAATAAAGCATTTTAAATAAAAGATTGAAAGAAATTAGATATGTTTATATTAAAAAATTGGAATAGTTAGATGATTGTATATTAACTGTGATTTTAATAGAATACCTTCATGATAGATTATAAATTTTAGAAAAATTTGAATAACATTTGAGTTAAAAGAGCCCTAAGAGATTGAAGGAATAACCATTAAAGAGTGCTCTCAAAAAGAAGGATTCGATATGCTCTTCTCGGTATTATACTCAAAATATTAATGATTCTTAAGAAGATGATTGGAAGTTCATTCGTGATGCACAAAATATTCTAAAGAAATAGAGATAATCATCTTAAGATGAAGAATTCATTACACCATCCAAAGTTAGATTTGTAAAATATTCATTTAACATACTTAGTAAAAGAAATCAAAGAAATCTTTACTAAAAAATGATTAATTTTAAGTATTATAATTTCGATATTGATAAGAGTAATCGTTTTTTATTATTTAATATAATGAATATATTTAAAGTATTATTGCTTGTATTTTTGATACTAAGTGTGACAGCCCAACAACTAAGAGGAAATAATGATTAACCTGATACATCATCTGAAGTAAAGAAATGCTCTTGTGGATCAGGAAAAACTACTACAGGTGGACAAGGCTAAAACAAAGCTTCATTAATTCAATATCAAGAAGCTTTAAAAAAGTTACATGATGGAATCAAAGAAGCCTCTACTGACTTTTAGGCAAAACATATATGATTTTCTATATATAACCAAGAAAATTATATTCATAATAATTTCTATAAATTTTTCTTGCTTTTAGTTTATTACAAAAAGAAATAGAAATTTAACTGTTTAGAAATATAATTGAAATCTACTTTTTATAAAGAATTCCATCTTTAGAGAAGTTCAGTTAGGAATTCTTCTAACAATCTAAGGGATAACCTTAGGTCAGTATTTAGATTGTTAATATGACAGTTGTATGCCTATTGGTTTTATTTTGGAAAAACTAAATTTAGCGATTAATAATGATATTGATTTATTTAATAAATGTATAGGAGAATAAGGAGAACAAATAAGGATAATGATAATGAGAGATTATGATTTAAAATGATTATTTCTTATATATGAAAACTACAAGATAATACCTATTTCAGGTAGTCAATTTAATAAATGAAGGCAAGCGCTTCCATTTGACTTCTGTGTCTTCTAAGTTTTCATCAACTACGAATTTGAAATTCGGAAAATATGTGGATTCAAGGCTACTATATTGGAATTATATTACATTTCAATTGCATTGAACTTTTCTTCCAAACTAATATTTATGAATAAATGATTTGGATGCAATAAATCTATGAGTTCATTATAACTAATATTTTAAGGACGATTAGTCTTTGAAGATGTTGACTAAACTTTTTTCTTTTTGCTTATCTGTCCTTCGATTGATTGATTTGTTGACAGTGATCTCAATGAGTCACTCATAATTAGCAGTTAGATATATAAAAAATAAAATATTAATATAGTTTATAAACTTAGTAGCATGATAAATTCATAGTTTTTTATGTATCTTTAAGTGAATATACACAAATATAAAAGAAATTAGATTTGGTAGGACTATGAATTTATGTTCAGAATTTATTAAAATGAATAATTGCAATACCGTTTTTATATATTATAATTATAAAGTTCAGATAAATGAACAAGATCATAATTTTGGCAATGATAGGTCTAATGAGTGTATCAGCATTTGATATAGATTTCTCCTTACTTCTTCAAGTACCTTTAGAGATGATAAATTATTTAGACAGGTTCAGAATCAAATGATGCAGTTTAAGCAGTTTATGATTTATTGAATGATTTGAAAACAAGCAATATTGAAGCCCAAGGAGTTGCAGATGAAAAAAATATCTCAGATGAAGAGATTGGTTAAGCTAGAATTGCTGCATTATCAAAAGTTAATGAATTAAATCAAAAAGCCTGGGCCAGTGCCAAAGCAAGAAGAGAATAAATTGGTATTGAATACAGAGTAATTAAAATGATTTATTATAGGAAGCAACAGATTATATTGCATGGGCAACTTAAAGATTAGCTGATATTGATAGAAGATCAGTTGAATTATAAGAATTGAGATGTTTTTCAAATGGTTTATTTGTAAGAGCAATTAAATAACATAATGATGCTCTTGGAGTTATCAGAGTCTTAAAAAATGATTTGAGTGGATATTTAACAGGATAACCATCATCTATGGTTGAAATTAATGTTCAAAATGTTTCAGACAAATTAAAATAATATAGTCAATTATTCAATCAAGATGCCATGACCAAATTTGCTTAATTAGCAGTTGAATAAGCATCTGGAAATGCAGAATTACATGCTCTTGGATAGGATGAAGGATCTTCATCTTCTGATAGATAACCAGGTAACAATGTTGGATAACTTGTTTATAATGCTTTATCTGATCTAGAAGATTAATTAAAAGCTTCTTTGGCTAATTTAGAAGCTAATGAAATTGCTGCTTATTATTAATTAGCTGATTGGCTTGCTGATACAGAATCTGAAGTTGCTCATCTTAATGATGAAATCCAAAGAAAGACTCAATTATAAGATAAATTGGTTGTGGTATGATTATTCTCTCATATTTCAAGTAAGAATAAGCTGCTCTTGCTGTTTAAGCTAAAGCTAACAGTGTTTTGAAGGACTCTTAGAATGCCATCAATGCTGCCACTGCTACATTATAAGAATTAAGAGATTTGTATGAAACTGAATTGAATAGAAGAAATGGTAATGCAATTTTTATATTAATTATAGAGGAAAATGCTATTATTGATGAAGTCATTCATATTTTCAAATAATAAGTTTTAGAAATGGCTAATCAAACCTCTTATGGAAAGAAATGAGTTTAAGACTTATATCAAACACAAACCAATTAAAAATTATATTCAAATGATGTAGTAATAATCAATACATTAAAATCTTTTATTTTAATGTATATAAGGAGTAATTTTCATGTCCATTTCATTACATTCTAATTTTTTAGGCTACGACTTATATCTTATATTCTTAATTGTAGCTTCTATAGTGTGATACTTATTTTATTGGTAATCCATCATTACTGTGTATTATCTCTCAGTAAATTATTCTTAATTTCTATTATTTTTTAATTGCTTTATTAATAATTCTTCTGAAAATGGATTCTCTTAAGATTATCGACTAGCATTTTTATAATTATCAATCATTTGTGAATAGCCTACAACTTTAGATCTTCTAAAAGATTTTATCTAATTTCTTTTCTAACTATAATTACGATAACTTCCACATTATCGATTTCCTATAGTATCAATAGTCTCTGTATAATTATGTTATTTGTCAGATATGTTAATTTGAATTTTTGGTAATAATGGTTGTAAACTATTCATTTTTTCTTCTTTTGTGACTACTTAAAATTTTAGCATTTTTTCCAACATAAACTAAGAAAAAGTAATTTTTATTTTGTCTAAATATAATATTCAAGCTGAACTCCATTTTTTTTTTAAATAATAATAATAATATCATAATTCTCTTTAGAAAATATACTAAATTACTAAATATAAATTCAATCTTTACTAGTTCTCCTTGATAATTGATTAGATAAAATAAAGCTATTTTTAAATAAAATTATTAGCTTTCATTTAATTTATTTATTTAGAAAGATAATTTAATATTAATATTATACATCTATTAGATCTACATAATAATAATCTCAGCTTTTTATTATATATAATAATTTTTTTCATTAAAAAATAAATAAGTATATTTAAAATTTTAGAGATTGATTATAATTAAAATAATATTAAAATGAAAGGATAATTGGATGATGAAGAGGAAAATGATAATCTTATTGAGACTGAATAGAAAGGATTGGATTATTTTTTAACTAAGGTCAAGATTGTTATTTTCAAAGTTTTATTTGTGTTAGCAAAAGAAGAAAAGGCTGATGATTAAATGATTTACTTTTACATTCTCACTTCATTGGATTATGTTTAGATGCATTCATTTCCATTCAATAATAAAATACTATATGTTTGGAAAGCTGACTCATTTTTAACCAATATTTTAAATTTTGTAAATGTGTTTTCAATATCAACATATGTACCAAATTTATCATATTTTGCATTGTTAGTTTCAGTATATATTTGTTTAAGTGCAATTTTGTTAATAATTTTGAATATCATATATGTTTCATACTCATTTTCATAGAATAAGTTTAAATTTATGTGGCCTGTCTATGTATTAAGATAGGTAGCATTTTATTTTGTGACAGTATTTTTTTTACCCATAACAGAAACCTTAACTTCAATACTTCAATGTTATAATGATCCAATTACTAATGAATATGTAATATATGGATATGATGAAATTAATGTATAATGTTGGTAAGGATGGCATATATTTCATGCTCTAATAACATTACTATTTATGTTAATATTTGTATTAATATGTGCAATTGTGGCTTATGCATTTTTTGAACCTGGAATGACTAGTGGTAATAGAACAGCAAGATAAGATAGTAATGGAGAAGTAGCATTTATAATAAATAAAGTTACATGTTAAGTTTTGTATTGTTTTTTAGGTAAAAATGAATCATGGATTTTGATTTTAACAACATTCACTTTATCTGCTTGGTTATTTAAAGAATATAATTTTGCTGATCCAATTTATGATTTTGAAGTTGGAAGATTTTACTCTATAATCAGTTCATATTATTTTTGGGCTAATGTATTGTTGGTTATATGTAAAATTTAAGAAAGTGCTGAATTTTCAGGAGGCTTGATTGCTTGGGTAATAGGTCTACCTTTTATTGTATCTATTATGTTGACTACTAAGAAATCTAAGGTAGATACATTGGTTAGAGCTTAGAATAAGTTTTCTAGTGGAGAGGATGTATGGATTCATATTAGATATGTTCTTTAATTGATATCTTAGGCTGAAAGTGATAGGAATTCTTATATGCTCTTGATTGGATATATAGAGAAACATAAAGAAACATGTAAATAAAATGATTGTTATTTTAAATAAAAAAGAAAAACTTAAAACTCAGAATAATTGGATGATTTGAAAAGAGGACTGATAATTGAATTAGATAAGATGTTTAGATTAGGATTAAAAAAATTCTGGTCATCAGCATCTTTAAGAATTTTTTATGCATTATTTTTGATGGAGAGAAGAAATAATAAGAATGATGCTTATATTCAATTCAATTTGGTGTCTCTAAAAAGCAAACCCAAATTTTTCTAATAGTTTATTACTTATAGATATATGTAACTTAATTATTATAATATAGGAAGATTATCAAAGATAAAAGTGATGATGTTGTGGATGCAATAGCAAATCAAAATAATAAAAGTGAATTGTATTCTAAGATGAAAATGGCTGCCTTATATTACAAGACTTTTTGGAATGAACTCAAAGAAGATTAACCAAATCTAGTTAGACTTATGCATATAGGTGCTATGATTACAAAAGTAAGTAATTAAGTGATGGAAAAACATTAAGAAATGAACAAAAAGAATTCTTTAGGTTTTGCTGATCTGAAAACTTTAGCTAACTTTTATTATTAAGTTTTTAATGATTCATATATGGGTCATATACTTAAGAATCAACATAAGTTAGCTAAATAGTAATTATAAGTGAAGGTTGAAGATGAAGAATTAATTGAAAATAATATAGAGAAACATCCAATACCATTTCTATAGGTATGTGCTAGAAAATCAGAAATAGGTAAAATAATTAATCTAAATTCTCATTTTACAACAATTTTTGGTTATCAAAAAGAAGAATTGCGAGGCAAATCAATTAATATTTTAATGCCTAAAGTATATGCTGAATAGCATGATAATTATTTAATAGAATTCTTTGATAATATGTTAATAAACATGTAAAATGATGGAGATTATCCTAGAACATATATTGATTAAGAACAATTATAATTTTATAAACATAGAAATGGTTACATCTTACCATTCATCTATAGAGTTAGTTTTAATATAGATTTATTACAATATTTAGTATGTTTCAAAAGTGATCCTACTTTTAAAGGATAAGCTGTCTTTATTATTGATTCAGAAACAACTGTTATTGAGATGTCTTCTGGTTCAATTCAATATTTCGATATAGAGTTGAGACATATTAAATAGATAGTAAATTTGAATTCTCTTTTGCCAGATATTTTGAATCAGAATGGGAAACATATCTAATATCATAAGACTGGTCAGAATAATGTTGATTCTGTTTATTACTTCTAATGTTCAGTTAAGGAAATAGAGATAACTTAAATAATTAATGAGAATCTACTCATAGAATTATAAGCATCAAAAAAGTTAGTTAAATCAGGATATTATTTAGTTAAATTAGAGAAAATAGATTGTCCTGATGTTTAGGGTGGAAGAAAGGCTTCAATATTTATAAACAATACTAGAAATTTATTACCTAATTAAAGTAGATAGTCAATTCAGATGACATAGAGATAATCTATTTCCATTACTTAGAAATTAATACCTACTAGAGCCAATCAAACAGTATAATCATTGGATACATTGGCATTGAGAATTGATACTAATTTTGAATATGATTAAAATTTAGTATAGTTTTTGTAAGATTTATATACAGAATAACGATATGAAGATTACAAAGATATGATAAATTAATAAGAAGATTAATAAACATAAACCAAATTAGATTATGGCTATGAAATTAGAGTGAGGAGATTAATTAATAATCAAATTCTTAATATTGATGAGGAGAAAGAATTATGGTTTTTAAAGTAATTGGAAGAGGAAGAGTAGGAGAATTCTATATTTAGAAATAATAATAATTAGGATGAATATGATAATGATAATAAATATTTAAGTAATATGTAATCACAAATTAAAATAAGAAATGCATTATCTTAAAATCATAGACATAGTAAAATTACTAAGTTTTGCATATATGCTAATATTTGGATAGATTTTATAGCATTGATAACTGCCTTGTAATATTATTTCTGCTAATTAAATTTTGAAGGATTCACTTCTGAAATAAAAGCTATTTATTAAATAAATAATGAGATTATTAATTTGAATCTATTAATATCAAGAGCATTAGATTTATGTATGGATAAATAATTTAATTTAACACAGATATAAATTGACTTATAAGATTCAGCATAATAAATTATCAATTTTGATTATGATCTTAATTAGGAATTTTATAGAATTTATTTTGATTCAGAAAATATAAATTTAAGAATGTATGAAAAGTCTAATTAATATGAAGATATACAATTATCTTTAGAAAGTGCAATATTATTAATTACATCAGAATGTTTAAATCTATCTTTGAGTCAACCTAATAATATATTTTAAAGTAATTCTATTTAAATTATCCTTTTTAATTATTTCAATTAGATACATGATCCATTAATAAAGATATCTTAAATTATATATGAGGATGTTATCTCTTAAGTGTAGTATCCTGATTTGAATTTATTAATATCTTTATTAGTGTTATTTATAGGTACTACAATTGGTATGATCAAATTTATAACTTTAATGTTGGAAATCAAAATAGATAGAGAAAATGTAATATTTCTATTTCTTGAGATTCCTTAAAACGATGTTTAAAATTTATCTAAAAAAGTAGATAAATTTTTGAAGTTCTATAATGAGGATTTGAAGAAACTAAATAATTTTGATTATGATGAATCAAGTGATGAAGATGAATAATAACAATTAATAGAATTATAATAACATGTAGATGGTTAAGATAAGATGAATTCTAAAGCTATTGAGGAAGATAATTAATATTAATTGTAATTGAAAAGAAGAAAGATTATATAAAAATATAGAAAGAGCAAACTAAAAGGCAATTAAGGAATAATTGTATAGTATGATAATAATATATTAGATTTCTATTAATTGCTTTATTAACTTTAGTTTTTGCAGTGTACAATATAATCAGTAGTGCAAATGAGAAGTCATAAATATAATTTTTATTGCCATAATTCTATTAAAGTTCTATTTAAATCGAAAATTATGGATACTATATTAATTTATACAAATTGTCAAGTTTGAATTCAGAATTTAAAATAAATAATATTTCTATTTAGACTAAGATTGCTTAAGATTTAACAATATTTACAGGAAATTAATTAAGTTTCTAAAATGTACGATCTGAGTTTATTTTAGTTTGCAAAAGACCTATTAAATCAATTACCAGATCTTCGATATTTGTTTTTCTCTACCTACTATGGAGATGTATGTTCTATAATCAATAAAATTAATGATACAAATTGTTATAATATAATTGAAGGTAATCTTCAATTAGGTATTTATAATGTTGAACAATACTATCTACAGTATTTTCGAAATGAAAATCTAGATGAGATTGTTTATAATGAGAAAATCTATTAAATTGATCAATCATTATTTTAATACATAAAGTAAGCAGTATCTCAGATAACAGACTTTGAATTAGATTTTATGACTAACTAAATGTCAACAACTCTAACTATCTAATTAATATTAGTCATAATATATATATTAATATTAGAATTAGTAGTCTCGGTGATATGGTTATTATTTTTATAGAAATTAAATATTTAAGTATAATAAATTAAAATTATATTAGATTAATTTGAATATGCAGATGCTAAACATGATACCTATGAAAGTAGTAGAGAGTAATCGTAAAATTAGAATGTTTATTAGATAATGTATCAAAAAGTTAGAGTTAGAAAAAACATGAATTGATTAATTGAATATATATAAAATAATTTTATTTATAATTGTTTTACTATGTCTTTTTATATCAGATCAAAGTTGAATCGTCCATAAACAACTTCTAATCATAATAGACCATTAGATAATAGTGCTATTAAAGATAGTAGATTAGTGTATGTTCAAAATAAACTTTAGAAAATAATATACTACTCCTAAAATGGGCAGAGAAAAGGAAAATCTATATGATGAAAACATCAAATTAAAGTCTCAATTAAATGAATAAACTTAGCAATTACTTTATGCAAGATCCAAAATATAACAATTAGAAGTATAGATTAATATTCTAAATTAGAGAGAATTGCAAAGATTTGAGAATTTAATTGAAGACTCCATTAAACCTGAAACTTCATAATAAAAAGTATAAATTGAAAGATATGGTTTAATTATGAAAATGAAAACTAAATAAAAATAATTGATTTTAGAGTTATAGAATAAAACTAAAGAATTAATTGAATTAAAGAAAACAATGAGATTCACTAATTATTAAGAATTAGAAGTAAATTGTTTTATTATAATAAATTAGATAGAATTAAAGAATTATATAGATGAAACTTTAAGATTAAGATAAAAATTAGAATATAATGAATAAATGATAGCTATATAATCATCAGCAGAACCTTTAGAAAAGTAAATTCTGCATTTAGAAAAGACAATAAAAGTACTCTAGAGGGATAATATCGAATTAAATTCAAAGCAATTAAATAATGATGTTATCACTTCTAAATTATAAGTAAGTGATTTGTATAAATTAAGATTCAATTGGAAGAGAGTTTAAAGTAAAATGAGAAGTAATTAAATGAAATTATTCATTATGAATAAATGGTCAAAGAATTAAATGAATATAATAGATAATGTAATGATCTCATATCTTAATTATAAATCTAAAATAAAGTTTGGGTGTAGAGTCAATAAAACACAACATCTGAAGAGTTATTTAAGATTTAATCCTAATTAGAATCATTATAGAATAAATATTCATAAGAAATGGAGTATCTTATATATAATGATATAAAAATAGTATGAAAAATTAAGAAATAAGATCATTAAAAATTGAAGTTTAAAGATTGAATCTACATATATAAGAGATGGAGAAGATAATTGAAAATTAAGAAGATAAGATTAGAGAAATAGAGTGTTCAGTTTACTCTCCAGTTTCACGTGTAGGAAATATTGAATCTCCTTTACAAAATGGATTTAAAATAATGTAGATTGAAATGAAATCTTAAGTAATGAAAAAAAAGTTACCTCGAGTTCAATTCACTGATATTAGAGAAATTTGTATGAGAGTTAGATTAAATCTTGTTAAACATAAAGTAGAATATTAGGATATAGAAAAATACTTTAATGATTCTGAAGAATTAAGTATTCATTAAGTAAAAAATATATTGCATAAGTATTGATTTTATTTTAATAAGATCTCCCTTTGAGATTCATGATCATTAATAAATTAAGTTACTAAGTAGATATTTAGTTGAGGATAATTCTGAAGATTATTTGATTTATGATTAAGATAGAACAAATTAAACAACAATAATAAAATCAGTTATGAAGAAGATAGTTGGAAAATATGAAATATTAGATAATGAAGAGGAATAATCCATATTATAATCTATTTAATAAGTTAATTATTATTAATATTTTAGAAATTGAATCCTTCATTAATAGAAACTATTTAAATGATGTTAACTAAAAAGAAGAATCTATAACCAGGAACATGTGAATAAAGTGATTTAGATTAAGCTTTAAAATTCCATGAAATTTAATTTACTCATAAAGAATAAGAGAGATTCAATTTGATTTGTTTTGAAGTTTCGAATTCTTTAGAAATCATAAATTATGAAAGACTACTTACTTATTTTAAATGAAAAATTATGTATTTTTATATTTATATTTTATGTTAAAGTTAAATAAAATTCAATAAATTTTATTTCTATTTATTAAATGTACTCATATGCTCCTCTTGGCGTTTCCTTCGCCTCTCCAATTGCTACATCAATTGTCAGACCTGCTCCAGGTAATAGCTGAAATCAATTATTCAGTCTCATATGTTTAGCCTGTCTCATATCCACAACCAATCTCTTATGCTTAACCAATAACCTATGCATAACCAGCCCCAACAACAATTAAAGGTGAATCAAGATACGAGTATGTGCCTTATTAGAAATCTGTAGTCGAATTAGAAGAAGAATAAAGAATTGTGAAAGTAGTTTCTCATTTAAAATTATAGGTACCCAAATAAAAGTGGGTAACAGATTATTATCCAGTTGAATATTAAAAAGAATATGTACCATAAGTTACATATGAAAAATAAATCGATTATGTACCTGTCGAAAAAACTGTTCCAAGAGTAGACTACTTAGAAAGAGAAGTAAGAAGAAGTTCATTTGTTGCTCCAATAAATACAGCTCCAGCAATCACTTATGCTTCCCCACTTTCCTACAGTGTTGCTGCTCCTATTGCCCCAGTCACTACCAGTTATGTGGCACCTGCTTACAGCACAGTCTATAGATATTGAATATTAAGAAATAATAATAAAATGCCTAAATTATAAATAAATTCTAATATTTCAAATTCATGTAAATGAATTAAATGGATGATGAGGACAAAGGTTTTGATAATTTCTTAAGGAAAATCAAATTTGCTATTTTTGATGTATTGGCAATCTTAGACTAAGGTGAAGAAGATAGTGAAAGTCTATTGTTATTTTATTTATAGACTGTGGCAGATTATGTTTAGATTCATAGTTTTCCGTTCAATTAAAAAATCGATTATATTTGGAAAGCATCTTCCTTTTTAGAAATAGTTTTTACAGCTTTCAATATTTTAAGTATTGGTAGCTATTTACCAACAATCAATTACCTCACATTTATACTGTCAGTATATTTTTTGTTACTTATCATATTCCTGATGGTCCTGGACATCATATATGTATCATATTCATTTTCAAGATAACGATTTAGATGGATGTGGCCTGTACATGTATTAAGATCTGGAGTTTCAATAGTTGTTACTCTATTTTTTCTGCCTATTACTGAAACCTTGATATCTCTAATAACATGTGAGACTAATGCAGATGGATAATATGCTTTAACATAATTTCCTACTGTTTTATGCTGGTCTGGATGGCATATATTTCATGCCATATTAGCCAGTCTTTTCAATCTCATATTCACTATTATTTGTTCTATTGTTGCTTATGCCTTCTTTGAACCAAAAATGAAGACTAAAAATCGTACATCCAGGTAAGATAGTAATGGTGAAGTAGTCTTCATCTTAAATAAAGTCATCTGTTAAGTATTATACTCTTTCTTGGGACCTTAAGATAGTTGGATACTCATTATTGTCACTTTTTTATTATCCTTATGGTTATTTAAAGTATATAATATTGATGATCCATATTATGATTGGGAAGTAGGATTATTTTATAATGTAATTTCAACATATTATTTATGGACAAATTCTTGGTTATTGATATGTAAGATATTGGAAAATACATCATTTAATGGTGGATTGATAGCTTGGTTATTGGGAATTCCATTTATTGTTTCAATTATGGCATCTTCTAGAAAATCAAAGATTGATATGTTGATAAGATAATCAAATAAATTCAAATCAGGAGAGGAAATCAATAGTCATATTAGATATGTGCTTTAATTGATATAAAATTAAGAAAAGGATAAGAATTCTTATATGTTATTGATAGGATATATTGAGAAACATAAGGAAACATGTAATCCAGATGAATGTTAATTGAAGGAGAAGAATAATAAAAAGATATCATAGAATAATTTTGAAGCTATAATATCTGGTTTATTGGCAGAATTAGATAAATTATTTTAATAGGGTTTAGAGAAATTCCCATAATCAACATAATTAAGAATATCTTATGCATTCTTTTTAATAGAGAGATTGAATAATAAAAAGAAGGCTCATTAATAATTTTTAGAAGCATAAAAATTTGGAAGACCTGCTTTTGATTAAGAATTTATTATATACAAAAATAGTAAAGCTATGAATAGTAATCAAGAAAAGAAAGAACAAAATAATGATGTTATTAGCATGATAGAATTTGAAAATAATATGACTATTTGTGAAGATATGATGAAATTATCAGCTAATCTACATAAAGAATTTTGGATTGAATTAAAAGAAGATTAACCTGATTTAAGAAAATTAAATGCACTTGGATAAAGAATCAATAAAACTACTAATATGATAAACGAAAGTTATGTAAAAATGTAAAAAATAAATCCTAATATTTTTTAAACAATAAGAGTATATGGTTTATTTTTAATATTTGTTACAAATGATAAATTAAAGGGTAGACAATTCTTAAGATTAGCTAAATAAGTTTAATAATCATTAGCATAAGTAGAAGATGAAGAATCATTTTCTTTAGAAAACAATTTAAAACCTGCTATTAGTGTAAGTATGATAAAACATGGAGTGATTGTTGGTATGAATCAATTAGTAGTTAATCATTTAGGATATTCAAAATAAGAATTGATAGGTAAATCTATAAATTAATTAATGCCTAAAATGTATGGAGAATAACATAATGCTTATCTTTAATAATATTTAGAAAATGTTAAAAATAATCATATTGATAGTGATTATATCAATTATGATTAAATTAATTATTTTAAACATAAAAATGGTTATATTGCTCCAATGAAATATAAGGTTATGTTAAATCTAGAATATTTATAATATTTTGTTACTTTTGAATCTAATTTAGAATAATAAAATTTAATTCATTTTATTGTAGATGATGATACAAAGATATATGAATTATCAACAGGAGCAATAAATATATTTGGTTTAGATAATAAAGCAGTTTTGAATAGAGATATTAAATTGAATGATTTGATACCTGATATTATGCATAAGGATAAATATGATATTCATTTCAGATCTAATATTAAAAATGAAGAAAGTAATTTATTTAATTATTTTAGGACTTCATTATTTGAGATGTAGTTTAAAATTTATATAAATAAGGATAGCAGCAGATGTAGATGAAAATCAATAATAATAATAATAATATTATTAAATTACTTTTTAAAATATTGATAAGACAGAAGCTATGTAATCTAATAAAAAAAGTATTAATCGTTAGAGTATTGATATTCTTAAATTAAATCCAACTTTTTAAATATATTCTGCTCATCAAAGTTCATCATTTATGTATGCAACTCAAACAAATTAATAAAATTTAGATACTAATTTAGTATATTCAATGATGGCTAATTTCTAATAAGGTCCTAGACCAGAAGAAATTGAATAAATTAATAATTATTTGATAAGAGAAGAGAAATAAACAATTACTATTGAATAAACTATTGGAATAGATGATGTAATAAAAACAAGAAGATTAATTAATGGTTAAATTGTACCTATTGATGAAGAATTTGAAGAATAAATCTTAAAAGAATTAGAGGAATAAGAATAAGATGATTCTATATTTAAAAATAGAAATGATTTTTAAATAAATAATAGAGAATATAAGAATTTTTCAAAATAAAAATAATAATCAACAATTGTAAATGCTTTAAATACTAATCATAAACATAAATAAATAACAAAACTCAAATAATATACATTATTTTATCTTATTTATTTTATGGGATTTGCCATATATTAATTTAGTGATAAATAAAGTTTTTATGAAATATAAACTGAATCTTTAACTACTATGCATTATTGTTATTAAATCAATTTTGAATTATTAAGATTATTTACAAGATCAATTGATCATATTTTAGTATTAAAAAATTTTACTAATTATACTTCTTAAGAAATAGTATTAGATATTAATAAAACAGTTATTAACTTAAATGATATTACTTTAAAATCTGTTAAATATGATATATTTAATGATTTATTAATGACTGATGAAATAGACTTTATCACAGTCTAAAGTAATTGGGTTCCTATTATTAGAAAAACAAGATTTGATTAAGCTATTGTATTAATGGAAACTTATGCTTTAATATGGATATCTAAGAATTCATCTACTTTAAATGATATTGAAATAATAAATATTCTAACTAATTTTCATCCTACTATGACTTAGAAATTAGTGGATATAAATTCTCTACTTTATGAAAATGGATATGATAAAGTTAAAGGATTATAAACATCTTAGATTATTTAAATTATCTTAACATTAATTATAAGCACATTCATTATTATTAGAGTAATCATATTCATGATATAAGTTAAATAATAAAGAGAAAATATAATGTTTTTATTTTTGGCTATACCAGATTCTCATTTAAGTAATTTTTAAAAGAATTGTGAATAATTCTTAAAATAATTTGTGAGTATTAAAGAATTAATTGCTTAAACTTATGATTTAGAGGCATCTTCTGATGAAGAATAAGAAAATGAAATTAATGATTAAGTTTAAGAAGCTAAAAAGTAATAAGAAGATGATTTTGGCAATGAACACAATAGAAAATAAGCTTAAAAATATAAAAAGGTTCTTTAAAAATATTAAAGTAATATTTTAAAAGGACAATTGAATCTAGTCTTAAGTGTGATATTAATAGGTTGGATTATTATAGGAAATTCCCTTTTCTAATTCTTTGATTTAGTCAATTAATAATCATTTCTAAAACTAATATGGCCCTAAAATTATCTATATCAACAATTCACTATGAATTATATTGATCATTTAAATCTATATACACTTATGCTTTTAAATAGCAGCATAGAAGCAAATGGAGAAAATATAAAAGTAACTGCAAATAATCATTTAAGTGTTTTCAAAAATAATTAAGAGAATCTTAGAGAATTTAGTGTATAGGTTTTTGATTAATTTGAAGAGTTTACTGATTTATATAACACCATCTAATATTTTATGATATGTGATCCAATAAAAGATATTATAGGGGAAGAGGAATACAATAAATGTTCTACATATATAAACACTACAAATCTATTAGGAATTATTGCTATTGAGCAATATATGTATTAATTTTTTGAAAGAAGACAAAGACCATATCTAAATCTAAAAGAGGAAATTTTAGATTCTCCTCAATTAAATGAGTCACTTCTATTCGAAATCAACTATTGTTTATTTAATTATATTGGTTATGCAATTGATTACATGATTGAATAGGAAAACATAATGATTGAAAATGTGTTTCAATCTTCAGTTAATTTATCATTACTTTTAACTATTATCTATGTAATAGTTATGTTTTTCTTCTATATTCTTGTAGCTCTACGTTATTTTAATTAAATCAATAAAGAAGTAATTATTAAATTAATATTTTAAGACAAATTAAACAATATAAATGTTAAATATGATTCCAATTGAAGTGATAAAATAAAATAAAAATCTTAGAGAATTTGTCATAGGACTAATAAAAATGATGGATGAACAATAATATAAATGAGTTTTTTCTATTTGGTTACTTGTTATCATTATTATATTTTATTATTTTCTATATTTTATTTAACAAAATATTTTAAAATTAAATGAATACACAAATTTATACATCAAAAAATGAGATTATGATCTTAATTTAACGATCAAACTTCAAACTCAAAAGATAAATGAATCATATCTTTAATCTTAAAATTAAAATGTTTTTCTTTAAATCCTTCCCATAATAAAAATTTATTTAAATAAATTGATAATAACTAATTTTTCTCTTGAGTTTGTATATTTTTATTTGTTATTATTTTTTAAAGATGTTTCAAAATTATCTTTTAATTATGTTTAATTGATTGACTAAAATTTAAATTTGATTTAAATAACTTTTGAAAGGATATTACATCATTCATTTTTCCTATTAAAGTTATTTTAACTCTTTAAACATTAAGTATTGTTTTGCCTTTAATTTTCATCTATTAAAATTCATTAAAGATTTATGAGATACTCATTAATATGCTAAATAGATAAACTTAATTAGTCACAAACCCTTACAATTCATTTTTTATCATTATTTTGACTTTCTTTGAAAATATCAAATTCATTTAATTTCTTATTAAAATAGTTGAAACCCAACTTTATTTAGTTTTTAGATTTTCATCATTAAGTAATATACGAATTTATTAAAAATTGATCATAGAATATAGAATTTTTAATTTAGTATTTGCTGTTTTCATTTATTAGAAGAATTATTTTAATAAAAATTAAAAGATATTTTCTTTATATCTGACTTCTAATTAGAATTAATTATTTTCATTTTTTAAATTCTATTCAAAAATTGCTATTACACAATATTCATCCTATAAAACTTATTGTATCAACTTCACCTTATATTCCTTATTCAAAACATTTGATCGAACATCTACTTAATGAGTTATGAATCTATATTATTCATTTTTGATTATGAGATCTCTAATCTCTTATTCTAAATTTTTTGATTTAATTTCTTCTTTCTCCATATTTGTATTTTCTATAATCATCTAAAGTATAATCATCATCATACATTTCTAAGCATTTCTCTTAATTCTTTATTATTTTAAATTTTTAATCTTGTTTTTGATATATCATTTATTTGTTAAAGTATTAATTAATCTTACTTTTGATCAAGCTTAATAACAACAATAGATTACTCTAAAACTTAATCTATAATCTTTATCCATCTATTCTATTCTCTACTATCTCTAAATTAAAGTCTTTTTATCTTTTCATTAGTATACTTCATAACTAAAAGGCCAATAAAAACCAAAAATATTGTCAAACACATTGCTGTATATTCTAATGTTTCTGTAGGATAATAAGTAACATATTAAATATATATAACAAGTAATGCTATAGCCTAGGGCCATATTTAATAACCAAGTTGCAATATTGCTTTAAAAAATTTTATTATTAATTACCGAAATGAAAGTAGAATGCTTGAAATCCATAATACCAGTTATACTCATAGCTGGCATCATAATCATAATTTGGATCTTCTGTTGTTGTTGGGAAAAAGTTGTCTAAATTCCAAATATAAGCTATATAAATTTATAATATCGGCAATATATATTCATTCCAAGCAGGATGAGAATTTATAATGAATTTTAGCAATACTATTGATAACATAAAAGCTAAAATATTTGCTACTATTATTCCATTAAATGTATATTCTTGAAAGTAGTATAATATATATGCTGAAAAAAATAACTAGAATCAATATTATTATTACAATTGTGTGTATAGAAAAGAGTGTGAATTCTTATTTGATGTAGTTTTATTACAAATTTCTATAATCGTTTTCTATGCTTTTCGATTTAAAATTTAGAGTGAATTTATTAATTATCATTGTGGCTTATTTATTTAATTTATTGTATTTATAGACTTACTTTTCAATCCATTAATTTACATAAATATACTATATATTTGCTAATAAGAGAAAAATCAATCATAATTTTATCATTACAATAAAATCTAGTTAAGTATCAAACCAAAATCATTTTATTTATTTTAAAATAAACAAATAAAAATTTTTAATTATAACTTCTTGATTCTCAGAAAATGAAATTGAGTTAAACTTCAAAGTTTTGGATTTTTATTAAAATTAAATACACCAATGTTTATATTAAAAAATACATTGCTTGTTTCTTTAATTCAAATTTTAATTATTTTAATTGAACTTATTAATAAAAATTTAGGTTTTTAAAGCAACCTATATTTTTCTTTCATAACAAACTCTCTAATTTATTTATATAATTATTTATAATTAATATTGTATATATAATGTACAAAGAATTAGAAGCCGCAATTAATAATATTGATGAGTAAACAGAAAAATAATTATAAAATACTATTACAAAATTGGTTAAGGCATTTTCCTTATGTGTGGAAAATGATAAAACAGATTGCAAAAAATATTCAACTCTATTTGATCCTTTAAAACAGAGTCTTGATTAAGAGAAATAGGGACTTTATAAATGTATCGATGAGAATCAGATTACATCTCAATAATGTATACAAACCTTTTAGAAAAAGTCAATATAAATAATTTTTCAATAATTATCAAAAATAGAAAAAGAAGTAAAGTGATTAAGATTGATAGATATAATGTTATATCAGTGTTTCTAGATATTATTAATATAATCAAGAACAACATTCTTTAATTACTATAAGTTTCTTAATATAATTAATTAATGAAATACTATACATTATTAAATTAAAAACATTATTTAATTGAATTTCTTATTTTAATATATATATATATATATATAATAATTAATATTCTCAATAAAGCTATATTAATTATATATTTTCTATTATAATACAAGTATTTTATGAAATTCCTATTACTGCCTTGTCTTTTAGTTAAATTTTAGCAATATAAATATAATAAACATTGTTGTATTATTTTTAAATATTTCTAAAATGCTTTTATTTGATTTCCTGTAAAAATACTGATGTCTTATAGGAATCAATAATTCCTTATCTTATCATAAAATAAACAAAGATTATAATAAATTAATTTCAAATTCAATTACATCTTAAAATCTAATTGATAAAATAAAGAATTTTATAAGTATCTAATAAAATAAATCAATATAGATTTATATATGAAATGAGTAAATCAAAAACAAAGAACTTTCTTAATATTAAAGAGATTAAGAAAATATTGAGTAGTAACATCGAATTCTGGGTATTAAACTATTTCAATGCTATCATATTTCAATTTTGCATGTTATATTTAATCATCTTTATCATAAAGTCCTTTTATTTTTTATTCTAAAATTGCAAAGTGTTATTAGATTTGTTATATTCTTTTTTCAATATCAGTTGAATAATATTCTTATTCAAAATTATTATTTAATGATGCTAATAAAATGAGACTGCTTTCAGAATTTGATAAAGTAGTAATCTTTTTCATAAAGGTCTAAAATATGTCTCTTATTTCTAATTTAATATTTTAATATAATTTTTCTAAGGTGGCAACAATATATTTATATTGCTAAAAACAATTTTCTTTGAAAATTTGATCTCTGACGTATTCACATTAACAAAGCCATAATTATTGTGTATTCCAGTTTTAATATTAAGTTTTGACTCCATCAATATAAGTATACACTTATTTAATTCTAATTCTTGATATACCATCCACCTAAACTTGAAATCCTTTATTTGTTTTTTTAATACTCTTTATTTAAACTAAATCACCATTGATCAAATCATTAGAAACTATAAAATTTCCTGAACCTGAGCTAACCATTTTTATCATTTCTTAATATCTGAATTCTAAAAATTGAAAATCTGTCTATCCATATATAATAACTGATTAATCAAAATGGAATATTGGAATACCAAATATGCTCTCAATTTATTAAACTTAATCAATTTCTTATTCTTCCTCTATTTTGAATTCCTTCAAATACCAATCAATAAGATCTTTATATTTCTTATTTGTATTGACTTTGATATTAAAACAATAATCTGAACAAGCAGGACATAATAATTCTTCTTTTAAACTTTCTTCTATGCATTTTTGACAAAACATATGCTAACAAGAAAGCACAACTGGATTTACCGGAGTTAAACCACAACAAAGACATATTATTAAGGAAGGAAATTCATTTAATAAACCTAATTTTAAAGATAGATTATACTTTAAGTTCCTTCCTATTCATAAATTTATTGGACTATAGGTAATAATTCATCAGTTTTATTGTTACTAAGCAATGCAGGTTAACGACATAAGGGACATGCACAAAATTCTTATGTATCAAAAGAATGTTATATGCAATTTTAGCAAAAAGTGTGCCCACAACTCAAAGACACTGGATTTTTTAAATTCTATAGGCATATTGAGCATTATAGGATGAATTTCATTAATAAAAATATCAAATAAATTCTTGAATAATCATGGCTTATTTATAAGAATTTTTAAGAATTTCATAATTCTCAAGAATGATATTGTTTTAAGATCCTATCAAATAGTGTTGATGTAAATCAAAGAATTTTATATTCCATAATGATATTCTTGTCATATCATTAATTTATTTTATCATTCTATAATAATATATTTTCTAACTTCATTTTATTGTATAAAATACAAAAAAGCCTCAATCTGAACAAGAATATTGTTGATGAATTAGTTTAAATTATTTATAGTATATTTTTTTTCAAGAATATTATTAAATGAACTCATTGTATTTGATTACTATTAGGATTAAAAATAATAATACTTTGATTCATTACACCATGAAATATCAAATAAATATGAAAATATTCTCCAAATAAATCATCCTATGTTATATTAAAAATAAATAATATTGATTAATTATTCTAAAATTAAAATTAAATAAAAAAGTTGAAAAACATTATAAATATAAAGAATTATTATTCTTTATCATTTATTTAATAAATTTCAAAGTATGATAATATATTTTAAATTTGTTCCTATTTTTTATTTTGAAGTAGAAATATAAATATATATTAAATTAATTCAACGATTGTATTATATTTTTAATTTAAAATTTGAAGTAGAGTATATGCCTCATTATCCAGAGGAGATAGAATATTCTGACAAATATTTTGATGATTATTATGAATACAGGCATGTTATCTTGCCCAAACACATATTTAAAAAAATTACTAAAGGTATTTTACCTTGTTAAATATAGGAAAATTATTAAATGAAATGGAATGGAGAGCAATAGGTGTACAATAATCTAGAGGATGGATTCATTATGAAACTCATAGACCAGAACCTCACATCTTATTATTTAGACGCCCCAAAAATACTGACCCAAATACTGGTTTACCACCTCCAGGATTTAGTGCGCCATATTGATAGTTAAATAATGAATATTTAAAATTAACAAAAGAACACTAAATTAGGTTCCAAGAAAATAATGAGTTCTAAATATTGATTCACTTTTTCTCTAAATTTGCTTCCAATCTATACTTCATAATAAGGATGTAATTTAAACTCAAAATTATTTTGATCAAATTTATTCATTAAATTTAACAATAAAACATAAAATCACTTCAATTTTAATATCTCTTGTAGTAAATAGAATGATGATGCTTATAATAAATTATGTTTAATGGTAAATTTCTAATCATAAAAAATAACATTAGTGCATTTCATCTTTTATTTAATATATATATCCAAAAATTAATATTATGAACATTTAGTTATTTTTATTTGATTTCTTTAACAATGAAACTAAATATATTTGGTTTNATTTTTTTTCAAGAATATTATTAAATGAACTCATTGTATTTGATTACTATTAGGATTAAAAATAATAATACTTTGATTCATTACACCATGAAATATCAAATAAATATGAAAATATTCTCCAAATAAATCATCCTATGTTATATTAAAAATAAATAATATTGATTAATTATTCTAAAATTAAAATTAAATAAAAAAGTTGAAAAACATTATAAATATAAAGAATTATTATTCTTTATCATTTATTTAATAAATTTCAAAGTATGATAATATATTTTAAATTTGTTCCTATTTTTTATTTTGAAGTAGAAATATAAATATATATTAAATTAATTCAACGATTGTATTATATTTTTAATTTAAAATTTGAAGTAGAGTATATGCCTCATTATCCAGAGGAGATAGAATATTCTGACAAATATTTTGATGATTATTATGAATACAGGCATGTTATCTTGCCCAAACACATATTTAAAAAAATTACTAAAGGTATTTTACCTTGTTAAATATAGGAAAATTATTAAATGAAATGGAATGGAGAGCAATAGGTGTACAATAATCTAGAGGATGGATTCATTATGAAACTCATAGACCAGAACCTCACATCTTATTATTTAGACGCCCCAAAAATACTGACCCAAATACTGGTTTACCACCTCCAGGATTTAGTGCGCCATATTGATAGTTAAATAATGAATATTTAAAATTAACAAAAGAACACTAAATTAGGTTCCAAGAAAATAATGAGTTCTAAATATTGATTCACTTTTTCTCTAAATTTGCTTCCAATCTATACTTCATAATAAGGATGTAATTTAAACTCAAAATTATTTTGATCAAATTTATTCATTAAATTTAACAATAAAACATAAAATCACTTCAATTTTAATATCTCTTGTAGTAAATAGAATGATGATGCTTATAATAAATTATGTTTAATGGTAAATTTCTAATCATAAAAAATAACATTAGTGCATTTCATCTTTTATTTAATATATATATCCAAAAATTAATATTATGAACATTTAGTTATTTTTATTTGATTTCTTTAACAATGAAACTAAATATATTTGGTTTGTTAGTTTATTTTTTTATATATCGAATGTAAATTTATATAAAACGGACAGTTGTTCTGTATTTGTATTTATTAACAGTAAATATACAATGTTTACCTGGAATGCTAAATGATTCATAAGATATTGCAAGCAAATTACAATGTTAAATATCAAAAGAAGTTAATGAAATATTGCAAATAGAAAATATTAATCAAAATGAATATGGAATTTATAGAACTAAAAAAGGACACCTTATAAAATTTGATGAATTCAATGACTATACCCTTGATTAAGATGTTTTAGTTTACATTGATAAAAAAGTGAAAAGTTAATATGTTGTAAGATTCATCCATAATCATTTTAGATGTAACTTGAATTTGAAAAGAATTATGATATTGAATAATATGTTATAGAGGGTAGAAATTATGTCTACATTAGAACAAAATTAATGAATATGTAGAATAAATAAGAGATAATAAATTTGCATTTATTAAATATTTATTAACAAGGGTCTATTAAATAACTAATATAGGAAACTCTAAATGGACTTTAGTTTAGCTTTAAATTTAAAGATTAATAAGATTATTTTGTATAGATAATATTTGCTACTTTGTTTGATAATGATTTTAAGGGAACTGAATCATAAGTGAATAATCTCGTTTAATAAATATAAAAAAATTATGTTTCTTGCCAAATAAATGAGTGTAAAAAGGATAAGGAACTATTTAATTTGCTTTAAAATATTTAATTATAATAGATTCCTCCAAAATTTATAAAAGAATGTATATATTTAAATATATAGTTAGGTTCATTAAAAACATCATAATCTATTTAGTATTATACTCTAATAAACTCAATTTATGCTGCAAATATTGAATTGGAAGAGAAGAATGAAATAAATTTTAATATTGAATTTACATTAGAATGTATAAGATTGATAAGTTACATTGAAGAAAGAAATCATATAAAGATGGAATTTGATTAATACTTTTGCATTGATAATTTGATATATCATTTTAGATTTAGTTCAAGTAGAAATTATTGATTAATTTAAGTTAGTTCAAAATTAATAAAGATTTAACTATTATGTAATACTCATTTAAGTTAACAATGATATCAACCAAAATCAATTAATAGAAGAGTTGTTTTTTATAATAGAGAATTTAAAATGTTAAAAGAATATATAACAAAATAATCACAATTTAGAAAAACTCATCTAAATGAATTCTTCTTTTATTTAACAATAATAAAATTAAAATAAAGAAGGAATTAAAATTTAAGAAGATCCTGATAAAAACATATTTATTGAAGAAAACATAATGATTAACATAGATGAAGGAATTTAGTAAATTAATACCTAATCAAAATTATTATATTCTAATAATAATGAAAAAAATGAGGGAATACAATTCATACAAATTAATTAATCTTAAGGAAGTATACCTTAAATTGAAATTAAATAGGACTTACCATTAGAAGAAGATTAAGATATTAAAATATAATAAGAACAATTTGATACTTAAAATATAACTAATGATGACATCTTTGATTAGCCTTTATAAGTTGAACAATAATAGCATTAATAAAGGCTAAATTAGATAGATTAATATGAAAAGAAAATAAAAGAAACTTAAGAAATTCAAGAATCTATCAATTTTAATAATTCCGATAAAAAATAATAGTAAGAATAAAAAATTGAAAATATAGTTTTTGATGAATATAATTAATCTAGATTATAATAGTAGGATAATCTAACAAATTAAAATATCATAGATAAATAATTATAAAACAATTAATAAGTATAATAACATAATCATTAAAATTAAAATTAAGATGATCTTCAAAAAGAATAATAAAATCATTATGATTAATATGAATCTCATTAAAATCATCATCATCATCATAATCATAATCATCATTATAATTAATAATTTAGAAGTATTTAATATGAAGATGAATAATCTTATTCTGAATATGAATAACCAATCCATCATCATTATCACCATCATCATCACTCATTCCATCATCATAATCATTAATTAGATAATTCTTTTTAAGAAAATGATGGTTACAATCTAAGAGGCTAAAGTGTAGTTTCTAAAAGAAATAATTTAAGGGGTAACAAGTTTAGAGATGATTCTTTGTATAACAATAATGATCCAGAAATAATTGATAGAATCATAATAGAATATAATTTTTCTTAAAGAGAAAATGATGAATCATAAGAACAATAGTAATAATAGGGAAATTAATCAAAAAAAGATCATAAAAAAGAAAATCCTATACCAGGCCCTAAAAAATAATAAATCTAATATGGAGAAGATGAATCATAATAATCTAATAATAAAAACACTTAAAATCAAAATAAAAATCAATAGAGTACTGATAATTAAAATAAAAAATAAAAAAGTAAAACATAAAGTTAATCAAATGATTCAGAAGAAGTGGAAAATAATGAATAAGAGAATAATGATTAAACATAAAATGATAAATAAATTGAATAAGATGAACCAAAAAAATCATCTACTTAAAAATAAAATAATAAAGATAAGGACAATAAATAATAATAAAAGGCACCTTCAAATAAAAATGCAAAACCATTAGATAAAAATGGAACAAATTAACAGGAGGAAGAAGGAAGTAATCAAAATAATAATGAAGATGATGAAAATAATTCAGAATAAAAGGCTAAATCAAAGAATAAGAATAATAAATAAAAAAGTTAAGAAAATTAAGAGGAAAATGAAACATAGAATGAGAATGATGATGAAGAAGTAAAATAATAAGAACAAGATTAAGAAGAAGCAGAAAAAGAAAAAGAAAATGAGGATGAAGAAGAAAAAGAAAAAGAGGAATAATAATAAGATGAAAATCAAGAAGAATAAGAGGAGAATGTTTAAGAAAAGTAATAGGATAAGCAAAAGTCCAAGACAAAAAAAAAATAATCTAAAGAAAATAATAAGGAAAAAGAAAAAGGAAAGAAAAATAAATAAAAAACTTAAGATTTAGAAGAGGAAAATAATGAGAATGAAAATATTGAAAATGAAGAAGAATTATATGATTTTAATGGTAGATACATACCTAATGATCCATTTTATGAACATCGAAAATCAAAAAGAGGAAGAGTTCCTTTCAACTATCCAACTAGAGATCCATATCAAGATATGTTTGAAGATGAACGATTTTGGAGATATGAAACTATGAGAAGACAATAAGTAAGGTATCCTTTCAATGGATATCCTTATAGACATAGAAAGTAAACAGTTGATCATTCACCATTTCCACATGTTAATTCTTATTATAAAATGCATCCTTATTAGCAATAGACCTATCATTGTTCACCTTGGGTTGGTAGAGACTTTTATCCTGATACTGGTTATGGAATGAGTAGAGTAACAGCTGCTTATAAGGGTAGATATACAGATCCTGATTAAGTGTTAAGAGATTTAACAATAAAATAATAATAATAAAAACAATGGAAAAAATCTATTTAATAATATAGAGATTAAGTAGGATATAAGTAAGGGGACTACGATCTAGACTTTTAGCCAGATTATTCTTAATCGTATGATAATATTGTATAATAATATCCTGATTATGATTCAACTATTTAAGATCCAAGTTAATTTCAACCATATGAAGAAGAATAAAAAAAGATTTATGATTATTTGAATGATCCTTAATATAAATTTAGATAGGGCAAAAAACCATTGGTAAAAAATGATAGAATAAAAACATTTAATCGTTATTAGGAGGATACAAATGATTGTTTTGTGGTTTATGATTAATGCAATTTTTAAGGAAATAGATTAGATTTATGTGGAGAATATCCTGACATTCCATAATATATAAATGGATTTAAGATTTTCTCTTTTATTGTACCTGATAATTTATAAATAAGATTTTTTCAATCAACAGATTTTGAAAGTATTAATATTATTTAAATAAATTAGACAATTTTTAAAATGTTGAAGGAACATCTGATTGCTTAAAAGTACCATATGAATTAGTTCCAAATTTATAATAATGAATAAGAATTTAATATAATCATCAAAATTTGCATCTAAATTTATACTTTTCATCAATTTAATCATCAAAATTCTTATTAAAAATTTAAGAATTAAGTAATAAATTTTTAGACAATTCATATTTATATATTTATTCGTAATTTGTTTAACTAGCTCTTTAATAAAATGTAGAAGATCTTTTCCAAGAATTTTAAAATTATTATTATTATTTTGGAGCATAAGCATTATGATCTTAAGGAACTTGAACTGATTAAAGTAAACTTTTAGTTCTGTATTTACCACTTGAAATTAATGATGATATAAGTTGTTTTTATTAAAATTTAGAATTCCAAAGAATCTTTTCTTCTATTTCAAAAGTTGTTAATACTCCTAAATGACATTTAGGATTTAAACATTTAATTTCTCCACCTAATGTCTCACCAATTCGTATTACTACATTTTAATTACAACATTTTGACATTGGACAATAATCAGTATCTGAAAAATAAATGTAAAATAATTTAGAAATTGGATGTTGACAAATCAATATATTTTGTATTTCAAATTAAAGTTCTTAAAATAATTCACGCATTATTTTATATATTACTAAATTTCTTTTATCAGATGGATGAAGAGATTTTATATCCTTTTCGAACTTAACTAAAAATTATGAATTAATTACTTTCTTTCAAAAGCTAACGGTAGGAGACTTATTTTTTAATCACTAATAATTACTTTTTTAAAAATTGATCAATGGATAAACATTGCTTCCAAATTGGTTAGTATTTTCATTTTCAGTTTCTATTTATCTATTTAATTCACTTATTGCTTAGATTTCTACTTTTTCTCTTTGTTCACTTTTTGGATTAGTTTTAAATGGTATATCATCTAATTGTATTTTGTAAAATTTTTAATTTGGTCTTGTTGATTATCTTGCAGTGGATCCCTTTGATAAATTTCCAGTTTATCTATTTCTATATTGTAAATATTATTCATTATACCTTCTACTATAGCAAGAATGAATTGAAAATGTTGAAATTACATCAAGCATATTTAACATTGATAAAACAATATTATTTAAATATAATTATAAAATTATAAATCAAATAAATTTAAGTTAATACAAATATTCATTAGTATTTTATTATTCTTAACTTTTTTTTAACAAAATTTGAATAATAATTTAGAATTGATGAAAATATATAATATTTTAGATTCTTAATCTTTTAACATTTTATAATTATAATTTTCAGTAAGGTTCATACATGAAAACAATATAATTCATTATTTGATTAAAAGATATTTACTTTTATTATTGATTAACTTTTCTTAATATATTAATATTGGATTGTTTAGTAAATACTTGCCACAATTCTCAAAACTTATTACATTAATTATGAGTTTTTATGTATAAATATTTATATAACTTAATTGTATAAATGAATATAATCTATCCTAGTTAGAGGAACTAACATGAATTGTCAATCATCGATACTGATACTAGTGATAAAGAGGATAACACTTTTGAGATTGAGTAAAATAATTTTTTAAAATATTTCAGTGTAAAGCCTTCTAAAAAACACTTCGTAACAATTCAAGAAAAAAAATAATATATAGAAGAGTATACTAAAAAGAAAAAAACTGAACTCTGCAAGAATTTTGTCATGACAGGAAAATGTAAGTATGGTTTTGAAGTATTTCTTTAATTAAATTTAAGTGTTCATTTGCTCATGGTGATATTGAATTATAGCCTAAAACTCATTTGCATTCAAAATATAAAACTAAACCATGCAAAAGATTCTTCTAATAAGGATATTGTCCCTATGGAATAAGATGTCAATATATTCATGATGAATTAATAAATAAAACTGAATTTGATGGATTTCTATAAAATTCTTATAAAGAACTTGGTCTTAAAGCTCCAATTTCATCAAGTAATAATATAAATTATATTATAGAATAATTAAAATCCGATTTAAGAAACGATATTCAAAGATTTATTATAACAATGAATAAAAAAAATATAGATTAGGAATTATTTGTATATAATAAATCTAGACTATCCTTTTTTAAATAAATAACAGATCCTTAATATAATTTCTTGTCAGATGATTCTCAAAAAAAATTGAGGTCTAAGGCAAATAATTGTGATTATTGATTTATTTTTTATATTTAATTAATACATTAAATGTCAGAATAACATCTTTTTATAACTGAAAATAAACATATATTACCTACTCTAGAAAAAATCCACCCTGATCAAGCCAAGAATATGTAGGAACTTTGTAAAGAAATGGAAGGACTAATTGATTAAACAAATACAAATGTTAACCAAATGTTAAAGTCTTAATAAAACAGCATTTTAAATGCTTTTAAATAGGTATTGGAAAATATGAAGAAAGACATAGATAGAATAAATGAAAAGTTTCATTAATATGTTGCATTTCATGAATAAGAATCTCAAGTATGTGAATCATATTTAACCATAAAAGGTAGTAAGTGCATAAAATAAAATGGTATTTTTTAGATAAGAGTGTCATACTTTAAATGAATAATGTAAATAATTGAAGCATAATGTTCAAACACTTGCAAAAGCAAATTAATTTTTAGAAAATGTATTTTATTTAAGTTTAATATTAGGAATTGATGTTTACCAAAGAAGCTCTATTAAAGTAAGTCTAGAAAAATGAGAAACTCAAATAAACAATTAAAAGATTCAAAGAATAATTGAATGAATATTCAGGTCTGAAAAACTAAAACCTTAAAATATAACCAACTGAACCAAAGATTTTCTAAGACTATTAATAGCATATCTAAACAAGTGTAAAAAGAGGTAGATAAGATTCTTCTCATAATAAGAATACTTCATTTAATTCAATAACTAATTCAGACACTAAATCAAAATTTATATTTTCTTAATAGACAAGAGCATAAAGTCTATAAAAAAGTATTTTAGCCAAAAGATCTGCAATTTTTGAAACAAGTCTTTTAGATAAATCTTAACAATAAAACCAAACATTTGAATACTCCAGATATCATTCTTTAAAATATGATAATGAAAATAATCAATGATATTTTTATTGCAATTTTTTTTTTTCCATTTTCTACAATTCAAAAAATATTCTTTTTCTAATCTTCAATTTGAATTTGAAATAATCTATCTGTAATTTGTTAATTTGTATATTTTTTTTATGAAAAAAACAAATTCTCATCATAAGTATTTTTTTCCATTTTTGAAATTTCTTATGAAAAATTTTGCAAGTCTTTATAAATAGTAAATTATATTTTTGTTTAATAAAGTGCAGAAATATATTAAGGATTCATTATATCATTTTCTATTAATGATTATTTGAAATTAACTTTATTATAAGGACCTAATTGACTAATAAAGTATTAAGCCATTATAAATCCTAAAGTATTAAATTATTTTTATTAATTATTATAATGAATTTTATATTATTATCCAGTACTTTATAGTCCTATTCCAATTGATGTAAGAGATTATTAAATATCATTTTTATAATGATCAATCATTTTTGAAAGTGTTTGATTTAAATTAGTGATCATATCATAATAATTCTTATTATTCCAATTTCTTTTTTTATCATCAATAGAAACTGGTTAAATATTTTATATTAGATTAATAATTGAACTAGTAATATTTAAATTAGGATGAGTTAAAGTTATTTAAATAGAATCATTATGTAATTTTGATTGTTTTATAGATAATGAAAAAGGTTTTTTTAATGGATGAACTTAATAAATTATACTTTCATCTGTATATATTATTGATAGTAATATTTTCATAAATTCCATTATGTTCATAATAATTGATATTAATTTATTTTTATCTGTTTTGATTATCTCTTTTTTAATTGAAAAATTAGTAATATCCATCTTCCTTTATTTATAATTAATTACCAAATTATCACAAAGAGTTTTAAAAAATGATTCCATTTCTAAATCTTAAAATTCATATTTAATTTATCTATGAGATATTTTGTATAAATTCCATAAATTATTATTCAGATTGTATAAATAATAACATTATTACATTAATTTTTACAAATTTTATTGAATTGTAGTAAATTAATCTTTTTTTAAAAGAGGTGACTATTATAATTAATTATGAACTTATTAAATTAATTGCATTTATTAAGTAATTGATGATAGACTTACTTTTGAATTATACTAGAAATAATTTATATTAATACATATTACTAAATATCTCTTTATTCAATCTAATTAATGAATTAATCATATTTATCTTCTTTAATCTCTTCAAATAAGAGAATAACTAAAGGTTCAAATGCTTTAAAATAAACTTAAGTAATTTTAAATCTATATTATTTTGAATTGATATCCTTCTCTAAATTTCCAAAGTATCTTTATACAGGATGATCTTCACTTTTTGATTTTAATATTTAGATTAATTCATGCTCTATTTTTATATTCTATGATGAACCATTAATTTCAAGATCAAATAAAGTTAATTTCCTCAAAAAATCTCTTAATGCTTCATTGTTTTGAAGATTAAATTTTTCTTTAAGATTTTTATTAATTTTTTCTATTTATAATTAAGCCACTAATTTATTATATTTAAGAACAACTACCCAAGATGGTAGTAGATCTTCTATCACATTTTCATATTGTTCTTTAGAGAGTCCAGAAAGAAAGTTCTTTCTACTTATTATTTCATATTAATAGCGAAGCATGACTAAAATTAAAGTTATAAGACAATGAGAAATTATTGTAATTGCATCATATTAACTAAAATTATAAATACCTACAGCTTATGAGCAACAGAAAACAAAGGATTAAATTAAAAATTAACTACCCTATAAATATATAACTAAATTTATTATCAATTTAATACGTAATTTAAGAGATGATGAATGTTAACCATAATACCAAAGATAATCTTCATATTCAAATAATCTAAGACTTTCACAGATTGCAGCCATTAATATTAAATTTAGAGTTAATAGGATTTCTTTGTTTTACCAATATTTCTTCATAAAGAAAAACAATGCCAGTTCTAATGCTATTCCAACACTTGCAAATATTTATGGTAATAACACCTCTTATAAATTATATTTTATTATTATTAATCCTAGATATATACTTAATATTCCATAAGTATATTCACGTCTATATTTAATTCCACTCAAGAGAGATTATCTATATATTTGCTCTATCTCTTGAGATGCAAATTATAAGCTATATGTATTAATCATTTGATTTCAATTAATTTTATATTTTTAAATTAATTAACCTTAAATTCTGTTTCTTAATAATTTATCTTTCTATACTTAAGCAGCATAAATTTACATTAATTATAATGAAATCATTTTATTGAAATCAAAATTTTCATATGTCTATCTTCTTTGAAATTCTTTAAGAATATTTTGGATTTAAAAGTGAATATTTAATGAAATTAGAATAAAATTGATTTTGTTTTGTAAATAAATTAAAGAAATAATTACATAAAAAATGAATAGATAAATAAATAAACTCATATAGTTTAAAATTTTATATTAATAATTAAGAAACGATTATAAACAACTTATTTTCATTGTAATTTTTTTGCAGTTTATTTAATTAAACTTAAGTATTGCAATATGATTGTCTCAAATAAATAAAATTTATTATGAGTTATGAAACAAAGATAATTATGAATTATTCATATAATACATGTGATATTATAGGCAAAGGCTTTAGTTCTATTGTTTATAAAGGAATAAATATAAATACAAAAGATAATGTAGCAATTAAGGTAGCCAAAATTTTTTAATTTAAATAGGTAATCAATAGAAAGTTTTCAGAATAACTTCCAGCCATATAAAATGAAATACATATTCTTCAAAGTCTACAAGGACATCACATTCTTAAATTTTATGATCATTTTGCTTCAAAAAATAACATTTATATTATCACTGAGTACTGTAAATAAGGAGATTTAGCATAAAAACTAAAATAGTATGGATATTTCAAATAAGAATAAGCTATTGTTATGATTAAATAAATAATAGATGGTATTTATGTGATGGCTTAATAAAGTATTGAAACATTATCATATGAGATATAATACATAGAGACTTGAAACCTTAGAACATTTTACTGAATGAATCAGAAGTGAAAATTGCAGACTTTGGTTTTGCTAAACCACTAAATAAATTGAAAAATGAAATGAATGTAGGCACTCCTATTTATATGAGTCCTGAAACTTTGATTAAATCACAATATAATAGCAAAACTGATATCTGGAGTCTTGGAGTTGTATTTTATGAATTGTTATATGGAAAACATCCATGGATAGCTCAAACAGAATAAGAATTGATATACAAGATACTCAATAAAAAAGTAAGTTTTCCTGATTTTCCAGTTGTATCTGATAGTGTAAAAGACTTAATCAAATAGTGTCTAATAATAGATCCTTATATGAGATTAAGTTTGAATGATCTTATAAAACATCCTGTTATAAAAAGAAATACTAAATAATTAGTAAAGCCAAATGAGACAGAAAGTACTGATCAAACTATTAAATCAGAAATTCCTAATGTTTCTGATCCATGGACTTATAAGAATAGTGATAAAAAATTAGTTTAGATAAACTACAAAAATCCATAAATAAATACAATTATTTCAAAATATTTAAATACAAATTCTTCAAATAAAAAAGAATTCAAATAAATTAAAGATAATTAATCAAGTTTTGATGAAATCACATCTATTTTATAAAGTCAATTTAATTTATGTCTCTTTCTTAATATAATAATATCAAAATTAAGAGAACATAAATTAGAAACTCCATTATTAAATGAGAAATGCAGAATTATTTTTTCAAAACACTTATAAAATATTAAAGACAATATTTATAAATAATTAATTGAAGGTGAAAATAAATTTAAATTTAAAGAATGGTAACTCTATTAAAAGGAAAATATTTACAATAAATTCAGTGCAAAATTTATTCTTGAAAATGCATAATTTAATAAAACAATTAAAGAATATAATGAAATGGTAAAATCTAATAAATCATTAATTATTGAATATTAAAAATATGATTCTGAATTTTATTAGATATTGTTTGGATTAGAATGGAAAATAATCAGAAAGATTATTAAAAATTTGATTTTAGAATTTAATCATATGATAATTCAAAATATTGATTTCTTTAATCAAAATTATCAAATTACAAAAAACTAGTCAACAGAAATCATTTTATTATAATAATTATGTTTTTATCTTGATATGATTGATAAATTCTTTATTAAAAATTTTGATTAATAAAAATTTGCATAAGAATCTAAAATATAATCATATTTAAAAGCAAAAGAAATAAAGATGTCTGATTATTTAGAATTAAGATAACAAATAAAATTTTTAATGAGAAATTGATTTATTTATATTATTTTATTGGAACTATTTATAATTGGAGTAAATTCAATTTAATAATAGTAATTCATTTTTAAGCTGAATTTTTATAATCTGAGTATTTCTTTTGGTTTCGTAAACTACCTAATAATTATGAAACTATGTCTTCTTTATTAGACTTAACAGGAGTTTATAATTGATGAGGTTATGCATTCAAAATCAATTTAAATTATGTACTACTTTCTATTCTTTTATGTTTTGATAAAAGATCAGATTTCTTATTGACTAAGCTATTTACACTATCACTATAATAATTTATAAGATTATATACGTTAGTTTAATTAATTTAGTACTATCAGGTTTATCGGTAGTAGATTACGATTAATGTTCAGGAACATAATAATTGTTATTATTTAATTTAATAGTTTTTTGATAGATGTCTTACATACCTGTAGATGCTGATTTAAATTATGATCTTTAAGGTGTTTTCATAGTTTCAATTTAATTATTGTTTGATTTAAAACAATTCTTAAGTGGATTAATTTGATTGAAATTTGGTTCAAATTTGAGTTCATTACGATCAGTAATAGATATGGTTCCTTCTCTAACTGATTAAATTACAGATGGTCTAGGTTTATAATCACTTGATCTAAAATTTTCTGGTTTTACTGAAAGTCTTTAAGTAGATTTGGCATTTGATTTTTAACGAACTCTCTCCATAATTCTAGATGCCATTTCAGCCGCTTCCTATTCAATATTGACTTCAGGGTATTTATCACCTGAAGTTAAACGGCCATTAATTTACATAAATTTTATATGTTATTTTAATATCTAATGAAATCTATTTCAATATACAATCTATTCTTTTAATAAAATCTTTAATTTTATTGTAATCTAATAATAAATAAATAATAAGAATCATATACATAAACAAAATTTTATTTGTATTAAATATTCATATGTTTCTGATGAACTTATGAATATTTATTATCCTTTATAATCATTAATATTAATTATTGTAATCATATCTCTTAAATATTAAATTAATCATTAAGATATTTAGAATATCACTTAAATTTTAATCTAAATTAGAATATCCTATTACATAAAAATAACTTATTTTCTTGCTATTATAATATAAAATATTTATTTTCTTTTTATAATCAAATCTTTATAATATATTAAGATTATATAATCATAAAAAATTTACTTTTAATTATTAAATCTAATTTAGATATTATATATATATCATTCTTATTATTCTTATTCATCTTCTTTCTTCTATTCATTTTCTTATTTCTATTCATCTTCTTTCTATTATTCATCTTCCTCTTGATATGGTTCAACTTTGAAATATTCGACAATTGCAAGATCTTTCTCTGGAGTTGGTAGCCATCTTGGAATTTCAGCACTTTTATTGGTTTTCATATTATTAGAGTTATCATCTTCTTCTTTAATCATTTAATTAAATTCATCATGAGGTAAATTCTTTGCTTTTTCCAATTTAATTGCTAATTTCTTTTATACTTCTTATGATCTCATTAATTTCTACATCATATATGATTCTTCCATTTCCATCTTTTCTTAATATGCCTTATTTTATTCACATGCTTTTTTATTTTCTTATTTGGCTCTATTGAATATTTATTAAGTATAAATACTTTTCATTTTCTTTTTAAATGTTAGACAACTTTTCATTCCAATAGAGAGAAATATTAGATTTAGATTTTTACATAATCTCTTTAATATGTTCTCTTTTTTCTTTATTTTTAAAAACAAAATCTTATTTTTGTTTATATATCATTTCAGCATTTCTTATTGATATCTCTCTAATACATAATTTTAGAGTGTTACTTAATTTTTTTATATTCCTCCATTTTAATTTATTCCATAGCTTTTTTAATCATTTCTAGTTATTCTTCTTATTGTTTTTTTTTATCATAATTTATTTACTATTTCTCCTTTAATTATGCTTCATCATTTTTTTGATTAAACTTTTTCTAATAAAAAAGATATAAAGTTTCTTACTAATTCAATCTATTAATGATGATTCTTTTTTAATTCAATCATAGATTAAGTTTTCTTTTTAGTTTCATCAATTCTCTTAGATAACTGTGCATCTCCTCTCTTTAATAATTTAAGACGATTCTTCATTAATTGAATATCTTTTTCAGTCTCTTATCTCTATTTTCTAGTATGCCAAACTGTTTCATCATTTTCCCTTTAAAATGATTAAGGAGATGTTTTCATTTTTTTATTTATTTAATGAATTTGGATTTTATATGTTTGAGAAAGCATTTATTCAAAGATACTATATATCAAATAGATATCCAAAATGAATAACTTAGGTTAATTGATACTGTATAAAATAATACTAGTTAATTTAGACTTCAGGGAAACCTAAATATATTATCAAACTTGATTGGTCACTTGAAATTACTTGGAATATAACAAGTCAACAATAAGCTTTTGGATTAAAAGTTAATTAAAAGTTTAAATGGTTTCATGCAAAGCCCTAAATCATATAAAATTTGAAGAAGTAATTACAAAAATATGTGACATCAACTGATTTTAATATGTTTTACACATTAACTACTCATTAATCTAAAGAATAAAATAACGAATATGAAGTCTTGAAAAAGAGTGATAATACAGCAAATTTAGTTGCTAGATGTATTTAGAAGGATTAGATAGATGATTAAAATATAATTTATGGAGAACTTAATATTCTCAAACTCTTAAATCATTAAGGTCTCCCAGTTTTTGAAGAATTCTTCTTTACTTCTGGAACTTATTACATAATAATGGAAAAAGTATAAGGGGAAAAATTAAGTACAATTGTTAACACTTCTAAATTATAATTAAATCTTCGTTTAATCTAATCAATAATTATAGAATGCTTATAGATATTACAATATCTAGAATCAATTAATGTAATGCATAGAGACATTACACCAGATAATTTACTTTATGAGTAATAAAATAAAAAAAAGGGTGTTAAATTAATTAATTTCAGTAATGCAGCAAAACTTGGAACTGAACCTAAAAAGTGTGGTACTCCAGGTTATATAGCACCAGAGATATTTTTAGATTAATAATATGGATGTGAATGTGATATGTTTTCCTTAGGATGTGTATTCTATAAATTGTAAGATTCTACAATATTACTAGATTAGCAAAAAAAGATTTATTTCAAGGAACTAGTGTTGTAGATGTAATATCGGAAAATAAAAAGTGTGTTATCAATCTTAAAACATTATAATTAATTAGAATTCCTTAAATTGCTTAAGATTTATTGAATCAAATGCTTGAGACAAATCCTAAACTAAGAATCTCAGTTTAAGATGCTTTAAAACATCCATTCATTAATGATCCATTAAAACCAAATGCCTCAAATCAAAATAGTTAAAAAAATTTTAACCAAAATAGATCAGAAAGATATTTAAGTAAAAAAGAGCTATAGAGTTTACATAGTTAAAAACAGAAATTAGATGAGGATCTTGATGTTGATTACTTTAATAATGAATTACCTCCAAAATGTGAAATTCCAGTTATGAATTCAGTTAAAGGAGGACAAAGATTTAGGTCTGATTGTATTGAAGAAATCGATACAAAATTTAGAAGGGTTGTTTCGAAATCAACTGGCTGATTTTATAATAATATCTGTATTTATTATTCTCATAATTTGTTATCTTTTGATATTTTACCATATGAAGATTATATTAAATTCCATAAGTTTTTAGTATTTGGGTAATCAATTCAAATTGATCCCTTGATCAAGATTAAAAATAAAAATTTTATAATAAAAATCTCTCATTTTATCATCTTAGAAAACTTAAAAAATAAAGAAAGAGTAATGTTAGTTATTAAATTGAAAGATCTAAACCTAATAACAATGGAATATAAAATTCTTTTAATTTTATTCATTAATTGCTCTGATAATTATATATTCATCAAAATTTAATCATTTTTAACATTTCAGACAATTTATAGAATAATTGGTTGGATACATCACAAGATATATTTCAAGACATTTCATACAATATCTATAGCTAGGCAATTGGATTCTTGCTGGATGAGCAATACTCCCATGACATTTAGTACATGGATAGGCTTTATTACAACATCCAAAAATGGGAATAGTATTACATTAGACTCTATGACCACATTCTTCTGTATATATTTTGTAAGGAAATGTTAAAAGTAGTTTTTCTCTTTCTTTCTCTTTTTCATATTATTTTTTTTCTTTTTATTATTTTAAGAATTATTCAGCCTTATTAAGCTTATCATTTTCTTTCTTAATTTATTCATCTTTTGAATTATACTCTTAATTTTATAAATCCATTATCTTTTTCAAAGTTTCTTATTATTATTATTCTTCTTCTTGAATTACAGCTAATTATGTAAAAAATGGTTCTCGCATTTCTTTAACTTTCTTTTCTTTTTATTGATAATAATTTAATTTGTATTCTAGGAATTCTTTACTTTTTGGATCTAAGAATACTAATTTATTATTTTCATCTAAAAGATGACTGAGTTCAACTTCTAATTATTTTTTATATTCATTCCAAGATTTTTCAACTTAATTTATTTTTTAACTTAAATAATTATTTGTTTCTTATTTCATATATTCCAATTATTAAATATGTTTACCTTATATAAAATCTAAACTTTCCTTTAATTCATCTTAAGACATCTCATATATATTTTTAGAACCTAAATTAATTATATGATTAATTAATTCTTTTTCTAATGGATTCCATTCTAATTACTAATTCATTGATTACAAAATATTCTTTTCTATAAAAAACAGACGATCTAATAGATATTATTTAAGTTAATCAAAATAAAATTTGATTTCTTATGTTTTATCAGGTGATTTTAAGATTGTTTCACTTAAATTTATAAACTATATTATTATTGACTATACTTTTACTTGCTTTTTTTTATCATCAAATAATTTACAGAAAGTCTGTACTTCCATTATCTAAGTAGAATGATCATTATGTTATTCTACTAAACAATATGAACAACCTATTCTACTATCAGCCTTACAATCTGAAAATTAACAAAAGTATAACATTTTATTATTTTCATGATTTCTCTTATGACATACAGCCTCCATATTCAAACCCATCACTTTTATAATTGAACGTTCATGCATATTTTACATCTTCTATTTTGATAAGATTTGCATTTATTTTTTTTAGTGATTTTACACTAAAGTCTTTGATGAGTATGTTGCTTTAGAACTATATAAGATATTAAATAGTTTACCTTAAAGATGAATTTTAAGCCAAGGGACTTGCTGAACTACGGAATGATTATTACGTTTTTAGAAACTCATTATTTATTTAACTTTGTGTCAATTAATCTTCAGTCTTAACATTCATTATAGGACTTGTAGGTGTTTTTTTAGATTTGCGAACAGAAGGCTCAGTTTTAGAATGGTATGAAGATTACTTTTTCATTTTATTTTATTATTTTTTATATGTTAAGATTGCAAATATAGCGAGTAAACTATCTTAGCGAATTTTACATTTAATAATAATTTTTAGAAAATTTAATTCATCATCATTTCAATAATAAGGTTTTCTTTAAGAAAGTGATTTTTTACCAAGAGCCCAACCTTAATTTGTTTTAAAACTAGAAACGAAATACTTCCCTCTCGAATTAATACTTCCTGGTAATTCATAATCACCAGGACCTGGAGTTACAATTGACTTTTTAATGAATTCACATTACTTATTTAGCATTACTGTTTTTCAGAGGACTAAAGAGAGTTGCACAAGCATTTTTAAATTTGGAGTTAGTATAATAACCATATTTATCTAATCCTTTGATTTCATAACTTCCCAAAGGAGGAGCTTCAAATTTATAAACTAATAAAATGTTATCACAATTACCTTTTTGATTGAGTCTTACACCCATACTATAACTGATTGGTGTTTCAGGCTATTAAGTTGTATAATGACCAGGTCCTGGAGTTTCTAATTACTTTTCGATTGGCTAGGATGTAAAAGAAATAAAGTTACATTTCTACCCAAACCAAAAGTATAGCCTTTATTTTTTAAATGGGAGAATTTAAGAATTCTAGCCCTTTTCTAGAGTTCTTATTGTTTACGCTCATTAAAAAAATCTAATCTCTAATCAATGTTATCTGGTATTCCCTATAATTACTAATTCATTATTATGAAATAATTAATTTAAGTTGATGATGAAAAAAAATAAATTTCACAAATCAGCTGGTTTAGATTAATAGAGAACTGCAATAATTATCCAAGTTGGTAGTTCAAATAAATTCAATATTGTTACTCAAATACCTTTGATTTCATTTTCTAATCAACAAAGGAGAAATCAAGAGAAATTCCATATAACTCTTTACCCCCCTTCTAATTTATTTTATTTTAATGATTCTTATTCATCCTAATAATATTATTATAGTTGCTGCTATTAGTTAATAGTTTTTTTGGTTCCATATTCACTATAAAATAGTAATTGATTTTATTGCTAATCCAGTTGTTCTAATCCGAAATTTAAATGATTCCAATCTGTCTCTCATCGATTCAGTTAATTATGCATATATTAATTATTGAATTTAGTTTTAGAGTTTGACTACTTTTATTCAAAGTATTATTTTGTAATTTATTCTATGATGATATCTATATCTTTAGTCCATCAAGAATTTTTCAACATTTAATATTATCTAATTTAATAAAAACAATGGTCAAATAATTCAAAATCTTCCCCTCAATAAAAATAGTTATAAACTAATAAATATGAATTAAATTATAAAATCTTCTTGTAATATTAAGTTTATGTTCCGATGCATCGTACTTTTCTATTTAAACTTACCAATTTAATCAAATAAGTTAGAAATTGCTATATCTAAATTATATACATAAGCACTTATTATTGTTTTGAATGTTTCAAATTTTTTATTGTGTATAGAATTGATGGAAAAAGATAAAATGCAAAATTTATCTTTTCTCTAACCTTTTAATTATAAAAAATAAGTAGGCTTAGCTAAATTTAAAATTTAATGATTATTTTAATATTGATATTTCATTTTTCAAAAGATTATACCTTATTTTTTTGAGAATTCTCTCCCTATTAATCCTATTTATATAGTATACCAAATATGTGATTTACTCTTTTGTTAATGGGATAATTCTAAAACTAAGATACTCTAAAAATTAATTGTGTGATCCTTTCGCTGCAATGAAAGTATGATTTGGTATATAGTAAGAGAATGCTGAACCTATAGGTGATCCACAAATAACCTTCTGACCTTTGTATGTTTTGAACCCAAGTTAATTAATAGTAGTATTTGCATATCCATAGATTTCTTGTATACAATCACCTCATAATATTTATAGATTCCTTATATAATTCATAATAATATTTCAATAATAATCTTTTAGACTCTATATTTTTTTACCCTTATCTATTTTAAACTTCTCAAAATATACTCCAAATAATTTAAACTTTCTACTACTTTAACCAACAATAGTTTTCCCATCCATCCCTCTGTATTTTATTTTGATTCCTAAAATACGCTCTTTTGTATATTGAATTTTAATCATAGAAATAGTTATGGGTTTAGCTAGAGTATCCATCTTTTCAAGATCATCAAAAGAATTATGATTTTGATTTTCTATACCTATATGGATTTCATTATTTAACATTATTTAAGATTTTTATTATAAAATTTTTTTATATTTTGAATAATGGCTAAATAAATTCAATGATGATGATGGCCGTGTTTTTTTACGATAACAACTTCTGGGCCGTGATGATGATGATTATTATTTGCCATAGCTGCTCCAATCAATGCACCTCCAATAAGTGCTCCAGCAACAGCACCACCTCCANGTCAAATAATTCAAAATCTTCCCCTCAATAAAAATAGTTATAAACTAATAAATATGAATTAAATTATAAAATCTTCTTGTAATATTAAGTTTATGTTCCGATGCATCGTACTTTTCTATTTAAACTTACCAATTTAATCAAATAAGTTAGAAATTGCTATATCTAAATTATATACATAAGCACTTATTATTGTTTTGAATGTTTCAAATTTTTTATTGTGTATAGAATTGATGGAAAAAGATAAAATGCAAAATTTATCTTTTCTCTAACCTTTTAATTATAAAAAATAAGTAGGCTTAGCTAAATTTAAAATTTAATGATTATTTTAATATTGATATTTCATTTTTCAAAAGATTATACCTTATTTTTTTGAGAATTCTCTCCCTATTAATCCTATTTATATAGTATACCAAATATGTGATTTACTCTTTTGTTAATGGGATAATTCTAAAACTAAGATACTCTAAAAATTAATTGTGTGATCCTTTCGCTGCAATGAAAGTATGATTTGGTATATAGTAAGAGAATGCTGAACCTATAGGTGATCCACAAATAACCTTCTGACCTTTGTATGTTTTGAACCCAAGTTAATTAATAGTAGTATTTGCATATCCATAGATTTCTTGTATACAATCACCTCATAATATTTATAGATTCCTTATATAATTCATAATAATATTTCAATAATAATCTTTTAGACTCTATATTTTTTTACCCTTATCTATTTTAAACTTCTCAAAATATACTCCAAATAATTTAAACTTTCTACTACTTTAACCAACAATAGTTTTCCCATCCATCCCTCTGTATTTTATTTTGATTCCTAAAATACGCTCTTTTGTATATTGAATTTTAATCATAGAAATAGTTATGGGTTTAGCTAGAGTATCCATCTTTTCAAGATCATCAAAAGAATTATGATTTTGATTTTCTATACCTATATGGATTTCATTATTTAACATTATTTAAGATTTTTATTATAAAATTTTTTTATATTTTGAATAATGGCTAAATAAATTCAATGATGATGATGGCCGTGTTTTTTTACGATAACAACTTCTGGGCCGTGATGATGATGATTATTATTTGCCATAGCTGCTCCAATCAATGCACCTCCAATAAGTGCTCCAGCAACAGCACCACCTCCACCACTTTTTTATGGAGGGGGAGGAGGGGCTTGTTTCTCAATGATAACAGTAGTATTTTATGGAGGTGGATATTGCCCAGGTGGTGGATATTATCCAGGAGGAGGATATTAACCAGGAGGTGGATATTATCCGGGAGGAGGATATTAACCAGGAGGTGGATATTGTCCAGGTGGTGGATATTACCCAGGTGGGGGATATTATCCAGGAGGAGGATACTACCCAGGAGGAGGATATTATTCAGGTGGAGGATATTATCCTGGAGGAGGATATTAACCAGGAGGTGGATATTATCCAGGTGGTGGATATTATCCAGGTGGTGGATATTATCCAGGTGGTGGATATTATCCAGGCTATGGAGGTGGGGGATATTATCCTGGAGGAGGAGGCTAAGTGACTTATGTAACAACAATATTAACATTCCCTTATTGTTAACTCAATCCCTAAGAATATAGCAATATTTATTACCAATTTTTTTATTTAATCAGGAGTAAGTGGAACTACTCTAAAGGCTATAAAATCTAAGAACTTATCATAAGAGCCTCTTGCTGAGGAGAATGTATGAAGAGGGAAGTGGTGAGAGAATGACACTCCTTTTGCTACACCGCATCTATGGCTTACTCCTTTGTATGTTGTAAATCCAAATTGATTGATTTCTGTACCAACAAATCCATGTATTTCCTTGATGAAATCATCTAAAATATAAAATAAGTTATTACCGTCAGCAATATTGTATTTTTCTTTTTTTGTTCCAGAGAGTAGACCTCCAAGCAATTTGAACTTCATTGAACAAGTTCCTTTTGCTATTCTTCCATCAATTCCTTTGTATTTTAGCTTAACCCCTGTAACATGTTCTTTGTTATATTAAACCTTGATCATGCAGATTTTAACAGGATTAGCCAGCTTTTAGGTCTCGTAAATGTCATCGAAGTGTTTATGATTGGCCCTTTCAATACCAATTACAACATCTGGGATATGAAGCATTTTATTAATTATTGATTTAAATGATTTAGTTAGTTTCCACAAATATCAATCACATTTTATTCCATAAAACATTATGTACAAAAATTAAAAATATTATAGAATATTGATTACAACAATCTTTAAGAAGACTTCAACTAAAAGACTCTCTATTTTATAAATTTATTTATAACCATAAAAAATATATTATTACCCAATTTTAGTAATTTCTTAATGGGAAATTGTATTTTTAAGTTCTAAGTGGACAAATAAGGTAAGAAAATGAAATAATTTTAGCTTAGGATATTATTAAAGAGAATGAAATTATTGATTAAGCAATCAAAGAGGGGAATGTATAGTAATAAACAACTTCTATGTAGCCAAAAATAATTTACAAATAAATTAGTGGCTTCAATTAAGAAAGCTCTGAAAATTAAACACCAAATGTATTTAATTCTTAATGTTCAAACCCTAAAATAAAATATCAAAAAGATTTATCACTATCACCAGATTTATTAATCAGAAGATAGAAAGAAGGTGAGAAATTTTTATTCCATTATGAAATAATAAAGAAATTAGGATAAGGAGGATTTGGATAAGTATATTAAGTTAGACATTTAAAAACCAAATTGATTAGGGCAGCGAAGGTTATTGTTAGATAATCAGTTGAGAATGAAACTCTATTATTATAAGAAACTGAAATACTACAAACTTTAGATCATCCAAACATAGTTAAAATTCTTGAAATTTTCAGTGATAATCAACATTTCTATATAATCACTGAATGCTTAGATGGAGGTGAACTCTTAGAAAGAGTTAGAAGAATTACAAATTATTCAGAAGAGATGGCAAAAATTTATATGAAATAAATTTTGTCTGCCATGATATATTGTCATGAAAGAAAGATTGTCCATAGAGACCTTAAAGTATTATATTTTTGATATTTGCAAGCCTGAAAACATATTATTTGATAACTTAGATATCAATTCGAATTTAAGAGTTATAGACTTTGGAGCAAGTGAGAAGATGATGTCCAAAAAACTGACCACTAAAATTGGCACTCCTTATTATTTAGCACCTGAAATTCTTAGATCTAATGGATATGATGAAAAAGTAGATGTTTGGTCATGTGGTGTGATACTTTATATATTATTAATTGGAAAGGCTCCATTTAGAGGAAAAAACCAATATGAAACTTTGCAACTTGTTTAATAAGCAAAAATTGAATTTAATGGTACTTTATGAATAAAGTATTAAAAAGCATAGATTATAGAAAAGATAAGCTCAGATGCTATTGATTTGATTAAGCTCATGATTGAAAAAGATCCAAATAAAAGAATTTCAATGAAGGATGCAATTTGTCATTGTTGGATTTAAAACTAATCTGAGAAAAGTTTAACTTTTGATTAAGCTTTTTTTAGAAATATCACATAGTTTAAAGGGTATAATAATTTAAGAGTGGCAATATACTAATTTATAACAGTTTAAACAGTGAAAAAAGAAGAATGTGAAAAATGTTTAGAGGCTTTTAAAAGACTTGATAAAAATGGAGATGGTGTATTATCTGAAGAAGAAATACTACAAGGAATGCTCATGGTCAAGATAAATTAATTATCATCTTAAAATATGATAAAAGATATAATGAGTTAAATGGATACAAATGAATCTGGTAAAATAGATTTTACTGAATTTATTACTGCCTCTGTTTTGTAAGAAAAACGATTATTGAAAGATAGTCTAAGAGCAGCATTTAGATTATTTGATTTAGATGGAAATGGTACAATTTCAAGATCAGAAATATAAGAAATATTTGGTGGAATTTAAATTGATAATAATGCATGGTAAGAAATCTTGACATCTTGTGATGATAATAAAGATGGTTTAATTGAAGAGAATGAATTTCTTGCATTATTAGAAAATTTATAATGATAGATAATTAATCGTTTATATATATATAAATCTTAATAAATTATTAATGATCATCTCCTTTTTTATGGTTATTTAGGAGGAATCTTTGATTTTTAAGCACAATAAGGAATATGTCTTTCCGCTGCTTATTAATTAAAGCTTCTTCCACAATAGTTGCATTATGTTAAATTTGATTTGCTTGCCTCTTTCATGGCATTCTATATTATTAATAAATTTCAACCTTTTAATCATTTGTCAACTATCCACCTTTTGCAGCAATTATGGCAGCTCTGAAGGCTTCAGATTGCTTTTTCCAGTTTTATTTTTTAGCTGAAATAATAGAATAAATAAAAACCTAAAGCTTTTTCATATTTTTATTCAATTTTATCTTAATTTTTAATGTGATTCATTTATTCATTACTTATAATTCTATGTTTTTGTGCATCAAATTATTTTCTTTATTTTTGAAATACTTTAATACAAATCTTTTCATGTTTTTATAAAGCAAGCTTTGCGAAAGATCTTCCACATCCTTTTGAGCATTCATATAATGGTTCAGGATTTGGAATATTTATATTAGGAGTATTTTCACCTTTCTTAATTGGTATTTCATCAATTGGATTATAGTATTATTATTATTATGGTTGAAAAGTGGGTTATTAATTATTTCTAAGATTACTTGATTATTTAGTATTTGCTGATTACTTATTTGATTGAACAGGTGGTTTTATTGATTAATTAGAAGGTTTATTATATCCATTAGATTAATCATATGTTCCTGAGGGTGGTCTGTATTATTATTGTTTTTAAACAGGTGTAGGTTATTTAACATTATATGGTTATTATTATTATTATTATTATTATTTAAGTTATCCATATTATCTATTTTATTAATAATCATAATCATCTTCAATTTTACCATATTATTATCTATTCTATTATGCTTAATTCATTTAAGGCTTAGATTAAATACCTTATTAAACTTTTCTTGATCCCTCTTAACTAGGTGGTTTATTATTTGTAAATTGAGTATTTTAATTATATCCATACTTATCATAAGAGGGTTAGGGTTGTTGTTTTCCTAAAGAAGATTGCCTATTAGGCTAAACATTTTGATAAGCAATATCATTCATTTAAAATTACTATTGACCAAATTATGGTTATCGTGCATTATTATTACCTAAATCAGGTTAATAATATTATTTTTAAGAATTTTAACTTGGAGGTTTATCATAATCTTTGGATACTTTATATAAGTACCATAATTTGTTTTAGTACCTAAAGCCATTTCTCCAGTTTAAGCTAATTTTCGTTCTGCTCTCATCTGAGCTGCTTTTTCCATTTACTCCTTCTTTTTCATAGCCCATTGATTTGCTTATTGAGAAGCATTAGAGTTTGGCTTCATGAAATTTCTTTTATTATTTTTTAATAATTTTTAACAGATAATGAGTGGATCAATTTCATCTTCAGATTCAGAAGAAACATCATTTGTATTAACTGAATAAGAAAGAATTTTAAAAAGTTCAAACATATTCAAATAGAAAGAACAAAGTAATAACAAATGTTCAAAACATCCAAATAAAAAAGTAAATGTTATAAATGAACTCAGGCAAAATACTATGTATAATGCGATAAAACTAAATAATTTTGTTCTAAATGTGCATTGACTTTAGCATTGAAAGGATTAAAAATTGAGGAGACATAAGAGAATTAGCATGAAGTTCTAAGATAACAACGGATAAATCGTTTTTAAGAACTATTGTAATAAATAATGGAATAATGCACCCATAAATCTTAGGAATTTAGTAACATAGAGACAATATCAAGTAAATAACTTTTAGAACATCAAGAAAGTTGTTAATAATTCTTTGATTCTGTTATATAGACTGCAAATTAATTAAAATAAACTTATTTATAGAAGTTCCAAAATGATCATCATATGTTATTAAACTCCATTCAATCTAAAGCTAATTAAATTAAATAGATAGATGCATAAATAAAGTAATTTTAGATAGATATTGAAAAAAATCATAACAATATAGTTAAGAAAATGGATATGAAGCCATTTGAAGATATTATGAGTAGATATGAAAAGAGAGTTCTTCAAACAAAAGAATAGTTATAAGAATGTACTTAAGAATTTTAAGCAAAACCTATTAAATTTGAACAGAGTCAAATTTTGGCAGATATGAATAAAATGTGTTACAATCTCTTATTATTAAAAAGTGAAGATTCATCAACATCTAATAATCATTCTTTATAAATAAAATTAGAAAATAGTCCAAAGATTAGATAGAATACCAACAATTCTCCTGTAGATATGAAAGTGTTTGAAATGTTAGAGGCAGAAGATATATATTAGAGTACTTATTCTAATCCTATCAAGGATCATACATAATCTCCAATAAGAATTCTATAATAGCAATAATAATCATCATAATAATAAATTTAAAAATCAAAATCAAAATCAAATACTTATTCTAATCCAACTTCCACAATATAAAATTCAAGAAGAGAAAGTAGAACTAATACTCCAGAGAGCTGGTAGTAAACAAATTATATTCAAAAAAATAATCAATTAATTACTCAAAATGAAAGAGAAAGTTATAAACATAATATTAGTGTAGGAGAATAATTGAATTCATAAAAATGTTTAAATAAATAATTGGAAATGAATGAAAAATATTATGTGTAAAAAAATGAAAAATAAAAAACCTCTTCTGAATTTGATAAAAATAATGAATAATCTAATTAATAATTAATAAATAATTTAAATTAGTTGTATATGTAAAAACATAACAAGGATACAGATAGGAAAAGTTTTGAAGATGGATTATAATTAACACCTAAACATTAAAAAAATATGACAGCTGCAGGTCCTTAAACTTTTAAATTACTTACTAATCATGCTAGTTAAAGATGTAAAACTATTTTATTATATCTAAGCTCAATACTAATATCCTTAAGTGAATAATAATTTATTTGAACAAAAAAGTTAAAAAGAATTTTCAAAAACCAATTATGATTCTTTACCTAACTAAAAATCATTAACTCCACTTCACTAAGAACCATAATCAAGAAATAATTAATAATTAAATTAAAAGATTGATAACCATTAAAATAGAAGATCTAATTCTAAATAACCAAAATAGCCTTCTTTTGATCAAATTGAAGGTAAAAGGTAATATATCATAGCAAATATTAATTCTTAATAATATACTTCATAACCTAGTTAATATGTTCAAAATGAAGATACTTTAAAAGATAGAATTCTTAAAGAATTATGTAGTCATCCTGGAGAATCTATATATAATTAGGTTTTAAAATTAAATAGTTAATAAAAATAGAAAAATCAAAAGTTAATCTCAAAAGAGAATGTTGAATAATCAACAACTGTTAGAAATAAAAATAACAATGGATTTTTATGTGTTAAGAAATAATCTTATTAACAATGAATATAAATTATATTATTAGCTTTAAGCATTTAATAGAAATTTATTTAATATTTATTACAAATAATAAAGATATATAGAATCGAATAATAAAAAAAATAATCAATTATAAAAATGAATTGATGTAAAGAACACTATGTAGATTAAATAGCAAATAAGATATTATTTATTCTTAAATCATACTTCTGCTTAACAGATGGGACATTTCTTTTAAGATAGAAGCCATTTTTTAATACATTTTGAATGGTATTAATGTCTACACTTTAATTCTCGGATCTTTTCAAATTTCTCAATCTCGTTATAACAAATTGTGCATCTAATGAATTAATTAAATAATACGGGTCTTTTTATTTTTAGTTAACTTATCTCTTTGGTATTTTTTTGATTTCTTATTTAGTAAGTCCTTTTGAAACATGTCCAATTTAATCTTATAATTCTAATATTTATTCATAAGTCATTCCATCTGTTTAGAATTATGCATGAGGCATCATTGCTTCTTGTATAAATTCATAATATTAGGATTATCTAATATGATTTTATAATTCTTGTATCAGTTACAAATCTTAAGGATACCTTCTCATCAACTATTAAAGAGTTTAGTATTTGGATTATAATTTTTTATAATCCTCTTATAAAACTTTAAATTATTCTTTAGTTGCTAACAGTTCAGATTTAAGTAATTCATTTTCCTAATAAATAATTATAATCTACAATAACCTTTCTCAATTTATCATCATTACTAACAACTATTTTTTACATTTATTGTTATTGCTATGGTTTTAAACTATCCTCTCTTATTTATCTGGGTACTAATGTTTGGGCTTTATGAGCAGGATTAGAAATTCTAAATAGTCTTTATCTCTAATCATTCTTATTATCCATTTCTTACAACAAAAAATAATTAATATAATATTTTAATATTCTTAGCTTTAATAAGTTTAATAGAAGTGATAATAATATATATATATATATTTTGATTATTATTGTTCAATATTAAACGTATTATTATAAAGAATTCTTTATGAAAATATAAATGGGCAAAATCATAATCTTAATAAAATTATAAAAATAATTATATAAATAAAGAGAATTAATCAAATTTATTGTTTAGAAAAATGATTGTTAACTTTAGTTTCTATCCAATTATAAAATTCCTAATTTTCAAGATATTTTGGATACCAAGGAGTTTTAATGAAATTTTATGTAATTTTTTACATTTTTTCAAATAATGTGCTTGCCATCTAATATATTAAGTTATTAATACTTTTCTAGCTACAAGTGCTACCAAAGCTTTTGGAATGTATCTACATTATGGATCTGAATTAGTAATAGCTCTAACTCTACATTTATTATCACTAAGAGGTGTCAATTCAAAAACATAATAATTAAGTATCAAGTTTACAAACTTTCCTTTATCTTTTGATAAATCAATATTATGTAATTTAAGAAATTCAGGATCATTATCAACAGATTTACATAAAAAAACAATGGTTCCATTTATGTTGAGTCTATCAATACCTTCTCCAACAAAGACTGCTTTTCTATCTGAGATTAAGGGAAAGTAAACTTAAATATCACAAATTTTGCAACATTTTCCAATCCTTTTAGGCATTGATGATCTAACACAAAAAGGAACATAATTTTGATAGAGTTCAATTTCATTGATTAAAGCCATTAATTTAGTAATATTGGCTTCAAAAACAGAATCCATAAAAAGAGTTACAGTTGAATTTTTGGAGTCAATTTTATATTTAATAACTAATGATTTAGTGTTTTTTTCAACAACCCAACCATCTGACTCTAATTCATTTAGATTAAGTTACATAGTGGCATATTTGTCTTGTATCATATTAATAAAATTTGCATAATTTTCATAGAACCATTATTCTAAATGTTGATTATTTTAAATTTCAACTTTAGCTTATTAAATAACATAAAATGCCTAAATTTATAATGTATAATTACGTCATCTAATTAAGCTTCATTAAAATAATAATTTTGAGATTGTTCCATTCTTTATTCAATAACAGATTTTAAATCGGTTTAAGGACTTCTTTCAAAATTAATTTAAGAAATGTAACTCTTTTCATCAAATTCTTTAATCACTTTAAGTTTTAATTCATCATCTAATTCAGATATACTATGAACTCTATCTCTATTTTAATTAACCATCAATGATTAAGAACCAGTCATAATAAAATCATGTTTGATTGGTTATTCATCAAGTATACAACTAGCTGCTTTTTTGTCAATTTATGGTTTTTTATATTTTTATTTTATCAATTTAGGTAGAGCTTGTATTTTGATTGGATGAATGACTAAAATAGATGTATATAATATATACATTCATCATATTCAAATAACATCTCTTAGATTGTAGTATCTTCTGTAGCTTTCTTCTAAAGATTTTTAAATGATTCATAAATCTAAATATATATAGAAAGTACTTCATCTTAATGTGATAATTATCTCATTTATTGATTTAATTAAACCTAAAATGTTTAATAAAGAGGATATATAAATTAAGAGTGGTTAAATGCTGTATATTCTGAAATGATAGTTTCAAACTAATTTATTAATAATAATAATGCTACATAAAATTGTAACATCTCTAGTCTCTATTAAGAATTTAATTGTTCATAATCTCTTGGAATTTCAATCATTTTTTGTGTAAAATATTATTGATTTTAAAATTAATTCCTAAATTCCTTAAAAAAATAGAATTAGAATTTCCGATTTTCTTTAAATTTCAATTTATAAATCATTAATTTAATATACACATAATATGTTATTCAGAAGGCTCAACAATGTCTTAATTATTCTCACATAAAAGATATGTGCCTATATTAATCTTATACTGACAAATTTCTTCTTCATAAATTGATAGAAATCTCATTAAATCTCCAGGATAACATTATAATTAAACTATACTCTTTCTAGTTGAATTGATAGCTTTACAATAACTACCTGAATCATAACTTTCAAAATATTAACCTTATCCTTATCCAGTATAATTTAATGGATGATATGTTCCATTCAAGAAATTTGTTTAAAAAATTTGAAAGTTTTTTAAAGGCAGAAGCATAATATCTAATACTTTAACTTCATTTGATTTTTTGGTGAAATAAAAATTGATTGATGAAGTTGTGTTACTAATTCTAATTAATTGAAAATCAATCATTTTATTGACTAAATCAATTTCATTATCTTTTCCAATATATAATTTATCAATATTAGTATCAATTATTATCCAATATTATTCATTCATAATAGAACTATTCATGAATCTTGGTTCCATTTATTTATAAGGTCCATTTTTACTTTTGATAAATATAGTATGTTATGGAATAGTAAGAAAAGATATTTATGTTTCTTCATACATTTGACTTTAAATGTTAATAAATAAAGATGGAGCTTATGCAGTTTTTAAAGGACTAACATGAAATGTAATACCATTATATTGTTAATGTTCTTATTTTATATTTATTCCTTATTAAGAATTATTAAATAAGTAAAGTTGAATTTAATCATGTTCAATTTAATAGAAATCTAAATATTCTTAATCAATATTATCTGACGAATTCTATTAAAAATGAGTTATGTTTTCAGCATAATTATATTAACCATTTCTTTTTATGAAAGCTTTACCTTAATATCTAAGACCTTTTGTTAATTATTTATCTAAAGTAGCCATACCATTTTAATAACCTATTATTTTGAATGTTTCAACATAACTAAAAACTTAAGTAGTGTTTTCAAAGATAGTTACATAATCATTAACATCCATTTAATCTACCCATTCAAAAAATAGATAATTTTCTATAATAGAAATAGGTCTCTTCATTTCTACATAAATAGCATTAGTATCCATTAATATTAAATTCTTTATTTGAAATATAGGTTTTGGTTTTTTTCTAAAAGAATTACCTGAAACTAAGATAGCACAGAAATCTATAATTTTTTCTACTTATACTATATGAACATGTTCAGTAAAGACAATACCTAAACTTTATTATGGATGGAACATTTCTTAAGCTCTAAGATTCAATCCAAATATAATATTTTTATATTAGTAATATTAATTGGATAGAATCTTCTATTGTGGTTCATCAAATGGTTAAAAATCAAAGGAATCAGAAATGATAATTTAATCTGCACACTATTTAAGAAGTAATAATTAGCTATGAATAACAAGTGCAATTTCAAAATGGAAAGTTGCTGTAATTGTATTTACAGTAAGCTTATATCCATAATTTTTTAACAAAACTTTGGTATAATTTCTCAATTTAGCAGTACATTCAGAAATGATAATCAATTAATCAACTTACTTAATAATTTGATGATAATGTGTATCAATTACATAAAGGGCATGATCAGGTTAATGAATACCATTAGTTTCATCAGTGGCTCTAATATATGATTTAGAAATTCCTAGACTGAAATCTTCTTTATACTAGATTATTAAAATGAAATATACTTATTTTTTCATATTAAGCATGGTATTTAGATCATCAAATTGACGAATGTATTTTTTGAAACAATATTCATATACAAATTCTTTAGTGTAATGTTATACACATTAATCTTCTAATGGAAAAAGTATATGATTGATATCCTCATCTGTTAGATTTCTTACAATTGTTAATTTGTCTATCTAAAATGGTTTAGTTATATGAGGTATAGGGATTTAACATAACACTTTTCTACCACCTGAAAATTAGAATAAAAAAGTATACTTTTTAGAGTTATTTATTTAGAGACTGAATCATAAATATTTTGAACTGCAAACAGTTCAGGATACCTTGTATAATTGTTATCTACGACTTTATCAAATACATGAGTAACATATGTATTGTCAGCTTAAAAGCAATAAGCTATTGTATATATTAGTATAATTAACATATTAATGAGTATTGGATAAGTTCATCCAAATAGCTCATTTCCTATTGACCTCAAAGAATACAAAACAGAACTAGAGTAATAATCTATATTTAATACTTTAGTTCACTAAAACTATTTTACACAATACGATAAAGTAAATAGACATCTAAAGAAACATCTCTTATCATTCAATCTCCAAAAAAGTTAAATTACATTATTATTTATAGTGCTAATAGTAATAGACATATCTTAAGTCCAAAACATAGTTTATTTATGTATTAGGATTATACAAATTAAGACGATGTTATTAATTACTTTTAAGAAAAACCAATCAAAATGAAATTTGAGAAGGCTGTTCGAAAATTAAACATATTACAATAATTCTTTAGATATGTTAACAAACAAAAAAAACAAGAAATTATATATCAATCAAAATAGATTCATAGGAAACGGTAAAAATTGCCCTTTTACCCAGACCAGTTATATTTGTGGAAACAATTCATGTCGCTTTAAACAGCAGTCACATTAATGCTTTATCCAATCTATATAAGTCTTTCTGATTTTAATGAATTTGTATAGATTAATCTTTTATTTATTTTAGGATTCATTAACAATAATTACATTTTTGTTGGATGGACTCTATTTAATTGATATAATCTTAAAATAAATAACTTGTCAAATAGATAATAATTACAATTTAATCAACACATTTAGTGATATCTTTCTATTCAACCTATAAAGATGGTTAATCTTTGATATCATAAGCATTATTCCATATAAATTATTTGCTCCTACATTCTTTCATTTAATGGGACTAAATCTATTTAAATTATTAAGATTTTTTAAATACTTTTGTTATAATGAAAGATATATCTATTAAGAATCTCATAATTCTTTAGAAAAATCTGAATATTTTGAAAAACTATTTTAATTAGATGGCAAAATTTTTAGTATTTTGAAAATATTCAAAAATATGCTTATATTCATTAGTTTATTTGGTTGTCTTTTTCATGCAGTTTTACTATATGAAGGACTAGAATCATAAGATAATAATTTATCAATATATATATAAGGATTATACTGGGCTATATAGACAGTCACCGTGATTGGATATGGAGACATACCTTTGACTACTTCAATGTAATACAATTTAACTATCATATGGATATTCATAGGGGTTGGATTCTATTCATTAACAATAGGAAATTTAGCAGATATATTAGATTAATAATCATCAACAGATGGATTTGAAGAAGATTTAGATGCCTTAGAAACTTTAATGTAGAAAATCATAATTCCAGAAGATTTGAGTAATCAGTTATTTTCTTACTTTTAATATAACATTGAGAATAATCCTTTTTGGAATTACAGAAAGTAAATTGTATTTATAAATAAGAATCTTAGGATAATAGAAACATTGCCATCTTAATAAAAGATCTATGCTATAGCATTTTGTCAAAAGTAATTAATTGAAAATGTCAATATGTTTGCTTTCAACATTAATTTTGCTGCAGCCATACTGCCCTATTTTACAATGTACAATTTTAAATAATTTGACACTATCTACTACAATGGATCTCCAAGTTTAGATGTCTTTTTCTTAGTGTCTGGAGAAGTACGATTATGTGATGAATAAGGGAATACTTTATTAAATATATAAGAAGGATATATATTTGGTGAAATTGAAATATTAGAAGATTGTTATAGAAAACAGTCTGCAGTTGCATGTAAAGATTCATTAGTAATAATGTGTCCAATTTCACAATTCTTATAATTAATTTAAGAAGATGAATCATTACTTTTTGAAATTGAATAATTGGGTTTAAGAAGAAAACTTTTACTTTAAGAAAATCTTGCTAGAATTAAAAGTATTTATACTTTATATTATTAAATAGAAAATGCAAAATAATTGAAAAGAATAAATGTAATAGAAGGAGATCCAATGACATAATATGTTTATAAGAAGTATTTACTAGAAAAATAATTCAAAGCTAATGTCATTAAAGAAAGTTTTTAATAAATTCATAAAAAATTATTAAGAAATATATTTGGACATTAATAAGAAAAAAAATGGAAACATAGAGCAGTGTTTAAAATGGCTGTGAGAAAAATCATTGATCATCTGAAATAAAATAAAAATTAATAAAAAAAGAATAACATTGTTATAGGTAAGTAAATGTTATAAAATTTTGCTCAGGTTCAATAATAAGAATTGAATATCTAAAATTAAATCTATAAAAATAAAAAAAATGGAAAATATCAATAAAGAGTTAAAGTGAAAGATATTTTAAATAATTATTGTTAAAAAGATACTGCTCCTATGCTTATCACTCCTTATCCTTATTATGAGGAAATCTTAAATGAAAGAAAAGAAGAGAAGCAGTAATTTAAATAAAAATAAAATAAAATCTTAGAATTATCTAATAGATTGATTAAGATCAACCTTATTGGATAATTATAAATCTGTAATACATTATATGAGGATTTAATTGAATAAATAGACTACTTATATGATGCATAATATTAAACACATGAATCACAAGATTAAATGGAATCTGTCTACTATTAAATATATTCATTAGTTTCATCAATTGATTGATATCTATTTTATATTTGTAATTAATTTATATATATAAAAATCAAATAGTACTCTATTCAGAAAAATATTCTCTACTTATTTTAAGTAATTCTTAAAATTCTTTAATATTTAAGTTTGTTACACTACGAACAGCAATCAACCAATCTTTTATTTTACAAAAATCTCCTTAAATAGGAGCAATTAATTAATTAGTTAATTTTGAAATAATAAATCCTTCAGACAGAACATATGCCATATCTGGAGTTGCTGCTAATAAAATTTCATGTACAGTTTATCTTTTAACTTCATTTATTCTTCTATTTTCATTCATTTTTTTAGCTTCATAAATATATTCCAAAAATATATTTGCCTTATATTACACTCTTGGTTAAGTTTAAGTTTGAATTAAAATTCTTTTTTTAACTTATGATTTATAACATACAGCAATTAACCATTCAGATAACTAATTATAATTTATTCATTATTACAAGAATTAAAGTAATTTTAATCTTTTCTATGTATTTTGGGTCTTTTGAATAAAGTTCACCATAATTTAATTAATCATTCCAAATTTTAAATTATCTATATATTTCTTGATTCCTATCCAAAAATACTTCAAGTTCTCCTTAAGTTTCAGCTATTGTTCTAAACACTTAATCACATTTATCATAATTTTTAATATAATCTAATGTGATTTATTATTTTTTAATATTCTATTATGGGATACTTTCTTTAACTTATTCATTTGGCTACTCTTATTCCATTTCAAAATTAAATTGAATTTCGCCTGGTTCTTCATATATATTTTAATCTACATCTCCATAAACAGAATATATATCAATAAGATCTATTCCTTTATCAAGTTCTGATGTATTCAATTACTAATAAATGGATGGTTAATTGTTTATTAGCTCAATAACTTTTTGTAAGAGATCTTAATTTATGTTTGACATTGAAGTTAAATTTTTTTAATGATTATTAATTATAATAATTTCTATTTAAAATTAGTTCATATAATATCAAATTAATTGTTCTATTTTCATTTATTAAGGTTTTAATTATAATTTATATTCTCTCTATGCCGCTTAAATTGCTTTCACTTACCAATGTATTAAATTATTAACTTTATATCTACTTGTTTAAGGTTTTGGAGTTAATAATTAAATGAAGCTTGGATTACCACTTTAATTTCTAGATGTAAGAGAAGATTAATTATTATTTTAAACTGCATTTAAATTCAAAACAGGAACATTCTTTTTAACTCTTTCTGTCTTAGCAGATTTTTCAGATTTATAAATCATTAATTTTTTTAAATCAAGTGCTTTAACTAATTATTATTATTATTATTATTATTATTATTTTTCAATTGATTTTTTTGTTTATTAAGAATTGATTTCATTATTTTTTTGACTCATAAATTTATTTCTAGGTGTATATGCCTTTTAAATAGCAATTTTACTATTAGTTATTTTAATAGATTGATTTGAAGTACTCTTAAATGAATCTACTTATTAGATATGTCTTTAAGATAAAGGTTAATTAAATTTACTAAGTATTTAATGTAAAGCTTTACTATCTAAAGATACTATTTTTTGAGTATTTTTATTTTTCTCAATTTCTTATAATGATTTAATAATTTTCAATTCTAATTGTTTTATTTCTGGTATTAATTTTTTTTAATCTAATTATATATTTTTTGAACTACTTTTATTTTCTATTTTAATTTTTTTAGTAGTTGGACATTTGTTAAATAATTATAATAAATTATCCTTTATTAAATGAGTATCAGCTGTCTTTTCTTTTGATAATGATTAATGTTTGTAATTAACTCTACTTAATGAATATGAAGGATATCGAGCTGAGAGTGGCATTTTAGCTTCTTATGGATTTTATTGTATTCTTGAAGATAAAGATAAACCTAATTCATCAAGTTTCAAATGTTTCTTGAAATTAGCTTTAGATTTCTTGAATACTTAATAATTCTTTATTTATGGTGTACTAATCATATTGATTATTTTAATGATCTCACTTTATTATTCCTCTTAAATTTATGTTATTTTACTGATCTCAATTTATTGTTTTGATTCTTATCTAGTAATATCCTTAAGTATATTTTCAACATTAGTATTCATATTTGATGTTGAACTACTTTCTGATTTAGGTGTACTTTAACTTTCTATTGGTTTATCTCCAACTATTCCTTTTTAAGGTAATTAAGGATTTTATTTATTTTCAAACTCTATTTATCTCTAGATTCTATAATAATCTAATTTTCTACGCTTATCATAATAATAATTTAGAGTTTATAGTATTTATTTAGTTAATGTAAATCTTGGAAGATCCTTATGAAATTTATAAAACTCTTTAAGCAATTTCATTTTATTATCATATACCTCATAAATATAAAATCTTTTAAGATATTCATCCTCATCATCATAATGCAAATAATCCTATTATTAGATCGCTTTGATACTTAAAACAAAATTACAGATGAAGTTCGTTGCTTACTTAAAATCTCGTTAATTTCTCTTGTATAATAGTAATTCTGAGAGGATGCATATTTATGATAAAGAGTGTGATTAATGATATTGTTTGAATTTGAGTCTGATTAATAGTTTTTTATGAAACCTAAGGTCTGTAATTAACAACTATGTATTTTTTTCATATTAAAAATATATTTGATTTCCTTAATTGAAAATTTATATATTAAATGTAGGAGGACTTAAATTCCAGCTTAGATTCTTTAGAATTGGATCTATACCATAGACCAAATCCTTAAATAAAAGCAATTCTAAACTTTCTAAGATCAAAAAATCTAAAATTCTGTACAGACCCTCGTAAAAAAGAGGAAGATTACTATTCTAAAATGGATAATACAGAAGATAATAAAGATCTTGGGTTGGTGAGAAATAAGTTTTTTATGAGAAATAACAAACATATAACATGTGAAATAAAATAATGATGATAACAAACATGTTCATTTCTTCTTTTCTAACTATCAATTACATATTTAAAATATTTTCAATCTTCATACAATATATATTTAAATCTTACGCAATAATTAATGATAAAACAAAATCGATTAACTTTCATATTATAATTATTATTATGATACATTTCATAAATATTTCAGCGATATTAATAATTGATTATTTTTAAACATCAATATTATTAAATACAATTACATATGTACAAAAATGAAATCCTATTTGTTAAAATATAATTAACAATTAAACTAATCTTAAAATCATTTATATATCATTAGAGTAAAATTCTACAAAATATATATTAAATCTATCATACTTAAATTAAACTAATAACATAATTAAAATTATAAATTAACTTCATATTTGTTAATCTTATCCTTAACAATTAGTATATTTAATAATACTAATTCTTAATTAATAATATGGTTTAGTCTAATTAATATTAATTGATTATCATTTAATATTTAGGTCTTATTATCAAATTAAGTAATAAACAAAAAAAGTAATAATTATACTTTATTATATTTAATAAGAGTATACTATATTAATTGAGTTAGAATTTAATTTTGTTTTAAAATATATTCTAAACTATTCAAAAATATTAATACACTATTTTATATATTAAATTGAAAATATATTTACTATTTTTTATATTATAAGATACAAATTAATTACAAATAAACTGAAATGTTTAACAAATTATATAAATAATTTCTATTCTAAAAATTACTTAATAATATTTGTCTTAATTTAATTTTCATTAAACATATATCTAATTAAAAGGTTGTTTAACAATACTTTATATATAAATTTAATGAAATATTTCTCCTAATATGTTTTTAATAATTAAAATAATTATGTACTAATAATCAATAACATAAGCATTTTAGCGGTAACCAATTTTTGTTCAAACATAATATATTGCTAAATAATAAATTCCAAGGGTACAATAATAAAGATCCATCACTCCTGTCCTACACAAACCAAATGCTTATACAGTATCTTTTACTTCAAGAGATGATTTTAATCAAAGAGGATATCATTTACCTAAAAATGTAGTTAGTGATGATTCATAATTTATGAAGGCATTAATTGAAGAAAATTAATTATTAAAAAAGTAGGTTATATTAAAAAGAGCAGAACTATAAAAAATAATAGAATAATATCATAAGTGCTCATGAATATTAATAAGCTATTTATTTCTTAATTTATTATTTATTTAAAATGAATGAGAATAAATCTTTACATGCCAAAAGATAGTCAGCATTATCATTATGTATGAATATTTATATAAAATATAGTAAATCCTCCCCAAACTACAGCTTTATCTTGGTGTATTGTTACTTCAATGGGAGATGAACTATCAAGCAAATCTCCTTCCTTAAAGTTAGAAGTGGCAAGTCTTACCAAAATAATGACAGCTTATACAGCTATATAATTATGTGAAGAATTAAATCTTGATTATGTAATTCAAGCTTATGTAATCTAATTTTAGAATGAAATATACATACGTATTCCTAGAATTGCTACATAAATAGGAGGGACATCAGCTTTTTTAAGAAGGGATGACACATTGTCTTTAGAAGAATTATTATATGCACTGATGTTACCCTCTGGAAATGATGCTGCAATATCTATTGCACTGCATTTTGGATCAATACTCAATACTCAACGAAAATAAAAGATTGCCAGTTATATAACATGTGATACTATCTAAGGATTTTATGATGATACATAAATGAGCAATATGAATAGATTTGTAAGATAAATGAATGAGAATGCATTAAAATTAGGCATGAGAGATTCTTAATTTTCAAATCCGCATGGTCTCAGTTCAAAAGTACACATTTAATACTAGATTAAATATAGGCTAATAAATCAACAGCATTAGATATGTGTAGAATGAGTTCAGCTTATTTGAAGATCCCCATTTTAAAATAAATTTGCAATAGTAAATCCTATTCTTGCAGAAATTATGAATGGTTTAATACTAATTAATTGTTACATTTTGAAAATTATTAAGGAATTAAAACAGGAATAACACCTAATGCTGGTGCTTGTCTTGCTGTCTCTTATGAGAGTTTATTAGGATCAATAATAGTAGTATTAATAGGAGCAAGAGATTAAAAAAGAAGATTTGAAGAAACAGACAAACTCATTAATTGGATATCTAGAGAATATACATTGTATTTCAATAAAACCATGTATGCTCCACCTAGAACTGCCTAAAGCAAAGGTAGATCATTTATAATAAAAAAATAAGTATGATAATCATATATTCTCTTTCAACAAATATATATATTTATCTCACTCTCATAATCTAATTAACAATATGCCATATCTTTTCATCCTTTAAAAATCATAGAATAAATCAAATTAATATTTACTGAACCTATCTAAATTACTTATGTGAATTCTAACAAACTAAAATATCATTATTATTCTAAAATATATATCAAATGATTAATCTTTTTATTATGATATTAAATATACCTCAAAAAATAAATTAAAGAATATATAATTTATTTTAAAATGGGAATTTGTAAGTCAAAAAAATAAAACCAATCACCTTAATAAGTAAGAATTCAACATGTAAAAACTGCAAATGCCACCGATACTGTCAAAGAGAGTAGTCCAAATAATGTTGCACCTGGTTCTGTCATAATATAATCTCAATAAGATTTCTTAATGAGAAGTCAAGAACTATTAACTCCAGATAGACAAAATACTGCTAATAAAGGCAAGTTTTTTAATACATATACATTGTTAAAAAACTTAAAAAGTCCCAATGAACAAATACGACAAGTTTGTACTGTATAACATAATTAAACTGGAGTTACGAAAATTGCAATTATATAAACCCATCATTATAAATAAGCAGATTTAAATAAGATTCAAAATAAAATACAATTACTTAAAAAATTGGTATTTAAATTATAACTATAAAAGGATCATCCAAACATAATGTTTATATATGATTTTTTTATTGATTCAAAATAATTGTATATAGTAACTGAAAATTATGATGGTGGAACATTATTTTCAAGACTTAAATCTGACAATAAAGACTAATCAGTAAGCAAAAACTAATTGATTTAAATTTACTTTTAATAAATCTTTGCAGGATTGTAATACTTACATAGTATTGGAATTAATCATAAGTAAATATAATCAATATTTTAGAAATCTCAAACCTGAAAATATTCTTTTTTAAAGCCAACAAAATTAATTAATTAAATTAGTTGATTATAGTAATTCAAGAGTCAAATCAAATGATGATGATTTAATTGAAATTAATTATCTAGCTCCTGAAGTCATTTAAAAATAATAATATACTTAAGCTTCAGATATCTGGTCTTGTGGAGTATTATTGTATGAAATATGGACAAGATCATTACCATTTTAGGGAGATAACTTAAAAGAAAAAAAGGAGAATATATTAAAATGTAAAATTATTAAAGATGAAAGTTGGAATAAAATTCCTCCTGATGCTTAAAAGTTAATTAATTTAATGTTAAATGTTAATCCATGTAAATCTATTATTTATTTTTATTAGCCAAACGTATCAGTGCAGCTGAATGTTTAAAACATGATTATTTTAAAAATATTGTAAATTATACTGATAGAACTTTTGTTGATGATATGTTATAGAGAATTTAATAATATTAATCTAAATCTGAGTTTCAAAAATTGTTATTATCAATTATGATTAATAAATTAATGGATGAAAAGGAAAAAGAGAAATTAATGATTGCATTTGAAGCAATAGATGATAATAAAGATGGTAAGATAACAAAAAGTGAACTCAAAAAATTCTTAACTTCAGAAAAATAGAGAACACTTACAGATAAAATATTCTAAATTTTAGATTCTAATTAAAATGGATATATAGAATTTCATGAATTTTTACTTGCCTCTTGTGATACTGATAAACTTGTAAATAAAGAAAATCTAGAAATATTATTTAAATTTATGGATAAAAATTAAAGCTAATAGATAACTATTAAAGAATTAAAATCTTTATTCATAGAAGCTAGATTAACTGATTAAGAATGGGAATAAATATTTAATCAAGGAGATTTGAATTAAAATGGAAAACTTTCATTTTAAGAATTTTCTCAACTTTTAAAATCAACTTCAAATTGAATTTGAATATCACTATATTTTTTATAATAGAATGTTATATGATTTATATTTTTATTAATTCTTAATATTTATAAAATAAATATATCAGTTTATTTAATCTTATAATTCATTAAATAGAAGTTTTATAAAATAAAATTTATAGGTCTAATCATAATTGATAATGTAAAATTGATAATAATAATTATATCCATATATTCAGAATATATCTAATAAATGATGTATAAATTAAATTTTAATTTGATTTATTAATAAATACTCATTCATGTCCTCTAACAGGTGTTATTATAGGATTGAGTTAATGCATATACATACAAAACCATAAAAGCCAAAATTATATTGTACCTGAAATTACTGAAACATACATTAGCCTATTTCAATTATTAATGTATTACAATAAATTATCATTAAGATCACTTAGATTTTTTGTTGCCTTAGTAACAACACCTTTAAGCCATACAGTAACTCCAATTCCAATACCTATAAATATGATTGTGCCAATAAATATTCCAGCAGACATTATATATTATTAATATTTTATAAATAATTATAATAAAAATTTGAGTTCACTCACTATTCACTAATTATTCCCATAAATTATAAGCTCCTTCTCCTTCTTTTAAAACATCCTATTTCCCATTCTTCTTAGCTACATCTCCATTTTTCCTTAATACTGTCACCGTAGGAATTCCTTTAATTTCATATTTATCTACCAGTTACTAAATTCTCTTATCATTATGAGGAATGGCTGGCCATGGCATCTTTAAATAATTTTATACATAAACCTCTTCTAAATATTTTTTGAATTAACTTTCTGATTCTTCATAAGATACCCAAATAATTTCTAGTTATTTAGTTTCCAAATTAACATCATTATAAAACTCAACAAGAGTTGGTGTAAAATTTACACAAGGAGGACACCAACCTTAAATAATCATACTATATTTACTTGCACAAAAATATAACACTATAACCTTCATATCAGATAATTTGATTTTGCATGGTCCATTTTTATTTACAAAATTATCTCCAAAAAAATTGTTATCCATTAAAAATAATATATATAAAATTTAGATTCTATTATTTAAAATCTATAATCTTAAAAAATTACTCCATATCTAATGATACTTAAATTAATTTTTAGACAATTCTATTTATTTTATTGATTCACTACTATAATCAAAAATAATTAAGATATAATTAATTAATAAACAAATAATGTAGGAAATGTAAATATATTGATATCATTATGTTTTTTACAAAAAGATAGAGATTAAATTTTATTTAAGTATTGCAATATTTTATATCTACCATCAATTTGCCTATTCTAAAGAATTTATTTTAAATAATATTTGATGATAAGGAAATAGCTTTCAATCATTCAATCAAAGAGTTTTGAAAATAAAGTTTAAATAAAATTAATAAATAAATTTAAACATTTAAGTAGTGCTTGATGTCTGAATTTTAAATTTGGCTCTAGGAGAATCGCAAACAGATATCAATAGATTTGGGTGCAGGAACAGTTAGTGGAATGTATCTTTATATTTGGAGCAAGCTTTAATTGTTTATTTGGACATCCAATGGATACTTTGAAAGTGCGAATGCAAATGTCAAAAGAGAATTTCTGGAGATCAATAATAAAAATAATAAAAAATGAGGGGATATTAGCATTTTATAAAGGGATGACTTTTCCTTTATTATCTGTTCCTTTTTTGAATGCTATAGTATTTGCTGTTTATGAATATTCACGAAGATAATTTACAGGATATAATGATAATGGAAAACCTATGACTTATTTTTAGACGTATATAATATATATGAATTATAATAGTGCAATTTGTGGAGGTATATCTGGAAGTTGTGCAGCAACATTAGCATGTTCAATTGATTTAACAAAATGTAGATTACAAATGTAGATGGATAATGCACATAAATTATATAAGAATCCTTTTGATTGTTTATTGAAGGTAGTTAAATAAATAAATATATCTAGATTGCAAAATAAGAAGGATTTAGATATATATTTAGAGGGATGAATGCAACTTAGTAAAGAGAAATCTTGGGATATAGTGCATAATTTGCTACATATGAATTTGTTAGAGATTAATTGATGTGGTTGTAAGATAAAGGTGAACCATCTTCTCATGATTTGCTAATTTCTGGAGGATTAGCAGGAATGGCATGTTGGGTAGTTGGATATCCTTAAGATGTATTATTAATTAGAATAATAATAGACGATTAAGACTATTTTGTAATGTGAAATGGGTACAAAAACAAGAAGATTTAAACCAAGATTCCTTGATGGAGGTTTTTTTGAGTGTCTAAAATATAGGATAAAAAGTGATGGAGTTCCGTCTTTGTGGAGAGGATTTTCAGCATGTATGTTAAGAGCCTTTTATGCTAATGCAATTGGATTTTATGCTTATGAAATCTCTAAAAATTAGATTTAAAAGTTTTATGCATGAATATTTCAATTAATTACTCATTAATTATCATAAAACATGGGTTGTCTGTAACCTAAAAAGAGAAATAGAATTGTAGCCATGTAAACCATGAATAAAGATTAAGTTTTCACTTCAACTGCTGATATCCATTAATTATACAACTTTGGAAAGGTACTGGGAGTTGGCTCATTTGGAAAAGTATTATTAGCTAAAATGAAACAGAACTCTGAAAAATAATATGCTATTAAAGTAATAGATAAAAGAAGAGTTAAAGGTAAAGAGGCATTACTTGCTAATGAAATCTTTGTTTTACAATAACTTGATCATCCTAATATCATTAAATTTTATGAAGTTTATTAGAGTCCTCTATATTTCTATATTTGTATGGATTATTGTTAAGGAGGTGAACTTGTTGAGAGAATAGCCAAATAATAATCAACATTATCAGAAGGATAAGTATAAACTATTATGCACAAAGTATTGAGTTTTTCATTTATAGATTTGTTCAGCAATTGTTTATATTCATGATCTAGGTTTAGTACATCGTGATATAAAACCTGAGAATATCATGTTTAGTGAAAAAGATATCTATTCAGAACCTAAATTGATTGATTTTGGATTGGCAAATAAGTATGACACTACTCACATAAAGTATTTGAATCAAGAATTATTCTAAGACGATTGAAAACATTTGTTGGAACTCCCTTATATTTACCACCTGAAGTAATTGATGGTGAATATGATGAAAAATGTGATATATGGAGTTTAGGAGTTATGCTATTTAGTTTATTATGTGGTTATCCACCTTTCTATGGTAAAAATAGAGCCTAATTATATGAAAACATTAAATCACAAGCTGTAATTAAAATAAATATTAGTAGCTTGTATTTGATAGACGTCATTGGAGAAATATCAGTGAATAAGCTAAAGATTTAATTTAAAAAATGTTAATTAAAACACCTAAAAAAAGATTATCTGCCAGAGAATGTCTTAAACATACTTGGTTTGAAATGCAATTTTAAAATGTTAAAGTTCATAGAGAAAAGAGTTAATAATTATTAACTTAGACAAATGAAGATAATAGAACTATTTATTAAATGCTTAAAATGTTTAGAGGAGGAGCCAAATTTAAAAAAGAAGTTACAAAAGTTTTAGTTAATTAAATGAATGAGAAAGAATTACATCATCTTAAGTAGGTATTCCAAAAAATAGATATTGATAATTCTGGTACTATTACTATTGAAGAATTGAGAGAAGCACTATAATAAGAAGTATTTAAATTTAATTAAAATAGGGATCTCCTGCTTCTTTGGAAGAAATAGAATAAATTATATAAACTATAGTATTAGAAGAAGATGATGAAGAGAACAATAATCCAGAAATAGACAAAGAACCTTCTCCACTAGTTATCAAATATACAGACTTTTTAGCTGCCTGTATAGATGAAAGAAAAGTATTAACCAGAGAAAAAGTATTATTTATTTATTTATTTATTTAGTTATGGTCATTATTTAAGTATTTTGATACTTTAAATGTCAATTATATAACAAAAGAGGATATTAAAGAAGCTTTAGCTAGACATGCAAGATAGATGTCAGATGAGAAAATTGATTAGATGATTTAAGAAATCGATCCTAATCATGATAATAAAATAAGTTTTGATGAATTCTTATAAATGATGGGGGTTGCAGGCATAGAATAAACTATGAATATTAGAGATGAAGTGAAAGAAATGGAAATTTAAAGTTGATTATATAAATAATATATTATAAACATCTCATAATTCAAGTTTATTATATTCATAAAACTATACAATTTATATTTTAGATATTTCAATAATAAAATAGCAATTATTTACTATATCTTTTCAATATATCTATATATAAATAAAATACACTTCAAAATCAATTAATTTTTCTGATTATTTATGCATGATTTATTACATAATGCTTTTTGAAATTTAAACAATTCCAAAATCTTAGATTTACATTATAATTAATAAATAATGGGTTGTTTTTAACCTAAAGGAATGAATAAAATTGTTGCAATGCAAACTACAAATAGAGATTACATTTTTACATCAACTGCTGACATTCACAAAATATTTTCTTTTGGTAAAGTCTTAGGAATAGGTGCTTTTGGCAAAGTTCTTACTGCTAGAAGAAGAAATAACAACGATAAATAATTTGCTATAAAAATGATTGATAAAAAAACAGTCAAAGGCAGAGAAGCCATGTTGGCAAATGAAATTTATGTGTTATAAAGACTTGACCATCCAAATATTATAAAATTCCATGAAGTATATTAAAGCGAATTGTATTTCTATATATGCATGGATAAATGTGGTGGAGGAGAACTGATGGAGTCTATACCCAAAAATTAAAAATTCTATACTGAATGTTAAGTTAGAGCTATTATGGTTAAAGTATTAAGCATAATAATAAATCTTAGATTTTTTCTGCCCTTGCTTATATACATGATTAAGGTATTATACATAGAGATATTAAACCGGAAAATATTTTATTTTCAGAATGCGATATCAATTCTGAGCCTAAATTGATAGATTTTGGTCTCTCAGTTAAATATGATGCATTTAGTTACAAGTATTCTACATTAATAATTCTTTTTAGTAAACTTAATGCTGGAGTAGGCACTCCAGTATATTTGGCACCAGAAGTAATTGATGGAACATACAATGAAAAATGTGATGTTTGGAGTCTAGGTGTTTTATTATTTAATATGTTGGTTGGATATCCACCGTTTTATGGCAAAAACCGATAAGACCTTTATGATAATATTCGATGTTAAAATGTATGAAATTTGAATTAATTCTTAGTTAATATTTGATAAAAGGCATTGGAGAAATATTAGTGATGAAGTCAAAGATCTGATTAAACGTATGTTAAATAAAAACCAATTACAACGTGCTTCATCTAAAGAATGTCTCTAACATCCATGGTTCTAATTGCCATTTAATGAAGGAATACTGAGACCATCCAGGAGAAGTACAGGATTCTCAAATACTGCATCAGAAGATGATTAGAGAACATTATATTAAATGCTTAAGACTTATAGACTTGGAGCTAAATTTAAAAGGGAAGTCATGAAAGTTCTTGTCAATTAAATGAATGAAAAAGATTTAGCCAAACTTCAATTCATTTTTAAAAAGATAGATTTAAATAATTCAGGAACTATAACTATTTAAGAATTACATCATGCCTTACAATAAGAGGTAAAATAATAAATTTCTACTTTATAGGGTTCTTAAGCCACTTTGGAAGAGATTGAAGAAATCATGGAAAAAATTGGTTATGATATTGATGATATAGACGATATCACTTTGTCGAATTCACATAGATCCAATTAAAAACCTGCTACTATTAAATATAGCAATTTTTTAACTGCATGTATTGATGAAAGAAGAGTATTCACAAGAGAAAAGTTATGGTCTATTTTTAAATACTTTGATACTAGAAATGAAAATCATTTATCTAGAGAAGCAATAAGGGAATCATTTGCTAGACATGGTCGTTCAGTACCAAATGAAAAAATTGATTAAATGATTGCTGAAATAGATCCCTTAAATGAAAATAGAATTCATTTTGATGCTTTTTGTTAAATGATGGGTCTAGCTGGAATATAGTAAACTTTAGAATTCAAAGATGAACTTAAAGATCCTTAATCTATAGCTCCTTCAATATATTGATATTAATCATTCTTTGACACTTTCATGTATTATTATTATTTTTTATACAATTCATTATTATTAAATAATTCTTTATAAAACTTATACAATTATATTTTTTACAATCAAAACAAATCAAATTCTTTTTTTTAAATCATATTATATTATTTAAAAATGGGATGTGTTTCAGGAGCTGAATTAAAACAGAATCCAATAGTTTAGATGAGAACAAAAAACTAGGATCTAGTCTTTACCTCTACAGAAGATATCTCTAAAATTTATTAATTTGGAAAAGTACTTGGAGCAGGTTCTTTTGGGAAAGTCGTTACTGCAAGAATGATAAAAAATCTTGAAAAGCAATTTGCTATCAAAATCATAGAAAAAACAAAAGTCAAAGGTCGTGAAGACATACTGGCTAATGAAATTTACATGTTACAAAGATTAGATCATCCAAACATAATTAAATTTCATGAAGTTTACTAAAACAAATAAAATTTTTACATTTGTATGGACTATTGTAGAGGAGGAGAATTAGTTGAATGGATTCCTAAAAAGTACAAAAGCTTTCATGAACAAAATATCCAAGAGATAATGAAAAAGGTTACAATACATAATCATTTTAAATTAGATTGCTTCTGCTGTTTCTTATATCCATGATTAAGGAATAGTACATAGAGATATCAAAGCTGAAAACATTATGATCACATCCAAAAAAGATGATGGTGAACCTAAACTAATAGATTTTGGATTGGCAAATAAGTTTGATACCTCACATCTAAAGTATTATAAATAATAGATTAAAATTAAGGCGACTAAAATCTTTTGCAGGAACACCTATGTACATGGCACCTGAAATAATTAAGGGATCATATGATGAAAAATGTGATATTTGGTCTTTGGGGGTTTTGCTTTTTACATTACTATCTGGCCATTTGCCATTTCATGGAGAAACAAAAGAGGAATTATATGACAACATTTAAAAAGCAAATGTAACATTTATATAATATATAAAGATTTCATTTACTTCAACTATTTGGTCCCACATAAGTAGCGAGGCTAAGGATTTGATTAAAAAAATGCTTTCAAAGTAACCTGGATTAAGACCGAATTCAAAGGAACTTCTTAAGCATAGTTGGTTCAAAAAATAGTTTAAAAATGAAGAGAAAAATTCGACATTATTAAACAATTCTCTCACTTCAAGCATAATTGAAAATAGATCAATTTATTCATTATTAAAATAAAATTAAGGAGGGGCTAAATTTAAAAAAGAAGTTAAAACCCTATTAATTAACTAACTAAGTGAAGCAGAATTAAATTCATTAAAAGAAATATTTAAGAAAATAGATGTTGATAATTCTGGAACTATTACTTTTTAAGAATTGAAATAAGCCTTATAGGCTGAAGTATAAATTCAATGAATAATTAATTTAGGGTTCTCCAGCCACCTTTGAAGATATAGAGAAATTAATTAGTAATGGTGGTCCTCCTACATCGCATGAGGAAGTAGGAAAAAAGAAAAAAGAGTTTGTAATTAAATATAGTCAATTCTTGGCTTCTTGCATAGATGAAAGAAAGTTTATAACTAAAGAAAAAGTATAAGCTTCATTTTATTAATAGTTATCTTCTTTATTTAAAATATTTGATACTGATAATTCAAATTTTATTACCAAATAAAATATTAAAGAAGCATTTGCAAGAAATGGAAAGTAAATATCTGATCAATAAATTGATGAAATGATTGCTGAAATTGATCCTAATCATGATAACAAAATAAGTTTTGAAGAATTTTGTTAAATGTTTGATAATGCAGGTGTAAATAAAAACTTCACAGAAGATGGAAGTATGTACGCATGAAATTCATAATTAAAATTATGTATTTCCAAATAAAGTTCAATTTATAAAAAAATAAACTATTTATAATAATTACATACAACATACATTCATGAATTAGGTGTAATAGGAGCAATCAGCTTTTGATAAAGTTTCCTTATTTACTGTTGTCTCCCTATCATTAGTAAGCTTTTTATTTTACTAATTCACATCAAAACCAGAACTCTATGGAGGGGATGGGTGTATAGCATTAAGAGAATGTGCATATTTTATAGTTTGGCTATACATAGTGTATGTCATTATAATTTGGTAAATCTTTATACAATTTAAACTAGCATAATGATTTAATGGAAAATCTCATCCAATTCCAAGATAAAGCTGTATGTATCTGGAATTTTGCTGATTGGATTTATCATTAGCAATATATTTTTAATTATCCAATATTTTAAAAATGAACCTTGCAATTTATTAAGATATGTTATCTTTTGGTATTTGATTCTAATGTCTATCACATTTTTGTTATTTATGAGTATAGTGGGAGCAATAATTTATATGATGTGATTATATTGATTAATAATATTATTTATAAACAATGCAAGTCTATATTAAATGAGAAAAGTTATTGTAAAACCAGCAATTTAAGAATTAAATAATATTGAAAGAAAATATAATATATCTTTTACATTATAAAAATGATAATAAAATATAGAAAATTATAAACAAAGATAAATGACTATAAATTAATCATTAATTTTAGATAAGAAAAAGTTATAATTGATATAATTTAATTTAAACAAAAAGATAAATCTATACAATGCAATTTTTAAATGGCTTAATCAAATATAATAGTAGATAATTTATTAATATGATATTAAAGTTATTTTATAATATACTTGATATACGATCTATATTAAATCTTATAGAGATATATTTAATCATCAAATAAAAAAAGTAAATGCATAACTAAAACTTAATATATGATCTTTACTAATAAATAAATAATAATATATAAGAAAATTAGAAGTTTCTTTAAAAGTTTTAATAATTTGATTTAAGATTGAGTAAAGATTAAAATATTCTCATGAAATAAAAAATTTTAGTTCAATATAATTTCCTAAGAAAACACATAATATTTTAGGTCATTTATTTTAAATGTAAAAGATGACAAATACGTTATTTCTGTAATATTAGAATTAAANTCATGAATTAGGTGTAATAGGAGCAATCAGCTTTTGATAAAGTTTCCTTATTTACTGTTGTCTCCCTATCATTAGTAAGCTTTTTATTTTACTAATTCACATCAAAACCAGAACTCTATGGAGGGGATGGGTGTATAGCATTAAGAGAATGTGCATATTTTATAGTTTGGCTATACATAGTGTATGTCATTATAATTTGGTAAATCTTTATACAATTTAAACTAGCATAATGATTTAATGGAAAATCTCATCCAATTCCAAGATAAAGCTGTATGTATCTGGAATTTTGCTGATTGGATTTATCATTAGCAATATATTTTTAATTATCCAATATTTTAAAAATGAACCTTGCAATTTATTAAGATATGTTATCTTTTGGTATTTGATTCTAATGTCTATCACATTTTTGTTATTTATGAGTATAGTGGGAGCAATAATTTATATGATGTGATTATATTGATTAATAATATTATTTATAAACAATGCAAGTCTATATTAAATGAGAAAAGTTATTGTAAAACCAGCAATTTAAGAATTAAATAATATTGAAAGAAAATATAATATATCTTTTACATTATAAAAATGATAATAAAATATAGAAAATTATAAACAAAGATAAATGACTATAAATTAATCATTAATTTTAGATAAGAAAAAGTTATAATTGATATAATTTAATTTAAACAAAAAGATAAATCTATACAATGCAATTTTTAAATGGCTTAATCAAATATAATAGTAGATAATTTATTAATATGATATTAAAGTTATTTTATAATATACTTGATATACGATCTATATTAAATCTTATAGAGATATATTTAATCATCAAATAAAAAAAGTAAATGCATAACTAAAACTTAATATATGATCTTTACTAATAAATAAATAATAATATATAAGAAAATTAGAAGTTTCTTTAAAAGTTTTAATAATTTGATTTAAGATTGAGTAAAGATTAAAATATTCTCATGAAATAAAAAATTTTAGTTCAATATAATTTCCTAAGAAAACACATAATATTTTAGGTCATTTATTTTAAATGTAAAAGATGACAAATACGTTATTTCTGTAATATTAGAATTAAAAAAATAGAAAGATAAGTAAATTATATTAGGAGAAAACATATTTAAAAATAACCTTTATTATAATTTTTAATTAAACAATGCATATTAAATAAAATTCTATTATTTTATAAAGTAAAAGTATTTATTAGATGGTATAATTAAAAGGATATTGATTAATCTTATATTATGATAATATTATAAATTAAAAATAATTTTGACTCATAGACTTTCATATTTTTTCTGTCTACCAAGCAGAATTGCAGGATTAAGTTATTAAAGCAAAGGTGGAACAATTATAGCCATATTGGATTAAGGATATAGAGTTTTATTTAGGAAATTTGGATATTAAAGAGTTGGAGCTGGTCTCCCAGGATAACGAGAGTCATGAATGAAATTGCAATTATCTCCTCTTGTACAACCTATGGAAGAATGAAAATTGTGACAATGTTTAGTTTTGTAAGCTCTTAATCGAAGAGCTTAAACAGGATTGATAGTTTATAGCTACTCTAATCGAAGTCTTTGTTAATCTTACTGAGCTTATACTCGATCAATTTCACTCTTTATTGTTTGTTTGTCATTCAATTTTATTTCAATGATAGATTTTAGATTTTTTATATATTTTTCCTCACCAATATCCTTTAATTTTTATATAATATCATGTAATAAGGTTACTTAAATAATGAGATATTATTACAAATGCTTTCCTGGCTATGCTAATGCTTCTACTCAACCATTTAAACTAATTATTGCATTTTTGGTTGTAAGTCTTGCTTGGCTTAATTGAGAACATCCTTTTATTTCATTTATTCTTCAGGAGGCTTTTTGAGAATTCCCTTAACTTGTTTCTTATTGGCATTTTTGTTCTTTTCTTCTATTTCTTTGAGTCCTCTGTTGCAAATAACCTAGACCATATATATAAGATCCTCTCTTTTTGGAGGATCTAAATGAATAATTTTTGGTTGTAAGCCTGATTGAGTATTAGAAATCTCATTATATCCAGGCTAATCTGGTATACTCTAAAGTTTAATTAATAATTATATACATCTCTATTGTAAAATGCCGACATTTTAGATTCTGTTCTTTTTTATTAGATTACAGTCTCAATATAGTTGGTATCATAGTTTATTTATGATTACAATAAAAGTTCTAATGATTATTAATAATAAATAACTTGCAGGTTTAATAAAAGGTATCTATTCTAACATCTATTAAATGTTATCTAATTGCATTTTATGTTCTTTTCCTTCCATTAATGATTCTCTATGTTTAATATTATATGCTCCATTTATTTAATTCAATCTTTTTATTTCACCAGCATATAATTTTTAGAATTAAATAACTTCTTCCATGGTCATTCCTCTTTGATTAGGTTCATCATCTCTTTTAAAATATTTAAAATTAAGTAAAAGTTCATCTCTTTGAAATCTATTCAATTATGTCTAAAATATTACTTTACAAATTTCTTTTTATTCTTCTTTTTTTTATTAGAAGATTCACTAGAACTTGATGATTAATTTCTTTTTCCTTTCTTTTTACGATCTTCTTATTTATCCTTTTAATTATTGTTTCTTTTCCATTCATCAAGCAATGGTTTGAATTTTATATAACATCTAGACCATTACTATTATAGTTGTTCAATCATATTAGATCTTATATTATCAAAAAGCTTTTTATCTTTAATTTTTAATAGAGGCTAAGCAATTTCAGACTCTCTAAGTATTTCTTCACTTAAATTCATCTTCAATATTAAAGCCAATATTTTATCAATCAATTCTTCATTAATTTGAATGGATTTCAAGGCATCTTTTAAGTAATTTGTTATTATTTTCATTGAATTAGATTATGCAAATCTCAAATTAATAATAAGGTATACAGATCTAAAAAATCAGATGTTTGTTAAAGCAAATGATTCAAGTTTTGAATTTTAGATTATAGAGTCACAGCAGACTTCAATTACTAATGGAGCCTTTTCATAAGTTCCTTTAGTTGTATTTGATGATCCATCAAATTTTATATTTATTTATATTATCATTATTATTCTTAATCTTGAATGTATTAAATCAATTCTCTATTTTTCAAAAGCTGTTCAATTTCCATCAATTCATTAACTTCTTCTATTAAAAATGTTTCTTTCTAATTAAATAATTCATTCTCTAATCTTAAATCCTCATCAAGAATTATAAGTTCCTATTCAATTCTCTTCTTAGAATCTGTGATAGCACTAATGTCTCTATTTTCAATTTGTAATTTCTAAGTTGATTCTAGTAATTAACTTTTCAATTTGAGAGTTTCATTCTTTAATTCATTAATATTTAATTCAAGCTAATCAATTTTTTCAGTATTTAGACTATTTAGTTCTCCAACTAATTTGTTTCTTAAAGAAATTAAGAGTTCTTAAACCTAATTTTTGATTATATATATATATATTTACTTATTTATAAGTTTATTTATCTGCAAAATTACTTTTTATTCCTATTTGTATTATTTGTTTTAGCATTGGTAAATCTAATTTGATATTTTTAATAGTAGATTTTCCAAAATTTTCAATTATCTCATTAACCCTACCTCTCTTTTAGAAGAATTTAATGCCTACTTTCTCTTCATCATATAAAATAGAATCTATTGTTTAAAGCATTTAATCTATTTAGTTGATATTTATATCATATTCATCAATTAATGAACTTAAACTATAATTATTAATAAATATAGTATACCTGTTCTACATTTTTATTAATTAAACTTCTTTTTAGTCAATCATTTTGTAATTTTGATTGATTAGTTGATTAAGTCGTACTATTTTTTATTCATGGAACTCCCTTTCTTTCTCTTATGGTCCATCAATAAAAGATGATTATAACAAATCTAAGTCTAAGAGTTGTGCTTTCAATTACTGCATAGATTAAAAAATTTATGTCTTCCTACTAATGTGAAAATCCTAGAGAGTTGAATATTCTGATTCAAAATCTTCTATAGATTATTCAATCAACTAATTTATTTATGGCTAATCTAATTATATCATAGAAATAATCAAAGATCCAATTTATCGTTTTTCAATGCGATTCACTTATTATTAATATTTTTGAGTTTCCCTCTTGCTAAGATTCATAGCATAATTAGAGTTCACTAATATAATAACTACAATTTAAGATAGTAAACTTACGTACATAAGAATATTGCTAACATTAATATTAATAATAATAATTATAAAATGGAACAATAATAACAATAAAATTATACAGATTTAGATAATTAAGAAATAAAACAAACCTATAAAATGGGAACTAGATAACATGCCTCAAACAAAAGTTGGTTAAATCAAAAAGGAAGCAATTTATATCTTTTGGTTTGAATTCATAGGAACATTCATGTTAACTTTCTGTATTTATGCCAGCAAGTATATATGACTAATTCAAACTTAGTAATAACCTTTTTGTTTTTTCTTGTGCATATGGATTGTAAAATTTTGGTAGCTTAACATAAAAAATGTACATTCAATCTTGCAATCACAACGGTATTATCAGGACTGCATAAAGGATTATGGGTGTCAGTGGCAATAGGTAGTTAATTTGGAGAAGCATTTTTGGCAAGTTTATTTGGATTTTTGTGTTTTAAGAATTAGTAAAATATTTATAGACTACAAAAAATAGTGTAAATGATGTTCCATACTTATCATAAACAAATATAGAAGCATACATGGCTGTGATACTTGAAGAAATATTTGGATCTCTTATTCTTTGTGCAGGATTCTTATTTTAATATGATGATTTAATGGGTTTATCATCAAATAGATTAGAACATAGCATAATAATCAATTCTTTATACTGTGTTGGAAGAACACTTAGTTATGTAGCTAAGAGTAGTCTTAATCCAGCTATTGCATTCGGGTAAGTGATACTAAGTTGATGACGAGTTTAGTATTCTTTGAATGTTGCAAGGATGGACATTGGGCAAGAATTTTGAATTTATGGATTTACTCTATTCTACCTTATTTTTGGGCATTCTTATCTTTAGCAATTATTAGGGCAATTTATAGAGACTGTTATGAATAATAATTATAAGCTGGTTTAAGACAATGAATTAGATAAAAATCTTTATAGAAATACATATATATATATTATCATTGTTATTATAGTTATTTGTAATATGCTACTGATTAATTATATAACAATGTATATTATTGAATTTCATCTGCAGTTCTATCTGATGAGTTAATTATGGTTCTGATCTAGTCACAGGCTAATACTAAATTTCCTTATCTCACTAGTTCAATAGCAAACCTTATCTTTTATAGTAAATCCTATATAGTATTTAATTAAACTACTTCTTAAACAAAGATTTATTGCATTTCCATTAATATATATGTCAAGGTGATGGCCATAGGATCCACTTATTATTATGTTTATAGTGTTTATAGTGTTTATTATTATTATTATTATTATTATTATTATTGTTATTATTGTTATTATTGTTATTATTATTATTATTATTATTATTATTGTTACAATTACTATTATTATAATAATTAGATTTATTATTATTATTGCTGTTATTATGATGTTGGCTATATTTATATATCAGAATCTATTTGGTATAACTAATAAATGCATACCATGTACATATTGACAACCTGAACCATTCTTACAAAAATTGAGTTGATGGTATTTACAAGGTACTTTTTTATTTCTTATTCATACTTTTAAACAAAGGTGATTAATTTTTTTATTGTTGTTCAATTGTTGTTGATTGGGAAGCAGTAGTGATTGATGAAAGTGCAGAAGCAGGCAGAGGATCTTTAGATTATTTTTAAATCTTTTACCGTTCATTTGCCTTTATTCTTCTATACCATGAGCGAATTAGCATTTAGAACCTATTGCACATTATTTGGTTGCTATTATAATAGATTGAGTTCTCATACCTTAATAGTGTCGACAAAGAATAGTTTTATACTTTGCATTTGGAACTGTTGTGCTCTATAATTGATTGATCCCAAATTAATATGACATTTAATAATTAAAATATTTTAAGCTTAAAACAATGTCTTCAAAAGAATCTCGTAGAAGATCAAATAGAAGATCTCATAGAAAACCTAAATGGTATTATTGTAAATTTAAAGATAGTTCTACAAGTACATCAAGTATCACGGATGAAGGATCAAATGGAAGTTCTTCAAGTGATGATTATAAACATTATAAATTTCGAAAGGGAGAATACATAAAGGATTATAAAGTAAGAAGACATATTTCTGATGGAACATTTGGAAGAGTATTGAAAGTAAGAAGAAAAAATTCAAAATCATATGCCATGAAGATTGTGAGAATTAATCATGCAGATAGTGCTTAATAAGAAGCAGATATACTATTTTATTTGAAAAAGAAAGACTTAAATAGATACTTTGTTGAAATAATAGAAAGTTTTTATCATAGAGGATATTATTGTATGGTGTTTGAGAGAGTATTGTTTGATATATATTGATTTTTTAGCTTGGACCAAGTTTATATGATATGTTAAGAATGAATCAAAATCGTGGAATTCCAATGAATTTGATTAGATGCATTAGCAGATAATTATTAAAATGCATTGGACTTTTACATGATTTAAAATTAACACACACAGATTTAAAACCAGAGAATATTCTTTTTAGTAAAATACGTTAGTTATAAAAAGGACAAAATGACATGTAAGAAATACTTTTAAATTTTATTAGGTATCTACCAGCGGATCACAAGATCAAGATTATTGACCTCGGTGGAGCAGAGTTCGATGATGAAGACCATAATTGTATAATTAATACACGTCAATATAGAGCTCCTGAGGTTCAGTTGTAATGTTGTAAATGGGATTAGAAAAGTGATGTATGGGGAATAGCTTGTATTATATTTGAAATGTACAAAGGTAGGAATGAAATTTAAAATATTAGGTCATTTACTATTTTAAACTAGAAAGAATGAATTTGAACATATGGCTTTGGTTGAGAAAATAACAGAATAGAACTTTCCTTATTGGATGGCAAGTAATGTGAAAGGAAGCTTAAAATATTGTTTTAATACAAAAAATGTTATCAATGGAAAATACTATTAATGGCCATAAGGAACAACTACTAAAGATAGCATACTTAAGGTCAAGAATTAACAAACTTTAAGGGAGATGATACTCGATCCATTACTTAGAGATTTATTATAAAAAATGTTAGAAATAGATCCAAATAAAAGAATCAGTTGTTTCTAAGCATTGAATCACAAATTCTTTTGTAATTGATCTGAACAATTATTTTATAATAATAAATTTAAATATTATTTTTTAAAATAGTATCCAGTATTAGTTAGTATTTAGGAATTAAAAAACAACAAAACTAATTAATTAATTAAGGAAATTGGAGAAATAATATACATCTTAAGAAGCCTTATTTTAACAATAAAAATTAAATCTAATTCAAAAAGAACAAGATTTTTTTCAAAAGTAACACCTGAATTAGAATGTAAGAACAGAATTATAATATCAGTCATGTATTCATTGTTACAGAATCACCCTAATTATCTTTTTATTTAACAATTTAATAATACATTAAACTAAAGGTTTTATTTTCATATAGCTACTAAATTTTCGTAGATAAAACTCTTTCTAATTTATAAAATGTCTAAATTCAATTGGTAAAATCTGCCATTAGAATTAGAGGCTAAAATTAAATTGTTAAATAGGATTCTAAGTTTCTTAAGATATGATTATATAAAACATTAAATTAGTTGTTAATCTATATAAAGAGATAGCCAAAAGAGTCAATAAAAGTTGGTTTGGTGAGTAGAATTGAATACATGATATGGGTATCTAAAAGATTAATCGTTAAGAAATAGCGCTAACAAAAGAAGTAATAGTTATGCGTAAAATATAATCAAATTCTTATTTGAAGTTGTTTAATTATTAATAGAAATATTTAGAGAAAGTAGAGTAGGAATAAAATTAACTCTTGTGATATGATGTACTGATAGACTCTTTTCTTAGCAACTCTAGTAAATTAAAGATCTATTTCTTATTTAGGATCATTATTTATTTAAAATGATTACTATCCTTTAGGCTAGAATTTACAAAGACTGTGCATAATAAAAGAGGTAAATTATTCTTGCAACTATTACTTGGTGGATGGAAAACTCGTTTATCATTATGAAATGGTAATGAACTTCTTGATTATCAATTTTTTAGATATAGTGCTTATAAAAAACTGAAAAAGTGTTGAAAATAGATTCAAATTTGTTTTTTAACTTATTACATAAATTATATGCTATAAATCCAGGAAGAGTTAGGAATTTACTTATATTTATTAATCAAACGAAATTAATCCTATTCAATTATAGACATATCTTTTACTGTAATTATCCAAACTCAGTCTGGCTAAGTCAAAGATAAAAGGTCAATAAAATGATAAAGGATTTGACTATCAGGCTTCCAAAAAGCAGATTAAAAATCTTTAAAAATCATTTACAAAGGAATTGTGATTGAAAACCATTCTATAACTCTTGAAAGAGATAATTATAATAACAAAAAGAGTATTAATGATGTATTTTACTTTGAATAATCTAAATAAACAATCCAGATCTTATATATTCAGTCAGAAATGCTTTTTAACACAATACTAATTTTTACTTCAAATCTTATTTGAGAGGTGATTAAAAGGGTTACAGTGATTCCAACTTAGGGTGAAGAAAAGAAGCAATGAGAGGATTGTGATATTCTATCATAAGTATCAAAAATTATAAATTTTTGCAATATTTTACTTTTCATCAACTATTTCATTTATTTTATTTAGATGATTGATGACTATCAACCAATTTCATTATAAGTATTGTTTAAAATTTAAATTAATCCCAATCGTTTTCCCTTATTCAATCATAATAATCTTCGTATTCAACTTCTTTATTTTTAATCAATACTTTTTATGAAACTACCTCATTTGAACATATTTCTTATAGAAAATCTCCAGTGTGTTTTTATTTCAAATAACTTTTACATGAATCTTCATTTTATATGTACTATAATAAAAAGCTATCTAATTTATTATATAAACCTGTAGAGCATTAGAGTCTTGCAAATTTCTTTATGTTGAGATATCCTAAACTGATTCGTAATCTTGATTTGGTCTTACTTTTTGTATTCCTTCATCTAATTTAAAATTCAATCCTAATTTTCCTGTAAACACTGGAATTTTCACTGTTCGAGTTTAATATGATTCATCATTTTGAATTTCGATATTTTCTTCATTTGGGCTTTCTTATTTTAATGTACAAGAGTTGCCCATGATAATATTTTTAANTTATGAAATGGTAATGAACTTCTTGATTATCAATTTTTTAGATATAGTGCTTATAAAAAACTGAAAAAGTGTTGAAAATAGATTCAAATTTGTTTTTTAACTTATTACATAAATTATATGCTATAAATCCAGGAAGAGTTAGGAATTTACTTATATTTATTAATCAAACGAAATTAATCCTATTCAATTATAGACATATCTTTTACTGTAATTATCCAAACTCAGTCTGGCTAAGTCAAAGATAAAAGGTCAATAAAATGATAAAGGATTTGACTATCAGGCTTCCAAAAAGCAGATTAAAAATCTTTAAAAATCATTTACAAAGGAATTGTGATTGAAAACCATTCTATAACTCTTGAAAGAGATAATTATAATAACAAAAAGAGTATTAATGATGTATTTTACTTTGAATAATCTAAATAAACAATCCAGATCTTATATATTCAGTCAGAAATGCTTTTTAACACAATACTAATTTTTACTTCAAATCTTATTTGAGAGGTGATTAAAAGGGTTACAGTGATTCCAACTTAGGGTGAAGAAAAGAAGCAATGAGAGGATTGTGATATTCTATCATAAGTATCAAAAATTATAAATTTTTGCAATATTTTACTTTTCATCAACTATTTCATTTATTTTATTTAGATGATTGATGACTATCAACCAATTTCATTATAAGTATTGTTTAAAATTTAAATTAATCCCAATCGTTTTCCCTTATTCAATCATAATAATCTTCGTATTCAACTTCTTTATTTTTAATCAATACTTTTTATGAAACTACCTCATTTGAACATATTTCTTATAGAAAATCTCCAGTGTGTTTTTATTTCAAATAACTTTTACATGAATCTTCATTTTATATGTACTATAATAAAAAGCTATCTAATTTATTATATAAACCTGTAGAGCATTAGAGTCTTGCAAATTTCTTTATGTTGAGATATCCTAAACTGATTCGTAATCTTGATTTGGTCTTACTTTTTGTATTCCTTCATCTAATTTAAAATTCAATCCTAATTTTCCTGTAAACACTGGAATTTTCACTGTTCGAGTTTAATATGATTCATCATTTTGAATTTCGATATTTTCTTCATTTGGGCTTTCTTATTTTAATGTACAAGAGTTGCCCATGATAATATTTTTAATATTAAAAATATTTGTTTTTATTTTAAATTAGTATTAATCTTGATTCATTTTTCAATTTTGTAAGAATGTAATAAAATGTCTATTTAAGTTTTACAGATTTAATATTCAGAGTTGAAATATATATTAAAATAGTTCAAAACATTAAATATTATAAAAATATAAATAAATATTAGGTAGTAGATAATTTTTTTAATTCATTTGATAATTCAATTTAAATCTATTATTGTATATTTATGTTTGAATTCAATTTTAATATCTCTTAAAAATATACATCTATTCTCTAATTAAAAAAAATTCTATGAAATTCTTATTATAAATTTGCTTTTTAAATAATATTTAATAATAGATAGAAGAATTTTTGAATTTGATAATTTTTATTTATAAAATATTTAAATTATATTGAGTTAAATATGTTAACCTATCTCTTAAAAATAAGCTTACAAAAGTTTAATAAGTTAAATGCAAAAAATTATAGTATTTAATATTGTATATATAAATTTAAAAAAACTATGAATATAAAAATTCTGTGTCAGTTAATAATTAAAATAATGAATAATTAGTCTTCAAAATCTGTGCGATTCAATGAAGGCCATAAAGTCTTACAGCCTGTTAATACTAATACAACAAGTTCAGGATCAAGCAAAATATCAAAAGTAACATCAGCTATTCAAGAGTTGAGAACATCTTTTAATAATTAAGCACAAAAACTAACATCTTCAAGAGTTTCAGATCAGTTAAATGAATCAGTGGCTACAGTAACAAGAAGTCCAGGACATTCCTGTGCCCCAAGTTTCTGTTAGCCATGTTAACCTATGTGTTAACCCATGTATTCATCTGTCTGTTAACCATAATTTAATTGTTAACAATAACCTATTTGTGCCCCTTAAGCTTATGTAGTTTAGGGAGGGAATGACTAGAGTCATTTAGAAAAAGAGATAAAGAAATTGAAAAAAAAGAATAAGAAATTAAAAGAAAGCAAAGAAGAAATAATAGTTTCCACTATAGCTGAGACTCCAAAAAGATAAAGACCATAATAGCATATTTAAGACCCTGAAATTGATACAATAAAAAGAGAAATTTAAGAAATGGAGAGAATAATAAGGTAGATGGAACAATAACCCAAACAGTAAAGCAACTCAGAGATAGAATTATATATAGAAGATAATAAAAAATGTCTGAAGAAGATGTGCAAAAAGATTAAATCACTTGAAAAGGAACTTTACGAAGTAGGTCGATAAAGGGATGAAGCCTTAATAATAAAACAACAGTTAGAGAGAGAAAACCAAGAAATGTTTGATAGAATAGGGGAATTAGAATCATTACTAAAAGTGGCTGATAAAAAGTAATTTTTTTAATAATATTTTAAGAGTATTCGACTTAACAGTATAATTAGAAAGATAAAATGGTTATGTTAAATAATTAGAAGATGAAGTAGAAAGATTGAGAAAGAAAAAGAAGAAGAAGCAAATTGAAATTTAAGAAAGAGTTGTTGAAAAGATAGTAGAGAAACCAGTAGAGGTAATAAAAACAGTGCATGTTAATCAACCTCATCAAGTATAAGAAGTGAAACCAACTGAAATAATTAAAGAAGTCATCAAAGAAGTGCCTTCTGAACCTAAAATTGTGGAAAAGATTGTTGAAATACCAAAAATTGAATATGTGTATCAACAAGTTCCTTAGTATATTGAAGTTCCAAAAGTGCAAACAGTTGAAGTGCCTGTAGTTTAAAGAATAGAAGTTCCTTATGAAGTTCCTTATTATAGAGATGTTCCTTATGAAGTGATTAAGGAAGTTCCTTATGAAGTTATAAAAGAAGTGATTAAGGAAGTGCCATATGAAGTGATAAAAGAAGTAGTTAGGGAGGTGCCCTATGAGGTTATTAAAGAAGTTCCTGTTTATATTGAAGTCCCTGTTGATAGAGTAGTGGAAAAGAGAGTTGAAGTTCCTGTTGATAGAATAGTTGAAGTTCCTGTTGACAGAGTTGTAGAAGTACCTGTGCCATATGAAGTTCCATATCCTTATGAGAGAGTTGTTGAAGTACCATATGAAAGAATTGTGGAGGTTCCATATGAAAGAATAGTGGAAGTTCCTAGAGATAGATATGTTGATAGATATATGGACAGATATATTGATAGACCTATAGATAGATATGTGGAAGTTCCAGTAGAAAAAAGAGTTGAAGTTCCTTATGAAAAAATAGTTGAAGTGCCTGTAGAAAAGATTGTTGAAGTGCCTGTTGAAAGAATAGTGGAAGTTCCTGTGGAAAGAATAGTGGAAGTTCCTGTTGATAGATATGTGGAGAGATATGTGAGAGATGATGCAGAATTAGAAATGTTGAATATTGAAAATAGGGAATTACAAAGAATCATTGGTATTTGGGAAGATAGAGCTAACAAATTAGAAAATGAAATTATTAAAGAAAGAAGAATTTCTGATTAATTAAGATTTGATATAGATTAACTAGAATAAGAGGTAGAATAGGGCCAAGCTTCCAATTATTAATATTAAGAAGAAGTTAGAAAATATTTAAAATGGTTAAAATCAAAATATGAAAGCAAAATAATTGAAGCTAGAAAAGGAGTTGTTATTTAACATCGTGTTTCTTCGGAAGTACCATAAAATGTTCAAATTAATTATCAATAACCTATATCAACTAGTATTTCATAAAATTTGCCTTAATTTGGTGTATAAATGCCTAACTAATGATTTATTAAACATATATCAATTTATAATACTTTATGCTCCTTAATTTAAGTAGAAGATCAAATACTATCTCAAATCTTATAAAAATATATCAACATTATGTTTCAATTAATTATAAATTTATATAAATAAATATTTAAAGAAAAGTTATTATTATCATTATTGTAACCAATTTTCTGGAATTATTTGAAAATTATCATCTTCAGTATAATTTATCAATTTACCATTTTACCAAATTCCGACTTTTTTTTTTCCTTCTGGATATATCATAAGTCCTTTTCCATGTTATTTTCCATCTTTCCATTATCCTTAATATTATTTGCAATCTGGCCAATAAAATATTCCAAATCCTTATTTTCGATCATTCTAATATTCACCGTCATAGCATTTGCCATCCTACCAAATATACTTTCCTCTCCCATGCATTTGATTACAGGCCCAACTACCGGAGTAAGACTGGAATTATTTACTATCAACATACCCTTCCATCAGGCCAATCATATCTTCCAGTTCCATGAATTTTATTATTTTTCCATTCTCCAACATAAACACACCCTTAATACCACTTGTAACATCCTTTACCACATTTTTTACCTTCTTTAAATAATCCTTCATATACAGAACCATCTGGCCAAGATTCAACACCGAATCCATCAGGTTTGTTAAATAAAAATTAACCTTCATAAATAGGCCCATTTTTATAGTTATAGATTCCTTTACCATGCATTAAATTATTTAAGAAATCCCCTTCATAATAATCCCCATTTTTTAACCATAGTTTTCCATTTCCATTAGCTTAACCATCTTTAGTTTATCCGAAAAATTTGGAATCGTCATCCATTTATAATTCTTCTAATTTATTATATTCTGATGGTATTGTATGTTAGCTTTCTTTTTATAATTTTGAAAATTATGAGCTTTTTTCTTCCATAGTTTTATTTATTGCAGTTGAAGGTGGATAATCTATAAATAATTTTATACTGATTTTATTATACTTGGATCACTTTCAAAACTATCCTCAAGATCTTCTAATTACATGTTATGTTTTTACTCTGGAACTACATTGGCAAGAATTAATTCATTTTCATTGTTTATTTAGCATTTAGTACATTAGAGACCCATAAATATTATATTAAATTACTAAAAAATATATTCACTGGTTAAACGATTCAACAATCAAAAATTAATTAAATGAATCAATATCATAAAATAATTCATAAATATGGAAGTTAGAATTCTGATTGCTTAAAATGAGGCTAATTAAAATAATTAATGAGATTACAGTTTAATATTTTATATCTTATTATGAATATGTTCTTCTTTTAGGATGGGTTGGCATATCATTAGAATTTAAAGAATCTGTATTAGTATGAGTTTAGTGTATCATTCTTTATTAGTAAATTGGAGTCAATTTTCCAGATTGTTTAGATTATTAACTGGACAGAATTGATTTGTCTAATAAGATTTAAGTAGAGTCTCTTGTAATATTTTTATATTGTTAAAGTTTTCTTAAAATAGATTTTGGAAGATGATCCCCAGATTAATCTAATATTTCATCTCTATCATTTTTATCATTTTTTATTGTTGAAATATTAGTAAAATTGCATAAATAGCCTTATTATTATTATTATTATTAAAATAAACTTAATATTCCTTCTTCAAAACTTCTACCACCTGTATAATCTATTGATTATTGATTTTCATCAATTAAATCAAATTGAATATCAAATTATTATTTTGCTTTTTTTATATATTTTGATTATTGATTTTTTAATTATATTAAATCTTTTTACTTTTTTTTTCTTGGTGAATTTAATTCATTTATTTTATTACTCTAACTTTATATTTCACTAAATATTTTTTATCTAACTTGATTATCAATCAAACTCAAATTCTTATGCCATTTGAAATGATTTTAATTCTCTATTTTAGGTAAGTTTATCATAGAACTATTATGAGGTAAAGATTTTCTTTTCATTCTCTTTTTTAACAACAAAGAATCATCATCCCCTATCTTCTTTGTATCTTCTAATTTTTGATTCATTTATGTAATAAACTCTTAAGTTTCCTCATCCATTTTTTAAACTCCTTCATAATCCTATTTTAATTCACTTAACTTTCTTCTTGCTTATTTAACTTATTAATTATTGTCTTATTATTCTATGTCATCATAAGGTAATTTCATTATTTCTTTTATTTTCTAAAACCTCTCTATTTTACTTTTATTTTAATCATTAATCTATTATATGAGTTCTTCTCTATTTGAAACAAAGCTTAAATGTGATATTAGACTCTTATAATATATTGGTAAATATCCTTCTTTTAAGTTCTTTCTAACTTTCATTGCAACTTATGTAAATTCTAAATAATCAATATAAAATTACATTCTCCTACATCTTAATCAAGAACTGATTTTTAGAACTCATCCAAATCAATCCATTCTATTTTAATAATACTTTTTTACTGCTTTTATCTTCATCAATCTTTTCAAAAAGCATTCTTACTTAATTCCTATTTATACCCATTCCACTTTTAACACAAATATCATATAATTTATCAATTGCTAATTTATCTATTTATAATTCTAATTTATAATACTTTCTTTCTTCTTATCCAAATTCTCAAATATAACTTATGCTCTCTCTTACTGTTTAATTTCCTCTGGTAAATACAGATAATTTCGTTTTACTTTTTGTGGAAATCTAAATTAAAAATCAAAATTTACCTCTTTTTATACCAATCTAAGATGTCTGAAGTCTATAATTTAGATCTTTTCATTATAAGTTTTTTATTATTTTTTATTAATTATATATTAATATCAAAATTTAATTATATTTTTCATAAATACAATTTATTAATGCATATTTCTAAATAATCTTTAATACTATAACTATGTCTTATAATTTGGGTAATTATTTTTCTTTTTTATTATTTCAATTATTTATGTATATATATATTTTCTTTAGATTTTTACGCTTATGTAATTTGTTAATAATAAAATAAGATTTTATTTTATGAAGGCTTTTAAATTTGAATCAATTTAAAAAATTATATTTATTACATAAAAAAATTATGAATAAATTTGAAGACGATTTAAAATATGCTCAAAAAGCTAATGGAAATGAGTTTTTAAATTGGATCTAAAATCTCAGTTTTGAACTCATAAAATAAAAAGAATATTCATATGGTTAAGAGTTCCTTAAATTTTAACATTTAGTATATGAACTAATTTTCAAATAAGATGGGATATTAAATAGTAGTTTTAGAACAACTTAAATGAGATTTGGATCTATAGAGGATACCCTATTTTTTATTAAAATTCTTAATGTCCTCTCACCAAATGAATAATCATTTTATCAATCATTACCTTCTGAATATCCTTTTAATCCAGTTTAAATTGATATATTACCAGCTCATTTGTAATTATTTTTGAAGGATCCCTCTATTATTAATATGAATTCATAATTTTAAACTTTCCAAGAAATTTTTTAAGACAACATTTTAATTGAAAAAAACCAACTAAAATTCTGTGTTAGTGCTAAAATGATGTTTTGGATTTATTTACTAAATGGAGCAGTAAATTTTAAAGAAAGTGCTTTAAATGCAACTGAAAATAGTTAAAAAATCCTTGATTGTGCATTTAGCAAATGCAAAAAGAAATTTAACACAAAAGACTTTTTATTAAAATAATTAACATTTAATCCTTATTTAATATTAATAAGAAGAATTATTGAATATATGGTTATGTAGATAAAACCTGGCAACACAATATAAAATAATTAAAATAAACAAATTACTATATTCACATTTCAATAAATGATAATTTTATTATAAGAATATTCTATGTATGAAAATTTATATGTATAGAAATTACTTGATTTAAATCTAACAAATGAATAATAAAAGTTATTTTATAAAATCAAACCAAGTAGTGTTGTATTAGATACTTAAATGATGTTAATATATTTAACAATATTTTTTAATAATAGGTATGGATAAGATTTAGAAGCTACATATTCATAATTTAAACATTTTATTAAGAGTACTGATATTCTTAGCAAATAAAGTTAAATCTTTTATTAAAATAGAGGGTTCTTTTTTGAATGTGGTAGACAAAAATAATAAATTACATATTAATAAGGATTATATAAATTTTTAGAGAATTCATTCAAATTTTATCATAATGATAGATAATGCAATTAAATTTCATTACTTTCCCATTTATCAACCTATGTCTTATTTTTGAGATAGTAATTTGCAGTCTATGAGATTTCTATATATAATTAGGTATTGATATTTGATTAAGCATTATTGTCTTGTTTAATATCTTAAAATACAATATTAAATTAACTTTAAAAATAATAAAATTTCTAATACAAAAGTAATAATCCTATTGCTCGATTTATCTTAAGTGAGTTATAACCTATTTATCAATTATGCAAAAATAAATTTGGATAATGTCCTTAAGCAATATTGTTTAAAGAATATAAACCTTCAAATTTATTATAATGTTTTGAATCAAAATTTAATGCTCAAGAATATGAAATAAATTTTCATTTTAGAGAAATAGATCAATATAGAAATCAAATGAAAAATCTATTAAGAGTTCATTATCCATTTTATACTAAATTATTAATTGGAATTTTTAAATGCATTAGTAATCTAAGTTATTTAAGTGATCCAGAATATTAAGGAATAATGCATTTACTAACATTTATATATTCTTAGGATCAAAATTCATTTTTTTGTGATCTATTAAAATTTTAATAAAATTAGCCCTACCAAATTCCTGCATATTTCGAAGTTAAGAATTTCTGTGATGTCTATATCAAAGATAGCAAAGAGGAAGAGTTTCAGATAAAATAAAATGAAAATATATAGAAATGGATTTAATAAATCATTATCTAATTAATGCAATATTAACAATAGAAGAATATAAAAAATGATAGAATTGTACAATATTTAGGAGAATAATTTAATATTCCTATATCTACAATAAAGGTTGTACCTATAAGAAATTTAAGTCTCTCCAAAAGTACTGGAAGGTTATCAAGAGCTAAAATGTAAATTTATTAATTTCATATAGTTAAATTAATTAATGGAAAGCACCTTTAAGGGATTTTGAATTTTATTTTCTTTTTGTTTTGATGTGGTATTTGAGCTTAGGTTTAGATAAGTTTCGAGGGTAACAAATAAATGAATTTCCTTCAACTTAATGGCCAAGAAAACTAGCTTCACCTGTGAATCTTTTAATCGTGTCAATTCTTACATACATTGTAATCACTTTAGTCTTTATGCTCTTTTGACATATATTTTGATTATCATTTATAATTTTAGATTTATACTCAGTTTTTAATTTTCATGAGTAAATAAACTGTCAGTTCAACAGCAAAATATATATAAAATATTGAAACAAAATAATCCACTTATGTCACATTAGCGTTGAATTTCTTTGTTTCTCTAACTAGAGCTTAAATCTATTTACAATCATTGACATATTTTCAATCATATTCATTATTTATTGGCACTAGTCTATTTTTTTCATTATTTCTGTAAATTCTTTCTCTGAAAGAGGTCCATTTCTATTTTTACTCTTCTTTTTTAATTTTTTCACTTTTTAAATCTTCTTAGAACATTAATTGAATTCTTCATCATCTGAAGAAAACTTCTTCTCTTCATTAATATAATTGAAATCCACAAAATCAACATCAAAAGATTTTTCATTTTCATTCTTGAAACAATCATCCTGAATAGAAGGTTCAGGACTTTGCATTCTAAATATAGTTTTGTTAAAATTCAATTTAGAAAGGTATTGATGACATTCTTCTTGTATCAGATCATTGTTCTCTTAAGGTTAAGGTAAGTTGTCATATAAGAAAGGGTTGATATCCATCGAGATATTTTATAAAAAATATCAATTATTAATTGAAAGATATTCAAAATCACCTTTTATGACGACTTGAGTTGATTAATTATTAAATCTTTATTTTGAACTATTTCCAATAATAATAGATGCGTGTTAATTTATAAAACAGTATATTAAATAATCTGAAAATCCTCTATATATATACATCAAAGCATTATTTTCCATTATGATTCTCAAATTGTTAATCAATCAACGTCTAATCAAGCGTGGATAAAGATGATAATGTAAACTTTAATTTCACTATTTATTAATTAATAAATAATAATAATTTAAAACTAAGATATTATTTTTTGATTACCACATTAATATATATCAATTATTCATAGATAGTTTCTTTTGATATTAATCCAAAATTTCTTATTTTATTGAGAACAATATGGATTCTAGATTTTCAAGCATCATTCTCATCTTTTAACAATAATGAATTTATTCATTTTTACTTTCAGCTGAAAAATGAACAAAAGTAGTAAATTCTTCAATAATATTATTCAAAGAGATTTATTTTGTTTTGAACTTTGCATTAAATTTTTTAGATTTTTTTTAAATCCTCTTTAAAGTATGAGGAGTTTGATATTTCTTTTCATTACTTTATTAATTCTCTGAGGTGTTAGATTGATAATCCAGATAAATAACAGAAAGTTGATCTTCATTTATTTTTCTACGATATGGAATTCCAAATAGGATTGGTGATTCACATATTAACTAGTTTGAGTATTCATCCCAAGTATTGTTATGGATTTAATCCTCATCAAATATAATTTAGTTCATTCCTTAAATTAATATAATAATAAAATATCTTTTATAATTTCTAAGTTCTTAAATAACTTATTTTAATTATGCTTATGTACAATTAATAAATAATAAGATCTTTCATATCCTTTTTCTAATAAAATTGAAGTTTCGACTTTTTAAAGAGTAAAATAATTTCTCCGTTATTTTTGTTTAAAAAAACCAAATAAACTATTTTTTAATAATTGCGAAACCAAATAAACCTATTATTTGATTATTCTATAATTGTTTTGTTTTGATTTAAATATTTGTGAAATCATTTCAAGAACACTGATTCTTAGTTAAAAAGTATTATTTTGAAATCTGTAAATAAAAGTTAATGTAAATAAATATAATTTTATGAAATTCGAAATTTGATTTTATTTTTTTTATCCAATTACAAACATCGATATATATATATATGTATAGAAGTTATTTGGAATTATAAATTTTTAAATTACTGAATTGATGAAAGAAGAGCTGTAATTAAAATATTAATATGACTAATTGCTATTATTAAATATATGAAACAAAATAATATAAAATATACGATAGAAGAATAGGTAAATAAAATAAAGTTTTTAATTTATTTTTAGACAAGTGAATATGTATAAATATATTTATTGATTGTTATAATTCAATTTTATTTTATAAAACATATTACTTCCAAAAACTTTATAAATGTAAAGAAATAAAATAACAAAAGGATTGCATCTAAGACTTTCAGTCAAATTAGAAGTAGACCTTAATCAGGCATCATCTATGATACTAAAAAACTTGAGAAGGTGTCTCCAAATGGTTTAAAGGTAGTTATACTTGGAGCAGGTGAATAGAATGATTTAGATAAATTTGTATTGAAACCATCCTCTAATAAATTTAGAACACTTTCTACAAGAAAAACAAATGTTATTAATGATAGTTCAGTAACATAAAGCAAATCTAATCATACAGAAATTGTAAAGTACTATATTCAAACTAATCATTTAGAAATTCACCTGTTGTTTAAGATTTAAGTAAGAAAATACCTGTCAACATGGTCAAGGATAAAGTAAAGATCTTTATTTATTAAACTAGGATGATTTATATGCAGAAACTGTTTATTTAAAAGATATTATTAACAAGTTAACTTAAGAAAACTATGATCTTAAAGCAAAAATGAGATTTTTGAATAAAAATACAGAACGTATGTAAACTGTAGTTTAAAATGTGGGTGGATATTTACAGCAGAAATATGTTGCTGATAAATAGGATTTAGCTTTGATGACTAAATTGGGAATTAGTGAAGTATTAATATAAAATTTATTAAATATAGAATTTATTGACAATTACTTTAAAGAAATAAATAAAAGAGTTAAGAACTATGATTAAATAATAGAATGAAGAAATATAAAATTTGAAACATGATATTAAATATACTAAAATTTAAGAATTGGAGAAAGAAATTAATGTATTTTAAGAAGAAACATTAAGATTAAAAACTTTATTAGAATAATCTTAGAGAAATGAATAGATATATTAAATGACTCATGATTTTAATTAATTTGAAGAGAAATTCTATATTTAGATGCAAATAATAAATTCTTTAAAATAGGAAAATTCATTTTATTAAGGACAAATTGCAATTGAATAAGAAGAGTTGTTTAAGTTATAAAATTAAATAGAGACTAATTAAAAAGTTCTTAACAAATAAAAATAAGTGATTGATGATCTTTAATAAACTCTGAAAGATAAATTAATTTATATTGATGGACTTTAATAGGAATTAGATTCATATAAAGATACAAATTAAAATCTAATTTAAAAAGCAAATAAATTAGATAATAATTAATTAAGAATAATAGGATTAGTTAAAATTGAATAAGAATTAAGAAAAGAATTATAATAGAAAACAAGAGATATAGAATATTTAGATAAAACAACAACTGAATTGAAATAAAAATTAAATGAAAAATCTTCAATTGAAGCAAAAATTAAAGATTAATTATAAGAGGAATTAAAGAAGCTTAAAATAGCTTATGAGGAATTAGATGAAAAATATAAACATTTGCTATTAATAAATGCCTAATCTAGGTTAAAAGAAACTGTTCCATCTATATAGTAAAAGTTGGCTCCAACAGCAGCAACTCTTAATTTAAAGAGTTAGAGACCATAAAATTAAAATAATACTCCAGATAGTATTAATTAGGATAAAAATTAATAGTAATAAAAGTTTAAGGTTATTAAAAAAGATGATGTATAATATTTAGGATTTGAATTAAATTATCGATTGAGAACTAAAAAAATTACATTAGCAGATGCAATTGAAAGATATCTATTTGATAATAAAAATAAGAAGACTGGAGAAATTAAATTAAAAGAAATATCAGAAAGAATGTAGAAAGAACCTTTTTTATTAATTGATGAAGATTCAGCTTTATTGGTAGCTAGATATCTTACTGAAGATAATTCTTAGGAATTTGTTGTTTATAATGATTAATTAACTTAATCTACAACTATAGTAAGAAGTATCTTGTAAAAATTGATTGGAAATTATGATATTTTAACAAGTGAAATTGAAATAAAAAAAACAAAGGAGATAACACAAGTATATTTAAAATTATAATTATTAGGTTATTAGTAAATATAAAAATAGTTTGAAATAATATTTTGATTAATTAACAAGTAAATATGAAGGATTATTAGAAAGAAAACAAATTATAGAAACATTTGAATATATGGATATCGATTTAACTCCAGAATAATATGATTTCTTATTTTTGAGATTATTCTCATATTCAAATAATACATAGATATTCCCTTACATTAGAATATTTGAAATCTTCTAAGAAATTTAAATAGAAAGAAGTAAATATTAAATGATAAGGATATAGTTGATAGTGATAAAAAGAAAAAGTCAAGAAAAAAAGATTTTAAAGATTAAGTTGACAATAAAAATAGAAAGGTTGAAATATTTACAAGAAGATAATCTATGGAATTAGCAAATTGAGTAAATTTGTATTAATGGTTTAATTTATTGTTATCAAAAAAGAAATCAAATTATTTCTGATAACTATTCTGTTAGTTTATCAAAATACATACATCTTTCATTCTAATAGATATATTCCCAATCCTACCAAAAATTATCAAAATAAATTCTAACAAATCCAATTTTACTATCTAGTTCAAATTATCCTAAATCTTTAAAATATTCATTCATCTATAATGGAGTCATTTATTAACTATTTTTAATTATTTAATAATGATAAGATAATGAATTGTCATGTTTACACATAGAATCTAATCTATTTGTTGGTAATTTAAAGTAAACCAAAGATAAAGTTAGATTTCTACAAAAACAAAACTCTTCTATATCTTTACTTAAAATAGTCAATAAATCTTTAGTAGCATTTTTGGATAGTTTAAAATCATTATCTTCAATTTTAATTTAGAATTTATCATCAAATAATTTTTCAGCAATAAATAATTTTAATTAACCTTTATCTAAACTTAATTATATCCATCCAAATACATCTTATTAGATTAATTAATCTTATTCTTCTGGAATATTGAAAAAATTTAGTTATAAAGGATAGTATATTTTTATTTAATTTAATTTTAATACAACATTAATATATCTATCTTCTTCAATTTAAATTGTATATAATCCCAATATAGCAGGTAATAATGTATTACCATTTTTTTACTTACTATATTCAGTTTAATAACGTTTACAAATATTCATCAATCCTCCACCCTTTGTTAAGAGCAGTTTATGTTATTTTGAAATGATTTCAATAGAAAAATAATTATCATAAGTAATAAAAATAGGTCCATAAAATTAAGATAATTTAGTATTGATTAATTTCTTTGTATTCTATTCAATTTTTAAACTAATTTTTAATTGATTTAAATCAATATTTAATATTTAACTAAAGAGATGAATCAAAGTCTAGCTTGCATAACTATAACAATTTATAACTCTTTTATAACAAATTTAATTAACATAATCCTTTAAACATAGATTCTAAAATAATTAATAATAATTATACATTATAATTTTTATATTTCTAATCCAACTCTTTATAATCATCTTATAAATATAATTAATATTTTGTGATATGTATAAAATTAAATGGTTTTAAAGTTTTCAATAATGATTACTTTTCTTGAATACATTAATTGATGACATTTTTAATAGAAAGTAATACAATAAATAATTCTTGATTATTCTTAATCAATTTATTTTGAATTCCATTTCCTAAAGTTGATGATAATATAATTTCTGATTATAATTATTTCTCACTAAACATTGGTTTTACTGTATATTTAAGTTTCTTATTTTAACAAACACTAATTTCAAGTCCAGAATTAATACTAATCTATTCAATACCATTAAACTATTATAATTTAATTATTACATCTTCTTTTTATAAAAGTTTATCCTTTAATTTAAAATTTTAATTTTTTTTTTTCATTCCCATTATTATTGTATATATATACTTTTTTACAATTGGATCATTTATTCTGATCAAAAAAAGTAATATACCTCCCAAGGGATAGATAATTGGAAAAGAATAGAAACGATTTTCATCACCAGGAATTAATTAAGTCCAAAATATAAGGCATGAGGGAATCATATAAGTGACTAGAAATACTGTTGTATAGAGTGTATTAACAATTATGAATTCTTTATGATATTTCCTATGAAATTTTTCTGAATCTTTATTATAAAGAGTCGTTTTAAATGATGATTTTTCAGTGATTACGAAAACAAGTAATATTAAAATGGTTAATGTTATGAATGCCAAAATAACACTTAAAGGTATGGATAATTCATTTAATAATAAACCACATACTCCAACAAAACTAATTATATATTATTGATACTTTATTTTGACATCTTTAACAAAGAACATAGTCAAAGTGAATAGAAATGAAAATATTAATGAGAATATTTCCATAAACTTAAAGTATTTAGTAAAGTTATAGTCTTATGTTTTTAGTGAACAGTATAGATTTATTGGAAAATAGACATTATAGAGTATATATTCAGATGAGAAAAATATCTCAATGAACCCTAGAAATGAGCAAAAATTTGAAGATATTACAAAGGTACCACCAGTTATTTTATCATTAGATTCAATGTAAAATTGTGCAAATAACATCAAAAAAGTAATTATCTAATAACATTCTTTTCAATACAATTTAAGCTATGGTCATTCTTTAAATAATACTCCCTGGGTTTTTGCTTAATCTAGGTGTTCTAAAGAATTTCAATAAAATTAAAGTTGACCCTGTGATTGACAAAAGGCATAATATTATCACAAATACTCTCGCAATCAATTTTTCTGATAATTACATATATTCATATTTGATTTGAATATAGAATATTTCAATATAAAAATCAAAATTAGAAATTGTAAATATTACATATTATCATATTAAAATGTTTGTCAGATCTGCAAGATATGCCTTTTCGACTTTCCCTTCACCATTAGTCTCAGTACAATATTTGAAATAAAATCTCAATAAAGTCAAAGTCTTAGGTAAAGCAAAAGTTAAAAATAGATTGTTCATGGTACCTTCCTCAAATGAATCGCAATGCAGAATTAGAATATAAAAAATCACATATTCCTGGAGCAATCCGTTTTGATATTGATGCAAACAGTCTTTAAGAAACTAGTTTACCTCATATGCTTCCAAAAAAAGAAGATTTTGAAAGGTACATCATATATTATATATAAGGTCTGTATCTGATATGGGAATTAGTAATAATGATCAAATAGTGGTTTATGATGGAATGAATATCTTTTCATCTGCAAGAGTTTATTGGCAATTCAAATACTTTGGACACAAAGATATAGCAGTCTTAGATGGTGGATTTCCAGCTTGGGTTCGAGAAAATTGTGCAGTTTCTGATGCTCCACCCTTAATAAAGGAAGCCAAATATAAAGCAACTCCTTAACCTCATATGTTAAGAGAGCTTGATTTTATACTTAAAAATATAGAGAATTAAAATAAAGGAAAGAGAGGAGATTAAGTTTTGGATGCTAGACCTGCTCCAAGATTTAATGGAGAAGTACCTGAACCTAGAGCTGGATTATCTAGTGGTCATATGCCATATTCAAATTCATTACCTTTCAGTCAATTAATTGATTAACAAACAGGATTGATGAAGACTGTATTATATTTAATTAATAAATTAGGCTGAAGAAATTAAAGAAATTCTCAATAGTCTTAATGTAGATTTGAATAAAAATATAGTATGTTCATGTGGATCAGGAGTAACAGCAGCAGTGATATATGTTGCATTAGAAAGAATAGGATTGAAAAATATTTCATTATATGATGGAAGTTGGAGTGAATATGCTTCTACCAAGGATGTGGAAATAAAAAAGAAATGAATTTATAATATATTTAATAAATTTAATGAGAATATTTAAATAGGCATTTGAGAGTATTTAAGGGAAGAAAGGGGAAGAAGAGAACAAATCTGGTTAAAAAGGAGCATTTTATATAGATGAATAATTCATGACTCCAGAGTTTTTGTATAAATAGAATCAAAAAGAAGTTTAATAAGGAACATAAAAGAAAATAAATTTAACGAAATAATTTTTTTTAACTATGTCTACAATGGAGAATAAATTTAATTTGTCTCCAATAAAATAAATTAATATGGTAGATTAATTAGTAGGAATGTATTAAGAATGTGTTTAATAATATGATACTTTAATGGATCCAATTAAATATTATTTTTTAGATAAAATTAAGAATATAGTATAATAAGCAGATAAGTTTACATAAAGAGAACCAAGATCATTATAATCTTCAGAAAGAAAAATGTAAAGTATGAATATTAATGATTAGACAATAACCTATATAAATTATGAGTAGTGATGTTAGTTATTTTAAAGATTTTGAAGATTTTAATGATAGAATTGATAAACCAACAGAATATGCTACACCTAAAAATGAAGATCAATTTTAATAAATTGATAATAAGAAATTAGTTATTTAACTTCAAACATTTATAGAAGAAGGTAAAAAGAATAAAGATAATCCTGATATAATTATGAAAAATCATGAATCTCCATAAACTTAATTCAATGACACAAAAGTAATATAAAAATTGGATGAATCATCTTCTAAAAAGAGATCACCGAAAATAGAATTTAGAAATGAAAATAATGAAACACCTATTCCTAAATTATTGCTGAAAGAGGAACATTAAGTCAAATAGAATGTAGTGGAATCATAATTACAAAATTAATCAAAGTCTATATAGGATAGATTAATGGCCAGATAAAAAAGTTAAAAGAAAAAAGAAATTTGATAATTTATATTATATATGTAAATGGTACGCTAATTTAAGCGCCATAATATATAAATTAATGAAAAAGAAAAGATAAATACATTAAGATGATTTATAAAATAATAAGAAATAACCCAATGCTTATGAAGATTTAGAAAACACTCAAAGTAATGTGACTGAACTCATTAAAAGAATGAAATTTAGAGAGATAGAAGAATTTGAAATACAATAATTTATTGCATCTCAAAATGAATAAAAGTTTCTGATGATTACTGGTTAACCTGGATGTGGAAAAACTATGTTATTAACTAAATGTTTAAAATAATGGTAGAATAATTATACTACTATCTATATAAATGCAATGCAATGTAAAAATTATACAGAATTTTTAAACATTTGTAAAAAGTAATTGAATGTAAAGAGTACTTCTGGTAAATAATAAGCACGTAAAATAATTATGGATACACTTAAAGAATAAAATACGTATTATTATATTTAATAAATAATAGTATAATTACTATTGATGAATTTGACAATTTATTCAAAGTAAGTGAAAAAGAAGCCTTTGATTTATTCTCTTTATCAAAACATGCAATCATTATTGGAATTAGTAATGATATAGAGTTTCTATAAACTTAATCAGTGAGATATAAATTTTAGCTCCCTTAATTTAAAAATTTAATTTTGAAACCTTATACAATCTAATAGTTATAAGAATTAGTTTTAGATATATTAAAATAAATTGAAATCTAGTAATAATTAATTTATATATAGAAAATATGATGAAAATGCTATTAAAATACTTACAACAAGAGCTTATAATGATAAGGGTGGTGATATGAGAAATATAATAGATATAGTTAAAAGGACTTTAAGAGACAAAGATGAAATAACTACAGATGCTGTCAATAAAGAAATTGGTATGACTGTTTTTGATAACAAAATGAAGAGTGTTGTAACAACATTGTCATTACATCAATAATTAATATTATTAGGGATTACAGCATTACTAAAAAAGGATACTAGTTAAATTGAAATAGATTTATCTGATCTTACAAGAAAGGTTAATGAAATTAAATATAAATTATGTTTACCTTTAAGTGTGGATGTAGAAGAGGAAATTAATTTATTAAAAGATTATAACCTACTTACTACAAAAGAAGTGAAACAATAAAAAATGGGATTTAAAATCACAGTAAAAAAGATTCAATGTAAATTTACAGCAGAGGAATTGAAATATTAATTATCTGATCTGGATGCATTTAAAAACATTTTACAATAATTATGAATATATTTGATAATAAATCATTAGCAAAGAATCTCGATGTCTATTGTAAAACAAAGTATCGAAAAAGAACATACAAACAAGAAAGTAAATACAAAGTCTATTCATTATCTAAAAACTAAAAAACACTTAAGCCTAGTCATTCTTTTCAGCAATTAAAATAGGTCTTATTTGAAGAAAGATCAATGAATCTTAGTTGCCATTGTAATGAATGTGGTGGCAATATTCGTAAGAAACTGTTAATAAAGAATGAAACTGATAATAACATAATCTAGAAACCTATATAAATAAAATTACATGAATTAGAAAGAACTCCTAAAAATCAAGAAAACTTACTAAAATCAAGTGGAACTGCATCCATGTACAACTTAAACATAATTTTAGTCATTCAACTACTAATAATGTTATTAAATCCAAATTCAAACCAATGTCTTAAATTTTATAAATGGTGTATGTCAAAAGTGCAATCTCCAAACTTATGTTATCTAATAATTTATAATAATAGTTATTTCAATCATCTCCTAATACTCTTACAGATTTAACACCAATATAAAATAATTAAAAGACATCAGATTAAAAAGATATGCATAATCAATTATTTGGATAAAGAATTAAAACTGAACCAATTCTTGGAAATTAATAACTAGCAATAAAAAGAAAAACATTTTATTATCCTCGAGTATCAAATATTACTAAATTGGGAGTTTCAAATCCTTTGAATTTTTAGGATATCTTTGATAAAAAGTTATCATTAAAATTAGCTCCTCCTCTTACTAGTAGATACAAATCTCCAGAAAATAAAAAATAAAGAACATTATCTTAAAGAATTCAAAATACTTATTTCAAAAATATTGACTAAAAATTGAAAAACAGTACAAAAAAATGATATTATTAAATAAAAAATAAATACAAATTTCTTAAATTGCATTTACATTTAATTATACACTTGTTTTTATGAAAAGATTAGAAAAATAATAAAAATATAATATTCTTGTTTTTATAATTAATATTAAAAAAAGATAATAAAATATAATAATAATCATATAAAAATTAGAAAACAAAAGATTATTATAAATAACTATTATAAAACTAAAGATTATATAATAAAGTATTATAAAATTACAACATTTGCAAAAATAGTAAGTTTATTAATTTATTAATAACTTAAAAATTAAATATCATATTAAAGTCTCTACTTTTGTTTTCTTCTTTTTGTAACAGTAATATCCAGTTCCAATAATTAGACAACCTCCCAATATACCCAAAGTTACCCATAGTCCTGTATGACTACTAGTATCACTATTTGGATGATCATTATCATCACTACCAGGACCTCTAATAGTAATGGGTATTTAATCAAATGAGAAATCATTGGCAACTCTAATATATCCTGTAGATCTGTCAAATTTTCCATCAATCAAAAGTTATGGAGATGAATTAATTTTATACAAAGATAATGAATTAAGCTTCTCTGAATTAGTAAGGTAATATAACTAATTTATAAATAAATGATATTACTTAATTATCGTATGAGTACAATTCCTCTTATGTTTCATATTTATAATAATAGAATGCAGGTCTTAAGGCTGCAAAAAAGATTACTGCTGAATGAGTACTTTATACTTTAGGTAATTAATAGATTGTTTAAACCAATTTCATTCTTGCAGAATCTGTATAAGAAACTTAAATGAAATTATTAACTATTTTAACAGTTGAAAATATGTATCCCAAGATATTAAATGATCCATATCCTTATAAAACAAAGACAATTTTTTTGGATTATAAATTGCATTAATCAGCAGCACAAGAAAATTCAATGTGCATTCCATAATGAGGACCAACAGTGGCAAAAATAATAAAGTCTGCCTTAAATGATGTGTCAGTAATCTAAGTATTAATTGTTCTGAGGCAAGAGAAAATAGTCTCTTTTAATATATAGAATTCTTGATTTATAAAATCAAATAAATTGAATGTAATTTTGTTAGTTCTTTATATTTGATCATTTTTTATACTATATTCAAGTACAATAAAAGCATAATTATAATCAGTACAGTAAACATGATAGTGATTATTCTTAATTTTGGATATAGTTAATCCATATTAGTAATTATCCAAATCATCTACCGTTATTTTACCATAATTTTAAGCTTTAGATAAATCTAGAAGGTTTTTGGAGTATGCCAAGATTACCTGTCTCAAAATAATAAAGATATTTTCAGTATCAATATATCCAGATATTATCTCATCGTTTATTTATAACCAAGAACTACCTATTTTACAATTAGTATTTTCGCATTGAATTCCACCAACATACTATATTTTATCTTTATAACATTAAATCAAGACTTATTAATCAAAACTTGATATTATGTCTTCACATATATAATCTTTTGTTATTTTTTCAGTAACTACAACTTCATTTGTCTTTTTACTAATAAGAAGATAAGATTCATTTTTTAGAACAAATATATAATTTGTACCAAAATCAACAGCATTTTTAGTTTCATTTTAATAATATGGTTTTACAACTTCAATAGGATTTATTATTTCTGCTTTTTGATCTTTAAATTGAGGTATAAATAATTCAAATTTAGTGACCTCTCCTTAAAACCAATCACTACCCATATCTTAAATATAATTATGTTCTTGATTGGATGTTAAATTAGTTGTGATATTCAATTTATCCTATTTAATTTTCAAATCAATATAAGTATTAACTAATCTAAAGTTTCTTTTAAGCAATAAAATTTATTCATTTGAATAACATATTACATAATCTAAATTAGAAATGAAAGTATTATCATCAAAACTCACTGAATATTACAATTAAGGATATCTTTATATATAATATACCCAAATATTTTCTTTATTAAATTAGAATATAGTATTTTAAGTTGCTGTCACAAATTGATTAGCTGGATCCCAATCTTATACACAATATAATGAATTGTGATCAGTTAATTCAACAATATATGATAAAATAACAGATTTGAATTCTGATTTTGCTTTAACATGCAATAAATTATTATATGGAACCCAAAAGAATGAGTCAATACTTTCAATTTAATAATTATAAAAAGATGGAGTTTTTTCAAGATAGATATTTGTAGGATCTTCTCTATTGTAAATTTAAAATGTAAATTTTCCTTTATCTTACTATTAAAGAATAGCAAATCGTTCATAAAAATTGATAACTCGAATATCTTAAGATTATGAAATGGACATGATATGTCCTAAAGAGAAATCTGTTCTAGTTAAATTCAACATCAAAAGTTGATTCTATTCTTAACCATTAATTACAAACAAAAGTTAATTAAAATCATTTGAAAATAATCTCTATGGATCCCAATTAAGAAATCCTAATTAACTTAATTTATCAGTGTTTATTAGGTAAAGAAAATCAACATTCTAATAATTATAGACTCCTATAGTTTTTGCTGCTTTAGAAAATAATAGTAAATACTATTAATTTAAGTAGATACTATCAATTGTTTTGATTTAATCATCATCTGTAAATGTAATAGTTCTGTTAGAATAATAACTTGACATAAATTTATAATAGAACAATGATCTCTGATTTAATAGAGTGATGAATGTAAATTCATAATAATAATATTGGATTAGAGTATTTTACTACGTAATTTCAAAATCCAACTAAACTTGATAAGACTTTTAACATTGATCAGTTTAAATAGTTGAACAATAATAAATAGTTAATTATTTTTGTTTATTTTAAGTAATTATAGCATAAGGTTAATCAAAAGATTATGCCATAGAAACAGTTTGAACAAAGATCAAGTCAGTTAAGCTTAAATTTTTATTTGCATACTTTCCTGATATATCTCCTGAAACTCCAATATAAGTAAGATTTCCACCTCCTTAAACATTATCTTAAACATCCTTTGTAAAACTGATTTTTTATTTAGGACCAGATACTAATTATCTAGGACTGATATTAAATTCACTAAAAAATATTCGTTCTGTAAAAAATGGAGAATCTTAAATATTTCCTTTTGATACTTATAATAAATCAACAGAGTTCATTGGAACTGTCTAATACTCTATAGTAACTTAACATGCATTTAAAATTAGTTTTGAATTTCCAGTAATACCTTACTCATTATTATGATACTAGATACGATATTTAGAGTGACTTAAATAATTGTTAATATTAGTATTGGTGAAGGATAAGAAATCATTTTAAATTTAGTCTGTCATTACATTACTGAAATCACCAGGCACAATTTAAATTAGATATAAATATTTATCAAATGCTATCATTTAAGTTTAAGAAGTTAAAAATAGAAAATTATTGGTATAATGAAGTTTTGAATTTGATAAGTCTTCTTATGATTCATAAATCTAATTACGTTGTTTGATAGATTATTTTTATAAGATTGCAAATTCTTAATTCTTAAATTAATAATCAAAAGAAATAGATTCACCTAATTGATATCCTTATTGATAAAATTACCAAGTATTATTGGAGGAATAGTAATTTAATAAAAAGACATTTCCAGTCTTATCTAAAATAGCAATTTCATCAGATGGACTAATTTTAGCATCAACCATATCAAATTAATATTAAGTAATATTAACATATTGTTAAATCAATTCTTAATTAATTGTCTATTCTAGTTTTATTTCATTGTTTTATAAATCATATGAAAACAATTCAATAATTGATGGATTATTATTTGTTTTCAATGTAATTCTATAAATGTACTTCTCAGTGCTTATAATGTATCTTTATTAATCTTTTTCATAAGGATACACATTTTCAATTTTTAATTGCTATTAAGCATCCTTTTCACTAATCATATAAAAATAAGTTTATGGCTCTTAATCATTTACCTGATAACAATCAATAATTAAATGAGATATATCTAAAATAGCTGAAGATTAACAAATAACTTCATCAGTCTTCCCAATTGTAAATGTTTTATCAAAAGTAGGGTATCTCTATTAAGTACCTGCAACAATTTTTTCTGTCCATGTTAAAAATTATTCATCTTAGTTTCTGATAGCTAGTAATTAGAACTTATTAATCCATTAACTTTGACTATTAGTTAACACAGAGTATGATATCAATTTATTGACTAAAATATTTAAGTTGATAATATACCATTAGGAGCCATTTAGATTGTAGTTTTTAAATTAATTGGTGGAAGCAAAGTAAGTTTATTATATTAGTCTGTTAATGTAATGATGTCGTTGTATTTAACATTACTAAAATACAAAGATAAATCTTAGACAATTATTTCATTTTCCTTTCCAACTATCTTTGTATAATCACTTGGGAATAAAGAGCAATCTTTGGCTATGCTCTGTAGAATGCAACTCAATAAAGTGATGTAAATCATTCTAGATTTTAAATTCAATATATATATAACCACAATCACAAGAGAACTTATATATCACTTTAAATCCATATTTCCATTGTATATAGAGTTATTGAATATTATTTTTGGTTAATCCATATAGAAAATTAATTTTTTATTTAACATAACCTTGAATGAATATCTGTATTTTCTATTTTTCAAATTATTGTCACAGATTAAAATATTTACATTAAACAAAATAAGAAAAGATTGTCAATCTCATTATCTATCCATAGACTAGTTCTTAAAATAGTTGGAACTCTTTAAAATTTGTTTAAATAAAATTAGATACCATTAATTATATATAAATGAGTGAATTACATCATCTAAAAAGTTAAGTAGTATTATGTAAAAACTTGAACATATAATACCAACAAATACAATTATATACTAATAAATACAATAAAAAATCAATCTATAATCATTTTCAGTTGATTAATGAGATGATCATATATACAGATTAATCAATTTTAACCTTCTAATCCAGTCGTTACATATGTTATTTAAAAATGTCTTAAATAATTATATAACTCATTTCTAGTAAATAAGTTGTACCATCTACCTAGTACCATATCTAAACTATTTCATCTTATATAAGTAATAACAATTTAGAGATATAAAATTTTGTATAGAAAATATTATCTATTCAAAAACCTGAAGATATTAGGATATTGTAAGGTATTCATTAATGTCAATATAATTAATTATAATTTTATGATATATTTTTTGAGATTCATAATTACTACAAATTTTTATTTTTACAATTAGTTAATTTAACATATAATATGATCTAATTAATTTATTACAAAATATCGTAAGACTTTTGAATAATGGATTGTAAAGGATTCTTTAAAGATTATAATAAAATTCTATATAAATTTGAATAAATTTTAATGTATTAAATAAATAATTTTAGAATGAATATTATGAATTCGTTTTTGTGAATATTATTTTAAATGAAAGCTTTGATTTTATTAGTTTTGGCTTTGAGTGCTTTTGCATTCACTGAGTAAATGATGTCTTTGGAAGAATTAGCAAATTTTAATGTGAAAACAATGGATTGCACAAGATCAGATCAATTTTCATTTATAGAAAAATAAATGAAGTAATGGGAAGATTTATTAATCCATCAAAAAGCCATCTCTCATGATATTAAGATTCTTGAATAAATGGAAAAAATGATAACAACAAAACATCATTCTTTCTTAGAAGCATAAGTATCTGTTTCAGGAAAGAAATTGCTAAAGAAATTACATAAATTAGAATTACCACTTACTAAAAGCTAAATTGGTTTAAGTCAAGTCAAGGCATTAAGAGAATAATGTCATGCCTTAGATTCTGAAAGTAAAATAAAAATTGATAATTTATTTTAGATCATGAGGATAGAGCAGCTGCTAAAAAAGAATTATGTAAATTATTGAGAGAATACATTAACAGTCTTAATAATTGTAGATAATAATGCAGAAGCACTCCAATTACAGTCATCAAGATCAAAGGATAAATTAAAGATATCGAAATTATTAGAGGAGGATGTGCTAATAATGGATCTTAAACTGGTGTTAAAGTAACATCATAAGATGATGAAACTCATGAAATAACCATTCATCATCATCATAAAGGAAAAACAACCTCTGAAACAACTTAAGCTGCTGATTCAAATAATTCAGAATCAGAAGCAAAAGCAGAATCACATGATGAAGCATAAGAAAGTTAAGAATCTACTTCAAATGAATAAACATCAGCTAATGAAACTGGAGAAGCTGGTGAAGAAGAAGTGACAGAAGAAAATACTGAAACAGCTGAAGAAACTACATAAGCAGAAGAGGAAGGAGCAGAAGAAACAACAGAAAATGGAGAAGAAACTACAGAAACAACTCAAGAAGGAGAAGAAACAACTGAAACAACAGAAGAGACAACTGAAACAACAGAAGAAACCACAGAAACAACAGAAGAAACAACTGAAACTACAGAAACAACAGAAGAAACAACAGAAACAACAGAAGAAACTGTTCCAGAATGATTAAGTAATCAAAATATTAAAATAATATTTATCATCGTTATTATAATTGTAATACCAACTATTCTAAGTTTTCAAGTTTTTAAGATTATTTATTTAATATTCCTATCTAAATTAGCATAATAATAATTAAAAGAAATATGGATAATAAATAAAGTAATTCTGATTTTCTACCTTAATAAAATTAAGTTTGAGAAATATTTTATTTTTATTAATGAGATTGACTAGTTTACATTATTTTGTTTAAGATATTATCATCTAACTTTTTAGAACTATTATAATATTAAATAATTACTCCTCATATTCATGATTGATATTAGATGCTTATGATTTTTAAGATTTAGCCATAGCTTCTAATCTAATTTTAACATTATTAATCCATTTTTCATAATCTTCTTTTAATCCAGACATTGTTTTACTCATAATTGTGCCTTTCATCATAGTTGATTTTGTAAATACAACTGAAGCAAATATTTTCAATAAACATTTATTATCTTCCAATTATGATACTTCCCATTTTTCTTCTGCCTAAAAACAATTTCCATAAGGAACATCTAAAGTATGAGTAGTACAAGTATAAATTAATTTATCAGACTCTTTCTTATAAGTAAATAGTTTATGCATTCTACTTTTATCTTTGAAAGGAACTCCAGTTAACTTAATAACATTTTTCATTTCTCTTTAAAACATTTATGGATTATCTTCTACAGGTGTCCATTTAGTTAATTAAATATCAGTATCTTTTTCTGATTATCTATGATCTGCAATTGAATAAACAAGTGCATCATCTGCAAAAAAGAATTCAAAAAATTTATCTAAACTAAATGAAAATGTAAATTTGCATATCTCTTAATCCATTGATGCTCCTTATTAGAGAAATTAGATTTCTACTTCAGCATTTTCAATTTAAGATTCATCTTCTCTAGCACTATCTGTAGTAGTTTAGAATGTTTATTAATTTGATAATGGTTAACCAGATATTAATGCATTCATTAGATTATATACTTATTCTTTGTCATGAAAACCATTAAAACAGAATGATCTTCCATCCTTCAAAATAATATCAATATCATTTTTATTTTTACTATCCAACTTATTAATATCATCTAATTTAATAACTAAATTTGTTTTGCTTCCTGCAAGATTAGCATAAAAACAAATATGATTTTCAGCTATAAATATTCTTCCATATTTTGATATTAATCCTTTTAAAGCACATGAGTAATCTTAAAATATTATTTCTCCTTTTGGTAATCCAAATAATTAAATCAATAAATCCTTAGCAGACATCTTAAAAATATTAATAATATTAACAATAATATTATTGTAAATCATTATTCGCTATTTCTTGAATAATAATTAAGAAATATAGAAAATTGTTGTATATTTAATAATGAATAATTAATTTCTTAACATATTTAGTATTTCTATATTAATACATAATCATTCATTTTCTAAAATAATTAATTACTCTCCAGTTGAATCATTAAAGACCTCTTAAATAGTCATGTCTTTTTTATCGAATAAAGAAAGCTTAGGAAAATTTTAGATTAAATCAATATCTGCTCTAGGATTAAGAAAGAGTGCATCATCTTGACATATAACAAAATCAAAAATAATCTAAAATTATAAATATAAAATTTAATTACTTATATTTTATCAGTGAAATTAAAGTTTCGAGTAATAACTTTATCAAAAAACCTTAATTAAATGGTAATACAATTTTCTTATGGTTCTTAAGGTAAACCTGAGAGTGCTGTAGCTTTCATAAATTAACGTTATTCCTAAATATAAAATTTATTGATACTTCTTCTTCTTATTATTATTATATTAGTTAATCTTATTTTAATTTTTCATCATTAATTTTCTTCTTTTTTTCATCTGCTTGTTTTAAGGCCATCATATATTCAAAATCTTACTTTTATAATAATTCCTCTCTTTCTCTTTATTCAATTTCTTACTATTTTTTTATTTCCATTTCCATTTATTTTTATATAAATTTATCAATTTAACTTTAATTAATCTATTCAGGATTTTCAACCAATCTTTTTGCTTATTTTTCTTATGCATTAACTTTAGATATAGCAGATCTTATTGATTTTATTTCTTAAGTTAATTCCTCAAAATTAGTTTAAGGAAACAACTTAATTTATTTCATTAAACAAATTTCATCAACAAAATTTATTCTATATATTAGAATAGATGGAATTTCAATATTTTAAGAAGGTAACTAAGCTAAAGTCTCTTAATTAGCTATGAAAGCATAACTGATAAAATTCTTATTTACTATATATACAAAGGATTTGCATTAAAACATAGCTTGTAAGATTTTCAAAAATGAAATATCATGAACATATACAAAAATTGGATAATTTCTATTTTATGCTATTTTAATATTATCTTAAAATGAACCCATTTCGAACTTAATCTCAATTTTAACTTTTTTTGATTAGATATGTTTCTAAAATTCTTCACCATAATTTTAATTTTTAGAAACTATAAAAATAAGGAATGTTTAATACAAAGAGCTTTGGCTAATTTCCAAACACCAGAGACTAATCCTGCTTCTTCATCTATTTTATTCTCTTTATAATTCTTATATTTTTAAATTAATTCTTAAGTGGTTTAAGACTATTCTAGTTCAAAATTCTCTTAAATTTATCTTCTTTATCTTTATGGAAGTTTTGGCTCCTATTAATTTCCCTTTTATATTGGAGCTACAAATTATTATGATTATATTTCTAGATCAAAAAATAATTAAATTGCATTCTTTTAAATAAATAAAACAACATTTTTACCTCTAATTCAAAATTTCCCATTTGTAAATAATTTAAACATTTGTTATGATCCTAACATCCTGTAATATTAGAAAAATTTCTTATTAATTGATCTTGTTATTACATGTGTATATATTCTTTTTTTATTAATAATTAATTAAAAATGGCATAATAGCTGCCAAAAATATAGGAAAGATTAAATTAAAGTATTGAAAACCCATTTTATGTTCCTGATGAATATGAAATCTTTAAAATGAAAGAAAAAGAAAAGTAAATCAAAATGGAAGAAAGGATCAAGTTTCAAAATCTTAGAGTTCATGAAAAAGGGATAAGATCTAAAGGAAAATTGAGTATAAGAGAAATTAATGAAATTGGTAAAGATGAAGATAAAAATGACAAGGAATATAATGCAAAGATGTATTGATGTATTTGATTTAAGAAATATTATTGATGCAGCTGACAATGCTGTTAAGAATAGAGTTAGATAAAAAGAACCTATGTATTAATTCATAGATAAGAAGAGAGAAATGTTATTATTTTAGATGTTGATAGATCATAAAAGAGGTATGATTGATGAATTTGAGAAATTGACTAAGTTACATAGATTAGGATTAGAAAAAAGTGAATAACTCATAGAAGAAGATGTGGAATTATTTAATAAGTTTTTAGAATAAAATAAGATGAGTTCAAGGGAGGCAATAAAAGAAGCAGAAAGAGAAACAAAATTAAAATAAGAAAAAAATAATGAAATCAAAGCTTTATAAGAACATAGAACTGATTTAATGACAAAAATATAATAGAAAATAGATAATTTAGAAGATCTCTTAAAATATAAAAAGTTTTTAGATAAGATTACTCCAAAAGAATTTTAGATGAAATAAAAGCAACCAAAATAATAATAATAGTAATAATAAGTTGTTTTATCAAGAAATAATTAAAATAATTAAATTAATAATGAATTATAATAATTATTGAATGATTCAGATGATGAATAAGTAACATATTTCACTTAACCAAAATAATTGGAAGAAATATTTTAATAATTAGAAGAAAAGAATTTGTTTCTTATTGGAAATACAAAAGAAAGAGAATAAATGGTAGAAGATTTAAAAAATAAATATTATTAAAAAATTAAAACTTTAGAAGAAAAACAAAAAACTGCTTTACAAACAAAAAATGAATTCTTAAAATAAATTGATTAAGTTAATGATTAAATCAAAGCATTAAAAGCTATAAGAAGTGATAGTGAAGTTTTTGAACCATTGAAGAATCTGGAAAACTAAATAGCTAAAATATATAGAACTGATGTTAATCTTGAACCTAGAAAAGATATTACTGGAATTGAAATGCTTAAAGAGACAGAAAAATTATTAGAATAGAGAATAAATGATTTGAAGATGTTTAGATAAATAGCTCCAGAATTAGTATTAGAAAAAGAAAAGAATTGTATAAAAGCTAGAAAAGATATTGTTAAGTAAATGAAATAAGAACAAGATTTGTTAGATTAATAGAAAAAGTAAAAGGAACAATAAAAAGAATAAATAGTTCATAAAAGAACTGGAAGACCTATAATGGTTAGATCATGGCCAGCACAAGTTTAAGTAGAGGAACAAGTAGTTGATGATATTACAGAAGAAGAAAAAGAGAGAATAAAATATTTTACATGAATAATATTAAGATATTTAATCTTAGATCTTTTTAATATTTTATTATGATCTCATTCTTCTATTTAATTTGTTAGTTTAATAATTTAATGATTCCATTTTATATGACGTTTTAAGGATTTCATATGATAATACTTTTTATCACACTATTGACAATTAAATGTATTATTATTATCTTATGATACTTTATCAACTTAATTTTTATTAGACATAATTTATGACTTAAAGAATTGTTTTCCTGATCTAGTTTTACTTAAATTTTTTTGTTTTTATTTTATTTAATCCTAATTCAAATTTTTGATTTCTTATTACAATTAAATATTACATTCAGACTTATTAAGGAATGATTTAGGTGATTCTATTTCCATAGGTCTTTTCTATTATTAACTTTATGATTGATATTCTGAATAACATTTTGTTTATTTTAATAATGCTTGTTTTTCCAATGATAATTTATAACAAATAGTAACCAATTTACTCACATCTGCAAAATATCTAACTAGTGAAACTTAGTCTTCCATCTTTTAGATTGTTTTTAATACATATGTGTATATTTAATTTACTATTCAAGATCCTTGAAATCCTTTAAATATTTAGAACTATTTATTTTTCTTCTCAATAAACTTAATCAAAAATTTAAATTAGATTTCAACTTTATAAAATTTGAATTAATTCTTTTAATCCTTTTGAAATTCTCATTACGTAAATTAATAATAAGAGTTTATGTTTAGGAATATTAATATAACTATTATACGAATGAGGGTTTTTCAAAATATAGAAATTATAAATAAGATTATTAATTTTTGTGTGTATATATAATTTATTTATATATTTTACAATGGCTATGAGTGAAAAATTCCCGAAAGAATAAGAATTATATAGAGTGCTCTCTTAATGTGCATATAGAAATCAGTATAATTCATTTATAATCATAATCTAGTAATTTAGTTGCTAATGATGCTGCAAATATTTTATACAATTACCCAAAATTATTCAATCCACTAATCACATAAACAAGTAAAAAATTATTTAAAATTAAGGTGAATAAGGTATAATTAAACAATTATTGGAATTAAAAGGAGAGTGTATATATATATTTCATCATTAGTGCCAATTAAATATAAAGGATAAACTTACTCTATTATAACATCCATCTCATTTCCTTTTATTTATTCAGATGCTCCAGCTATTATTAGAATTTATAATCCTGACATAACAAAATTTTCTGTGAATTAATATTTCATTCAAGGGGCTTCTCAAGATCAATCTGTTGTAAATATCCATAATTAGGAATTACAAACTTGGTATCAACATAAATCTATTGTAAATTTGATTATCTATTATTAGGCAAGAGTAATGGTCACTTTAGTTAGAGAATTAGAAGCACATTTTCCATTCTTCAACAGAGTAGTAGCTTAAACCAATTAAATGTATTATTAAATCAAATATATTAGGGGAATTCCATAATAGCCTATTGCATAAATACCATAATAATACACAAATCAAACACAATAATTCTACTAAAACTCAACCTAAGGTTATAATTAATATTCAAATATCCCTCCTAATTATTATAATAACCAATCCCAACCTTATAATCCATATGCTGCTCCATAATAATAATAATAGCCATAGGGTTAAGGTTATTATTAACAAAACAACAATTAATCTTAAATTGAATAAAGACTTAAGGAAAAATGTAATTAAAGTAAAATTTTAGTTTATTAATATAGTGTTAAGTGAAGATTTGAATTAAATTTAAAATGATTACAAAATTTTGCATTAACATCATGATAAATTAATTGATGAAATCATAAAATAGGAAACCAAAAAAATATATTTATAAAGTTTAGAAAATTAAATTGAGCAATCTTTAGTGCTATTAGAAAATGAGAATAAAATATTAACTGAGTTTGTTGAGAAAAATGACGTATTAGAGTATAAATTTTACGCATCTTAGGCTAAATGAAGAAACTATCTTTTAGAATATAAAAGAAAATGATTAATTCTCCATATAAATCTTAGAATTATATTCAGATATTCAAGCATGCAGAGAAACTTTGCATTTTATTGTAACCAAATTTAAGAATTTTAATTTACCATTTGAAACTGTTATTAAAGTAAAATAATATATATTATATCTAATAGATGACTCGTAGATATTCAGAAGAGTAATTTAATAATATTTTATTATTAAAGAAATATACATCATCATCAAAAAAATTATGATAATTATAAATTAATAATAAATCTATAAGAATATTTATTTTAATACTAATATAATACTTTATTTTATAAAAAAATCTTAACTTATAAATAGATTCCTTATCAAAATTTAGAACAATAGAATTCAAATTTATTATTAATATCATAATGCTAAATTTTAATTGATATTCTTAACTCATTTATATCATCAAAGTATATCTAATAATAATTAAATAATAATAATTCTCCTGAGTTCCTTTAACTTTTATATAAATAATTTTTAATTTTTTGATTAAATAAATAATACCTAATATTTTCATTCTAGGTAAAATAAGTTTCTTAATTTCAAAAAGATTTAACTTTTATGATTATGAATTATTTTTCAAACTACCCTGATTAACCTAATAATATGAGATATCATACTTTCGATTTTATTTTTTATCTCTCAATTAGTATAGATATTCAATGTATTAGATTCCTAAAATTTAATTCTTTCTATAATTTTAAAATAAAATACATTTGATAAAATCTTATAGGATAGAATTTTTGAGATTAATTTGAAATGTCTTTAAGAATAATAATGCAAATTATTACATACTTATGTTGATTTAATAATTCTATTGAAATAATTATATTAGACTTGAACTGAGAATATGAATATATTATTTGAAAATTATAAAAAATAAAATGTAATATGTATATTAGTATCGTGATAGTAAGTAATAATAAAATGAAAATATCTCATAATATTAAAGAATTGAATTTTTTAAATGTAAATGTAAAACTTTTTGTGTAGTTTATTGTTTATATTATCAAATTTAAAAATCAAAAGATTGATGGGTTTAGCTTGTTCAAATAAAAGAAAAATCAATTTAGTGCTTCAAAAATAAGCCAAACCAAATGATTGTAAACTACTATTCACTTCATCCTTTAAATAAGAGATAAAAAATTAAAGGAACTCTGATATTGAAAATTTGCTAAAACAAATTGAATTGATTGATATACAACATGCTTTTTCTAAAGCTTTGTTATAAAATTTGAATTAGTTAATAATAAGGCGGTCAAAGATTTTATTTTTGAGTAATAAATAAATATCAACTATTAATGATCATCTCAATTATTGTGTTTTAATAATAAGAGGACTATAGGGGAATGAAGAATTTGAACATTATTTTCCAATTTTATCATATAGTTTTTATGACATTTGTTCAAAATTGGAGGTTTATCTAAGGAAACAATAAAATGAATCAACTAGATACTGTTCTTTATAAAAGATTACATGATGCTGAAATATATATATCTATTATTTAGTCAATTAATTAATATTAAAAAAAGTGAAAAAAAGTTTTACATATGAATTAGCCTTTAATAAGCAAGCAAAACTTTGATGGATTATTATAGAAGGCTACATAACTTATTAATTAAGCAAAAGAATTAAATGATGAGATATAATCCTCAGATTAAACTCAATTTGAAAAAATGAAAGAAATTATTGAGAATGCAAGAGTAGCTTAATTAAATTTAGGTGAATAACTTGAATAAGTTATGGAACAATTAGATAAAATTGCAAAAGTAAATGAAAATATTTAAATAGATTTCAGAATAAAAGAAAAAAATAAAATAATTAAAGGATCTCTATGGAAAAGAAATAAATAGATACAAATAGATATAAAAAAATTTAATAGAAGAAGGATATGAAATAAGAAGGTAAACTCTACATAGAAGATCTACTTAAATATAATAGTATAAACCAAATGTTATGTAATCAACTGTCACTGTTAAATAATCTTAAATTGAATAAAAATAATTTGATGAACTAATAGAAATATCATAATTAGAAATTGATAATGCAGTTATTAAAGAAAAGTATATAAATAAATTATAATCTACAGATAAGAAGAAATAGATATTATTGAAAAGGATGCAGAACTTCTAAATAGGATAGTTAATGATATGAGCACAGAAGTAAATAAATAAGGGGAATAACTTAATGAAGTAGAAATGAATATGACAACTGTACAAACAAATTTGAAGGTGACTATCAAAGAATTAGATGGAGCTATATTTGAACAAAAGAAGACATTAAAAAAATACCTTTATCTAGGACTGATAGTCTTAGTAATCTTAGCAATTCTTGGTGGACTCATTTATTACTTAATACATCATATTAGGGAGAAATAACCTAATAAAAAAGATGATGATGAGAATAAATTAAATGAATGAATGAAAAAGTACTTATTTAACAAGATATCCATTAGATGATTTAATTATAATCATTAAATTAATAATTGTCTCATCATTTAATTGAACTCCAATAAAGACAAACTTCCATCTTAATTGCTATCAACTTCAGTCATAATTTCCTACCATGGATTTTCTGTTTCTGCATTACATACCTTAAAAGTATCTTAAAGTTCTTCAACAGATATGTTACCTGATCCGTTCTAAAATTATTTAGTTAAATCTTTATACTCGATCTATCAATTTAAAAGCGGTTTCTATCTTACTCTTTTGTAACATAGTTTATCTATCAACACTTCTAGTCAAAAAAGTAGAATATGTTAATGGATGTTAACATATTTTATTTATCTGTTAATGAACAAAACTTTAATCATAATATTTAAGCATAACAGCCTATAATTCATCCTAATCCAAAACTCCATCTAATTTTGTATCTATATGCATGAATACTACTCTCAATTCAGATAACTCTTCTCTTGTGGCTAAAAATTAAACCATCAATTTTAAAGTAGCTTCCTATAATCTTGAAGATGCTTAAAATGTAGCCAAATTTGTAACTACTCTCTTAATTAATCCATCAAAAACTTTTAATTCATAATTTTTTAATATCCATATATCATTTAATGCCATCTCTGCTGTCATTCTTCTATTAGGATCTTTTTATAACAATTTTACAATAAGATTTTTAGCTTCTTCTGAAGTATTATCCCATTCAGGATCATCAAATTCTACTTCTTACTATATAACACTCTTAATTATTAGTTCATCTGTCTTACCTCTAAATGGAGGATAACCACATAAAAGCAGAAATAAAATTACTCCTATTGCCCAGATATCAACACCACTATGATAATTTCCTAATATTAATTCTGGAGCTTAGAAAAATGGATGATTAGGTTAACTAGTCATTTTGTGATCCATTTTGCTACAACTACCAAAATCAATTAAAATTGGTAATGAATCTTCTGAATTCCTATCAAATAATATATTTTCCAGCTTTATTTCTCTATGACAAATTTACTTTTTATGACAATAATTTATAGTATAAAGTAAAACATATATAATTTTTGCAGCCTAAGCTTCACTAAAAACCCTTTATTTATCAATATGGTCTATAAGTTCTCCTCCTGAATAATATTCTGTTATTATATAATGAAATCTGTCATCAGAAAAATATTCATTAACTCTTACAATATTAGGATGATCAAGCATTTCTAATGTATTTATTTCATTTATAATTTTTCCTTCTACTTTATTTGATACATTTTTCTAGATTATTTTCACTGCTCTCATTATTCCTGTCTTTTTATTTATAATTTTTCTAATTTCACTATATTTCCCTTTACCAATAGGAGGTGTTAAAAAAGAGTATTCTTTACTTACTCTTCCTGCTTTTCTAATTAATACTTCTATTTAATTTCTATTTTCAATTACTAAAATAAATTTAAGTATATACTTAGACAATCTAACATCTTTTCATTATGTTCTTTGTTATATTAATTTTCAGTTTATTTATTGCCCATTAAATATAGATAAAAATAATTAAATGTTAAATAATTCTTCCTCGTTTTCTTCTAAACTTAAAATCCTTTTAAATTTCATTTAGACATATACATAATTAATATATGATTTAATGATTCGAATTATAGAAAGCCATCCAATATAATTTGAATAATTAAATCATATTCAAATAGTAATTTCATAATATATATTAAAATTAATAATATACTTTAAAAAAAGTTTAGAAATTATCTTTTTATTGATAAAAATATAAGCATTTCATTTATTTTTATAAAATCTAAAATCTAAATGTTATTAAATTAGAAATATTGTTGAATAAAGAATGAAGAAATATGTTGATGTATAGAGATATATTTTAATAAAATGATTATTTTAGAGTGATGATTAATAAAAATAAATAATTAATCATTTAAGATTGAACATAAGAAACTTCTAATTGAATTAATGTTTTATATATATATTCATATCTTAATATATTAGAATGGTTGATAAGAGTATTATGATATTATGACTTTATATGAAAATTGAAAAATGAATGAATGATAAAAATGAAATTCTAAATGAGACCAAAGGATTATTGTAAAAATAATTCTTAAAACTAATATTAAAAACTGAAATCTTCAAAATAAAATTATTTGATCATTTTATAAGTCATGAATGTATAATTTTTATTTGTGTTTAGCTTTAGTTTTCAGTTTTTTTTATATTGTATTATTTATTTAGTTTTATTTTTGATGATCTTTATGCCAGGTGAACCCTCAACAGATCCTAGAAACTAAGGTATTGTCTTTTTTTATTTTTCACTAGTTTAAGACATAATTAATACTTATATTCAAACTCTTTTTTTCTTGGATCAGTTTTAAATGCTAGATTTAATTATTTGAGATATTGTATAATCTTCTCTTCTATAATACAAAATGGGTTTTATTTTTAATGAATTTTAGGGAGGAGGTCTTCCAATGATTCAACTGATCCATCACTTAGTTATTGTGTAGAGCTTATGTCATCATCAAAACCATCTTCTATAGGACTTCTTAAGTCTAAGGTCATGTTTTAAGATAATTAAAAATGCATAAGAAATAAATAATATATACATTTTATAAAATCATATAAATGTTGTATCATTTTAGTATTAAAATTGAAACTATTATATAACAATATAATTCATCAAAATTGAACCTTTTTAGGTTTAACGCTATCCAGCCATGTGGATTTTTTAATTAGTCTTCTTGACTTTTTAGTTTTAAGTTTAAAATAATTCTTATTAACTTCAATATTTCTTTATAAAACATTAGTTATATTATCTTATGGATTAAAATGTTCAAATTCTTTTTATTTATCTAGATAGGATACAACATCAGGTTTGATGATATTTAAATACTCATTATAGAGTATTTAATCTGGATAATTTTTAAATTCAATTTATTCTGATGATCTATAAGAGAGTATTTTGAACATTTATATAAGATTTTAAGAATCACTATCAGATGATTCATTACTTTCAGCAATAACCTATCTAATAGAGGCTCTGACACCATTTCTTCTTTTTAGTATTTTAGGTTCTTCTTTGGATGATTATGCAATTTTAATTGATCTATTTTCCATATTTAATTCAGCATTTCTTAATCGAACGAAATCATATTTCTATACAAATTCTTCATTAATGGATTCTTTTTAAAAATAATTTTCATCAATAGCAAAAGATAAAACACCCTCTTAAATACTTAATTTGTCATTAAAAGTTTGCTAAAATAAATGAAAAAATAATACATATTATATTCTATTTTCTCTTATAAAATTAGATCGATCTTATTTGATTGAATATATTTTCTTTATTATCTATTTCGAATTTGGAGTATAAAATAACACATTACATTTTTCTAATTAATGTGTCTACTTACAAATATCACATTCAATTAAAGGACATTCATTCAATCTTATACTTTATTATAGTTTTTTAAATTTCTCCCAATCTTTAGGATAACTTAGTAATAGTTATTAAAGTTCTTATAAATTTATTTATACTATTCTTGTAAAAGTTTTTGATTTAATTGTATAAGGAATGGGTGATTAAGTGAAAAAGTAATTCATAGCAATACTTTAAGATTAATTTAATCTTCTAATTTAAGATAATTTATTTTATTTATTTTTATTAAATTCAATAATTATGTCTGCATATCCTTCTATAATAAATGATAGATCATTTACTTGATCACCTTTAAATAAAAATCTTTCTTCTGGAATTAAAAGACGTTCATGCATAATTAAACAAATTTTATTTATAAATTCTTCACTAAAAGTTTTAAATATTAAAGGTTGCTTCATTAAATATCTTTTATAAAAATCTATTTTAACTTCTTTTCTTAAATCTTCTGTTAATTATTACATAAGAACTTCACATTCTTAATCTCGGTTTTCTTCAATTTAAAAATAATATTCAAAGAATTTTCTGACTCTGATCTCTAATTCTTTATTTAATCCTCTTTTTTATATAAATGAAGTTATCATACTCATTCGATGTCTTTGAGTTTTCTTTTACTCAGTTATATTATTAAAAATCTATCCAATGTTTGAAATTGTGAATCCAAATACTATTGAACTTAATAATGCCACTAGAATTACATAAGCCCTTTCTATATTAGTTGTAGGTAAAATATCTCCATATCCAATAGTTAAAGTAGTCACTGAACCCCAATACATTGCAGTAACATATTATTATTACCAAGGAACATCTTAAATATGATTAATTTAAATCCAAGTATCTTAAACTCCATCACTTATTTCAGTTTTGGCTATTAAGAAAAATAGACATGCAAAAATGTGTGATGAATAAAGAAATATACTCATTAATTTTATTACATCAATATAAGTTCCATAATTTTTACGCATATTGTAATTCTCTTCAAAAAATAATAGTATATCCACTAATGCATTCAATCTAAGCAGTATGAAAAAATTCATAAAGTAGCTTTAATCAAAATTGAATATTAGAGGTACCATACTTAAACAATCTAAAATACAACTATTTTTTAAGTAATGTTTTGCTATTTCTTTTCTTTATGACCTCAAAACTCCAGAATCATAATATGCAGTATTAAATTAAAGTATTATATGAATAAGAAATAAGTAATCTGGCAATATCAATAATAATATTTCTGCTTCTGGCCAATCAATATTGAAACTCATATTCATAGGTAAATAAGCCACATTGATGACTAGCATTATTGAAAGAATGAAATCAAAAATTAGTTTGAAACTGTTATTAGGATTTATTGTATGACTAAATAATGTATATTTGTAGCTTGTCTTTATTTTATTTAGAAAGTTATTAGCATTGAACCAATATCTTATTTTGTCCTTATAATATAAAAATAATACCATATAAGTTAAATTACTATTAACATAATTCTTATTTGCATAGAATCTATAATATGCAGATTGATCATTTAAGGCTTTGAAATTTTAATGAGTGAGTTTTCTAAACTAATATGAATGGAGATTTGCTAGCATCTTTCTTATAAATGTAAATATTCTTATTGTTATTATAAGTCCCTTTTTCTTCCATATCATATTCTTAAAACTCTGCATTTCATACATTGAGTATTTATTTTTAAATTAAAAAAAATGAAATAATGGGTACAAAATATGGTAAAGACTTATAAACAAATGAATAAGCCAGATGACAAATTGAATATCAAAAAGTTTTCAAGTCTTTAATATCCACAATGTCCTTTCGGAGGTGATCATAGTGGAGAATCTATGAGTTTGATTTGTCTGGAAAAAGATTGTTTATAAGGTCAAATTTTATGTTGTTGTATATGTTAAGAAGAATTTCATAAGGGACATCAATTAAAACCATTAAAATTGTTATTGTGTGAATATGATTAATAATTAAGGTATATACTAATACAACATTTAGAGAATATTAAAATATTTCTTTAAAATAAAGTGAAAAGGATATCCTAATAAAGAAAATTAATGAATAAGAAGAAAAATAATTGACATACATTTAAGACTTTAAAGAATAAATTAACAATAAATTATCTAATATTGTTAATTTAGAGAAAGAATTTTTTGAAAATTTACGTAAATTTGTGAAAATGAGAGAATTCAGCAATGGAAATTAATGTAATTATTAAAAATTAATTAAAATTTAGATGCAGTCATTGAAACTATCATTTAAAATTAAACTAATGTTGAAATGTTGAGTAGCTCAGTTAAAACATTGCTTGATACTTTAGTAGTATAGGAAATTCCAGAAAAAGATCTAAATTATGAAGAAATAAATAGGATTTTCGATTTTCATATAAAAGATTAAAAAGATCATTTATCATAATTAGAAAAATAATTTAATTAAGGAATAGAGCAATAAATAGATTTATTGTAATCAAAGACATAGAAATCAATTTTCTAGAAATCATATTAATTCTAATTTTTAGCAAATAATAAACATCCATAAGTTGATATAATACAACCAAAGATTGTAAAAGGTATATTCTATATATAATTATATTTTAAAGCAAGTAATTCAAATCATGGATATAAATTTGCTGTGATGACTCCATCTTTAGATAAAAATTAGACTACTGTATTTGGTTTCAAATTAAATGTAAAATTATTTATTAATAAATTCTTAGTTTGTTCATTAAAGTAATTGGATTGCAGTTGGAGTATGTGATTTATCAATAGTATAAAGCAAATAATTTGGATTTGCATTTCAATCACTTGGACATGGAGCATATATGGTTTCATCAAATGGTGGTGCTTGGTCAAGTACAACTTCTAATTAAAATAATGTTGTTAAATGTTTTAAATTTGGAAAGGGTGATATTATTATTTGCACTTATGATCCAAAGAACGAAAATATTATATTCCAAAAACAAAAGGTTAAATTTTATTATTTATGTTAGTCTAGTACAACATTCAAACTTGACATTCCAAAATCTGATCATGATTTGTACCCTTGTGTTTTATTTTATTATGCTTTGGATGAAGTGGAATTCATACCACCAGAAGGAATAAATAAATAATGAGTATTTATTTAGATTTTATTATTTATATTTAAAAATTATGGATAATCTTTACACTTAAGAAATTCGATAGAGATATCATTCCTCCATGACTTATTAAGAATATTTAGATGCTTATGATAAACCACCTCCTAAACCTCATATTAGGTATTTGTTTTAAAAATACAAAGACCAAAAGAGTCTCCTTAAATACTTGATCCCTTGAGCCTTGAGCCGCCTAAAGGGCCAAAAATATAATAATAAAAATTGACTGTTTATTCTCCAGAGGATGTCATTTTTGAAGAATCAGAAACTGATGAGAAACCAAGGGCTGTTAATCATATTCCTTGTTAAAAAGCACTGAAAGAACATGTATATAAAAAACTAATCCCAAGAATATTAGAATCAGAAGTTAGAGCGAGAACCTAGGATTTTCAGTATTTAGATTTTTGTCATAGAAGAAGAATAAAGTCCCATGATCCAATTATTTTCATATAATAATTTTTTCTTTTAACACTTTCCCTTTAATGATGATATAAGCCTTCCTAATAAATTTTTGTAGAAATTATTATAGCTTAAATATTAACAAATCATTTTATTTGTAATACTTAATGCAAGTAAATTTTAATTGTAATATTGAATGTAGAACCAAATCATAAAGAGAATTGTAAGTTAGTCAACAATATCAATTTTTGTATTTCAGAACTTACTTTCTTAGTTTAATCATATTTATTAATTATTTATCTTACATTCACTTTTACTTATTAACTAATAACTAAGTAATTATTAAATTTTATGGATAAGGGTTTATCAAATATGTCTATAGAAACTATAAGATAATCTGAAATATTAGAAGGAATCTCCTAAAAATTTTTAGTAGATAAAGCTACCCAAACAGATGAAGTGAAATATGTAAAGGTTTAGAAGATTAATTTTGGGTCATTAATATTTTTATTGTTGGGGATAATCATTTCATTTGTTATTTATGTAGATATATAAGGCAAACTTAATATTCAGTAATAACAGCTGGAGTAAAAACGAAAAGTTCATAAATCATTTAATTTAGGGATGTATTTTAGATTATGAGAAATAGAAATGTTTTCTGTAATTACCGGCATAAAAAATATTTTGTAGAGAATTGGAATTATGTATAAATGTGGATTGGGAATTGTAAAGAGGAATCGAATTAAGTGGTATAATTGCTGATATGATAAACAATTTCATAGATCGTATTAATTTAAGAGTAAAAATATTTATACTATTTTTAAGACATATTTACTTTTATTAATTCCATTTATTGCCCTATCCTTAGGAATAATAAAAATGATCTTTAAATGAATAATGAAAATAACTATTGTACTTTTGTTAAATATTTTATATATATATATCTAATTATCTCTATATTTATTTAAATACTATATTGTGATAATTAATTAAATTTGTTTAAACTTCTTTGGAGTTTATTGATATTAAGACTTTTATATAAAATGCCATAATGTTTAATTATTTGTGGAAAAATTCTTTTGTTAATGGAGATTTAATTTATTTATTTATTAAATGGGAGAAAAATCATCTTCATTTATTACGCTTTTAATTACTGCCATGATTCTCTCAGGGGCAGCTAATACAATAGGTACTAATTTGAAAATATATTATTAATAGTCTATAAATTATAAAATACAAGCAAAGTTTCTGTTGATGGATGGACTGCAACAAATTTCAATCATCCATTTATGCAAGCAGTCACAATGTTTTTAGGTGAATCTTTGTGCATATTACTATTTTTAAATATTAAGAAGAAGCCAGATTATAAATAAGGATGTATTGAAGCAGCAGCAAAAGGGTATATATGGAAATTTTATATATAATAGGTTAAAAACAAAAGTTAATTATGGTTGGGTGGCTATTCCAGCAATGTGTGATTTAACTGCCTCAACATTGGCTTATATATCCTTAAACTACATTCCCCCATCAATTTATTAGATGTTAAGAGGAGGAGCAATTATCTCTACAGCAATTATGTCTACATGTTTTTTAAAGAGACATATTAAAAGGTATTAATGGTTTGGATGCTTTTTTGTTTTGGTTGGTATTACTTTAGTAGGAATGAGTTCATTTTTATTCCCTCCTAAAAAAGACAACAATGATGATTCTGATACAAAATCAGAAGTAGGAGCAGCTTATTTTATATCAGTTGGATTATTATTATTATCAGTTGTAATGAATGGACTTTAATTTGTTTCTGAAGAGAAGTTATTTGATGTTTATTATTTACATCCTTTTGAAATAGTAGGTATTGAAGGATTATGGGGTTTTTCAGTTTACGTAGTTTTGGCAATAGCATTAACATTTATTTAATGTCCAACCTCTATGGAAGGTAGTTGTATATAAAAAAGAATGACGGATATGTTTTATTTTGAAAGAGCTGATTTTTACTTTTTGTAAATCTTTGCAAGTGGTTTATTACTCTTTTGGGTTATTTTGGGTATATTTACAATAGCTACATTTAATATTTGTGGTGTTTCAGTTACTAAATATGTATCTTCTTTGGCTAGGTAATAATGATTTTTTAATTTAAATTAGATCTCTTGTTGATGTATCAAGAACATTAATTATATGGGCTGTTTCATTGGCTATTACTTGGATAGATCCAGAAGCCAAATGGGAAAACACAAGATGGGAGGCTATTGTTTTAGAATTGATTGGATTCTTTGTATTGGTTACAGGAAATCTAATTTATAATGGAACAATTAAATTAAAGTTTCTAGATGAAGGTTCTTAAGGTAAAATATATTTTATAATATTATTTAAGTTGATCCATTAAATGATGCTGCTTAACAATTTCTAGATAGCAAAAATATTCAATCATTATAGCCTCAATGAAGTATTATTTAATATTGTATAATTATTAATCATTTTATTTATATTTTTTTTGCAACATTTAATTTCTTAAAGTTTACATAATTATTAAAACAACTAAATTTATTTCACTATTAATTATTTTAATTCCTTATTCTCAAAGAAATGCATTAATTAGTAAAAACAGGAAAATCAAAAAGCTTTAAAGATTATTCCATCTTAAAAAAAGCCTCTTCCACATCTAAAATTATTGAATAAAGTTAAAGTGCATTTATGAAACAATAAAGTTTTGAAGTTAGAACATCTAGGAAAAAAAGTTCAATATTTTTGAAGGATATTATTGATTAATCAATATTAATTGAAAATATTAAAACTATATAAAAGTAAATACTTTACATTATATATATAAATAGTCCAAATTTACACTTAGGAATGAATTTATTATAATAAAAAATTTGGGAAAGAATCTAAAAATGTTCATAATAACAAATTGTATACCAATATTTATATTTTTAGGATGAATACAGTAATATAGCAATTATAGTCTTAAAACCAGATTATGAATATGAGTTCAATTTTTCAATCTCTAAATTTTCATGTTTCAATACCATTAAACAATTAACTGAATCCTTAGCAAAATAATTTCATAATCTTACAAATAATAGTATGATTATATTTATTTATCTATATAAGATTTAGATGAACCATTTTTATCAATGCTAATTGGTAAAATAAAAACTCAAAGATTGGACGGAGATATGAGATTATTCGAATTACTTAACATTATTATGAATGGTAGAAAACTATTAGTTCTTTAAAGTTTAATCTAATGAAATTTCAAATTATTTGATTAATCATTTTCCTAATTTATGGAAAATTCAATAATTATTAATATCATCTCTTTAATAAAGTCTTAAAGAATTTTAGGATTTCTATACTATATAATAATATTCATAGTATTTTAATGCTTTTTAGTATAAATTTATTTTATATAATTTTTCTAATTCTAAAAATATATCACTTTTATTAAATTTTTGATTAATAACTTTTAGAATTTCTTCACTTTATGGTATTTTCTCAATTCTTTAATAGTCCACTTTTATGTTATTTTCATTTAGAAATGATAATTATACATTATAATTAATATATAAAAAAGTCATATGAATCTTTTATAGAAGTAATTTATAATAACTAAAATCAAAAGTGTTGATAAGATTCATCAAAATAATGCAAACTATTTTTTCTGTGACTTGTTTCCATTTAGTCATAAAATGAATGATCACTGTATTATACTATGGTTTCTATTTGGCTATTCATACTGATTGAACCATGTACAAAGTTCTCTTATTTATCTGCAATTTATCTCATTCTATTTAAATGAGTTTAGTGTTTTGAATTACATGGAGTCTTTAGTTAATTAAGAGTAAATTCTATAAGTTATGGATCATATGAAGATTAAGCTAATGCAATTATTGATTTAGGACAAAGTGATAAATTACTAAATGGGTTATAGTTTTCTTTTTAAGATAATTCATATTGTTGCCCTCTTTTTGAAATTTTGACTTTTGTTGACATTTGCAAATATGGATATTTTTTTTTAAATTAACAGATTAATTTTATTAATAAATTTTTATTTTAGTTCCTCTAATTTAGAAATGATTTTTTTTAACAAGATTTTGAATTTAAGATAAATACTTCAATAAAAAATATGAATCTAAAATACTATACATGAATTTGTATAATAAGTAAAACATTAATATTTATTTGATGATTTCAGATCTTAATCTATTTGTCAATTGTTTGTCATAAAAATCATTCTAATTAGTTTACTGAAAACAAGATTTTGAAGTCATGTTGATTTAATTTGTTTAATGAATAGAGTTTAATTTAGAATAGTTGGATGACTGAATAAAGCATAGTTAATTATTATTAAGTATTCTATAGATTAATTAATTAATAAAATAAGTAATACTTAGTATTTTTTCATATGTATTTAATTATTAATATTTAATAGAGAAGTCACCTTAGATTGAATTATTTCTAATGAGATGGGATAGCAAAGGAAATTGTATCTTTAAACTAGTATAATTTTTGATTAATTAATTTTATTGCTAAAATGTAATACAAATTGTCTTAAGTTACCACAAAAACAAATTGGGATGATATCAGGAAAGAATAGATGAGATAAATATTGGATCAAGGTATTTACATATAAATTATATTATATAAAGGTTCAAATATGACAGATGATGATGTTGTTTATATAAAGCATTGTATTAAGAATTTTAGTGGACCACCTGCTTATATGTGGTTGGAGAGTAACCTGAAAGGAGATTAAATTAATGAAGTTCATTATATATAATAACATTAGATCATAAAGCATATAAAAATAGCAACAAGTAATGATGGATCTAATCCAATATACTTTGTTTAAGAAGGTATGATATTAATTGATTATTAGGTGAATTAAAATCAAAGACAAGAGTATACAAAAAGGCAGAGGTAGTATCAAATGAAGAAGTTGAATTTGGATAAGGAGCCATTGCTTTTTAGGTTGATAGATAATTATTCAACTCATTTAAAAATGTATACAATTATACAAATTAATTAGAGTGCTGAAATGTAAGAATTGGAAATAAAGTCTCAAAATTTACAACGTTGTATTCCAATTAGATCTTTAGATATTTAAAAAAAACAAGCTCTGTTACCATTATTTAAGGAAACAAAAAAAAAGTTTGGTAGCATAATGACAGTTCCAGAGGGAGGAACAGCAAGTTTATACTTTTAAACAAAAGGCATAACATTAATTTTTACTTCCACAAAAAGTCATAACTTTATAATTGTTGGATGCATTCAAAATGTAGGAGTATTTAATGAATAAAAATTATTATTTGATTAAGGATCAGAATATGGAAGTATATCTATATGCGAATCTACTGTAAAATAATTCAATATAAATATTAGCTTTATTAATTATAAGCAGATGATGTAACAAAATTACCAGATGATTGTATATAATCTTTAAGAGCAGGTTTTTTAGCTAAGAAAATAATATATAAATCAATTGTAGATAAAGTTTAATAGATGAAAGATGATGATGAATTTGTAGAATTTTAAGAGAAAATTTGTAAGAAGTATTCAGTAGAATATAGTAATATTTTAAATGTTATTTAAAAAAATACAAAAAATGGAAAGATAGAATCTACTGATAAATAAGAATAAATTGAAAAAAATAAATAAATGTTTGAAAAAACAATTGGTGGAAATAGAATGAATAATGTATTAAGTTAAATGAGTGATAAAGAAAGAACTTTATGTTTAGGTACACCAAGAATTGTTAATAAATAATCTACATTTTTAGGTTTAACACAAGAATAAGAAACATCATTATTTGCTTTAAGATAACTTGGTATTTTTCATAAATTTATTTTAAGCTACTGATTTAAGAAAAGGAAATTCAAATACAAATTCTATTATTCCAATGTCTAAAGAATCTGTCACTAAAGCTAAATAAGCTTTACTTTAAGAAGAAAAAATAAATATTGGAGAAGTATTATAGAGAAAGACCATTTCTACAAAATTACAAGATGATCCAACAATGCTTGAAAAAATGAAAAAAGACAATTATGAATTATTATCTTAATATCCTTAAGAAGAAGAGAGAGTTCTTAAAATACATTCAGAAGATACTAATAAAGATTCAAAGACAGAATCAGAAATAAATGCTGATTCAAATGATTTTAAAGGAAGACCATTAGGAAGATAAAGTTCTATTAAAGGACAATAAACTGCATAATAAATTTAAATTGATAAAAAAAATAAATTGCTTTAAAGTTTAGTTTGATGTATGATTGACATCAACATTTATGTATATCTTTAATAAAAAATTTCAAATTTTGAATTCTTTAAATTTTAATTCCAATTCTGAGAAATGTTTTTAAATTGATTTTAATGAAATTCTATATCTACCAATATTAATTTATTGATTAAGAGAATCATATTCAATGCATTTTTCAACACACAATTAATCCTCTTTCAAATGTAAATATAAATATTCTATATTATTAATATTAATTATTTACCTTTAAATTTCTTTTATGCATCTAATTTTTCATCATTTTAAAGATTACTTTATGGATTGTAATTCTTCAATTCATAAATAACCTAATCTAATTCTTATCTTTCAATTTAAGTTAAATTATTTAATTCAATTTTACTTCTTCTTATTTCTTCTAATCTACTTACAGCATTTTAATAATTTTCATTTTTTTCCTTTTTTTATTTCTCCAAATCTTCAATTTCTTTTTCTAAATTATTTTTTTCTCTTCTTTTGTATTCTAATGAACTCTAATCTCTTTATATAATTAATTGCATCTCTTCTAAATAATTTTTTTATATTTCACGATGAAAATTCAAACCATTTAAAAATACCTCAGTTGTATTATATTATTTCATATTTTTATCTAAGACATTTAGAATTCCTCCTAATTTTTCATCATGAATTTCTACTGATTTTGTTCCTGTAGGTTTAAATAATTTGCTCATAATTTTTGCTAATTCTTAATCTTTTTAATACTCTTTTGTTAAATCTTCTTAATTTCCTTATTCCTATAAATATTATTAAATCTTATAATTTGAATCAGTTATTTTTTATTCCAAATAATTTATATCCTAAGAATATTTCTAAAATTATTTAATTTTGTTATCAAGTTTTATAGTTTCTAATTCATTCAATTAATATTATGTGCATATTTATTTCAAGTCTTTTTCTTCAGCTGACAAAATATCTAATTATGCTTTTTTATTAAATATTGCTTCATTTAATTATATTTTTTTTTCAAAAAGAACATTATAATTAAATAGAGCATCTGAATTAATAGTTTAATTTATTGAACTTGAATTTATCTGATTCACATATTTTTCTAATTCTTAATTCAAATGTAACTCTAAACATTAATTTACTTATTCCTCCAGACCAACATGTTTATTCAATATTTTGTCCAAATTTAAGCGCGAAAAATACTCTAATGCCAAATTCAATTGAGCTAATTCAGATTATATAGGTAACCAATCTTGTATTGTCTAAATTCCAAATTAATCACTATCGTTAAAGTTAATATCATTTTCTAAAAAGTATCGAATTTCTGATTCTGATACTTCAGGTTCAAAACGTTCAGAAATTGCTTAATTTTCATTTGATTGTCTTCCAAATACAGCAATTAAAATGCATATTAATAAAAAAGCAATTAAAATGCTTATTCTATTGGCCAATACATCGGTTCTCTACATTAAATTTTTTTGATTTTAAATTATATTACTCAATATTTAAATTGTTTAAAATAACAATAAATAAATTAATAATAAATATTATATGACTATTTTTATATTCATAAAATTTATAAATATATCCAATCCTAATAATATTTCTAAAATATTCTTTATCGATATATTTGTTAATAACCCATATTAATTTAAAGCATCAGCTTCATTATAATAAATAATATGATAAATAACAAATATTAATTCATTAATATACATATATTTTCAATTTAACTTAAGTTAATGTATAGTTTTTTTTGAAATATTAACCATTTTCTTATAAGCCACTTAAAATTATGATTGTATATAATACTCCAGTTAATTTATATAAATATTTAAATAGACAATTCAGTAAGTAAATTTATCATATGAACTCATCAATTAGATAATCTCTTTTATTTTAATAATGATATCGGATTGGAAATGATGAAAACTTTTAATCAATTACTATTTTATCTATAATTAATTTTTCTTTGTACAATCATAAATAAGATAATAATAGTTGAAATGAACTATTTCCCATAAATTTACAATAGAGTGTAAAATAAAAATAAATAAATTAAATACCTAATAATTATTTATAAATTTAAAAAAAAGAGCTTTATTGGATTACTCGATATAACTCTATATATATATTAATAAATTGATAATAATATAATTATTATATTCGTTGAACAGATAATAATTCATTTTAGTTTCTCAAACTTTTATAGCACCTTTTTTTATAGGGCTTCCATTTCCAATAAATTATCATTTTCATAATATTATTTAAAATTAAATTGCTAGTTTGTTAGTCTATCATCAAATTAAAAGGTTTCTTCTAATCTTATACAATCTAATACTCTATCAGCATGGATCCATTATTATCGATTCTTAAATATATAATTTAAATTACTTAATCTTAAGGTTTTGTTTTTTTAAGGGTTTCAATCAATAATTTTGAATAATCTACTAAACATTTGACTAATATTTATTGATTGTTCTATTTAAAATTGTTGTTAATAGCTTATTTAATGGCATCATCCATTTTTGGTCTCTATTATACTTAAATACTAATTTTTTCAAAGATTGAATCAAAGTAGGATTTGAAAACATCAAATTCTTTTGAAATGTATGTGTGGATGTCTTTATAATCCTTACTTTAAGTAAACTGTTCCCAAAACCTAGGATGTAAATAAAATTAATTAAATACTCCAATCCATAACAATTTTATTTATCTTGTAGAATGGTTTTTAGGAAATCAATTAATTGTAACAACTTTTTGACTAACAAGAATCCTGTAACATCATAGTTTTGAATAGTCTGATTATTCATGGCTTCTTCGGCAACAGATGCAAGAAAAACATATATATTTCTTTCATGCAAAATCCTATTAGCATTTCTTTTTTTAGCCTTAATTTCTTTTTCTCTTTATGTTTCCTTATCAGTGACTTCTTCATTACCAATATCTTAAACTGGTCCTTAAGTACTCTAAACAGTTTTAGCTGAATCCTATCTTGCAAGATTATTTTCTTCTTAAGGTTTCTTTAATAATGGCCCAACATATTATTATTATTAATTCTATGGACCCTTTTGGGCTACTTACATAGCGAAATTATTTAAATCTTCCTTTTTCTTTATTTCAGCTGGATGATCAATGACCATATTATTTTTGATGTAAAATTTACTCATATTCATCATTAATTCTCCACCCTTTAATGTAGTTTCTAAATCTTTCTTTAACTTTTCTTCTTAATAGAAATTTATTTCATGTTTAAATAGATCATCCCAAGATATTCTATTTTTAGGATTTACAACAAGCATTTTTTTTAATAAATCTTCTGCAGTAGCAGATATATTATTTACTTTTCTATTAATAACGAACTATTTAGTTTATATGTTCTTGAGTAATTCAACCATATTTGTGGCTGTAAATGGTGATTTTCCAAATAATAATTCATAAAAACAAGTACCAATTGACCAAATATCTGCTTTGCTGTCATATTCTTGATTATTGAGTACTTCTGGAGCCATATTAAGTGGAGATCCTAGCATTGTTGTGGCTAAACCTTAATTGTCATTCAAAAGTTTTGAGAATCCAAAATCTGCTATTTTAATATTGCCATCATGTTTTAGGATATTTGCCAATTTGAAGTCTCTATGCATTATCTTATTCTTAACAAGTGTTTTAAATCCATTTAGAATTTAAAGCAAGTAATCTACTGCTTCTTCTTCAAGTAAAAATTTCTTTTGTTTTATGTACTCTACATTTAAATGACAATTATTATTACATGAAAGATCACCTTCATTGCAGTACTCCATTATTAGATATATGTTATTGGCAGTCTTCTTTATATCATATAACTTTATGATGTTATCATTATTGCAAGTCCTCAGTACTTTTATTTCATTTTCTAACAACTCCGTAAACTTCCCTTTCAGCAGTTCCCTAAATATTTGAAATACTCAACACCTCTTTACGCATTTCACTGCTATGTCTACATTTGTTTGCTTATTATATCCTTTGAACACTTCTCCAAATTGTCCTTTTCCTATACTTCTCTCAAGCACATAGCTATCAACTACTTTTGGCATTTAATTTAAAATATTATTAATGAACCTTAAAATCACAATTAATTAACAAGCCTCTATAAGTGATTCACTAATTATAGCTAATTTAAACTTAATAAAAATGTTTAGAGATAATACATTCAATAAGATAGAATGTGATTAATTAATAGCATTCAAAGATGCTGTTCAAATCTCATAGATATTAAAAGATCGTAAATTATTAAATATATAAATAAGAGGGAGTATTAATATATGAAGGTGAGATTAATGAGTTAATTCTAACATACCTTTAAGCCAGTGGATTGTATAATTAAGGTTAAGGGAAATTTATAAAATAAGTATTATAAATTAAGAAAATGAATGTTCCATTACAAGAATTCAATAATTGTTATGGAAAATATGATTATATTGAATAGAAATTCTAAAATCAAATCAATTGTTTCAAATAAGTTGATATTAATAGCAAATAAGAAATTATTGATGAGAACGAGTTATTAAATGATGGTGTTTAAGTGAAATAGGTAGAAAGTTGTGCATCTAAGCCTAGAGCATGTGCAAATTGTACTTGTGGAAGAAAGGAAATGGAGTATAAATAAAAATTATATTCATTTTAGAGAGAAATAAGATCAAGAATAATTATTAGAATAATTAAAAAATAATTCAGTTAAAGGTTGTGGTAGTTGTTATCTTGGTGATGCATTTAGATGTGCAAATTGTCCATTCAGAGGTTGCTAATAATTAAATTCATTTTAGGATTGCCTGCATTCAAAGATGGAGAATAAGTGAAAGTTTTGTAAGATGATGTATTTTTGTAAGAATAAGAAGAAAAAGATTAAATTAAATTGGAAAATGGAAAAGTCAAATTAAAGATATGATATATTTATTTTAACAATAAATAATTATACATTTTTTAATTTTGTAAATATATTCAGTATTTTTATTATTTATCTAATAAATCAGTTTTTTGAATGGAAAAGTCAGAAAGAAGATTATCTGAAGCTACTATCACAACTTTACGATCATCAAGAGGAGCTGTAATGGTTAATGAAAATGGATCATATGTTTATGGTAATTGAGAAATAATTAATAAATTCAAGTTTGTCTTTTAAAGAATGAATCAATGATAGGATCATCATAAAAGATAGTTTAAGAGCCTCAATAAATCATGCTCCCAATGTTTGGAGATAATGAATTAGCATTTTATATAAATCCTTAAGATTTACCAGATTTAGTTGATGAGGTACTTGACACTTATTTAACACATTCAAGAGCATTTTTAGTGTTTATGTTAGGATAAATGATGGTGGAAATCATTTTTGATTCATTAATTTGGTTGAATTAATCTAGGATTGAAAAATTGGTAGAGCATAATAATATAATTTAAGTTAGCAATGATTTATAATTAAGTGCCTTTGGTTGATATCCACTCAATAATGATTCTGTGTTCATGTATTAATATATTGTTCTAATGTATTTATTACACAAGTGGTATCCATGGAGCATGGTTTAAATCCTACAAAATTTTGAATTTGTTTAGCAATTTTTCTATTTTTGGTATGTTTTTGTAGATTTTCCTATCATACTCTTATTAGTATTTATTGTGCTTTTACTTAGATTCAATATTTTAGTGTTTGCTTTCCGAGTTCTATCATGCATTTATTCCAAATTTCTGAGCCATCTGATTTTAAGTTTGATTCTATTGCCTCATTGATTTATGATTAATATTTAATGCGCTAATAATAATAACTACCAAGATTGTCAGAAGATGAATAATTTCCAGGTCGTTTACATACATAATCTCGAAAACTCAAGTTTGGAAGTACATAACTCTATCAAATATGAATTTTAGCTACTGAAAACTTCAATAAGAAATCAAAAAAATAAAGTCCAATGGCTGAGTCTTAATTCATTAAATAAATTGATACAAAATTAGAGCAATATAATAAGGACATCGAATTACGCAATGATATGATTGTTACTATAGAAAAAGGTTTTGAATCTGTAAGACAAGAATTAATAAAAGAGAAATTATTAAATGAAGAAAAGACTAAACAATTATAAGAATTAGGATAATAATATCAATCAGCTCAATCAAAACTTAAATCAATCCATGAATCCAATAAAAATACAGGATAATAAGGAATTGATAAGGATAAAGATAAAATTCAGCAATTAGAAACAGTTTAAAAAGCTATTCTAGCAAAAGAACATTAATTAAATTAAACTATAGACACCCTCAATACCTAATTGAATGATATTACTCATAAAATAAAAATCAAAGAAGAAATGCCTGATGATTCTAAAAAATTGAAAGATTTAATTAGGAAGAGTGAAGTATTAAATATTATTATATTCTTAAGGAGAAAAAATATAAATCATAAGCTATCATGGATGAACTTAAAAAGAATTTAGAATCCATTTAAGCTGAGAAGTTATTAATTAAAAATCAAATGGATCAATATAAAAAAGAATACTTAGCTAAAGAGGAATGTTTATCATCTGAATTCAATAATACTTAAAATAAGGTTAAGGAGTTATAAAAGGAGAGAAATTAATTACAAGAATAAGTTAAGAAGTAACCTATCAACACTTAAGATTAAAATAATAAATTATAAGAAGCAGTCAATTAATTTAAATAACAATTAACTGAATAAAATAAATTAAAAGATGTATATATTTTATTTTTTATTTAAGAAAGAAATACATTAATGGAATGGAAATCTTGATATTTAAATCAAAAATTTTGATCAATTGACTCATTAAATTGAAGAATATAAATTAAAAATAGAAACTTCTACAAAGAACTTGAATGAAAAGACTATTTCTGTAGAATAACTTAATAAAGCTATTGGAGAATAAGAAAAAACTCTTAAAGATTAATAAACAGAAATTAAATTATTAAGTTAAAAAATAGATGAATTTAATAAGAAATTAGGTGATTCTAAACCAAAAAACATGTCTTAAGTCATTGAAACTATAGTCATCTTGGAAAAAACTCATGTATTCCATAATCACTAAACTTTTAGAAAGAAATTCAAAAAGGTCTTGCTTGTACTTTTTGCAATAAATTCATAAAATAACCAGTTACGATTATACCTTGTGGTCATTCCTACTGTTTTGAATGCAAAAAAGGATATTAAAAGGAATGTTGCAAATGTGGACCTAAATTGAAAATTGAAGCAATGTATAGAAATGAATTATTGGATGATATTATATAAATGGTAAAATTAGTTGAGTAAAGCATTTTGAACATGAAATAAATTACTTAAAATTAATGAAATACTTTCAAATTAATGGAGCCCAACCTTTCAAAGCTCTGCCTTATATATTTTGATTTGTGGCCAATTTATACAATCCACTTATTAAATCACTGTGTAATTTTTAGTATTATAATATTTTTTACTAATCAATCATAATGTCTTAATCTATATTTTGATAACCTTTCTTAAATTATCAATATATTTTCATAACTAATAATAAAATTACGATTTAATAATATATTTATTAGTTACAATTTATTTAAATTTCGTTTAGATTTTTTATTATTATAATAAACACACAAAATTCATTTTCTTGGTTTTTAATTAATTATTTTCTAAACAATATCATCTATTTAATAATTGATTTCCTCTCTATTTTACTTTAACAGCATTAATATACTAATCCAAACGTCATGATATTTCAAGTTTTTAGTACAATTATTTTTATTATCTCTATGAGTTAAGTGACATTTTAATTAATTAAATAAATATTGAATATTTAGATTAAAATTTAAATTGATCTTGATTAAGAACGACAATTTATCTAAATCTTAATATATTAAAATGTTTCTATTATATATCTCATAATATTTTAGACAATTAATATATATAATATTTTTCAATCATAAGTCTACATTTTTTAATGATCCTCATATTCTTTATTAAAGTTATTTCCAAACAAATTTTCACAATCTTATTTGAATTTTTAGTACTCTTAATGATAATTCAATTTTTATAATGAATCCACTAAATATGTAATAAGAAAATACATTTTTAAAATGCTAAATATTTATTAGGTTCTATGCTCAATTCATAATACTTTAAGCATTCATTATATTATTTTTCTTTCAACATGAGTTTAGATTTTAATAATAGAACTGTTTCATCATTCTAATTAATATCAAAAGCATAATTAATTAATATTTTAGCCTTCTCAATCTAATTTATATTTATAAGACATGTACTCTAAAATTATAAAATGAAATACTTTGAGAGAAATTAAACTGCAATTAACTGGATCTATTTTTAATCCTTTATTTAATTATTAAATGGCATCCTCATAACTACCATCTTTTTTTATAATCATATTCATTGCCTTTGCCTTGATTTCATTTATATCTTTAGCTAATAAATTTTTATCATAGTATTTGAAATTATTAATATATTTTTTAATTTTATCAATCTTTTTTTGCATTTTTTCTAGTTGAAATTTAAGAAATGGAACAGTTTAATCTGATTCATATCTATAATAATCATCAATTTTAACGAATATAGTGTTATATTCAGTTTTCAAATACTCATTCCCTTTAAATATAAGTTTCTTAATATCTTCTTCCCATTATGATATAATAAAATTTAATTTTTCTTTAAATTACCTTAAAAAAGTTTGTAATTTTTTAAGGTTTTATAATCTAAAATTCACTTTTTATTAAAACTCTTCAATTGTTAATCCTTGATGATTTAAATGATATTTTTAATCTTGAAAACACTGAAAACAAGCAATTCTTTTTTTTGAAGTGCAAGCAGGATCAACGCAAATAAAAAGACATTATTATTCATTATGTTCTGCATATTAACATTTAATTTCAAACATAAAATTTAATTAAATTAATGTAAAAATAAATCTCAATATCATAAGATAAATTAATCAAAATAGAAGATCTGATATCAGATATATAGAAAAAAACAAATTTTTAATTATTAATATTTATATTTATATTACTAAAATAAAATGAATTAGAAATCTTAAATTCAATTGGATTTTGATTCAGAAGACACAGAAGGATCTGATATCTCATTCGAAAGTTCATTTGATGAGTAATTAGAATAGGAATTTGAATAAAGTATATTAAAATTGATATTTGTAAGCTTTGCAATAGAAAGGAATAGTTTAATTTAAGGATTAAATGGAAAGAATGATGTAATTAAATTAAGAAATAGGAACAATTAAATTGGAAAAAGCAAATTTTGAAGATGAAGAAGAATTGAAGAAACTATTTCCACCAAGATAATAAGAAAATTTAATATCTCGGAAATCAATATCAAATATATAAATGTAAATATAAATTATAGAGTTAGTATGTCTCCAAGATAAAAGAGTTAAAGTGAAAATAAAAATAATTCTTAATGGTATTAAGTCTCGAAAAATATTCTAAACAGTTCTAAAAAAGTAGCATCTTAACCTACTTTGGAAGAATTTCAATAGAGATTGAATTTGTTTCGGATAAATAACACAAAGAGTGATATAGTAGATTTAATAATAGAAGAGTAGGATAAATTATTAAAAGATATTCAACAATAAGAAAAAAAAAATAAAGCTATTGAAAATGCAGTTCATGAATCTATTGAAGCTAAAGTTAGAAAAGAAACTGGAGATGTGGGATATGTTTCATTTAGAAAAAAGATTTAGTTTTAATTCCGTATAAGAAAGGCAGAGGAATTGGCTTAGGAAAAGGTGCTTAAATAGAAAGAGAAAAAAGAAACTGACATGCATAGATCCCTTTAAATATTTGATTAATTGTTTTTGAATAGGAATTATGATGAAGAGGGAGAAGTTAAAAGTTTAGCTGCAGAAGAATTATATAAGAAAGTCAAGAAGTGTTAAGATGACATTGATGTTAAAAACACAATTATATAATTTATTATATAACATAGGAAAAAATAGATTGATGAATACAAAAATAAGCCAACAATTTTAAAACCTACTAAATTTATATCAGAGGATAGTAGAGAATTCTCATTACTTTAACCTAACATGCAATTTCGATAGTAGATGATGCAATAACAATTAAATAAGGAAGTACTTGATAAAAGAGACGATTTAGAAGGAGAAAACATTTATTTATTAACCAAAATAAATTAAATATTGGAAGGAAATCTCATGAAATTATGGAAACATAAATTAGGATCTAAAATGTGAACTTATTATTTCTTCAATTAGATAAATATTTAACAAATAATATAACACAAATAATTAAAATGAATGAATATTTTATGCAATTTTAAAATTATAAAAAAGGATTTAACTAAGAGAAAAGACTTCAGATTAAACTTAGTAAATAATCTAAGGAGAAGATTAACAAAAATTATCATATGAAATAAATTTTTATAATTACAGATTCTTTGCTCTAAAAACATTTCTCAATGCCATTATTATTGGTATTTTATTGATGACTTCAATATCATAAACAAAAATTAGATTCTTTATTAAAGAATTGTCTTTGATTTTGTTATCTTATATGGAGTTTATTAAAATAATTTAATATTTTTGGAATTATTATTATGGCAAAATTATTATAGAAAATACAAATTATAATGATTAAATTTAGATTATATAGAAAAAATGAAAAAACTTTATGAAAAAAGAAAGAACTACAGACCTGAAAAAAAAACTGATAAAATGTATAAATGATTGTTAATCTAAAATATTGAATAATATTAATTTGTTATCAAATTATCTACATAATCAACTAGATTCATCATGAGAAACATTCGGTTAGGTAGAACTAAACATTTGCACTCCAATCTTATTTGATCCTTCATATTCATCTTCCTCCTCAAGTGAAATCCCTATATTTTCACCTTATCTTATTCTTTTATATCCTGGTGCATAAACATCTCCTCCAAATATAAATAATATTGACATAATTGCCTATAGACCTGCCATAGTATATGAAGATCTTTAGAAACTAGTCATTTAAGCTTCATTTGATTAGTCGACTAAAAAAGCATCATATACAATTCCTCCTATAACAGGTCCTACAAATGTTCCAAGTGAGTAAAAAGAAATAAATAATCCACTGGATAAATCTGAAATTGGTAATCTCAATGATGGATCATTATTGAAAATTTAATTAAGATAATCTATATATTGAGGAATAGCAGGCAATACACAAAAAGCATTTGCAATACCAATAAATGGAAGTCCTATCATAGTCATAAACCATTTATTAGGAAAGATTCCCAGGGGAGCAATAATCAAATCACCTAAACAAGAGCAGAATAATCCAAAAGTTAATATTATTTTTTTGTCTATACATTATAATAATTTTGGAACTATATTAATACAAATGATATATGATATTGTTAACCATCCTAATAATAAACTAGCCACATCTTCTTCCATGTTATAACATTTCATATGAATTGAGAAAATAGGGTTAATGAATGTTGTACCTGCTGACATCATTGTTAATAATAATCCCAAACTCCATATTTACCTATTTCTAATTACTCTTTTTGAATTTAGTGTTGGTTTCTTATTTAAAGAATGATCATCTTCAGGTAAGAATATAGCAGTTGGTATCAAAGCTATGAAAAATATGCCTCCTAATGTATAAAATATCATCTAATATCCAAATAATGCATCCAAAGCTGCTCCAATAAATGGACCACTCATCAAACCTAAACTTTACCTTATTTTATACAAAATACCCTGTTAATGTTTCTAAAATAGAAATCTTTTTTTAAATAGAATCAGGCCATAATATTGGTATATAAGCAAATGATATACTACTATAAGCTGCTCGACTTGCTCCCTACAAAAATCTAGTTACTAAAGAGACAGTGATAAATAACTCTTTATTATGTGTCATAAAATCTAATAATCCAAATGCAACTACTACTGCTGATTAAATAACCTATTTTACATCAATTTATTACTAAACCAATTAGCATACATCTTCTTCTTCCCCATTAAGACATTTTCTTACCCATAACCAAAGAAAAAAAAAATGCTCCTATTGGATTCAATCCAAAAATATATCCAATTGTAGATACTGATACATGTGCTTTATCTTTTGCTAAAGGAGGATAAAAAGGTGCTATAACTGAGACAGCAGCATTAAGGAAAAAGTTCAATACACAAAAACATATCAAAGGCTTATCAATCTTACTTCTATTAATTCTACCCTTCAACTTTAGTAAGAAATTTTAAATACCAGAGAATCATCAGAGATATCATAATCTGAATATTCTGTTGCTGCTTTGGCCATAGAATTCTTAATTTAATTAATCTAATGAAAAATTATTAAATATGATTATAATATTTTTGTTTACTATTTTTAAATAAAATACAATCTTATTATCAATCCATTTTATCTAATAGTCTATTAAATCCCCCTCTTCTATGCATATATTATCTATATTTTCTTTTCTAATTTGCTGCTTTAAATACACCCTCTACTGCACTTGCCTTAAATAATTATTTTTATATACTGAATGATCCTTTCCTTTTGAAGATCCAAAACTTGTGAATCCAAATTTTTTCAATAATTCTTAATTTACCTTTTTCACTCTCTCTTCATAATCTTCTTCTTCTTCTTCTTCTTCAGGTTAAACATCTTAATTGCCTATTTTATTTTATTCTTCTACCATTATATTCTGATTTTATTCATTACTTTTTATTTATACTTAATTGATTTCAACATCTAAATTTTCATTTTGCTTCTAATCCATATTTTATACTTCTTGATCAACTTTATTTACATCACAATTCTATTCAATATTATCCACTTATTATTATTTAATCACAACTTCTTGAGTTATTGTCTAAATTTCATTGTTATTAGAATTCTTAATATCATTAATCTATTTTTATGGTTATTAGACTTATTTCTCTTTCTTTAATGATCTTGAACGAGATTATCTTTTTTATTTTTTTTATTTCTTTTTTCTTTCTGAACTAGATGAAGAATAAGAAACTGATGAACTAGATGAATGTTTTCTTTTTTTGTCTTTTCTATGGCTTTTATCTTTCTTTTTATCTTTCTTTTTTTCTTTTTTCTTATCTTTACCCATCCTTTAATTTTATTAGATTATTTTAATATTAAAAAATACTATTTTTATGAATTATTTATTCAACACTATTTTTGAATTAATCATATTATCATTGATCTTTAAATTTGAAAAACTATAATAGTACATCTTCATAGTTGTAAATATTAAAAGAATGAATAACTCATAATATTTAATAATGTAAATAATTTAAAAGAGTATAATTTATCCAATTATATGTATTAATCGAATTTTAGACTATATATAAACCTATTTATAATTATTTATTTATCTTAAAATTACAATAAAACATCTCTAACAAAAATTATCTTTAAAAATAAAATTATTTTATGTAATCCTATTCACTTATTAAAAAATTAGGTACAACATTAAAAAAAATAATGACCTTATAGTAATAAAATAATGTTGAATCAGATTATTTATTATGGTTTAAGAAGGAAGATAAATATATCATAACTGAATTAGGCATTAAAATAGAAACATTTTAATTTTTAAGATTTTCTCTCAATTAATCTAATGATAAAAATATTGATGAATTGAAATGTTTCAAAGATAAATATGGATAATTCAAAGAAATTAAAGCATTTAAAGGTTAAAATGAGCCAATTATTTTGCAGATAAAACACAATAATTTTATCATTATACATCTTAGAGAAAAGTATTAATATATTTATCATATTTCACTTGATAAAGAAAATAATCCTAAATTAGTTTTCTAAGGAAAACATAATATTAAAGCAAAAATATTAGTTGATAAATATTTAGAACTATTTTATGTAGTTTACTAAAGTGAAGACTAATTTCTAATATAGATCTATCAAATTAATGATGACTTGTAAAAAGTAGAAAAACTAAAACAATCTCAATATCCACTTAATAATAATAACTTTATCAATCAAATTGATTATATTACTCTTTACAATAAAGAGATTTTATTATTATTTAGATAAAGGACTGCAGTTATATTTTACTAAAACTTGAGTACCTATCAAATTGTTAGTTTGTAAAAATAAAAGAAATTATTTTATTACACTCAATTCTTATATACTGATACAGTATTATTGATGATTGAAACAGAAAACAATGAGTTAATTTTATTTTAGAATAAGCAAAATGCTATTCATAATTTGAACATCAATTTTTAAATTAGCTTAAATAAAATCCAAATGCTCTCTTTGGAATCAATATAGAAAATATTTCTCCTTGATTTGATATAGGATTTGCCTAATCTCTAAGAATTTTGCTTTTGGGATTCTAATGATTATGAAGTAGTAAAATTGTTAATCATTGGATCTCAACAAACAGAGGAAGCAACATCAGCAATTATTTATTGCCTAAAATACAAACCTGTTTTTGTTATAGGAATTATCAAATATTTAGAATATTATTGCTTTCTAATAGATTAAGATTTTAAATAACTTATCAATTCAGTTTTTGAATTAATACCTGGTTATCTGATTAATAATCTTACTTATGAAATTGCTCACTATCCTAATTACATAAATTATCTAAAATAATATAATATTATTTATAGTAAAAATTTAACAGATTCTTAGCAGATATGGTGTATGCTTTGTAATATGACTGATAATAAATGTTTAAAATTTTGAAATATATCTATCAATTATTTAATTTTTTAATATTTTTTGAAATTCAATTTTGACTTTTATTTCTTTTTGTTATATTTGGATTAAATCAATATATGAATTCATAATGATTAATTAATTGCCAATTTATGAAATCATATTTATAATAATTATGGGAATTTTATCCCTAATAACCAAAAGCAATAATAGAAGTGAAATTTATATTCCTTTCAAAAAGAGTGTTTTGTATTATCTGAGAACAAAAGAATTTGATCAGAAAATTATAAAAAATAAAGCAGTATTTCACATAAAGACTGTCGATATAGAAATAAAAGAGAGATTATGTATGTGAAAATAAATCAATTTAAATTTAAACTATATTAATAATTTAGATATTTCTATTGAATTGGTATAAATAGGAGGGCCTTATTAAAATGCAAATATTCCATTTGTTAATTTTATTCCAAAACTATTTATGCTATGATTTAACTATTAATTATCTTTAATTATTAAATTATAAATTAAGCTTTACTTCATAATAAGTATTTTAATACTTTATTTAAATCTTTATATATAAATTAAAAACAGTTTAAGTGAATTAACTAATAATTTAATAACTGAGATAACTTTTGATTAGTATTTTTCAATAGTCTTAATGATACAGAATTCCTATTTATTAATCTCTACAATATATATAAGATTGTTAATAGATATTCTTAAAAAGACGCATAGATTATAGATTATGCCCAACAATTACTATACTTCAAAATAATCATTAATTTTATTGTTATACTTCATTTTTTTATTATAAATTTTAAAATAATTAAATGACTGAGGCAAAGTCTAAAAGGGATTTAATATGGGAAGAAAAGAGAAGATAAAGAGAAGAACGATTATTAAGTATATTATAGATATAAATGCAGGAATGGAAGGATAAATACAAGACAATAATGAAAATTAATTTTAACTCCCACCTCCAAGATTAGATGATCAAGTTCCTATTTCGTTTCCTTCTCAATCTTAGGAATATGAACCTTATATCCCTCCCGAACCTTATGTACCAATTGAAATGAATAGAAATCCTGAACCACCCAGAATGTATTAAGGTTCAATTCCTCAGCAATCTGATTTCAGAGAATAGAGAGATAAGAGATCAAATAGTTAATTTTAATAATAACCAGCAATATAATAAAGTCCTTTAAAAAATCCTATTAAGCAATAGTAGGACGATTATAGAGAATATTTGAAAAAGCAGATGGAAGAAAAAGAAACAGAGAAAAAGAGAAGAAGAGATGGAACAAACAATAATCAATAATAAATTCAATAAGTTTAATTTTAGTAATAATCAAATAATCCAGCACCACTCCCAGCGTAACCTATAAATAGATAAAAACAAGAATATGGGGAATTTCTAAGATAATAAATGATGGAGAAAGAAGAATAAAAGAAACGAAGAATTCAGTCAGGAAATAATCAAAATAATTAATAATAATAACAATAGTATTAATAATAGTAAATGTAATAATATTAAGTACAATAATAACCTTAATAATACTAGTAATAAATATACTAGCCATAATAATTTGAAATTAATTAAGGTTATTCTTAAGGTAATCAATAATCTATTACTCCATATTAACAACAATAACCTTAATAAGTTGATTAGAATAAATAATAAAAATAAGAATATGGAGATTATTTAAGAATGTAAATGTAATTAAAAGAGCAAGAAAAAAATGACCGAAAGAAAAATCTTTAATAACGAATGGAAACTGGAGATGCATTTCCTTTCGGTAAAGGAGGAGGAGGTGCACCCTATTAAAGAGGTGCCAATAATCAGATACCTCAAAATTATAATCAATAATAACAATATCAACCTCAAAGCTATAATTAACAATAACAAAATCAATAGCCAAATTATTAATAATAACCTTAATATATTCAATAGTAATAGAATTTTTAATAACCTATATAATAAATATAATATTAACAAAGCATTGTGACTCCTTAGTAATATTAATATTAAGAATAAAATTTACCATCTGGATTTGATTAATAACCAATATTGATGGAACCTTTAGTAGATCCATAGTAGAAAGGAGGGAGAAATAGACTAATGTTGGAAAATTAAAATATTGATGATATAAAAAAAAAAGAATTACAGAAATTAGAAATGCAGAGAGTTTTATAAGAGTAGATTGAAGAAAAAAAGAGAAAAAAAGAATAAGAAAGATTGCAAAAAGAAATGGAAGATAGATAAGAGGAAGAGAGATTTAGAAGATAAAAGGAGTAAGAGGAAATGGAAAAGAAGCGTGAAGAAGATTCAAAGAAATATTAATAAGGAAGTAATATTTTTTCATTAATTTAAGAGTTTGAATAGGATAATATTGATTTAAAAGAAAAAAAAAGGTTGGAAAGAATTTAGGAAAGGAAAAATAGAAAAAATCAATAATAAGAAGAAGATTAACCATAATAAAACTTTTAGGTATATGAACAATAACAACAATTATTACCTCCACCATCTCGTAATCCTCCTCCTTCTTAACCTAAATCAGAAAATTATTTAAAGGAATTCCTAATGAATGAAAAAATGAAGGAAGGAGTTAGTCCACATTAAAGTATTCTTGATTTTTATAGAAATGGTCCTTAACCTATAAATAAAGCTGAAATATAATAAAACAGAGAAATTGATGATATTAAAAGATAGATGCTTTAATAATAAGAAAACTTATAATAATAGATATAATAAGTGATGAGTTAAGCTTAAATGGCAATAGAAGGTAGAAATAAAGCAGAGTAGGAATTAATTTCTTTAAAAGAATAAGTGAAAAATAAATACTTATAAGAAGAGAGACATCATGATGATTTAATGATTGCATTAGTTAAGAATGATCCAAAATGGGAGAAATAAGTTTTTCCACCTCATCTATTGGCTCAAGCTGAAGTTGGTGCATATAAAGATTTATCTATGCCAGCATTAAATGAAAATTTTAATTTTCCTAATCTTAATTAAAATAGAGCAGCACCTCAATTTGCACCTGCTTATGAAAGCAAACGTAAATTATATATATATATATAGCTCTTGTTTTGAAAGAAGAATCAAAAGAATAGAAATAATATTTTAGAGAATAATTCGGACTATAATCTTTAGTCTCTGATTCCAATATGGTTCCTATTGATCATAATGCTTCATTGGTTCCTTAAATGTAACCTTTGAATAAAAAAGTGTCAGAAATTTAATTAGATAAAATAGATGAATTGAATGCTCATTTTGAAGACAGTCTTAAATTAGGAATTGGAGAAAATTATCAAATAAGAAATGATAATTTCAAAAAGAGACCTCCCAGTAATAATGGATAAAATCAATCTTGGAATGTTCCTTCTATTGATTCAGAATTTGTTAAAGAAATTGATGATCTGTTAAAATATAAGCCTGCTTAATAGACTTTAAATCGTCCTCCCTCTGGATTTAATAAAAATGGTTATGAATAGAGATAATTATAATAATCTACAACAAATAGACCTCCATCATAAACTAATTAGAGACCCCCTTCTGCTTTTGGACGTGCAGCTTTAGGTGTATTAGGATCTGCTGATTTAAATTATAAGGGAATTACTTTAGACTCTGAATTTCCTGATATGACAATGCTCAAAAAAGGAACAAATACTGAAACATTTGATATAGCAGGGATACATAAAAGGATGGATTAAAAATTAATGCATTTAAATGAAATAGAAGAAGATGAAGATTTATAGAAATTAGATAAATTACTTTATTAATATAACTGATGATAATATAAATTTACATTATATCAATAGAAAACTTAAGTTTTAATAAATAAGATGATCGTTAATATATATAAATTATATTTTAAATGATAAAAATAATTTATTTAAATTATGAAACCAAAAAGATCAACCTCTGCTCATATTACTTTAAATGCTTAATTAATTAAACAAACATCTCCTCCTTCTCCTGTAAAAAATAAATTATAGGAAATCAATGATAAAATTAACTAAATGTTTATCAAAGCCAAAAATCCTAATGAATAATTAAAAAATATAGAAACTCATTTTTAATAATAGTTTTAAAGTACTAAAATATTATCAACAATATCAAAAGAGAAAACTAAATTATTATCATAAATAACTTCAAAAGATGGTAAAATAAAAGAATAAGAACATAAGATTAATGAATTAAATAAAGCAAATGAATATTTGAAATAATAATTAGAAAAATATCAATAAATCTCAAATGAAATGGAATAATTAGAATAATATTGCACAAAAATAGTTTAAGAAAATCAATAATTAAAATAGTAAGTTAATTAATTGCAGACTTCCTTTAGTTTTTTATAATCTAGTAATCTTATAACTTTAGGTTAAGAAATTGATTAATAAATTTAGAGTTTAAGTAAGTCACTTACAAAATGTTTTAAATTATTAGAATATTCAAGCAAATAAGAATTTGATGATTTACAAGCTTTGATCAAGATTACTTCTAGTGTCACTTCTTAACATAAATAGGAAGGGAATTTGTATACAATATTAAAGGAATCATTAGAATAATTAAAACGATTAATCTATGAGACAGATAAATAATTTGATTTAAATTATAAAAAAGTGAGTAGTAATGTGTTTTATTCTTATAATTATTGATTACAAAAAAGGAAAGTATTTATCAATTATCAAATCATTTTGGAGAAATCTTATTTATCAAATAATCTATTTATACTTTACATTTCCTTCTCTAAATCCTTTTAACTTTCTTGTATTGCCCATTATGCTAAATTCAGATTTCTTTATAATACTTTCATTTATGTAAAAAATTCATCTAATTTTTAAGAAGGATTACGAATTAATACAACATTTTTCTTTTTTTCTTAAATCTCTTAACTATCATTTCTAGGTAATTAATTAATTACATTATTGTTGTTTTAAAATAATGCTTAAAATACTTTTTTAAATTCATTTCTTTTAGCTAATGAAATTTTCTTAAGTTATTTTATTTCTATAAATTTTTATCTCATTTTTAATAAAATACCCATTGGTAAAACTTGATTAGATTTAACTTTTTTTGTATAAAGATTAGTCTATGAATTTTAAATTGATGTTGTTTTAGATGATAAATATTGTTTATCTAAAGTTCTATTAGCAAATATGATCATTTAAACAACTTTTCTAAACCTATCCATCAACATATTAATTTTTGTGATTCTATTCTTTAATAATTTTTCTAAAATGCTTTCAGTGTTACTCTACCTAGTATCATATATCACACTTTATTTATGTTTAATAATTCCTTTATAATCTCTAACCTCTATTCTATTTGCAGATTTAATTAATTCTAATTTCTAAGCACTAACTCTTTCTTTCTCTGCTTCTATTTCATATTGTTTAAATCTAATTAAAATATCATCTAATCTATGTTCTACTAACATTTATAAATATTTTTATAAAGCTGGAAACTCTTTTAAATATTTAAAAAAATGAGAATTACGAATAATTAAATAATAACAATCTTTTTTTGCTATTGCATATTAACTACGCTATTATTATCTTTATATAATTTATCTTCTGTTGAAATATTCTTATTCTCCAAATATAGATCCTGGTTGAATTTCTAATAGTTCTTTTCCAAATTGATTTCTATACTAAACCATTCCTTCAACAAGAAAATAGATTTCATCTACTGGATCTCCTTTTAACCAAATTAGCTATCCAGCTTTAGCCTTCATCAGACTTATATGTCTAATGACTTTCAATGAGAATGGAATAGAAATTCTAAATAAAGAGATTCCTAATAATTCTTTTTTTGCAACAGCCAACAAAATTTTATTTTATAAATCTTATGGTAGTATTTTAAACCATTCTTATTAATTTAGAGACCAACTTTAATTGTGTTTATGATTAGTAAGAATAAAATTAGATATTTCTGTTTTATATTCAGGAAGTATAATAACTTAATTAAATAATACTTTTAGGTTATTTAATGTTGTATTAAATTAACTTTCAGTATCAATATCAGCAAGAATGGAACTCAAATTACCAATTACTAAACTCATAAATATACCCCCACAAAGTGTGCAAATAATTGTACTTATATATTCAATCATACTTGTAGGAGTTACATCACCATATCCAGTTGTTGATAAAGTTTACATTGCCCAATAAATAGCATCTATATATTTAGGAATCCCTTGATCTGACCATTATCTTGATAAAGCCCAGAGACAAGTTGAATAATGAAATCCAATTAAACTAAAAAATAAAATTTAAAATAAAGTTGCTTATTTTACGTCTAAAAAATTATACATAAATTCCAAGCTATTCAATATATAATTGTTTACATTTTATTTTAATTTAATGAAGAAGAACTAACTATTTATGAGACTCTTTTGATCCTAAACACTTTTATTAATTAACAATATTAAAAAGGAATAACTGAGATCATATCTATTATAAACCATCCAAATAAATAATGTTTGATTATTGAAATAGAATCTTATACTAAATTATTATTTTCATCATAATAACACATTCTCATTAAAATAATTATATCAACAGCTATAAATAAGAATAATAAATTACAAAATATTATTGAGAATATCCATTTACTTACACTATATATAATTTCTTCATCTTCAAAAGCAGCCACAAAAGGGATATAAAAAGAACAATAAATCAAAATAATTAACATAAAAATATCCCATAACTTTTTAAGCCTATCCTCCTTAGCTAAAATACATATTTCAAATTACTGGATAAATCAATGATTCATGTATTTTCTTTTTATGGTTACCTTTCAACTTTTTAGAATCCATTTATTTAGCAATCGAAAGAAACATGCTTATGAGATATACTTTTCTAAATGTCTTCATCAATCTTCTTTTATTATTTAATCTTTTCATTTAATATTCTAATGCTAATTTTCTAGACCTAATGAAAATATAATAAGAAAAAACTTTTTTAATTCAAGAAGTGATGTTTTGTTTATTCTGTTTGTATGTTTAGCATCTCTTGAATTAGGACTTTATAATACAAATTTTATAGATTCTCCTTAAGGAGATATCAAACCATCATTAGAAGGGCGATGACTAGCTACATAAAGAGTATTAGCCTTTTTAATCATATTTTCCATTATTTTTTAAAAATATATAACAATTTTATTATTTCTGTAATAAAAATAAACTGAGTGAATATTTATTTTTATTATATCTCTTAAGACTTCCTTTTTTATTTATTTTAATGATAAAATAAATATATAATTGATTTGATACTATATTTAATTAAGATATTTATTGCTTAATTTAATAAGATAAAATTAGATAGAATAACTTAAAAATTTAGAATTCAACAATTAAAATGACGACTTGATTTTAATTAGATAAGCTAATCCTGATTTATATGAATGATTTAAATAATATTTTTAACTTTTATTAAGGTATATTTAATTTAAGTTTAATAGTTATGAACAACGAATTTGTTAAAACTTGCTCAATTACATAAAATAAAGAAGAATTTATTTGTATGAATGAACAATGCTGTAATTCTAATAGAAAATAACTTCATTGTTATGAATGCATAACCAAAATTCATCGACAAAACAATAATAATTTTGTTAATCATCTTGATGATTTTAAGAAAATTAGTTTGATAATGTAAGAAGTTGATAAGAAGAAAAAAGATAGAATTACTTTCTTAAATCAAATAGTTACTTAACTTAATGATTTTAAGAAAGAGAAGTTTTAAATAATTGAAGGTTATTAAAATAATTCCAAAGAATTTTTAGAATAAGTTAAATCTTATGTGGAAAAGGAGATTGATTAATTAGTTTAAAAATTGTATGAATAAATAATGGAAATGAATAAATTTACAGAATATTAATAGTAACATCATGTGCAAATACTTAAACTGTATTAATAGACTATAAATTAATATATGGAAGATATTATACAAAAAAAAAGTTAACTCTAAGTTAAAATCAACAATTACATTAAAAAGATGGACTTGGATTTACATCAATAAATAGCTAAGTATAAAAAATTCTATTTTCTAGATATCTTTAAAAACAATAAATTTTGGAATAATAAATGTAATAATTGATAAAATAACCAAGTATAACAAATTCATTTCTATTCAAATCTACAGTAGTTTTAATCTTATTAATAATTGGATTAAATCCTATCATTATGTTTTAAGATTTTAATGGAAGAAGTGAATTACATTAAAAAATGGATGAATTTCAAATTCTTATTAAAGAATTATAAGGATAAAAAGAAGATACTATATGTTAGGAATTGAATTAAAATATATAATAATAAATGAATAAAATTAAGGATCAAATAGATGTAATAAATTAAAAAATGAATAATACTGAAACACCTTACAATCAATTTAAGAATTATTTTAGTAATAAATTAAAATAATATAATGAAACTTTATATAATACAATATCTGATAGATTAAATAATTAAAAAGAGAATTTCTAACAAATAAAATAATAATTTATAGCATAAAATTAACTTAATGATAAGATATTATCAGATACTAATAGAACTTCGTCTGTTTTATATTATTAATAAGTAAGGATTATGAAAATAGAAGAAGATTTGATACATGTTAATAAAAATATTACTTCGAATTATGATACAATTTAATGGTATAAAACACAGATAATGAATAATCTAATGAAAATTTATAATAGATAAATATAAATTGAATATAAAGAAGAAATTAAGAAAAAATTAGTTGGAAAAATTCATGTTGATTTAAATGTTAAAGAGTTAGAAAACTTTGTAATAATTTATGATGAATTACTCTCAAAAAAATTTAATAGAAAAGTAGTTAGATATATTTAGAGTATTACTTAAAATGATACAATTATATGTGTGGCTGGTATGAAAGTGGACAATCCAGAAATATTATTAGTAGTAGGTTGTGATTATTAATAAGAGATATTTTAATTCACTTATCATTGGTAACATGCAAGAAAAAGTTCATCAGGAGATATTTATTGGTACATGGCTTTTCCGGTTGCCTTTGGATTTTCTCCAACAGAAGATATTTTTTTAACTTTATGTGATGATTTGGATCCAAATGATCAGAGAAGACTTAGTTATTGGTTTGAAAATGGTGAAGATGGTGGAAGAAGAATAGGTAACTAAACTTAATTGATAAACTCAATAGAATATAAAATGGTGATGTATGCTTTATGATAAATTTAATCTATTTTTATAATAATATTTTAATTTATAACTTAAAAAATGATAAGATATCCAATATATCATATATTTTAAGAAGTCAATCAAATATAATGTATGAAAATTTGTTGTATTATCTATAAATAAAAAATGAAGATTAAGAAGAGAAATAATGGATATGACAAAAAATTAATTAATTTTATTATATATACGATCTTAAAAAAAGTTTCATTGTTTAATATGAGATTATAAATTAATTATAATAATAATAATAACAATGATATTTTAGTTTATAAATTATCATCTCTAGAATAAATGTATGTTATTTTATGAATCCTAAATATACTTATCGTAAAAAGCAAGTCACTAATGCTGAGAAATAATAGATACTAAAAATCTTAGGGAACAATCCTACTGATAAATAAATTGAATATATAGCTCATGAAAATGATTTGAAAACTAGAACCATCAAAGCATGGCTTAAAAACAAATAATAATTTTGTTCTGAAAATAAACATACATCTGATTCAGAAGATAATCTCTATAATAACAAAAGAAAAGTAAAAGAAGATAAATCACTTTTTGATTATGAGAGGCACTTTAACCAAAACTCTAATTAATACAATTATGAAATTACTAATTCAGATTTACTTATAAAAAATACTAATCTAAATGATTCCAAATAATCATAGAATGGAATAACTTTTCCTTTAACACATCTCCCTACATAAGTAGAGAAAAGTTAGTAAAAATAATAGGATAAATATGCCTTATAAAATTTTGAATCCTTAGCTTTATTATTAGATTCAAATGATGAAATTCATCAACTCATTTCCTTATTTTAGAATTAAGAAAGATAAATAGAGAATATCAAAAAGGTTTAATAAGATATTTTAGAATATATGTGTTCTCATCTAACCAAAAAACCAAAGAGAATATGATTTTATAATTATGTTATATATATGGATAACATTTATATTAATAATTTTAGGTTCAATTTATTATATATTTTATGAAAAGATAAATATTAAATGAACATTTACAAATGAAAAAGAATAGAAGTTGTTAAATTTCTAAATCATTTCAAAATGAATTTTCACTTGAAAGAAAACAAAGTATTTCATAGAACAAAAAGAATCCTGATAAATTAGGTTCAATGTAAATTGTTGAGATGTGGTCTAAAAAAATGAAAAAACAATGTGATAGTTATTTAGAGGTACTTAAACATAAATAAGAACAAGAGATGTATTATAATATTTAATAGTTTCAAAAGCAAAAAGTTGAATCATGTTCCCCCTATTATGTTAAAGAACATAGACGTAATGAAACGTAGTGATAAAACTACTCTTCCAAGATCAAGGATTACATCTTTCAACTAACATGACTTTAATTAAAGATCCATTAAGGAAGTCATTCAAAAGAATGATGAATAAATTGGAACTTCAATTTTAAGTATTAGTAACTCTGGTAGGTCAATGGCCTAACCATTTTTTTTTTAAAGGCTTAAACTATCTTCAATTCGAGAAGTAAAAAATTGTATTGACTAATGTGATACACTTCTCCAGGATGTTTAAAGTATTAGTAAGTAAATGATATAAATTACAATAGGGAGTTTTATTAGCCTAAACCAGATAGGTTTAAATTGTATGTCTAAAAAAGACAAAAAGAGAAACTAAAAGAATTGTTTTTATTAAAAAGATTATAGTGATTTTATTTCTTTTTATTTATTTTTTGTTAATTATTATTATTTATTAATGTTACAGATATACAATGAGAGATGATTGTTGAAATTATTGAATAAAATATGTAAAAAAATGAAATTTTAAAGTGATTCCATCAATTTCATTATAAATGAACATGAGATTAACTTAAATATACAATAAAATTATCGCAATAAATTATTATCATAACTTAAATCCAAAATGTACAGCTACAACTCCATCCATATAATTCTTAAATCCTGCATATCTAAAACCAGTTTCTTCAATTATTTTTAATAATTCTTATTGACTATGGAATTTATCAATACTCTCTACTAAATATTAATAGGAATGTCTATCATTAGCAACTAATTATCCCATTGTGGGAATGAAATTGAATTAATAAAATTAATTAGCAAAAGATAAAAGGGGATTCTAAACTTTACTAAATTCTAAACATTAAAATTTTCCTCCTTATTTCAATACTCTATGAGCTTCTCCAATTGCTTTAGGAATTCTTGGTACATTTCTAATTCCAAAAGCAATAGTATAAGCATCAAAAGTATTAGGTTCAAATGGTAATTCTTCAGCATTTGCACATACAAAATCAATTTCTATATGTTTGATATAAAAATATTACAATTTTAATAACCTAATTCATTTGCTCTTTTTTATCCTACATCTAACATAGATTAATTTATATCTAAAACAGTTATTTTAAGATTTTCATTAAACAAATTATTTCCCTTATGTTTTTCAAGAATACGAAATGCTATATCACCTGTACCACCTGCAACATCTAAGACTCTAATTTATGAATCTCCATTTTTTAATGATCCTAATTCTTCAACAAAAGAATTCTTCCAACATCTATGTAATCCAACACTCATTAAATCATTCATCAAATCATAGCTATTTTTAAATAAACAAGTACTTATTTGCAACATTATGAAACACTTAATTAACATGTTCTTATTTTTCTTCAAGTTTAACCTTTTTAAATCCAAAGTTAGCATCTTGACAAAATGTAAATACTCTCAATTTAAATAGTTATTTTATCATAAATAAAATATTATATACAAAATAACTACTTTATCTGGTTAATAAAATATAAAACTATTATACAAGAAATACAAATAATCCTCTCTATTTATTATTTTATTCTCCTCAATTTTGAATATCATTTTAAAAAAATCAATTATATTATTAATGATAATTTATCAAATAAGAAACTGTGTAGACTAACAAAAAGAAAATAAATTTAATGAAAAAAATTATTTTTATTAATTTAATTAGTAAACGATTCCCATATATTATTTTTTTAAGTTTTTGTAATATTATATGAATAATTCAATTATAATTTATTAAGCAGTGTGGCAATGAGGGTCATTTTCGAGAATGACAGCTCAAATTCCCAACACATGCAACATTGAATATTAGCTTCCCATAATTATACAAAAATTAATCTTTGTATAAATATAATAAGCTAGGATAAAAATTATTTTTATGAAGTAATTCAAATTAATATGGAATCTATAATTTTCTTTGAATTAAATTTCATATATAAAAAAAAAGAAATACTTTATATCCAAATGTTAATACAAATCATCGAAAATTCTTAAAAATAATTATTAAGTTAATAAATAAGAAAAAAATACTATATCAACCTACTATTCTCTCAATTTACTAGTTTCTTTTCTTCTTTTAGTTTATAAGCCACCTCTAACTATTCAAATATGTCATCATAATTTTCTTCCTCTTAAATTATAGGTTTAGGTGTTGGCTCATATTGAACTTCATCATTGAAACGAACAGTAAGTTCTTTTTTAACAGATTTGACTTATGATTATAAATTGTATTTTTTTAAAGATAATTTTAAAGGTTTTTTTTGTGAAATAGTAGAAGTAATGTTTTACTATAGATCTGGTTAACTCAAATTTTAATCAATTTATTGTATGTTTAGTTAAGGTTATTCTTCTTAGATAGCTGAATTATTGGTTATAGTCTCATTAAATGTTTAATTTATGGTATGATCATTTATAGGTTGTTCTCCTAATGGATTAAGAACGAAATGCCAAGGAATTAGACCTTTATGAGCCTTTCTGAGGAATTATAAGTGAGTCTTAAAGTAAGTAAATATATTACTTAAACACTATTATTCCCTCCAAATTTTTATAATCTATTTGTAAAATAGTCAAAGTCATATTTAGGCATTACTTAATAATGCCATTCTTCTATAACATGCATATATTTATTTAATTCTTCAAATTCTTCATTTCCAAATCGATAGTCTTTACATAAATTATATAAATAAATGACTCCTTTTTAAGGATCTGTAAATTATTCAGGTTTCAATCGAAATTGTTATGTTTTCTTTTTCTTCTTTTAATTTAATTAATTTTAAGCATCTTGTTCTTGATCATTTTTATCTTCTTCTTCTTCATTTCTTGGAGATCTATTCTCAAGACCCTAATCTTCATTTTCTTCTTAATTATAGCTCATTTATTATTTAATAAAGAGAATTTAAAGTAAAAATTTAAATAATCTTAAATTTAAAATTATTTTTAATAGTTATATTATAAGATAGAAAATAGAAATATTAAAAGTTTAAAGATATTTATTTATATATTATAATAAATAAATAGATATATTGTTGAAAAATAATAATAATATTAAATTATCTTTACTTAAATTATCATTTTTAATCTTGTAGAATTTAGAAATATTTATGATCTAATGCTTTTAAAACTGTTACTCCAAGTTAATGACATTAACGTATTTATTATTATTCATGACTGTACTTTTCATGAACAATCATATCTATTGGATCAATAACATAATTAAGACTTTCAGATCTAATTAATTTTTCTACTAAATCTTGAGCTTCAAACTACTTTAAATTCAATAAATTAGCTAATGAAATTAAAGACATTCTTTTAAAATTAATAATATACTAATTTAATATAAATTTATAATTACTTATTTTAATAATGTGTTAATGATCTTCTCTTTAATTTATGGTATAAGTGGAGCTGATATGACATCTCTATCTAATTCAATCTAAAATATTATATGAAATATTAATACAATGAGTAATTAAGATTTCTAAATTAATTAAACAAAATCATAGTCTATATAACAATTCAAAGTCTCCAATACTGAAGGATCTGCATCTAGTATTCTAATAATAAATGGATGTTATAATGTTTCAATAATATCTTTAGGTAATTTTGTGATAAGACTAGCTATAGCAAAATATTTGCTTAAATCAAAATAGCTAGTTATAAATTCTACTTATTCAAGATAATTGGCATCAATTTGTAATAAGTCAATTAAAAAGTTCTTGTAATCCATTCTAACATAATTTCTAATGGCACTTAATAATAACCACTTCTAATATCCTTTAACATCTTAATCTTTGGGATTGACATTAATAACTTTATAGTGCATATAATTATTGCTTAAAATCATACAAGTCACCCATGAATTTGCATAATCTAAGGCTTCTTATGTTTAATTATTTTCATGGGCCTTATAATAGGCAGCATAAGCTTCAACTAAGTCTCCATATTTGAGATATAAGTCTCCTAATTAGATGAAGAGTTCTTTTAAAGCATTTCTATTTTATAAATTTTTAGTTTGTTAGATCTAATTCTTTTTATCTGTAATAAACTTTCGTATAAGAGTTAATTCTTCTTTCTAATATGAAATTTTTAATTTTTCTGCCAAAATTGCAGCTCCTCTAATGTATATATGAATATGTTTACAAATAAAGACCATTCTCTTCAAGCTTAGGCATAATTTATGGTATCAAGGAAGGATTACTCTAACCAACAATACATAACCTAATAGCTAAAAGGGAATTGGCATAGACATTTAGTTTAGAAAAATCTAAATTCATTTATATATATATTATTTATCTATTTAAAATTAATTATCATATTAAGAATCTAGAATCGATTTTAGATTGATCAGCTAAATTACGTTCTCCTACCCATTAACGGAAATTAAATATTCCAGCTGAAATCAAATAAGTTAACATCAATGAAAGGTATGTGTTATTGGTGAGAATCATCCAAAAATTGAAGATCATAGTATCTGTAATCAAGAAAAAAAATTCATGTCCACAAAAGAACATGGATTTAAATGATTGATCTGGATCTCTGAAGAAAACAGGCATACTTTATTCTTTGAAATAACCTTCCTCTAAATCAGCAGGAGGATAATCAAAGAATCTTTGAACAGGCAATTTGTCTCTGACACATTTTGCAAAATTTGTTCGTACCTAATATTAATATTAGAAATACTTAAGTCAAAACATCCTTAAGATAAAAGGAGAATGTATCTTTAATTGTTTATACTAAGGCCATATCTAAACCATCAGGAACACCCTATCTTAAAATTCGACTAAAAATTAATAATCATAAATAAATACATTTCATTATAATTCTAATATTGAGCATTATCTGTTTTTTATTTAAGTTCTTAATTATAAACTTTTTCATATGCTTCTCTAAATCTCATAGGTAAAAACAATTCAAAAGTTTAAAGATCTACATCATCTTAATGTTATAAAGATGATTCTTGGATAAATCCTCTTTTCTTCCCTTTACCTAATGCTTCATAATGTAAACAATTAGCAAGATGTTCACTTGAACCTTCAGCATAACCAATAGGATTTTCTCCATGAATATAATATCCATGTAAGACATCATCCAAAATGAGTATGGAAACATTAGATATTGCACATAAATCAACAAAATCTTCAACCAGTATGGGAAACCAAATATCAAATAGTTTTTATATAACTAAATTTATTATGAATATAATATAATACTAATTTAAGCTAATCCAATTGCCATATATAAAAATGTACATAAAAAATATTATAGAACATAATTCTTTGGAATAGTTTTATCTAATTATAAATTTGGTTATTCTTAACCTAAATCAATCCATTATAATCCTTCTAAAAAGAATCCTACAAATAGTAAAGTCCATTCAACACTAACTATTCTATATATTTATAATTCATTAAATTCATTAGCTATTAATATCATTCTCCATGCACTTTATTTTGATTAAGCTTATTCAACCATTCTCAATATATTATTATCTAGTTTTTCTGCTAATTCTCTTGGTCTCAAAACTTCAGATTTTTCCCAATCTATAAAGAATACTTAAACATCAGCTTATCTTAATATTAAATTGAACATTGATATCAATCTACAAGCAAACATCATATAAAATAAGATTTCAAATGGTCTATAATTATTAGCATAATCTGAAAGATCAGGCATCAAAATATAAATAGTTTATTAAAATTTAAAGAAACAAAATAAATATCCTGTAAATATGGCCAAATAATAAAAGATTACTTCTGCCCAAGTATCTAATAAAACATAAAATGATTTGATTGTCAAATACATACACCAATCATTTTAACCTGTATAAGAGGGATTCCTCTTACTCCATACATATATTCTTATAAACCAAACAATAATAATGAATACATGAGCAACAATCAATAAAGCTGAAGCAACAGTATAAAAACTAGTTTTTGCTTAATAATAATAATGACCATATTTAACAGGATAATATTTTTCAGTCTCTATACTTGTGATAGTAATAGGTTCACTATAAATAATATAAAAATATGGTAGAAATGTTTTATCATCTTCTTATGTAGACAAATAACTAATTAATCTAACTTATTTTGCATAAATTATTTCTGATGGACTTTTTAAATTATCAACCATAAAAAATCTCCATAAAAATTTTGTATTTGTATAACCATATTCATTTTCAGTTTCTCCATTTCCATTACCATCATAATCAGCTATTTTAATTGGTACTTATATGAAACTTCCATCTATATCTTTTATCCATACAGAATAAAATATTGTTTTATAATTGCTATCTAAATATTTTGTAAAATCAACATCACAACTTAAAATGTTTAATATTAATATTTACTCATTTTTGTAAGATACTCCAAAATTGGATGCTAGATCAGTATCTCCATAACTAGTACTACACAATTAAAATTAATTTTAAAGTGGTTTTAATTCACTAACACTTCCATCAATATAATATTCCATAACATAAAATGGAATTTTATTAAGACTACTAGCTCTGTCTTCTTTAAAATTCACTTACATTTAAATAGGAGTATTTTCAATTAAAGTTACAGATGTAACAGTAGTGGATGCTTCATGTATTATGTTTGGCATATTCTTTTTATTTTAAAATGTAAGAACTGCATTATATAAATAGTTAAAATCTTTTTCTGTACTCACTGTTGATCTTTTCAAAATGAATAAATTTGCCAATTATTAACAAGATACCATATCATTATAAAGATTACATCCATCATAAGCTTTGGGTCCTAATGTTTAAGCTATATCATCTGAAAACACATTCACATATAAGTTAACACAATAATTATCACTTGCGAATGAAGATCCTGAACATGAACATTTCCCACTTACATTTATTTAATTATTAGGACATTATTAACATATATTTGTAGGAAGAGTAATTGCATGACCAGAACATGAACAAGCTGAGTTTTACCAAGATCCTGTATCACTTACACATAAATTAGTTTCTGCAGGACAGACTGAATTTACAGGCACACCATTTATAGTTGAATCACAAATACACTAATATTTAATATTCAAATTTCTATTTTACCTAATTACTTATCAATCCAGTTCCTGCTGGACATGCTTCACATTTTGATGCTAATGGATTATAAAATTGATCAGCTGTTTCACATACTTAACCATTTATTGATTGGATAATGAATAATATAAATAACATTTTAAATTAATAATATACATTTATTAATTACAAATGTGTATTCTATAGATCAGAATAGTATTCATTTGAATATTTTCTATTTTACATATATTTTATTAAAGATTTACAATAAATCATAATTAGACATACTTTAAATAATTATTATTTTAGTAATTATTGAATATGAATATTTAGTAATTGATAAATATTTTAAAAATGATTATAATACTAGCATTTGAACTTAAATCTAATTATATATAATTAATAATAAATCAAGTTATTGATGGATGAATATAAATTCTTAATATATAAATATGAAATATAATTATAATTATCATTAAACCAAAATATTTTATCAAGATTTATTTAATTTTCTTCCTTAATTGATTATCTTTAATGCTAATACTTTGACATTATTAGAAAATGTATATTTACCAAGTTTTTCATTTTATTTCCAATATCTTCTTAATCTTTTTTTTTGTCCTTTTTGTAATTCTTTAATTTATGATTCAATTGTATATTGAGGCATATAACTTTGAAATGTATTACCTACTTTATCTAAATTAAAAGAGGATTTAAACTATTTTTATAATAATAATTGCATTTCCTCAATCATAGTTTAGCTTTTAATCACAATCTACTCTTCATTTTAAATTAGCATTCTTCTTAAAGAAGTTTTCTATTCAATTTATCCTATTTTCTATTTTGAAAAGGATGACACTAAATAAAAAAATAAAAATTACTTTTTTATAATTTTAATTGACCATAATGTTATGTTACTCTTTTTTGAGTATATCTAGGTGGAGTATTTTCAATATGTCCATCTTCTTCACTTTATAATAATTAGGATGAACTTCTTTATTATTCTGAAAAATATGTTTTCTCATTTCTAATTTTTTCTTCTTAATCAGAATCTGAATCATCACAAATTTAATTGTCTTATTGAAATAATTTAAGTTATTATTCAATAGGTTAATGTTAACCTAATGCATGATGTTTTCTCTTTGTTCTAATAATTGGTCTCCTAAGATTTAAAGTCTGATTAAAATTTTATTTCTTCAAAATAGCTTCTAAATCAGGTTTATATTAAATTAAAGGACAATCAATTTCTTAATGGATATACCGATTGCAAAAATTACATTTATGATCAAAAAGTACATAATTAGTAGAAAATATTAATTTATCTTTGATATGATGAAAGATTTCAGAATCTTTTTAATTTTATCTTACTATATCAAGAAATTTCTTTCTACTAATTTTATATAATTCACTTGGGGTTTAACAAATAGCAGTTTCTTTAGGTGGAAATCCAGTAAAAAATGAATAATAACCTAAATATTAGGAACTTTTGACAGATCTTAATTTTTAGTCAGTTTGAATTTCTTTCAAAATAGCCTCTCCACTTGATAAAAAATATCTTAATTAAAATAATAATATTACAAATTATCTTCATGTTAATCACCTTATTTATAAATAATATCTCCAGGAATAAATTAAATTAATTCTAGGTTTTTAGCAACCATTTATTATGTGAACTTGGAAAAATGATTTATAATTAAACTCATCTTTTTAATTACTCTAGATTATATATCTGAATTTAAATCTTATTATAAATTTTTAGGCAATTGATTAATAAGATTTATAATTTCATCTTAATTTTCTTTTTTCTCTTATGCTTATTAGAATCTCAAATAGTTTCTTATTCTTCCTTATGTAGATTCATCAACTTAATTCTTACTCATATATTATATCATTTAAATTAGGTTCTTTCTAATTATACTTATATTCATACTTATAAGTTTGTTTTGTATCATAAACATTTTTAAGGATTATTCCAATCGAACTCATTGTATAAGCAAAAGCATAACTAGAAAAAAACATAATTATTGAAGAAACAATCATTTCAACTTAGTTTTTAGCTGAGAAATCTCCATAACCTACAGTTGTCATAGTCATAGTTGCCCAATAAAAAGCAGAATTATATCTATGCCATACTGTTTCTTCATTTAATTTGTTTTCTAGTATCCAAGAATTCTGCAAATGTTAAGTATTCTCACCAACATAATGCCATATACAAGCTATGATATGTGCAAAATAATAAATTTAAATTATCAACTATACCAAATCTAAAACTAAATTTTATCCTCCTTTTGAATAAATATATTAATAATAATATTCTTATAAATATCTGAGTAGTTTTTAATATATTAATAAGATTTATAAAACTATTATGATCTCAAAATAAAAAGTAAATAATAATTAATATTTGAGATCAGCCCATATAAATAATCTTAAGAAATCTGATAAAGCATTTGTTTTTAAGTATTAATTAATGATCTTCTTCCTATTTGTTATCAAAACTGCAGATACAAATATACCTCTATTAAATTGTGCTATAAAATCAAAAATTAATTATATTAATATAATTATTTGAAGCACCGATATTGTTTCATTATAATAATTATTAAATGCTCCTAAGAATGGAGTAAGCCATAGCATCATTAGATTACATATAAATCCTAAAATATCCCATAACATAATTGAATTAGTAGATGGTAAGAATATTGGAATAACTGATTTATTCTCATAATCTTAATAATTTATATTTAATTACCTTTTTTCTTTTATTAACAATTGAATTATTTTTCAAGTAGCTTATCCTTAATCTTTAACTTCTAAGTATTTCTAAGAATATAAGAATTTGTGAATAAATTATTTATGAATCGATGTACATGTAACTATAATTTAAACTTTTACAAAAAATGAGATTATTTTTAAGTTTAAATTGTCCTTAATGCTCTATTTGTTAAAAATAATGCATGTTTCTTAAATTCAGTCTGTTATAAGATTATTTTATTACTTTACTTTCATACCTAGACATGTTCATATCTATGCTCTTATTCTCAATCATATTACTTTGGCTTTAAATTTGATAATCATCTTCTAGCATAAGATTACACGGCGACTCTTACTTAGAGCTTAATTATTGAGTCAGTGCAGATGGTCCCATCCGCTAATACATTAATATCTCATCCATAACTATTTAAAATATTATATTATGTTCATTTAAAGTTAACCTTTTAATAATATAAGTCTTAATTCAAATATATCACAAATCCAATAGTTACATGGATAAACTAATTAAGTTAATAAAAATCAGTAATATTATAAAATGAATCTCAATTAAAATTGAGATGGGAGTGATTTAAATATTGAGAAATCAACTTCTTTATAAAGACCAATATAATTTTTAAACGATTCAATCCGACAAAAATAATTATATATATAATATTCATCCATATATACGATTAGTTATAAAATTTGATAAATTAAAATTAACTATTTACAAATTTTATATAATCGCTTTATTAATTTCTTATACTGTTTAGTGATACCTTATATCTATTACAATACATTTACTCTATTCTAAATAGAATTTTAGCTTTTAATGAATTATCTTTAATTGTAGTAGAATCTAAATTTTAAATAAAAGTTTTAAATGATATATACCTATTATTGTTATTTTTATTAATTATTTAGATTAGTTTGATAATTTATACAAAAGAATATTATCATTAGAATTATTAATTTTTTAGTATGTATATAAATAAATTATGAATTTAATAGTTATAATTATTATTTATCATCTTCATTTAATATTATATATAATTAAATATCTGAATTCATTATTAGATGATGTTTAGAAACTGTAGAATATTTTATAATAAATAATTCTTTTAAGTATTCTTGAGATTAAAAATGGAAAATTGTTAACAAATTAATTCTAATTACCGAAAGTTCTAGATTTTAATGACAATAAAAATATGAAATCAGCAATAATAATTTGTTCAATTAAAAATATAACTAATGGATAAACAATAAGGAGCAGGATCAATTTGGAATCCAAATAGTTGGCATTGGGAAGAGAAAAATTATACACCAATTTCTAAAGAATTGATTTAATCTAAGATCAAATCATGCAAAGTTGAATCTGGAGATATAACTTTGTTAAATTAAGAAGTGAAATCAATCACTGGAGATGTAAGATTGTTTAACTATTGAAAGGCTTAAGTTAATATCAGAAAAGGAAAACAAGTCTTGATATATGATTTCGATATAGAAGTTGAATGGCATGGTATTTAAAATAATTGAAAATTAAGGTGTTAATTAAGATCATGAAGCAGAAGGAACATATAAAATAAAAGACTTAAATTCTTTAGATAATGATTTCGAAATTATACATATTAGCTGCAATACTAAAACAGCAATCTCTGATAAATGCAAAGATTTAATTAAAAAAGACATGTTCAAAAAATTAAAAGAAACCTTCAAAACATTGATGCAAGAAATAAGTTAATTTGAATCTGATCCAGAAAAATTGTAAATTTTAATTATTAATATATTTAGAAAAAAAGACTAAGAGGCAAGAAGAATAGCTGAAGAATAAGTAAGACTTGCTAAAGAATAAAATGGAGAATTAAAGGAAAAGATCTTTTATGAATAAAAACTAAAAGAACAATAAATGAAATAAGAGTTCTCTTAATTTGCATAAAAATGAATTATAAATATTTAGAGTTAAATTCAACTATTCATCTAAGTCATTTAACAAAATGATAATAATATATTCTTATATTATTTTAATAAAAGTCGTAAAATTAAAATTGTGATTAATATATATATATTAATCAAGAATTATGATTTTGAAGAGGCTTAAATTTCTCTCCTTTAATTAAAGAATTATTAGGCAATGGTAGAGCCTTTTTTGATTTATCTAAAAGTTATGTTTCAGTTATTTAAGAATATTAAACTTTTAACTGTGTCATTTTCTTTTCCATTTAATCTAATTCATTATCTGAATCAAAAATAATCCATCTCTCTCTATTCCCATTTTTCCATTCTCCTTATTTTCTTTATTATCCAGCAATAAATATTCCTCTTCCGTGCTATTTCCCCTCAGACCAATATCCTATATATTTCTTACCATCAGGCCTAAATTTATTAAATTAATTAATATACCATTCAAATATTCCTTATCCATGCTTTTTATCATCTATATATTCACCTATATACACTCTACCATCACTCCATTAAAATAAACCTAAACCATGCATTTTATTATTTAACCATTCTCCACAATACTTTCGACCATCAGGCCAAGAATATCTACCAATTCCATTTATTTAATTGTTTAAAAATTAACCACAATATTAGGCTTTATCAGCCCAAACTAAAATCTTTAATCATATATATTTTACCAAACTTTCCTTTTCCATGTTTAACTCCATTCTAATATTCACCTTCATGTTTAGCTCCATCTGGCCAAATTTCAATACCAAATCCATTTTATTAATCATTATTCCAATTACCTTCATATCTTGCTCCATCAGAATGAATATATATTCCATAACCTTTAGATTTATGATCTTCCCAATCCTAATTATTTAATTATTAAATACTCCATCATAAATGTCTCCATTAGCATGATATAATCTTCCTTTACCATTAGCCATATCTTTAATCCAAAAACCTTCATATATTGATCCATCTTTCCATATTTAAATACCTTTTCCAAATTTCTTATCTCCAAACCATTCTCCTATATAGATAGCTCCATTTTCTAATAAGACAGCATTTCTAAAAAATCTATTTTCATATGCTTCACTTTCATTATCTTAATATCTATATTCTGAGAATGGAAATGGGGCCATCTATATAAATGCTACAATTATTATAATACTTTGCTAAATTTCGATAAATGTGTTATTGAAAATTATTTTAAGATATTATTCACTTTACTGTTGTATAATTGAACTTAAACATAATGATACTTCTTTCTAATTATCCATCCTCTTAATAATGCTTATATTTTGATAATGCATCTTAATAATTTAATCTCCTCATCTTCAATTGAATTTTCTTTTCTGCTCACCCTTAATTTCTTATCGCTCTCAATTTGATTATGATCAAAATTGACTGTCTTTACACATGCACAATTAGCTTAACCCATATGGCTGTTAAATAATTAATTTATAATAAATGTTTCATATTTTCATATTTTATTTTATTCAATTTACTACATTAATAACAATATCTTAAATTAATTAACTAAAAGTACTTATCATTAGTTATTATATGATCATCTTATTTAATTTGATCAACTAATAAATAAAAATCAATAATATTATGTAAATTATAATTGTTACTCCTTCAAATTCAATATTATTTAATTCAATTTTATAAAATTAATTTACTATTTTTATAATTATTTAATTGATTATTGACATAATTATTGTATTTAAAACTAATGCAAAAAAATGATTAAAATTAAAATACAGGTTGTTTATGTTTTGGGAAGAAACAAAAAGGAGAATTCCCTAAAACTTTCAAAAAATCTGAAAAAATACTTAAAAAATATAAAGATAATAGTTTAGATGTATTAGTTTAACATTTTCTTAGATTTCAGATGATGCTATTTTAGAAGTGATGATTAGATTATATATATCAGAGAATAAAAGCAAAGCTATTGATATGCTTTAAAGATGCCGTATCAATCCAAATTATCAAACAAATTTAATTAGAAATGATTTGGAATATTTTATCCCTTAGTTAATTAACTTCTTAGTGTTTCACTAACAACTTCAAGATGAAAGATTAATCTAATTCATAAATAATGCATCTTAAATAGACTTTTTTTTTGCTCATCTTGTCTACTTCTAATTAAAGAGTTTATCTTAAATTGTTGCTCATAATAACAGAATTGAACTTAAAATAGTACAAAAGTTTGTATAAGAATTTGAATAAAAAATGACATTGAATTACTAAGGCAATTTATTAATAGCAACTTAATTTTTAAAGATTCATCTTGATGATTCTATAACAAGTTCTACATTAAGAAAATCAATAACAAGTTTATCAAGTAAAAAAATTAAACAGGAAGTCTATTAAGGGTCTTTAAGAATCAAATCTATTAAATAAAATGAAGTAGTAAGACTTTATGGAACCAATTAATGGGAACAAGAGATGTCAAATAAAAGTCCCTCATAATATTTAGTAAGAAATCATGAAGATATTGAATTAGAAGATTACATATCAATTTTTGAAAATAATGAAGATATTATTAAACCTATTGATACTGCTTTTTAATCTAATATTAACTTTTGGTATGATGTTACAAAAATTTGTGATGAATTATCAAAATCCAATTCTAAAACTGAATATTTACATAGTTTACTAAATAAAATGAATATTAATTTACCAGCTGCTGTCTATGTACCTTTTGTTAAGAATTCAATTAGAAACTACGCTGTCTTAAATATAGTATCTAGAGAAAGTAGAGTATTCTCTACCAAAATGAGAAGTCCTTATAGTTTAACACTTGAAATCTATAGACCTGAAATAGAGGAAGATTATAATGAATAGTAATTAATTGATAAATAAATGTCTTTAGCTATAAAAACTAGTGTATTTTTTATTATTTTATATATTTATATAGATGATAAAAACCTAAAGTTAAGTCATTATCTAAGAATAATTAAATGCTTAAATGAATAGAACATATTCTCTTGCAGAAGCATAAAATACATTTAATAATGAATTTTAAAATATCAAGTTCAATTAATTTAATTATTAAAATAATGAATAAGAATCAGATTGAATAGGCTTATTTTATAATTATAGATAAACCAATAATTAAGATTCAGATTAATAAGATGAAATGATAGATTAATAGAATATAATTTAACAACCATCATTTTCTAATGCAACTGATGATTAATTAAATGATAAAGAAATTGAATAAATTAGTAATTAGAAGCAGTAATCAGAATTAGTAGATTAAAGTAAATTAGAGATAAGCTCTTTTAATAGTAGAGTTAGTTATTTGCAAGATGGAAAAGGACTTGTATTAACTTAGGAAGAATATCGAGAAATGAAATAAGTTATTTTTGGAGAAAATGCTATGGCCTAATAAGAAAGAATAAAAAAATAAAGTCCATTTTAAAGTTTAAAATCTTGGTAATTAGTTCATTTAATAATAAAAACAGGAGATAATTTAAAATAAGAATAATTTGCTTTATAATTAATATGTTAATTTGATTAAATCTTTAAGAAGGAGGGTTTACCTTTAAAATTAAGATATTATGAAGTTTTATCATTAGGACCTGATAATGGTATGATTGAAATGATTAAAAATGCTACTACAATTGATAGTTTATAAAAGAATCTTCAAAAAAAGTTTACTCAATTTAGTGATTTTTCTGATTTTTTCAGATCTTATTTTAGAAACAATATTGAATAAGCATTATAAAATTATGTATAATCACTTGCAGCCTACTGTTTAGTATGTTATTTTTTATAAGTTAAAGATAGACATAATGGAAATATATTATTAGATGATGAAGGTAATTTAATTCATATTGATTTTGGATTTTTTTTATCTATATCTCCTGGAAAAGGAATGGAATTTGAAGGAAAAGTACCATTTAAATTATTATCTGATTACATTAAAGTTTTAGGAGGTGTCAAAGGTACTTTGTTTTAAAATCATTTCAGAAAACTCTTTTATAAGTTTAATTATTTATATATTATTAGAGGATTTAAGGCTTGTCAAAAACATTAGAATGAAATATTATTATTAGTAGAAATGATGTATACAGGTCATGGAACCACGCTACCTTGTTTTTAAAAAGGTGAAGTTGCTTTAAAAGAATTAGAAAATAGATTTAATCCAAGAGTAGCATCTGATGCTGAATTATTTGTTTATGTTTAAGGATTAATTAATAAATCATTAGATAATTGGAGAGCTAGATGGTATTATGTATTTAATTAATTATTAGGTATGATAAATTTCAATATTTTGCTTAAGGAATATTTTATTGAAGAAAAGGACAAAAGTCTTGTTATATTTATTTGTATCATAACAAATTATTATTTACATAATATTCATATAAATAACTGCGAAGCCATTATTCAAACAATTGAGTTTTGCTTATTCCTTCCTTAATTTAGTCCATTGTTTAATCAATTGATTATGTCTTTTTATTGTCAATAAAGAGTAAATCATTAGTGATTTATTAAAATACTAAACGTGTATTGGCTATTGTGATACTATAGATTGATTTGCTCATTGATATACCTTAATGCAATAAGGCTATCATTATTCCATTGCATAAGGTTGAAAAAATCTATTTGAAATTGATATATACATTGATTGTATTAATTTAAATAATACAAGAAACCCTTATTTGTTGCTATGGATATTCTTGTAAATTAAGAGCTTATTCAAATATTGATTTCAATTATAATTCTAAAGATTTATCCTATTCAAATTTTATCTATATATCAAGGATAGCCTCTAAATAGATAAATTATAATACATTAATTTGCTTTTGATGATCCAATTTAGTAAGGCCCATGTACAGATATTACAACACAATTGTCGTCTTATTAATATCTAATTTAAGTGTTTGATTTAATTTGTTTCAAAATTTCCACACTCAACTTTTCCATAATTAATAATTTAATAATTTATTGCTTTGAAAATATTTAATTTATTAATAATCCAGCCAAAAAATCATAAAATTCAATAGAAAATGTGTAAATCTTCTCATTCTTTCATTAGTAGAATTTATGTTTATTATGCCACTCTTGTTTATTTATTCATTAAAAAATCTTAATCTCTAATGTAATTTATTGGTCTTGAGAATATTAAATTTTATTTTGAATCCATAAATTTAGTTTAATTTTCTATGTATTTTATTTCTGTCAAGTATTACTATTATGGTTCTTCATTGTTTTTATTATCTCTATAGTATTCCATGTATGGAAGTATGAATTCCACATTATCAACTCCTGATCCCAAACAAAGTTCTTCTTAATATCAATATATTTACATTCAAAAATTAATTATAAAACAACAATATATCTACATCCTATTCTTTCTGAAACTGATTAATAAGGTAAATTTAATCTGTCATTTAATTAAAAATTCATCTTTCCAAAATATTTATTTTGATCTGTCTATTCTAATTTCTCTTCACATAGTAATATCTTTGGCATTCCTTATAACCATTTTTCTTTTATAATAAATTCTAAATAGAATAATAATTTTGCTGATTAAATTTTTAGATATCCAAAAGTATTATCTACATCAGCAGTCACATTTAAATAATCTCCATTAAAATATATGCATTTATCAGCCTCAAACGATACAAAAACTAACTAAATTTCATACAAATTTATTACCCCTTTATGTTATCTTAACCATTTATATGTTGTTATTGCATCAACTTTCTAATTTTTCTTAACATCAGAATCTCTCATCAATTTCATTTATTTTTTTAATTCATCAGAGTCAATATAAAATAATACTTGTTAATGGCATCTTTAAGATATTTTTTAATTCTTTTGATTTTTCCAAATTAATATAGCTACAACTTAATATTCTCTAGAAACTGCTAAATCAGGATTATATCTGTAATCAAGAGAAGGAATTGATACCTCTGTATTCCAATCAAATGTTACATAATAATATTCTTCTGCATAAACTCTTAATAATTTTTAATAATCTTTATTACTTTTCATTTTAAACTAGACTTATAGTCTTTTTATAGAATTAATGATCCTGAACAAAATATTTGTAAACACTTTTATTTTTTTCTTTGAAGTTATAGGTAGCATTTTCATGACCATAAATCTAATTAGGATAACTCAATAAACCTTTAAATTTAAATCAAAAGTTCCTTATGAGAATTAATTTGGCATTTTAAAGATCACTTTGCCTTTTAAATTTTGGTTCAACTAAAGCCTTGTTTATTTTAATTCTAAATAAAGTTTTATACTCTCTTCTTCATCTTATATACGATTATTAAATAATGTATTACCCATTATAAAAATTAATCAAAATTAAATCATATACATTAACTTATATCTAAAATACTAATTCATGTCTTTTAGAAAGCATATATTTTATGGAAAAGAAATTCATATAAAATAGATAAATAATTATAAAACATCTTTAATTTACTCACATTAAATTTTAGTTTTTTAACAAGAATAGATTTGAAAAACTGGTTTTCAATATATATTCTAGATATCTTATACAAATAAGGACGAAATATATATATGAAAACATTCTGATTTTTATACATGAATAAATTATTTCACTTTAAAGAATTCCAAAACTTAATAGTTATAATAAAATGTTTACTTGATTTAATATGAATTTTATCAATTACTTTGATTTTTAAGTATCATCATAAATCATTTAATTAAAAATTAAAAATTAGAATGAAAAAATACATATTTATAAAGTAATATACTTTCTTCATTCAAAATAAATATTAAAATAACGGAGTTATAATATTTTAATATAAATTTCTTGATGATGATATTTATATTATAATTAATGAATTAAGAACATATTTAAAGGGCCTCAATCAATATTTTATGTGATATTTCTAAAGAGCTAATCTAAAAGTATTATACTTTTTATTAATATTTAGAGTGTTATTCACAAATATTATAAATCAATGTTCATAATTTTTTGATATTGATAATGGCCTTGTATTAAAATAATCTACTATTACTCAATTAAATTAAGATATTCTCCAAGAAATTAATTACACATATTAAAAAGATGAAATATTGAGTTTAATATACCCTATGTATTATTTAAAATTATATAAGGAAAATAGATAATCATTGTATATAAATGGCTGTAAATTTATAAAATGATGGAATCTATGAAAAAATTGATAAATAAAAAGAATTATTTAAAGGAAATAAGTATTATGTTGGATTACCATCAGGATAAAATAAATAGTTGATTTAAATTGAGAATGAAGAAATAATAATAAATTCTTAGTCTTTTAACATAAAAGAGAGCATGGAAATTGTTTTTGTTAAAAAGATTTCAGATAAAGGAGATAAATTTTAATAAGTATAAATGGCTAATCCTAGTAATTTATCATCCAATAAGCATGCACATATTAAAGTATAAAATGGAAGAATATTTTTGAATGACGGTTTTTAACAATAAGATTCAAAAAATGGAGTTTGGATTCTAATAAAACATTAGAGATTTTCGAAAAATAATTACTATTGTTTTAAAGATTTTAGATTGAAAATTGGATTGAATAATAGTTGATTAATCTATTTATGTAAAAATATTCATAAATTAAATAATGGATAAAAACATATTAATAAGTGGAAATGAATTGTTTAATGGGAACTTTTTATTTTAGATGTCTTCATTTATTTGATTGTAAGATCTGTATTAATTTTTAAATATAAACGCAAAATGAGGTATTACACATCTGTTTGATATATCCAATAGAGATATTGAGTCAATAAATTACTATATTATTATTAAGAATACTCAAGATATTAGATAATAAAGAATTGATTATACTAATATATAAGAAAATAAATGTTTATTTTGAGTATATAAATAGAAATATAGATATTAATCAGTTTTATACTATTTATGAATCAATTATTAGTTATAGTTATTTAAAAAAAGGAGTTTCAACAAAAAATAAATTACCCAGGTCTTTATTCTGAGTATTAATATCTAGCCTTTGAAAGTAGATTATTAGTATTATACACATAACCTTAAAATTTTATAGGATAAACATAATAATTCATTTTTAGTTTTAATTTTTTAAATGAAAATAAAAATAAAATAAGAATAAAAATAAAACTAATTGATGTTTTTTTAATTATTTGGTATCGTTTTATATGATAATTATTAAAAAATAACTAATACTTTATTAGATGTATAATTTTTATAATATTATTATAGAAATAATTATTCAATAGGTAAATATGCAATTTTCTATTCAGAGATTATTAGTTACTTTTAATAATTACATTGAATATACTTATTGATTAAAAATTGGTGCATTTATTATGATTATACAATGTTTATTTTAAAAGAAATATTTGGAAAATTTCTTTCTCTTATTAATAAATTTGGACTGGTTTACAATTTTAATAAATATTATCAAATCTATGTCATATATCTTTAATGAATTTGAAGTTTTCTGGCTCTCTAAGTGCTCTGAGTAGATTGAATCTATATTTCAAATGCCATTATGTATTTGAAATTCTAGAATTATAAACATAAGAGACAGCTTGAGATTTTAAAAATTATTAACTTTATATTAAATTCATATTACCTTATAATTCTAAACACTCTATTAAACTCTGAAGTTTTCCCTCCGTCTACCCATAAATCTCTAAGTTATTTTATATTAGTCATTTGATTTTTTTTGTTTTTTAAGAAATTAATGAAATCATCATATCTATGCTTGGACATTATTTTTTAAACTAACTCTGGATTGTTGAAAATGTATGAAATAATTGCTTTTGAGTAATTTTTCGTAATATTTTTTGTATCGTTCACTTTAGATGTTTTTTTCTTTCTACTGATTCTAAAGGATTCAGAACTATCACTTGTATGCTTATGTCGCTTGCCTCTCATATTGTTCTTTTTATTAGCTTTTTAGCAAATACTACTCTCCTCTACATTCAAAACTTCTTCACTCTACATAGAATCTTCTTTAAAGAATTTAAGTTGTTCTTTTTAAAAGTGCTTTTCTTTTTTTATAGATTAAACTTGTTTCTACTGCGCATGTTCAACAAAAGGAAGTTAAGATACTAAAGGTAATACATTTAATGGCTGAACAGAAGTAGATTGCTTTATCTGTGATTGCTAGACATCTATGGGCTTTTGTAACCACAATTTACCTTCTAATGAATTATTGAAAAAGCATTTATTTTGACTATTCATTATATTACACATTTCTGGTCCATCATTAGAATATTGGATATCTACAAAAATACCAAAATAATATAATACAATAAGGATTTGGTGAATAAGGCTAATCAGTAGACTAATAATGCATAATTTTTTCAAAAGAAGTTTAAACAGCTGTGATAGGCCTCAACAATCGGAATGGGTCTAAAGACACATCAACAGAGCAAAGATCTTATTTACTACCGTTTTGTAGCAAAAATGATTTTGAAGCCCTCATAAAACCATCTGTCATGTTAATTTAAATAAATTTATCAATATCTAATGATAGTGCAAGTATAATAATTAATTGAACTTCATTATTAACTGTTATAGTAATTTAAGCGATTTAAATCTTCTCTAATATTTTTAACAAGCTTTATTTTAAATTATTATGAATGTATTTCTAGATTATATAAAATTCTTTAATTCAAATAGATTTATTTATAAAATACTTCATTTTTACATCATTATAAATTACTCAAAATACACAATAATATGAATTAAGTTCTTAAATCTCATTTACTATAATGAAATATTTATTATTTTTAGATAGAATCAAGTCAAATAAAACATTTAATTCAATTTAGTATCATTTATATTACCATAATTTTAACAAATATTTATATAATTTTATTATTATATAAAATATTATAATTGAATTTTAAGAAAATAATTAATAATTAACATAAAAATAATAAAATATAGTGTTTAAAAAGCAATAGTAATCTTTGTTAAAGTATTTGTTATAGATTATTTCAATATATATTTTATTATTCTTATATTAATTATTATATATTTTCTTGAAATTCAATTTAATATTATATTCTAATTAGGTATATATAACTATATTTAAATAGAAAGATAAATATTTATTGAATATTTTATTAAATTATAATAGTATACAAAAATTATTTTGTAAATGGAATTCAAATTTAAAATGATATCTGAGTAAATAATCAGCAAAATAATATCATTGATTGTTTAATAATAAAATAACATTATTAGTTTAACAAATAATATAGGTATTATTTAAAATGAAAATAATAATTTTTTATATTTATTAAATTAACGAACATGATTGATGATTAAAATATTGAATCTGGTGATTAATCTTAATATTTGAGAAATTGTGATAGTTTGAATGCTTATGAAATTAATGGATAAATGTAATAAGATCATTTTTCTTCATTATATAATCAAGCAATAGAAAAATAGCAAAGAATAAATTAAAAATAAGAAGAGAAGAATGATGAAATTAAATAATAAGCAAATAAAGTCAAAATTGATTATAACTCATAAAAGATCTTATTGAAGAAATTAGAAACACAAATTAATACAGTATTGAATCGTCACTAAATTGAAGAGTAATTGGATTATGAAAGATTTTGCAATGTATTAGTTGATTTAGGGATATCTACAAAAAATGATCATGTTTCAATTGATTTATGGAAATTATTAACTTTAGGATTAGATTTAGAAAGTGCATTTATTGGATTTGTATTTAATATTCTTGTGATATTATTGGAAAAATAATTAACACAAAGTTAATCTATAGTATTATTAACAGATGTTATAAATGTTGAATTAGAAGATTAAAATATACCAAAATAAGTGATAAATTTTGAAGAATTATAAGAATTAATGTTTAGATTGACTAATAAATTTAAATTATTAAATGTTAGATTTTCAAATGGATCAAGAGGATAATCATCATCAAAAAAAGAGTCATGGAATAATAATAATAATAATAATACTTAAGTTAATGGAAAATAAAGATAATCTCATGATACTCATTTATCAGATACAATAAATAGATTTGAAGTTCTTTATGAGCATTCTAAAGTATTATAAGAGAAAAAAAGATAATTAGAATCATACATATAAGATGATCCAGAATGTTTATTTAAACCTTAATTAACATCTAATTAAACTAAAAGATAAGATAATGTAAGTACATTTAATAGATTGTATTAAAATGCAGAAGCAATAAAAATGCATAAATAAAAATTAAAGGATAATTTGAATAGATAAAGGGAAGAAGAAGAATTGATGGAATGCACTTTTAAACCAAAATTAACAAATAAATAGAGATATTCATTTAAACCTGTTAAAGGAGAATCTGCAATTATAGAAAGAATGAATAAGGCAAGATAAATGAAAAATGAAAAAGAAAATTTCTATTCTATAGAATAAACTAATATTCAAAATAGACCTCATCAAACTGTACCTGAACCTTTTGATTTAAGTAAACGAGTCTAAAATCCTAAGAATATGTTATTGAATGTTGATATAAGAATTTCAAAAAATAGAAAAGCAAGAATTTGCATTAGAGAAGGAGATGATATTGAATAAGTAATTAAAGGATTTGCAAAGGCACATCAATTAAGTTAAGATCAACAAAATGTATTAAAAGAAACTTTAGAATAATACATTAATTGATAAATTTTATTATATTAATTTAATATATAATAATTATCATGATTTATGTTCAATAATTTCATCACTCCATAATCTTTTATAAGGATATATAGAAGAACGATGACCATCAGACCAAACTATTGCTACAGCATAGTTTCCTTTTGGTTCAATCTTATATGGATAAACTTCTTAATCAAGTTTTTATTTCTAAATAAAGTTAGCAAATTTACTTAATTTAATCTTTTTCCAGTAAATTCATCTACACATAAGGCACAATTGCATTTAGATCTAAGTTCAATTGATTTTATAGGTTTTTCTTTTCCATCAAAATCTCTAATAATAACCTGTCTTTTGCCAGTATCATATCTGACAGTAGGAGTCTTTGTCAAATCAGTTCTATTTAATTCATTAACAACATTATTAGCTAATTGTCTATATATATTATTGATAGTGTGATCATCAGGTAAAGTTAATACAACAGGACTTCCTAAATCTGAATATTTAGAAATATCCCCATATAAGGGTATAGAGAGTGCTGAAGCAATCCCAAATTATTTTTATAACATATTTATATAACCTGGTCCAAAAGGTTTATGAAGATGATTACAATTTGGACAGACATATTCAGCCATATTTTCAACCACACTTAAGGTTGGCACTTTAAGAACATCAAACATTTCTATTCCTTTAACAACATCTATAAAACTTAATCTTTGTGGAGTAGTAACAATTACTGCTCCATCAAAATTTAATTCTTAACATAAACTGATTTATATATCTCCTGTTCCTGGAGGCATATCGACAACTAAATAATCTAAATTTTGCCATTGAGTTTGTTGTACTAATTAAACAACAATACTACTAACCATAGGACCTCTTATTATAGCTTTTTAATTGCCACTAGCAAAACCATAACTCATGGTTTTAACACCATTGAATTCTATAGGAAGAATTTCTTTAGGTTTATCTTCTGGAGCATATAATTACTATTTCTCTTTGCCAATTAAGGTAGGCAAAGATGGACCATAAACATCTGCATCAAATATTCCTACTTTGAAACCTAATTTTTGCAAGGAAAAAGTAAGATTTAATGCAATTGTACTTTTACCCACTCCTCCTTTACAACTAGACACAGCTATGATTTTATTGACATTCTAGAGATTGCCTCTTTTCTAAGAATTTGTTTAAGTAAAGACATTCTCTTTTTTTGGAGCCATACGTATATCCAAATTCTTAATCCATTCATATTGTTTAAGAGCATCTGAACAAAGAGCTTTTATCTTTCTATAATCTTAGTCTAATTTGAGATCAATAATGACTCTTCCATCTAAAGTACTTGGTCATTGGAATACCTTAGTCTATTGTTAGATTTTCTATGTAACCATTGGACACAATGTCTTTCTAAGAATTGGAATGTTTAATTTCTTTGAGTCGATTGAGGATTTAGATCTTATATTCTGATTAACAACATTATATACCTTCATTTACAGAGAATGCAAAATACAATTTGTTGATTGATGGGACTGACGTAGTTAATCTTCTTAACATTTAATTATATATATATATATAGATTATTTTCAGAGTAGTGACAAGTGTATATCATAAACAATCAAAAACACGGACGAAGTGATCATCATTATATTAATTAATTTTATTAATGAATTATCTATCATAAATATTTTACTTAAATATTTTGAAATTATATAAGCACTCTTTAATTGCTAAATAATCTAATATAAAGCACTGATTAATTAATTAATTTATAATGCAGCCTCTTTTGTAATCCTTAGATCCTGTTAATAATATTAATAGGGATCCTCATGGTTTTGGATTGTCTTAGGCTACATTTGTGAATGTATTTAATCTATATTATACATATAGGATTAAGCCTCTGATGTTTAGAGAATTTATGAAGATTTATACTCCAAAGTCAAAAATGGTGATCTAAAAGGAGTCAGATATCTTCTTGGAATTAATGATAATGATTCCTTTAGTCAAATGCAATCAATAAATATTCAAAAGATCGTTGATGAAAAAAAAAATACTTTGCTTATGCATGCTGTTTGGAAAGATCACACTAAGCTTTTTACAGACTTAATTAAATATTCACTATAATTATTTGGGTAACAATTGATTAAGCAATTCTAGAGAGTCTGATACTTAATTATGGGTTATTCAATAAAATGATTCTGGAAATTAATGTATGCATCTAGCAACTCAAAAAGGTAATATTGCAATTCTTGATGCAATTTTTAAACTAGGAATCAAATTAGACTAAAAAACTAGACAAGGATAAACAACTCTACATATAGCGTCACAATCAGATTAACCTATTATGTTATACTATTTAATTAATATTGCAAAAGTTAATATTGATATAACAGATAATGATTATAGCACTGCTTTACATTTAGCCAGTTACTCAGGTAGTGAATAATGTGCTGCTATGTTATTAGCTTGGGGTTGTAAAATTAACTCTAAAAATGTTTATGGTTGTACTCCTTTGCATGTCACAGCTATAAGTGGAGAATATAAAATTACCAGAAAGTTATTGCTTTATAATGCCAAAACAAGATTAAGAAATAAATAAGGCAAAACTGCATATGAATTGTCTGTTGAAAATGATTTCTTAACTATAAGTTAAATGATAATGGAATATTAAGAAGGGAATATTAAATGCAATAATTTATTTGGATAAAAAAATAAGCCTAGGATTGTATTATTATATTAATATCCATATATAGAATCATAAGAGTAGATTATAAATGTATGCATTCATTTTAATGTTAATACTCAATCTAATATATTAAATTTTGTTTACATTAGGAAATAATTTGTTTGGTTACATATAAATTATTTTAGACATATTTGAAATCTTTTTATTTGTTTACATAATTAATTCTGATCCTGGATATCAAATTTAATATAAATAAGAAGGTTAAGTATTTTATTAAATTTTACAAAATAATCCAAAAAAATTGGAGATTTGTTCAGAATGTGAAACTCTAAAGGCTAAAAGAAGTCGTCATTGTGATTTTTGTAATAGATGTATCATAGTATATGATCATCATTGTCCATGGATAAATAATTGTATAGGTGCAAAAAATCATTTTTTATTCATGATTTTTATCTGGATTACTTTCTTAACAATTGGATTTCAATTATTTGTTTCAATTATATTGTTTATTAATATTATTTGGAAGTAATCTTATGTTGGAATATTATCATCAAATTTGTGTTATTGGGATGTATTTGATATTTTGTTTAATACTCTAACTGATTTAAGAAAGTATTTGAGCATTTCAAAAGGAGTTAAGATAGAATTTATTGTTTTGGAATTATTAGTAACATTAATGTTTTTTGTTTTATTGAGCCATTTAATATGCACATAACTGAAGAATATGTATTATAATAGAACTACATTTGAGAGATTAAGTAAAAAATATAGGGGATTCAAGTAATATAACTCATATTAGCTTTTAGTAATTAACAATCAAGTTTATTAGAAAGTAGTTACATTGAAAGTGATCTAAACAATTCAAATTGTTTAAAGAACTGTTCCCTTTTGCTATTTCGGAACAAACATTCTAAGGATTACAATTACGTTTACCATGATAATACAAGCCTTACAACAGCAATAATTTCCTGATTGTTATTTATTATAATAATTTCAAATTTAAAAATTGAAAAATGACAGATAAATTTAAGGCAGAACGAGACAATATTCAAGTTTCTATTAGAATAAAGTAAGAATCCTTTTATTAATTAACCAAGACCTTTAATAGAAGATGGAAGATCATGTATTAAGTTGGATTCCAATTTAAAAAATACTATTATTATTGAGGGCAATCAATAATAACAGCAAGACTAGAAATATTTTTATTTTGATTATGTAGCTTAACAAGATTCAACCTAAGAAGACATATTTAATATAGTAGGAAAATAATAAGCAATTAATTGTTTAGATGGTTATAATGGGTGTGTGTTTGTATATGGTTAAACTGGAAGTGGTAAAACATATACAATGATGGGTACATAGAAGTAACCAGGCTTATTACCAAGAGTAATCGATTTTCTATTTAATTGCATTTTGGAGGATTCATCAGAAAATGTAGAATATTTAGTCAAATGCAGTTATTTAGAAATTTATAATGAACATATAATAGATCTTTTGAATCCTTAATTAGGAAACTTATAATTAAGAGAAGATCTCAAAAAAGGAGTATATGTAGAACAATTAAGTGAAGAAGTATGTACAAATGTAACTGAATCATTGGAAGTTCTTTAAAGAGGGAGTCTTAATAGACATATATCATCAACATAAATGAATATAGAATCATCAAGATCACATAGTGTATTTACCATATAACTTGAATCTAGAAGATAATCATCTTAAACTTAAGTCATCAATCATAGATTTTCAAGATTTCATTTTGTAGATTTAGCTGGTAGTGAAAGATAGAAACAATCTTAAGTTTAAGGAGAAAGATTGAGAGAAGGTTGTAATATAAATAAAAGTTTACATATATTGGGTAATGTAATAAATTCTCTTGTTGAAGACAATTAATCTTATGTACATTATAGAGATTCTAAATTAACATTTTTACTTAAAGATTCTTTGGGAGGTAATTCAAGAACACATCTAATTGCCAATATTTAATAATCATAATAATTTTATTAAGAAACTTTATCAACTCTTATGTTTTCTAAAAGAGTTAAATAAGTAAAAAATAAAGCAAGAATTAATGAAGATGAAAGTGGTAATTTAGAGAGTTTGAAAAATGAAATCAAAAGACTTAAATAAGAACTTGCTAAAAGTGTTACTTAATAATAAAAATGGGAATCACCTAAGAAATTTGAATAAAATTAATAATAATCTTAAATTAATGAATAATGTATTCAATTTCATATATTATTATTTAGTTTTATAATCATTAGAATTGGAAAGCTTAATGATTAATGATTAAAAATACATTAAATTAGAAGAAATTTTAAAATGTTATTTAGAATAATCAACAGAAAGTGAAACTGCATTATTTTTAGAAATTGAAAAATATTTGAATGGAATTAAATAATTAAAAGAAGGCTTTTAATTAGGATAATAATTAGAGTAACAATTAAAATTTGTAATAAAATTATAAAATGAATAAATATAAAAATTAAAATTAAATCAATCAGCAGATGAAATACAATAATAAATTTAATAATAATTAGCATATGCCTTATAATGCTAAGGTTTAGTAATGAAAACATTTTATGATAACTTAACTTTAAAAGAATAACAAGGAGCTACATAAACAGTATCAAAAGTATAGGTATAAGTTGATACAAATCTAAATTTATTAAAAGAAATAGTTGAAACTGTTTAAGTATATATTAAATTTAATTTTATAGAATTCTTTAAATGAAAGAAGATAATTTCAATAATAAATAGATATTTAATTTAACTCATAATATGTAACTTTAGATAAATTTAAAGAATTAGAAATATAATCAGAATATAAAGAGAAATTGTTATCAGAATAAACATAAAAATTAGTTTAAATGGAAGATTAAATAAAAGAAATTGAAAAATCAATATTTTAAAAATTAGCAGATAATGGTATTACATTTAATGAAAATGATTAAATAATAGATGTTAGAGATAAACAAATTTTAGATTTAAAAAGCAGAATTAGTGATCTTAATTAAGAACTTAAAAATTCAAATTAAGAATTAGAAGAATTATTAAATAACTCTGAGTAGGTTATTTAATAATTAAAGATTGAAAATCAATAAATTGAGGCTTAAAAATAGGAAATATAAATTAATTATGAATAATAATAAACAAATATTTCATAGTTCTAAGATAATTTTAAGTATTAAATTTCTTAATTTGAATAATAAATAATTTAATTGAAAGATTAAAATTAATTATAAGCTCATAACTATTAAGAACTTAATTAATAAAATCAAGAATTTACATAATAAATTATAAATGAAAAAAATACAAATAATTAACTTGCTTTAGAATTAGCATAAAATGAAGAAAAACTAAATTAAATAAATAAAACAATTGGAGAAAATAATATTACAATTTAAGAATTAAAATAATAACTATCTTAATATGAAAGTAATATTACTTAATTAAAAAATGATTTAAGTGATTAAAAAACTAAATTTGAATAAAATCAAATATTGGTTTAAGAATTAGAGTTTGAAAATGAAAATCTAAAATAAACATGTTCAAAATATTAAAATGAATTAATGATAGTTTAAGACTAATTAAAATTATCTGTATCTAAATTGGAAAGTTCAGAATAGGAATTATTTACTTAATTATAATAAGTATAAAAAGATAACTAATTGTTATAATATGAAAATACATTATTATCCAAGACTAAAAATGAAATCTAATAAGAAAGATATTCTTTGGTTTAAGAATTAAATTAAAAAAGTTAAGAGCTTTTAAATACTTAATTACAATTTTAATAAACATAATAGAATTATTAAGAAGATATTATAGTATTATAATAAAATTATTAAATTTAAAATTCAGACTTAGAGAAGAATTATTAAGATTAAATGAAATAATAAAAAAAAGATTTTGAATTATTGTTATCTTAATTAAGTGCAAAAAAAGATTGTGATTTAAATATATTAAATCAAGAAGTACTATATTATTTAAAACTTTTTAGATTCATTAATTGAATTGTATTATCAAAGAAAAAGAAAAGAATATTTCTGAAATATTATCTTAATAAGAATTCTAAGTTAATGTAATGTATTTTATATATTTTATAGATGTTAAATTAAAAATTACAAAATGAAACATAAAGGGCTTCCCATTTAGAGAGCATAATTGAAACATAGAAATTAGAGTTTGAAGATATTCAAAAAGAGTAGATGTCCAGTGTAGACTTATTGTAAAAGCAATTAGAAAGTAAGCAGGCTGTAATTCAAGAAACATCGGATCATTATAACCAAGTTCATGAACTCTACATCTCTTTGTAAGCTAGGATGGAACAAAAAGACTAAGTTAATTCCGAATTGAAAAGAGATATGTTATAGCATAAGTCCAAATTAGAGAGCTAATCAAAAGAAATATAATAGTTATAATAAAAATTAGTTTCAATAGAAAATGATAATTAATAAAGCAGGAATACAATGGAAATTTAATAATAAGGTAAATTGTAAGATATGACATAAAAATTATAAATTAAGATAAGAACAATAGAATAATTGACTAATGAAAAAACAGCATTAAATGACAAAATTAAGGAAATTGAATGTGAATCAAATAAGTTTAAATAAACTATAATTCAATTAGAAGAATAATGTAATGAATAGTAAAATAAAATTGATTAATTTGAATGTCAAATTAAATGTTTGACTGATACTATAAATGAAAAGGAATCGGAATTAGAATTTTTATAAAAAGAATTTAATAAATAAAATCAGATTCTTGATAAAAGTTCTGAGATTTGGAAAAAAGAAACAAATTAGATGGAAATAGATAATAATATTTTAAAAATTTAAATTAGTGATAAATAAAAAGATATTCATAAACTTGAATAAAGATTAAATGTTAGTTTAAATGATTTACAATAAAAAGAATAATAAATAGATTAATTAAAATTATAATTAAATCATCTTAATACTAATTTATAATAATAATTAGAATTAACATCTAAAGATAATTTATTATTGAAAAAAGAGATATAATAATTAAATTAACATATTGATTCATAACATGATGAAATAGATTAAATGAGAGTAGAATTAGATTAAAAATAATCTCAAGTTGATGAAAATAAATCAACTGTTAAGAAATTAACTAAATAATTAGAATTAGAAATTAAGTAATATTCACTTCATCTAAAAAAGTATGAAGATTAACATAAAAAAGAAGTTTAAGAATTAGTAGATTAATTGGATATTCATTAAAAGTAATTATAATAAAAAGATTAATAAATTGAATAGTTAAATAAATAAGTTAATGGATTATAATGTGCATTTGAAACAAAAGAAGATTTAAATTAATAAACTCAAAAAGATATTTAATAGTTAAAAGATAAATTAAAGTCTGATTAAAACAAATTTACGGTATAATTTATAATTTATATATTTAGAAAATAATTTAAGGACTTGAAAATGCTAATATTCAATTAAAAAATCAATTAGAAGAAAGTAATCATTAAATTTAAGAAAATGTTCATAAATATCAATCAACCCAAAAATAAAATGATATATAAAACATCTAATTTAGTGAATAATAAGATAAATATAATCTCTTAAAAGATCATTTTACTAGACTTGAATCTTAAATGAAATAAGAATCTTAAATAAGAGAATAATATAGTCATATTGCAGAAAAAGTTACAAAAGAAAACAATGAATTAAAATAAAAGATTGATAAAAAATAATAAGTAAAATTTTATAATTTATTAAAGATTATTATACAATTAGAATAAGCTCTCTTATAAAATGAAGATACATTAAAAAATGTTCATGATAGAGCAAAAGAGTTTTGTAAATAATAAGAAAAAGAAATTAATGACATTAAGGATTAATATTTAAAATTAGAAGCTGAACATAATGCAATATTAGTAATTTTTATATATATATATATAGTCATAAAATTAAGAAAGAGAAGATGAAAATGAATAAATGAAAGATCAAAAAGATTAAGCATTAATGTAAATGCATGCTTTAGAAGATGAAAATAGTAAATTGAAAAAAGAATTACAAGATTAACATGAAAAATTAACCAAATCTAATAATGAAAGATCTATGCTCTATAAATAAATAGAAGAAATGCAAAAAGATATTGCATAACTTGGAGGTCATAATAATCCATCATAAAAAATAAGATACTTAAATACAATAAAATAAGAAAATTCTTGTTTAAAATAAGAAAAATTATATCTATCAGAATAATTATAAAAGGAAATTGAAGAAAAAAATAAATTATTATAATAATAATAATAAACTAGAAAAAATACTGATTCAGATAATTAATATAATACATCTAAATTAGATATGGTAATTATATTTTTAAATTATTATAGTAAAAATTAATAGTAGAAAATTAAAGACTTAATAATGAAATGACTAAACTAAATTAAATTTTAAATTTAAGTGGAGTAAAAAACAGATTTTCAACTATTAAAGGTAGTGATGGAGATAAGATTATATAATCTGTATAATTACTTATATAGGAGTTAATTGTAAAACTAATTCATAATTTTTAGGATTGTAAATAAGAAATTTAACAGAGGAATAAAGATTAAGAAGGAAAAAATCTTAAATATTAAACTATGGAAAAAGATTTATTAGTTATGAAATAAAAATTCTATGCTGTTTAAAAAGATAATCCTTAAATATAAACTAAAGCATAAAGTCCTGCTGTATAACATGATGTATTAAGAGATAACAATAGAATTAATATTAATTCTGGTAGTGTTTAAAGATAATCTAAACCAAAAGCTCAATAGACTTTCCAATTTTAGTGATTTTACAATATAATATCATTAATTAATTTCTTTAATATTTAATCTCATAAATTAGCTATCATTAATAATTTAACCATATAATAATGCTAAAGGTGAATTCATAAATTTTCCTATATGTCCAGTTAATTTTTTTTAATTTCCTTCTAATTCAAATCTAAAATCTGATCTTTCTATATGATTATATTTAACACTAAATTCACTTTTTAAATAATCTGTTTATTCTGTTTCCATTAACTCTTATAAATTATAATTTTGATCAGGATAATTAAAAACGTATTTATTACCTAATAAAAACTAATATATATACTTACTAAATTAGAAAACATGAGGATATGTATGTTTATATTAATCTCCTGAATCAATATAATTAACTATATTTTAATAGCTTCCTAATTATTAAAGTATTAATAATTATAAGAATATTGGTGATTAAAATTATATTTAATTTTTAATAAATTTTTCTAAAAATCCAATAGGAGTATTCCATTCATAACTTGTACTCTCAATTTTATTGATGTCTAAGGTATCATAATTATTTAAATTAAAAAAAAACTAAGCGTCATATCTTTTTTATATCATTTGAGGTGTGATTATTCTTAGGAATGGTTTGATTTTTTAGTATAATTATTTATAATCTAATTATATATTAGTTTCTTCAATAGTTTCTCTTATAGCAGCGATCAAAAATGAATCATACCATCCTTGAGTTTAATGACAATAATATTTTTAATGATTTTGCTCAATTAATTATGAATCGAATTAAGCTATTTTATCATCTACTTCTTCTAGAATCCCTCCTGGAAATACATATGATCCTCCAAATGAGATTTCTTTGCTTCTTTCTAACACTAAAACTTTATAATCATCCCTTACCAATATTAAAGAAGCATTTTTTTACAAATACTCATTTTTATTATAAATTATGGATTTAAAATTTTTTAGGTATAATTAATTTATTATAATTTTAAATTTTGAAATCATTCCATAAATAATTTCAAATATATTTTGTTGCCGTTGTTAAATTACACAGCCAATATATCCTAATGTTGAATCCATGCCACTCTAGTATAATTAAGATAGAAAATTAAATTTTTTTCAAACAAATCCTTACTTTGAATATCTATTTATCTTTTTTATTTCATTTAAAATGAACTATTTAATTTCAAATAAAATGATTAATCATTTTTTTGAATAATTAGTTCATCTCCAAAATTGTCTATAGTAAAAATATAATTATCCCTCTCAAATTTAAGCCTAAAATAAATACTTTAATTACTATTTATCTCCTGGACTAATATTTTTGTTTTTCAAATAATTTAATCTTTATTCATCATAATTTGAAAATTAAAATTCTGTTGCAAAAATATCTACTTCTTCCTAATGATTTTATTATTAATTTTATGATGCGAAAATATCATCATCTTATTTATAAATTTGAGGAGCTTTTTAGCCTAATAAATTTATATTTGGTGAAATTGTTTATGATTGAGGAATAGTTTATTAGAATACTTATTACTATGGTTTTGGATTTGTAAATTATGATGGTTATATAATTTAAGAAAAATTTTATTATTAACCAAATTAAGGGTTTATTCCAAATAACATTCCATTCTTAAATTGTGTTTATTCTTAATTTGTTACTATATTTGTGGCCCTGATTTATGGATTGAATTATTAATTGAATTACGGATTGGATTGATTTTATAAATTTTATGGTAATGTTGGAGTAGTGTTAGCTGGTTATCGATAAGGTTGATTAACCATATTTTGTTATCCATTTACTGTTGTAATTTAATCATTAGGTTATAGGTTGTTTTTGATATAAGTATTTGGATTAACAAACAATGGTTATCCATTTTTAAAGAAACTTACATCTCTGTTATTGACAATACCCATTTGTTGGTATAATTACAGAAATGTCATGGATTCTTGTACCTAAACCCTCTAACCATTAAATATGATATTCATTCAATAAAGTTAATAATGAATGCATAATTCTATTAAATTATAGTTTATAGTGCAATTTTTATATTAATAATTGGAATAATTTTTTATATATTATAATAAATTAAAGTTAATTATAGAATTAACAATAAATTAAATAATTCTTTACGATTTATATCTAAAAACATAAAATAACAATAGAATTCACCTTGATTTTCAATATTTATATTTGCTAATATAATTAGATAACAATCTTGTATTTATAATGCTATCCTTTGAAGAAGATCGATCTCCTTGTTTTATTTCTAAGTTCATATGATATAATTGATTATCTAAATTTTATATAACTATCTTATATTCTTCCACCTATTCTGAAAGTAGTGAGGCTTAAGCGCGAATATCATCTTTGTAACTAAAATAAATTAATTTGATACTTCTATGTTAATTATTAAATATAATTTTATAATGAAATGCTTTCATTCTATAGTTTTTGAATTTCTGATTTTTTTTTTTCAAGTTCCATTCTTAATAAATGCAATTATTCTTCTTTTTACTCAATATGAGATTTGCAGTTTTATTACAATTCATTATTTTGAATTAAATGTTTTTCTTAAATTTCCTACAATTTGATTTAGAAATTATGTTCCTAAGAAGATAATTATTCAGAAAGTTGATTATTTTATAATCTAATAATTTACATTTGGGAACATACATCTTGTAAGTATTTTTGACTTCCGATATCATCAGTTAATTTGGATATTAATACTTGTTATTTTATTGAATATTTATCTTATTTATCTTTGTATTCAACAAATTAGTTATTTAAGGATTCAAATGATTATTGTAACTCATTATTAGCAGCAAGAAGTTATTCAATTTAATATATGTATTATTAGCATTCCATTTGTAACTATTGTGTTTCTTATTGATTTTCAATAAATTTGACTTCTAATTATTATAACAGACTAATTTCTTTTTCATTACTTTTAGCACATTCAAGTCTGCTAAGCAAATCCTATTTTTCATTTAGTAATTTAGTGATTGTGCCTTATTGTTATGTAAGTAAATTTTAATATTGTTCAAATTTCAATTCATAATAATATTTGTCTACATAAGCCTGAGATAATTTCTCAATTTCACTTTCCTCTGTTGTATTTGAATTTCTTAAATCTGTAGATTTATTATCTATTAATATATCTTAAAGATTATTAATAGATTGAGTCTTTTCGAAGGTTTATGCCACATATTGAATATCAAGTTGCTAGAATGATAACAACCTATAACCACTCTTTTTCTTGTTTATTTAGGTTATACAGAACTTTTATTTACATAGGCACTGGTTTTGTCAGCTAACATAATCGTTATATTTTATTAAAATAAATTGTTCAAAATGAAAGTAATGTCAAATATAATTATAATTTTAAATGGGTTCTTAATGTTCTCAATGTAATTGTGATAAGAGAGGGAATGAAATATAAGTAATTAAATGAATCAATTAGGAATGTATATCAATTCCAACAGGTACTTCTAAAACTGAAAAGACATGGTTAATAAAAAATAAAATGGCTATTGTAATCTAAAAATACTGGAGAGGTTACAGAGAGCGTCGTAAAGTAGATAATCAAAAAATATTGTGTGCATTTGAAACTGAGACTGTAGAAAGTGGAATCACAATTAATCAAGATGACAAACCCAGAATCGAAAAACCCACCTTTACGTATTAAATTTCTTAAACTAGTTTCCCTGGAGGTGCCACCTATACAGGAGAATGGAGAGGAAACTCAAGAGATGGTTATGGAATCTAAATTTGGCCTGATGGTGCTAAATATGAAGGTGAATGGAAACATAATAAAGCTAATGGAAGAGGTAAATTTACTCACATTAATGGTGATGTTTATGAAGGAGAATGGGAAAATGATATGTCAAATGGATATGGAGTCTATAAACATATAGATGGTCCAAAATATGAAGGTGAATGGCTAAACGATAAGTAACATGGATATGGTATTGAGTTATGGCCTGATGGTTCTTTATATGAAGGATATTTTTTGAATTCTTATAAGCATGGTTAAGGTAAATATATTTGGAGCAATGGTTAAAAATATGAAGGAGATTGGGTTCAAAATAAAATATCAGGAAAGGGAATTTTAATTTGGGCTGATGGAAGAAAGTACGAAGGTGATTTTTATTTTGGTAACATGCATGGAAGAGGTATATATACTTGGCCAGATGGAAGAAGATATGAAGGATAATATTTTAATGATAGAAAACATGTATATCTTATTCAATAACTTAAAATAAGGGTTATGGTATTTATGATTGGGGAGATGGAAGGAGATATGAAGGAGAATGGGAAAGTGGTAAATAACATGGCAGGGGATGTTTTTTCATTAATAAAAAAGGAAAGTATGGGATTTGGCATAAAGGTAAAAGGATTTCATGGGATCAATAATGATATCAAAGAAATTATTGAATTTATATTACTAATTAAAATTACTTATTTGACTGGTTTTATTTTTTTATAATATTTTCATTCTCATTAGCGTGCAAATTCTTAAATTTATTTATTTACATATTTTCTGTAAATATCATCCACTTCTTTTGAATTTTATCTTAATCCTTATAGTATTGAAACTATTAATTTGATTTTTTCTTTTTCCTTATCCAAATTCTAATATTATTTAATATTATTTTACTTGATCTTATTTTTGTAAATTTTATTACAATGTTTTAAGAATAGGCTCGAATGTTTTAATTAAAATCTCAGAAAATGCAGCCAATGCTGATGGGTCTTTTTTAATGACCTTTTAGATAATTCTTAATCTAGGTATTCTAGTTTCATCATATTTATCCTCATCTATGAAATATAAAAAAACACTTACTAAATTTATCAAAGACTTCTGTTAGAATTGGTTTCATATCAAAACTTTACATATCAAAGAATAATTCTAATAAATCAAAGGAAAGGGATCTTAAATCTTTAGCATCATCTCTTTTTTCAGTAAAATTACCAAAATTTAATTCTTTTTCTTCATATCTTCTTAAACAATATGTTAAATATTGAATTAAATTAAATAATTTAATATGTTGAATATTTTATGTAAGCGCCTTTATGATTCCAGTTAGGATTTGAAGATCCTTTTCATTTTAAAGCATCTCTAACAATACTTATGCTTTGTTGGCCCATTGATTTGTATATTTAAGACTTTATATACAAGAAAATCGAACAGCCTAAGAAGTACTCTTAAGACCCTCAAATAAAATTGATTCTAGAGATTAATAATTTTATTTTAGAAATCCACCCAAAATATCACCACATATAGTGGATATTGTTTTATCTTTTCCATTCACTTATTTCAAAATATAATTAGCAATATTTATTGGATTATTAATAGAATTAATTTCTGTAAATTCCTTTAATGCTTAATAAAATTAATATTGATTAGGATATTATTCAATCAGATTTTAAATTTACTGAATATCAGAAATAGCTGAACCAATTACTATAGCAGCTAAATCAGAATCTTAATTATCTTTAATTAATTGGCACAAAATATCAATTGCTTTTGGGTCTTTTTAATATTTATGTAAAAATCTTAATGTTGATAATTTTAGTTATCTATTTATTGATATTGATGAATATAATGAACTGAGTGAACCAGGAACATTTTTTAATATTTAACAATATATTTATCCAGCTGGATATAATTCTTCCTTTCCTAATTGTTTAGTAACTTCTTATTCAATTATTTAGGATTAATTTATCAGATGGAAGAAATCTTCAATATCATGTTTTATTTTAGTTTGATACAATCCAATTTTAACAGATTCTCTTATAAGTTATTCAGATAATTTTATACCAGTAACTTTAATTAATACTTATAATGTTTAAATTTGTAAATCATAGTTTTCTATTGTAATTTATTTAAATTTGCTTAGAATATCACCTGCTAGCTATTGATCAATTTTATTGTTTTACATTAAATGAATTAAAGTTATATATGTTTAAGGTTTATCATTTTTCTAAAGTTAATTAGCAATATTTGAAATTAAAGGTTTAGGATCATTTAGATTTTTAAAATATTAAACAAGAGTTATGATATTATGTTATAATGCTTCAATCTATAATCTAACTAAAGAGATTTAAGCTAATTATTCAACTTCTGCCTTTGAAAATATTGAATCAAAATATCTGAAAAATGTAGCTGCAAGTGAAAATAAACTTTACTTAATTTCTTAATCTAAGTTATCAATCTATATTTTTATTATTAAATTTTATTTAATTTATGTTAAGGACTATTAAAATGTCTTCTCTTCAAAACTCTATTTGAATACTCCAATAATCATTTCTAATGTATTATAACCTTCTACTTAAATTCTGATATATTTTTAATTTACTGCATCAAGAAGTATTAAAACCATTTACTATAAAATTTAGACTTAAAATTCAGCAGGTTCTGTAATTTTAAGAATAGTTTTCATTGTTAAAATAGAAGCAAGCTATGATTAATTATATATCAATACTTTTTATTCATTTGAATAATGCATAGGAGAACCAGTAATTGATTAATGAATAATTTCAACAATTTTTGAAAAACATGAATGTGAACTCTATATTTGAGAGTGGAAATATTAACCAATTGCTAATAATAATTTAGTAGATTCAGATTTTAAGGATTATTATTCTTAAGAATCTTAAAAGATCTTTTATATTTATTCTAATAACTATTCTACCAATTCAATTAATGATATTGAGGCTGGAATAGATCTTTACTTTATTAAAGATAGTTATTCAACTTCCATTAAATTTATATCCTCTTTAATAATTGCAGATGCTTAGACTAAGCAAATTAAAAATTAAACTATAGATAATTTTATTTCAGCATTTTTTTCATTGATTCTTTTCATAATGATTTGATTTGGACCAAATAATGCTGATAAAATTAATTTATATAATTATGGTTGATACTTCAATAATTCTTAGAATGTATATAATGTACATCTTCTTACTCTCCATGTTGAATCAGTGGCTAATAAGTTTATTAAATAAATTTACTTTCATCAGGATAATATTCATCTTCATATGGATTTTCTTCTTCAATTGATGCTACTCCTAATGGATCAAAATCAATTAAAGGTGTAATTTATTCAATTAATTAGAAATCAAATGAACGAGCATAAGAATTAGAAATTAAATAATTTATCGTAAGTAATTAAATTTCTAAAATCTCAGCATATTGATTAATATTATCTAAATCTATTTTATGTTATTCATTCTATGTTTAAAAGTATCTCTCAAAAATTTATTCAACTAAAACTTTATCAAAATGTTTTCCAGAACTCTTAGCCAAATAATTCAAACTTTAATTTAAGTAGAGTATTTTTGTGAAATTTTATTAATCAAAACTTAAATCTTTAGTAAATGGTAATATTTCTATTATAACATAAATTTCAATTTATTACTTGATTAAATTAAATTATTTAGACTTTATTGATTCAAACATGCTCCCAAATGACCTAAACATACACATGAATTTTTTCTTATTGATAATTCATTTGAATTTGTTATATTATCCAATAATAAATCACCAAAGTCTTTATAATATAATTTTGGCCATCTTGACATTATCAAACTTAATATCTTAAGGAGTTCAGCCTATATTTCAACATTTTATTATATTTCTTAATGTACTATTTAATTTGAAACCTATAATTTCTTAACTTTTATTTTCAATTCACCCAATTCTATTATACTATGATTAGACTTACTTTAAATAATTGTTTCTTAAATTTCTTCTAAACCTGAGACTTGACTTGGAATCTTTTCTACTATTTCTTAAAGGCAAATGTGATAATTTTCTCTTGCATCATTCATTCCTTCAACTGATGACTTCAATAATTCTAAAGCAATATATGATACTTCCTTTGATCTCATCAAAGGAGCTAATCTTTAAAATTATCTAATTGCATTTCCTATTTTACTATATTAAATTATAATACCTTAAATTTCTCTATATTGAGATGATAAATGCTAATAAAATACTTTAAAGCAATTATTAATAAGTTTTTGATTCTTTTCATCTTCCATCCCTTATTCCGATTTTCCATAGTAAATTGTCAACTCATTTGTGAGTTCTTCAGCTCTCATATATTGTATATCAGGGTCGGGATTTGTCTAAGCTTCCAAAATAAGAGTCTCAATTTTTTTCTAATCCATAAAATTATTTCTTAATAAATATCTGTAATTATCCACTCAAGAAACATTAGATATTAGATATTTAATCAGATTAGGTTAGACAATATAAAAATAGATTGTATGAAAAGTTTTAAACTTATAAAATCATTAAAATTTGTAATCGAAAACAATAAGATTTTATGTTTACAATTATTTTATAAATCTACTTATCTTCGAAAAAAAATAATACATTTTTTTAATTAATAATTAAATTCATTAATAAATATTAATCTTTTTCTCATCATTAAAAGAGTATTCAGTAATATATTTAAGCATATTTTTAGTATATACATTTATAATTTTTATGAAAGTATAGTTAAATTCTTTTTAGAAATTCATGCTTTTTTGCATTATTTATTAGTTTTATAAATCTATTTGAACAGACAGAATTTATCACATTATTTATTTTATTGTATTTAAATATAAAGAAAACATATTTTTTATTGTATTATTTTTTAATATATTTTATTTAAATGTTTACATATAAAGATAACTTTGAAATTTATCAAAAAATTCAAGAAGTTCGACAAATTTACTCCAAATTTAAATAAAGTGTCATCATATAACTTGAAAAATTAGAAAATCAAATTGAAACAATAATCTATGAGCTTTCTCAAAGAAATGAGCTCGATTAAATTTTCGAAAATACTATTGAAAATGATAATTCTACAATAAATGATGATGAAGTCCAAGAGATAGTACAAATTTGGAATAAAATATGCTATCAGAAAAATGATGATTATTTCCCAAAATTTAGTGATCAATTAGTGACAAGAATTTAAAAGACGTTGAAAGTATGGGAACAATAAATTTAAGAGACTTTATAAATGGATCTTGGTATTATTCCAAGATATTCAAAATCTTCATATAAATTTGATGCTAATTCAAAGTTTCAAAGCATATAAATTAATGAAGAAATAATAATTGAATAAACTCAAAGTTAAACTCATTATTGTTTTGCTCTAGTTGATTAAAGATTGAATTAAATCGAAACTAGTTCAATATAATTCAAATTCCCAAAATTTGTAGGAGATATTGGAGTTGGAATTTGTGATTTATAGATTTTAAAAACCAAAAATTTTAGACCTTAGTTGAATTAAATAAATAATGGAGCTTTTGTATGCTTTTAAGATTCATGTAATATTATTTGTAACAATAGACACTATAAATACAGAATAAGAAGAATATAATTGGAAAACTAAAGGTTTTAAATTTGGTGAAAAAGATGTTATTGAAGTTATTTATGAACCTACTCTAAAAAGAGTCACATGGAAAAAAGTTTAAGTAAATAACTAAATATATTTATAGAAACCTGATGAAGGATATTAAATAACCTTGCAAAATGATAAAAGAGAATTGTACTTTTGTTGTATTGTTAAAACTTAAGGAGCTAAAGTAGAAATAATCACGGAATGAAAATCCTTCCTATTTTGTAAGAATTATTTATATAAAAAATTATCTCTTTTTATTATCTTTAAAATAGATAAGCTTAAAAAGAACTTATTTATTATAATATGTTCTAATATATTTTTATTGAATATTTTATCTTAAGATAACCAAACATTAAAGTAATGTAAACTTCATTAATGTAATTTTTATATCTAATTTTTGAAATATTTTTGATGCTTTAAAGTTAAATAAATTTTATTTGGAATTAATTATTATGAGATCAAAAAGTCCATTACTCTCACCTTAAAACTAAAAGCTCTATACTAATTTACTAACTCCAACTTAGAAAAGACATGTGTCACAATTATCAACTGGATAATATAAATTTAATACACCTCAAACTGATTTTATACTTAAAAAAAGAGAATTCTAATTTTCAATTACATCATAAGTTCTAGATAAATAAAGATTATTATAAACTACAAATAATTATTATCGCCCTAATAGTATTTAGAGAAGAAGACCTTCTGAAAGTCCTTCAAAAATTTTATTTAAAACAGGATATGAGCAACAACAAGAAATAAAAAAGTTGATTTAAGAAAATCAAAATTTAAAAGCGATTATAAAAAAACAAGAAGATTAATTAAAATAGTTTTATGAATTAGGTAATATTTTAGAGTAAAACTAATAACTACAAGAAAAAATAGAAAAATTAAAGTAAGATAATTATTTACTTCGATAAGATGAAGAATAAGTTAACAAAAATATAGAGGATTAATGACTTTCATCATTTAGATTTTAAATTTATATAAAGTAACTTCATAGTAAAATATTCTTTAGAATACTTTTCTTATTAGTAATTTCAGCATAATAATTATTTAAAGGAAAAAATATAAATTAAGGAGCAACTCAATATTTATATTTGATCAAATTTATATTTTCAAAGTGAGAATTTCATCCATCTTTCAAATTCTTTTTCATTTTTAGTTTATTTTTATTGAAAAAGAACTTATTCTAGATCTTTTGTTCAATTAGTCTTTTGAAATTTTTTATTGAATAATTTATTTTAAATAATGATGTAATGATTTTTTCAATAATTCTAAATTATTGAATTATTTACATTAAATAGAATCATTATAATTAGATATAAATAAATAGTATATCATTTTCTAAAAATATGATTTTAAATTTATATATAAAATCTAATTATTGCAAGTTTATTTTAAGTAAATATATTTCGAAATTTATAAATATCAATTATTTTATAAATTTATTTTTTTTTTCACTTCATCTTTACTACTTATACTATATGAAATATTTTAGCAATCTTAACAAGAACATAACTCTAGACATTTTTATCCTTTTTTGAAGCATTCACAATATTTTTTTAAGCACCCTGTGGATCTACATTTACAGCCATTATTATTTTATTAAGATAGCTATTTATCACTTGGAATATTTCCTTAAAATTTCTTATTAATTGCTGAGTCTCTTTCCTATGAAAATTATGAACAATTCTTGCAATCAATGCATTGACATTTATCCAAGCACTTTCTTCCACTTTGAAAACATTAACAATATCTTTTTAGACAACTACTTTAAGAACATTTACAAAACTAAATATTTGATCCTATTGCATGATCAGTTTGTTTAATTTTAGTCTAATTTTAGAGTTATTGAAGTCTTTGCTATTTCAAATTTGCTTAATTTTAAATTAGTGGTTTTACGATAACTTCATCAACCTCAAGTTTGATTGGGACCTCATTTTAGAATGTTTAAGGTTTTTGTATAATACTAGAAAGTTAAGAAAGGTATGATAAATATGGGTCATCAGGCATAACTGGATGACAAACAAACCAAGAATTGTAATGATCAATTGTATTTTACTATTGAATATTTGGTATAGGAAAACTATTTTATTTTTTGTATTTTACGTATTAGGTTTTATATAGAAAATAGGGTATTATTAGATAGTATTTTATTAAGGAGGAGGTTGCTACTTTGGTTATTATTGTTGTTATTATTGGTCTTCTTAATTATTTAAAGGTGGAAATTATGAATTCATTACCGAAATAATATATCAAATGGAGATACTTAAATTAATAGATGTATTAAGGAATTTGGGAAAATTCAAAATTTGATTTGATATATGTATTTTAATAAAATAATCCATATCAATCTCTGTCGAATAATCTATCTAAAAAGCTCTTTGGTTTCTATTGTTATTATTATTATTGTTATTTTGGTTAAGGTTATTGGCCTTAAGGTTTGGGCTAAATTTTTAATGATAAAATAATACTTAAGCTTGAGGAGGTAATCTTGGTGAAACAGTTTAAGCTAAAGGTAATGATCCTTGAGCATAAACAGGTGGACGAACAGTCTAAACTGGAATTGATTGAACCAATGGTTATTAGACTAATGGTTATTAAACAACTTAGACAGGTTATTAAACAACTTAGACTGGTTGTTAAACAACTTAGACTGGTTGTTAAACAACTGGTTAAGCTACAACTTATTAGACTTGTTAGACTTATTAATGAACAACTTATCTTTCGACTGGATAATATTCAACTCTTTCTTAATATCTATCAACAGGAACATATTCTAAATTTAGATATTTATTCTAATACCTGTGTATTTTTCTTAGAATACTTATGGAACATATTCTGTTTAGTACTCCACTGCATAATAATCAGTCACATATCTTTCTCTTGGAACTTGAATTTTTTGTCTGACTTCTTCATATTCTAATACAGTCTTTTCGTATGGGACATATTCAATTCTGCTTTCTCCTTTGATTGGTTATGCTGCAACAACAGGCTATGCAACAACTGGTTGAGCAACAACAGATTGTGTTACAACTGGTTGTTAAACAACTTGTGGAGTATAGACTGGTTATTGAACAACAGGGGGAGCATATACAGGTTGTTAGACAACTTATGGGGCATATACTGGTTATGCTACGACAGATGGTTAATAAAGAGGTTGAGAATATCTCAATGGTGATGAAGTGAGAGGTGGACCATAAGTCACTGGAGCTGGAGCATATTAAGGAGCAAATCCAGGTTAGAATTATGTTGGTTAGTATGGTGCACCTTATTATGGAGCTTAAGGTGGATGATGTGAATTGGGAACGTTGCTCATTATTATGATAAATAAATTTATTTAGAGATTAAAAAAAGATATAATTTTATGAATAACAAAAATAGCGTCACTTTTTATTTAATTAATAAAATATTTCAATCAAACAGACAGCAATTCTTTAATTTATTGTCCAAATCTACCCTTTTATCCCTTAACTAATTCCACCTTCAAAATGAAATCTCCTATTTTAATTTCTGAATTTTATTTTAATACAATTTAATTTGATTCTTTTTTCTTTTCTGATTATTCAACTGTTGATAGGTTCACCCAAGTTCCATTAGCTGAATCTCTATCTAAAGATCCATCTGAAATTACCCATGCTTAATATCTAACAAAATTATATAGAAACCTTTTTACTAAGCTGAATATTTTATTCTGCATTATTTTCTAGAAATAGTATTTGAATTGATCTTAATTGAATTATCGGCTCCTCTACCTATGTAGAATTCATCAGTATCTTAATTAGATTTCCCAATTAAGATATTTTATTATTTGTTTTATTCAACACCTTGACCAGAAAATTTGATTCCTAAAATTGGAACATTATATTCTTTTAACTTTTAATAGAGCTCTTTAGCACTCAAGGATGTTGCTTCCTCTTCTAATTAGTAAAATTCTTATGATTTCTATTTATCTTAAAAATGGATTTCATGTTTTTATTATGATTTCAAGCAAAACAATCTTTTCAAAATTCTGTAAAATTCTGAATCTACTTCTTTTGAATTTTATTTATAAGTCTCATTCAAAACTATGTTAAAATTAGTATCACTGCCTATGCTAAATTTAGTATCATAAGATAATATAAATGGCTCCTATCTGAATACTCTCATATAAGTTCCACATATACTTCCTAGATCTTAAATGTAAACATTTTTTGGTTCTCTTTTATAATTTATAAAAATTACTCTAAAAATTAACTTATTTTATGTTTGATCAATATTGGCAAATTAATGTGCATCAAAGCAAATTAATATTTTTAATCTAGAATTTAATTTTTTCGAAAGTAATCTTTGCATACTATTTTACAATGAATCCTTGAAATTATACGATCTTCTGGTAATACTAATCAAAATTTTATTACAATTCTACTTATATCATTAGGAATGAGATCTTGATTTTAATTTCGATGAGATCTTCCTATCAAAATATCTTTTGAGTTTGTATTTTTTAGCGAGCCAATCAGTCTATAAAAATCCTTATTTTAATTACCCAAATTCGTTAATAAAATATTCATTATTAACATTCATATTTCTAAAAGAAGTAACTTTGATGTATGGTTAAAGTTAATCTAAATGATCGTTTTATATGGGCTCTGTGCGCTTTTAAAGATATTTTTAAAGATTTTAATATTTTTCCCTACACTTCAATCAATATATTACCTAGGCGAATGTCTATCTCTTCTTTGAGATTATCTCTACCCTCTTAGGATATCATCCTCTTCACCGAAGGAATCTCCTCTAAATATTTCCGGATTATCTAAATAAAAATATTAATTAAATCCTAATGCATAGAACTATATTCCAAATCTTCTAAGCTGAACATCAATATCGTTTAAATTTTCATTGTTATTTGTATTATCATTATTCATTTATTATAATATTGTAAATAAAAATATTCAATATAATTTGATAATTTTAATTTCTCTAAGATTTTCTAACTAAAAATTAGATGGAAATATTACTCAATTTATAATGCAATCATTCTCACTCAAATCTTCAAAACCATTTTACTTAATGTTCCTTTTTCTAAATAAAGTTTTTATTTCAAAAATTAATTTAATTTCCCTCCAAATTAAGTTCTTTATGATTTATTCATTAACATTTTAACATCAAAATAATTCAACATCATACCATAATTCAAGCCCTTTTTTAATTATTTTTTTCTTTTCATTCATTTTTCTCAATAGAATTAAATTAATTTTTCTTCCAATGACTGCATCTTAGCTTCCTTATCTCATAGAAACATATATTATATATATATATATTTTACACTACTAATTATAATATTGAATTCTAAACAAATTTAAGATAAAATTTACGTCTCTATTAATTGTTATTTTAAATAAACTTGATCTAAATTTAAGCAATAATTTATTTCTAGAAATCAAATCGAATAAATTTCCTTATTTATTTCTATTAAATCTAACAAATCAAATTAATTATTTATTTTATAGTCAACAAAATTATAGGATTTAATTCACAGCCTAAATTTAAATTTAGATGTTGAATGTTTTAAAGTAGTTTTAATAAAATAATTTTGGATTATATTCTAGATATTCGAATAAAATAATCCTCCTTTAAATAGTTTTTCTATTTTTAATAAATCAATTTATACGTTCATTTAATCCAAAAAGACAGATTCCTTAAAAGATAGAATAATCTTTGGTAATCAATAGTTTGAATAAAAAAATAAATTGAATAATTGTATGAAGACAAGCAGATCTTTTAATATCAATTAATCAAAATATATATATGTAAACCTCAATTTTATAAAAAGTCAATCAATAATTTTTTAGCTTTATCCTTATTATGGCATTTTTTATTTTTACTTTATTAAATTCTTTCAACAATTCTTGCAAAATTAGGTCTTTTAGATGGTTCCTTTTAAAGACAATCTTTAGCAAGAATAGCCAAAATTGGAGGATTACTTTTTTAGGGAATTTCAACGAGATTATTTCCCCAACCAACAGTTTCTATCATTTAGGTTATAGATAAATTCTCATAAGGAATTTTACCAGTCATAATTTCCCATAAAATCATTCCGAAAGAAAAGATATCAGATTTTTCAGTATACGGTTCACCTCTCATAATTTCTGGAGCCATTTAATAAGAAGTTCCAATCATACTTTTTGTTTTTTTAGTCTTAATTCTTGATAAACCAAAATCACAAAGTTTAACATTCCAATCTGAATCAATTAACACATTTGAAGATTTTAAATCACAATGCATAATACCTCTTCCATGTAAATTATTCATTCCTAAAGCAATATCTTCTATTATATGAACAAAATTTAAATTTTTAGTTTTTCTCTTATGAATATAATCATACAAACTGCCATTCTCCATATATCTAACAATTATATATATATAATACTCTGTAATTAGATAAAAATTATGCCTTTTGATACAAACTCCCATATAAAGCACAATATTTGGATGTCTTAAATCAGAGATAACTTGGACCTCCTTTAAAAAATCAGCCATGGTTTATCTATTTTACGATTAGTCTTATTTTTAGCAATATGATTTGATGGCTACATCTTGCCCAAGCCAATTACCTTTAAAAACTATTCCATTATTTCCTTCTCCAATTTTTGAACCTTATTTGATTTCTTAGAAATTAATTAAAAGTTTTTCATTGATTCCTAAATCTTTTAATAAACTCATTATTTTTTCTTAATGTTTTTATTGCAAATTATTTTCTTCGACATTATAATAACCCTTTTCTAAACATTTCTGATAATCATTCTCTGTTATTAACTGAGTTTATTAATTTTCAATAGAAATAAAAGAATTTTCTCCTAAGGATACTGATTTATTCATGTTGTCAATATTAAAATTAGATACTTAACAATTATCCTCTGTTTTAAGACTTTAACCTTAATTGCCTTATTTGGGAGATTGTTTTTTTTAAGATTAAGGAGAAGATTATTTTTCTTCAGACTCTTAAGTACATTTTTACTTTAATTTCTTTTACTTTGAAATTTTTGTTTCTGATTTTTCAATTGTAGGTTCAATCTTTTAGATTATAGAAAATAATTGATCGTATTTTGAAGACTAATCAGCAGAATTTTCACTTTCTGTCTTTTATACTTAATTAGACATAGTCTTAATATAGTATTTCTTGTGCATATTAATCTATTACAAGATTTATTTTCTATGTCCAAGTATTTACATTCCCAATTCTTCTTTCAATTCCCTATCTGTTAAATTATGTAAGGTTTCTCCTAACATATGATTTTTCATGAAGTTCTCCTTATATTAAGATAGACCTAAGCATTCCAACCAAATACAGACCTAATCTGTATTCCATTCTTACACTAATTAATATAAATAAAAAATTAATACTTTTCTTATTTCCTTTAACAATTACAGTTTCATGTAAAGCCTGAAGAGTTTCAAATCCATGTACCTCTTGCTAATTCAAGTTATTTTCATCAGATTTATTGTATAAGGATTGAAGATGTTTAATATGATTATCATGCACTAAATAAGCAGAAAACACATTTTCAAATTCACTTGGAACTTTCTCAACGGGATTTTATTCAAGCAATTTGTCATTCTCAAATATTTAAAATCTTAACTCTTTTGTAATGGAGCTGTAGTAATAACCAGGACCATTTTTTTTATTTTCGTAAAATTAACCTTACAATTATACATTTTAATTACCGGAATAAATTGAATTATCTCCATAAAAAATTGTTCCTTTACCATTTTTATAATTATTTAACCATTATCCAACATATCTATCACCATATTGACCAAAATGTTAGCCATGACCACTTTTTTTGTTTTCTTTCCATTATCCAATATATAATTCTCCGCTGTTGTAATAATACTTCCCTGTTCCATGTTTTTGATTATTATACCATTCACCTTCATAACGATTACCATTATCGAATTTATAGACTCCTTTTCCATGTTTTAAGTTATCCTTCATTTCCCCTATATTTTAACATTTTATAAATACCATGATATTCATCATTATTTGAGTATGTGATATGATGAAGATTATTTGTTTTTCTTTTTAAAAAACTAAACAATTTCATTAGACAAATAAATTTAATTATCTCATCTTAATTATTGCTATCATTTAGTAATAAATATTTAATGATGTTTACCTTTTAATGATCTAATAAAGTTAATACTAACCATTGTTAATTTATGTTAAATTTTATATAAAAAATTATCAAATTCTTATGCAATTTGTACTACCATTGATTATTTTTAGAACATTTATTTATTAATCCGAACTTTCCTTATTCAGATTGATCAAGATTAATGATTTTTTCTTAATTTATTAAAATAATTCATACTTAGAAACCTAGTCCTATCTTCCTAATTATAATATTAGGAAATTTAATTAATTTCTAACTTAAAGATCGAAATATTTATAAAATTTTGGTTTCATTAATTGTTAGAAGAATATTAATTAACAATGAATATTAAAGAATTAACTTCGTTTATAAAAGAATACGATCTTATGTTTACATAAAAACTAGTCAAATACTTAGTAATAATAGGAATATCAGCTATGAAAAGTAAAACTTAGGATATATCGATTGAAACGATAAAACTTATTGCAAGTATATTCAAATTTTATAAATAGGCTCTTGTAAATAATAAAAGTTAAAAAATGAGATGGCTACTTTAAAAGAAAAAGTAATCAATATTTAATAGTCAATAACTCCTAGAATGGGAAATTACAACTTTTCTGAAGATAAATAATTAAGAATTTCAAAAAGCCCATTGATCTAATCATAATATTCACCTATTTAGAAGAAAAAGGATTAACCTAGTAATAAGTGCAAAAAGGCTATATCTATTTAAGATTCAGATTTCAATTTCTAATCGTTAAATTTGAAAAATAAAAGTAATTAACTCAGTATAAAAATGGAATAATAAATAAAATAAACAAAATCTTAGAAAATTAGTTAAAATATTTATTAATCTTCAAAGAAAATAAATTTGGATTAAATTGCTAATCATTTTTTATGTTCTCCTTTAATTTAGAATCCTTTATCAGTAAGAAATCAATCATAATAAAATGAACTTTAATGTATAATTGTTTATATTTGTAGATTTCTTTTAGAATACATGGAAATAATTTTGAAATTTCATGATTAAATTTATCATTTATAATTATTGGGTGTTACTAAGAAATTATCTAAATCTAGATCTTTCTTGTATTTTTTAAATGCACTTGAAGTGTACCCAAATTTAGAACTTGATGATTTAGTAAAATCTTTAGTGGCTTCTGCAAAATCAATATTGATATCTAAATTTAGGTCTTCTCCCTATAGATATTTTTAAGAATTTGCATCTAATTATAAAAGATAATTAAAACCAATATCTTGTTTCAATTTTTCTAAGTATTGATCAAAATTTGAATGATCAATATTAAGTAATGGTTTAATCAAAATTATAGGCATGAAATTAGACTTATTATTAATATTCTCATGATGAATTGTTTCTTCTTTAGAGATTGATTTTTCAAAAATTTACTAATTTGATGGTATTATTTATTAAGTAATTTTATTTTGTTAATTCAAATTAGAATTTTAATCATTTTGAGATACTTCTGAAGATTCCTTTAAATAAGTAGATTGAATACATTTTCATCTGTTTAAAATTAAAATCTATCATAAATTATTTTAAAGATTGAACCCTATTTAGTTCTAATAATAATATCTAGATCATCTTCATCATTAAATTTCTATGTTCATTATGTAATATATGATTACAATTTTTTTTCTTGAACTTTATCTAATTGATCTCTTTATTGGTATTTAAATACTATTATCATCAATTTTATAAAAACTAGAATATGAATCATCCTCTTCATCATCATCTTCCTCAACAATATTTTTTCTTTTCTTCAAATTTAATTTTCTTGATTTTAATTTATTCTCTCTTTATTTAGTATAAAGTCCGCTTAATATAGAGTTTAAGATTATTACTTAAAATCCATAATTTTCTCTATCAATTATTTGAATTTCTCTTCATTAAATTGGATGATTTAAGATTTTTGTTTAGATTATGCAAATTCAAGAATAGAATCTTATAAACCTTTGCAAGCAATGCATAATTTTTTCATATGATCATCTTTAAGTTCAGATGGATTTTTTTCAGCTAGTATGAAGATCTTGGACAAAACACCTGGCTTAATGTCCTTGATCTATTGGGTACACTTTTCTTTGCTAAATATTTATTTACGTAGAGTACTGTTTTTATCGCCAATCATTTTATTTATACGTCTTAAACTTCTTCTTAAGGTTGAATAAAAATGATTTTTTATGGCATTATCTGTTCGACCTGGAAGTAATTTTGCAATCTCTGCCTTAAAATCTTTAAATTTCTAAATATTACCCATTTGTTTCCATGTTCTCTATGTGCTAAAAATATTATCTTCTCTTCATTTTCACTCCAAGGATCTTTGTTAATGGTTGGATCCAAATGATTATGATACCTTTCTCTGCATTATTTACCAGATCGACCAAATAAGCCATATATTTCTTTCATTTTTTCAGCTACAGTTGTCCATTTCTTTATCCCATATTGCTTAACTAAGTGAAGAATGGCTATATCTTCCTATTCATTTATTTATTGATATCATAATACTTTTTAATTCCAAGCTTTTCTATCAGTCATATTTAAATATTAATAAATACTGTTTCGACATATTATAATCATAAAGCAGTTGTATTCTTTATTAATCTACCCCCAGTTTACTTCTTAAATCCATAGCGTTCACTAATTTTATAGACATATTAATTAATACAGCATTTTAGTCCATTATCCATGTACTTTCTCTGGCAATTCAATTTTTTATAAAGGAACTGGCCAAGCCAAATTAGGTTAAGCTAATTGATTAATTATATTTATACTTTATTTCCCATATTTTTATTATTATTGTAATAAATAGTCTATTTCTCTATCAATCCTTTATTCATCATATTCTTCTGGTTTTTATTTCAAAGTTTATCTTTTTTCTATTTCAATTTAAGCGAAAATTCCTCTTTAATAGGCACTATCTCTACTCTATGTTTTTACAAAGGATGGTCCAGATATATTTTTCTATACCATATTGAAATCATAAAAGTCCTTGCTACAAACTGGTTATGCAGGTTAACTAATTTATGGACTTTTTGGAAATTCAATTGGATTCGAAGCTGTAATATAAAGAGATTAATATACGCCTGGACCTGGAGTTTTTGTCTTGTTTAATTGAATTTTCTAAATACTGTTTTATAATAATAATCTCTATGAGGTCCTAAAAATCCACTATTCATTTAGGATGTTGGTTTAATATGTTTCGTTATTTCTCTAAATTATTTGATAAAGCCTTAATCAGCTTGTAAATTTAATTTAAAATTCTTAAGTGGTTCTCGTTTAGCCAATCTTCTATCATCTGCTGTTACAGCTCTAGGATTGAGACCTAAAATTGATGTTGTTGAAAACTAATAACAATAAATTTAGTCTTACTTTAAGTCTCTTAGAGCCTGATGTGCACAATACTATTTATTAACCTTTAAGAAAGTGTAACTTTTTATCTTTTCCAACTAATTTTCCTGTGGAATCTCTTTCCTATAAGAATGGTTTAAAGTTCTAATTATTTAAGACATCTTCTTTGCTAGTAAAGGATTGTGTCTCAAATTCAAATTCTTAAGAACTAGGTGCCTTTGAACTCTAAGCATCAATCACAAATTCTATAGGATTAGTTTCATTATTCTGTTTGTACATATTTGTAATATAGAGTTATTATGAAAATAATATTATTGTATTGAGCTTATATTTACAATAAAATCATCTATTATATAAACGAAGTAAATATATATTATATATTGTTTTTTAATTCTCTCTGTTCAAAATAGTAACAATTTCATAATGAGTAACTATATATATAATATTTTATTTATCAAAATCTCTAATGCATTTATAGATGAAAAGTAAAACAACTTTAAACTTATAAAGGATCAAGATTTAATTTCTAAACTGCTGCAGAAAGAGGATTGGCTAAAGAAGATCAGTATGTTCCAAAATTAATAAATTAGAATGAACCTGATATAGTTTTTCCATCCTTTATTCTCCCTAATCAGTCTAATGCATTAAATATATCAGTGTAATTAACTAGAAAAAAAAATTCTGAAAGTTATTCACCTGAACAATAAACCAAAGTATTAAATGAGTCTTAGATGACGAAATTTATCCAACCCTAAAAAGATACAAAAACATAGCCAGCTTAAGATATACAATTCAACACTCATTAATCTATTCAATTTTAGGAGCTAAGTGATGAAAATTTGGGATTTCATCATAATTTCCTTCATGAATAGCCCACTGAATAAAATCTTGATAAAAGATTTATCACAAACTAAAGCTACTTTTCATAGAACTAATTTTACTTAAATCATTCACCTAGAAAGCGGCAATTTTCTTTTCAAATAAATTAAAATTTAAAAAGCTTAGATTTTACAATAGAAAATGAAGATCCATATGATGTAGAATAAAGCATTTCATACATACTTAAAAATACAAATAACTCTGTATCTAAAGAACTCAAAAAAGATGTGGATGAAACTTCTTTAGATACAAAATAAGTTATTAACTAAACCATATTGAATCCTTAAAACTAAGAATAGTTATAAATAAAAAGAAATAAATTTAAAACATATATTTTACTTGTTAGGGCAGTATTTAGAATTGTGATATTAGTTAGGTATAATTAATTGAAATATAAAATTGTAGACCTAAAAAATAATTATGGTTATAGAATTAGAAATTATTTTTTTAACTAAGCAAAATGTTTAAGTTTAAGGATAAATTAGTCCAGAATAAAATAAAACAATGGACTCAAATATCTTTAACAAAAGTTCTTTCTGTATTAAGATTTTAAACTCTTAAATAATGGAATTTTATTGTAATATTTTTATTAACAATATAGGAAGGTAATCTCTAAGATTTCTAAAAAGACTTGGCTATAACTAATTTTTTAAATTTATGCTCTCATCTTATCTCCAATCTTGAAATAACTACACAATCTAACTCTTTTTTATCAGAACTTGGATATTAATCATATTTAGAATAATTTGTTGAATATAGATAAACATATAACATATTTGTAACTAAAAGAACTAAGTATCTATAACATAAATACTCTAAAATAACACCTAAAGAAAAGGCTATGATTGCTACAGAGTGTGTAATAATGAATAATTTTATCCCAAATTTAGTCTTACTTACTGAAAATAAAAAAATATTTAACTCAGATGATCAAAATATCTAATTTTTGATTCGTGGATTTATAAGCATTCTTCAATAATTATTCATTATAACATTTTCAGATATTCCAGAGGTTTAAAAACATGATAATTAATTTTAATATTAATAAATGCAAATAGGAAAAAATAAATAAGGGATGATTTTGGTACCAATTCAAACTGATATAGAAGAATTTTTTAAAGGAACATTTAAAAGTGATTAATTAAGATTGATATTTGAAAGACGAAGTTGGTATTCTAATTTAATCAAAAAATTTAAAAAAGTTGTACACAATATATACTAGCATAAAATAAAAGAAATATGATTATTATTCAATACTTTTTATTCATTTTTTTGATTAAATCATAAACATATATTTATATCTTTTATTTAGTATTACATTCTCTTTAAGTATCCTTCCATAATTCTAAAATAATATTATAAATAACAAAATATATCTATGATTAGGCAAATTAATTATAATATAATATAGAACTTTCAAACATAATCTTTAATAAAAATAAAAGTAATAGAATTAGGTAGTATCATTCAGATTGATATTTTAATATTTTATACTTATTCTTAAATTTTCTAAGAATGTTTCCATATAAATTAAAGTTATATTGATTTAAGTGAAAAAAACAATTTTTTATTTGAATCATTCATCAAAATAAGACAGATTTTATTAAAAAATGGACATTTTTTAAACAATATTGTAGATGTTCATTAATACTTTTTTTCTTAATTGTAATAATTTTTATGATATCATACTGATTATATTTTTATTACAAATGAGTTAAAATACAATTGTGTTCCACAAAAAATTAAATATAATTAAACTGCAAAAATGTTTAATTCCTTTTTATTTCCTCCTACTAGAAATCCAATGTAAGAGTTTAAACCTAACCAAAATATGTAAAAAAATCAATTACCTTAACTTTCTAAATATATTGAAAGTGAAATAATGAAAAGAAGTTTTTAAAAAGAGCAAGAGAGAAGAAAATCATTATAATAATAATCTAATCAAATTGAAAAAGAAATTTAAAATAAATTATTTCTCTAATAACGAATTGACAAAAAAGAAAGAGATCTTTTTGCTGAATAAAGAAATTCATTATTTTTAAATGCTGCAGAAATGAAACATCAGAAAAACTATAATTAACCATTATATCACTTTAATTAATACTCTACTATTGATTAGAAATAAAATACTAATACATTTAAAGATGAAGCCAGTAATCGACAAAGATCAATAACCGTCAACAATAAAAATAAAAAATACTCACATTTTTAATTATTAGAAGAAGAAATCCCTATTATATAATAAAATAAAATGATTGATTGCAATTAAGTTTTAGATTTTAGAATATCTGTTGATTCATAAAATACCAAATATTAAATTGAGAGTAAATAAAATAAATAAATTCCTAATTATATTAATTTTTTTTAGAGTAGATTTAATTAACCATATCAATTGGTAAAAGAAGAGTTTGAAAAAATTTAAAAGTCTAAAAATTAAAATATATTTAAATAGTGGAGCTTAATATTAATTTTTATATTTCGATTAATTAAGCTTTTGAAATAAAAAAAAATGAAATCAATATAAAAATTAAAAGATATAAGAACTAAAGTAGATGCTTTTAATTAATAATAAATTACAGAAATAAAAATGAATTGGCTTGAAAAATTATTGTAAAAATTATTGCTGACAATTTAATAGAGTAGATTTACTTAAAATTTTAAATAAAATTAAAATCCAAATGATAAAAAATTTATTCAGAAGCGCAAATAATGGATGATGAATTTAACTTTATTATTTTTTCAAGATCTTTATGATATGACAAAAGCACAAAATTTCAATAACGATATTTTAGCATTAGCCTAATATCATATATTATAAATAAATAAGAAAGGCAATTTATTTGTAGCCAAAAGAATTAAGACAAAATTAATTAAAAAAGAATAAATACTTATAATTTGTGATTATATATTCTTTTCATTTATAATCGAGTAAATAATATCAGAATCCAATTAGATACTATACATTAATGATCATCATTTAGCCGAATGTAAATTTTAACTTGTTTCTATTTGCAGTTTGATATAAATTCTCTTTATGAATTACTTTAAGGATATGAAATAATATTAACCAAATATATCTAAAATTATATAGAAAAGATTAAGCATTAGTAAAAATAAAAATTAAGATATAAACATTATTGAAGATGAAGTTATTGAATAAAATGAGAATATTATTGTAGGTTTGAATAATTTTTAATTTTATGAAATCTTAATAAAATAAAATTAGAAATGGTATGAAGATATTTCGACATTGTTTAGAAATTGTGTCAAAAATTTGGCAACTTTGAATAACATTTGATTTTTATAATTATTTATTTATATATATATATATACATGCTGTTTTTATAATAAAAAGTATTAGATGCAAACATGAATCCAAATAAGCCATAATATTTATGGTAAAATAATCGATCCTCTTTACATTAACGATATTAGATTTCATCTAGAAGCAATAGCCTTTCACTCTAAAGTAATAGAGGGCAATATTAATCCTCATTTGAAAATGATCTAAGAAAAAGCCTTTTAGCTTAATCACATATTGAATATTAAGGAAAGCTATAATAAGTAATGAATACTCAAAATGAATTGCTTAAACACCAATTAATAGAAATTTAAAATAGATAATTAAAATTACAAAATGAAATGCTTCAATAATAAGTAGTTAAAATCTAATAAGATGTAGAAAACACTTTTAAAATAATATCTAAATAAAAATTACCATCAATAAATTTCTAACATCAAAACACTAATTTTTAGTAAATATAAAATGCTAAATCTATGATCTCTTAATTATAATAACATCATTTATTTAATGATCAAAATAGCGACATAACTACATTCAATGAAGAATAAATAGAGAAAAAGTCAGAAAATAAGATTAAAGATATACATTAAATTCAAATGAAAGATAATTAAACTGATTTTGAGTTTAAAATGTAAAAAAATAAAATACCTTAAAAACCTAAGAAATATCAATAGAAAATGAAAATTATCTTCTTGGTTGTACTTGCTTATGTAAGATGGACCAAGAATTTTAGATTAAAAAGATAAGAATAAGCAAAAAAATTAAAATAAATTAGAGAGAAATTCTAGAATGCTAAATCGTATATCTTATCAATTAATGAAGATCAAATAAAATTAGCACTTTATTAATGGGTAGAAAATGTATTTGATGAATTCATTATTGAACTTACTAAACCTGAATTCCTAAAACATTGTCAAATTAAAGATTATGATCCAAGTTCATATGATAATATAATTTATCGACAAGGATTAATACTAAAAATAACTTTAGATTTCTTTATTCGACTTGAAAAAATGACTTAAATAAATGTTTTACCAAAATTAATAGTCAATCTAATGTATTTGTCATTATTTTTATCATAAAATTCTAAAGCATCTTTGTTTGTTGCAAAAAGAACCAATTTTTATTAAAAAAACAGTATAAAAATATCAAGTCAATAAGAAAAATTGATAATAGGAGAATACATATTCTTTCGTCTAATTATTCAGAATATGTTAAATATATTTAATAATTTCAAATATCATAATCGAATACATGAAAAACTAATCAAATTTTTTGCTACTGTAATTGCAAGTTTTATTTAAATCTTATATATTGACTATTTTGAAGATGTTAAATAGATTAAATAAATAAATGTTGAATTGTATTAAAGAAAAATTGTTTTAGATGAAAATTTAAAAGCATTAATGATTTTAGAAGACAAAATTGATGATAATGAATTACTGATTTTAGGTTTGTAAGATCGATCGTAATTTGAAATTTTATTTTAACAGCAAATAGATTGGATATAAAATATAAGTAAAATTTTCCATAAAATTATTTTGAACCTACACTATTAAATATGATTAGATATATCAATTCAATTTTTTTAATATTTATTTTAATTACATCATCAAATTTATACTATAATAAATGTATCCAGGACAGTTTAATTTGCATACTACAGACAAAAATGCAATGATTATTCCACCCTCAAATGATTTTTATCATCAACCTTATATATTGAAATTAAGAAATTAATCAGTCTTTTTAGACTAAATCTAAGGAAAAGAACCTTCAAATGATAGTTATCTCTTATAAAATAGTGAGTAACTAATATAGTAATATTTAGACGATCTTAATATTAAATAATATAATCGAAAATGCAGGAATTAGAGAACTTGAGTTTAAAGTAACATTAAGAATTTTTGAGTAGAGAAATTCAATAATAATAAAAAGAATTATCTAAACTTTGGAAATTCTGCTAAAATCATTTGCTACCCCCAGTTACTAAACCAAAACAATCTGCATTAACTGATTAAGAATTTTAAGATCCTTAATATTAAAACGGATTTGAAACAAAAAGAGCTTAATCTTTTGAATATTAGTATCCTTTTAAATATGATAATTAATCTGACTCTATATCTTATAAGAATACCAATAGAAATTAAAAGTAAATTAGAATAAGATAGAAAAATTCTAGAGAATTTTAAAATTAATAAGAAGAATTTTCATACTTACAATTACCTTATACCAAAAAAAATCCTACATTCAGAGAAAATAAACTTAAATATAGAAAGAAAAGATCTCATCTCAAAATATCTCGATTAAAAGTCTATTTTTTATTTATCTTAGCTTATATTAGATGGACAAAAAATTATAGGTATAATTATATCTATAGAAAGGTAAAAAAGAAATCAAAAAATTTAATTATTGAAGTAAATGCGATAGAAGTATACAATATGTCTTGAAAAAATAGCCAATTAAAATGTACTGGTTTGCAAATTAATAATTAAACAATGGATATCTAAAATTATAGACCCATTATTCAAATCATTTTCGTCTAATTAATTTATACAACAATCAAATGAAAATTCAGATAATCCCAATAGTCCCAGTTCTATTTAGAATAGACAACATTAATTTATTTAATTAACAAATTAAGTTATGAAAAATATGGAAAAAATTACAGAAAAAGATTAAATTCCAGAAATAATTTAAACTTCTTTATTTTTATCATTATTTAAAAGTTAAAATAATAAAGCTCCTATATTTGTATCAAAAAGAACTAAATACTATACAAAAAATACTATTAAAATTGGAAACTATTAAGAAAAATTGATTATAAGTGAATATTTCATTTTCAGGTTGCTAGCATAACATTTGATAGACAGCTCAAATCATATAGTTTATCAAAATATTAATCACAAAATGCTTTGTAAGTTTATAATTCTAGCTATTTTGGGGATATTATAAATAATATTTTAAGATTATTTTTCTGAATTAAAATAATATGATGAACCTTCAACTTAATTATTTTAAAGAAGAATAAAAATAAGTAAATCATAGGATATCTCTATAATAACTGATGATAATATTGATCAACAATAATCCCTTATTTATGGGCTTCATGATAGATAAAATTTTCAAAACATAATAGAAAAAAATTAAGAATGGCTTTTAGAAATTTATACAAAATTTTCTAAAATCCTAAGTAATCTACATTCTATTTTATGATTTTTGATTATATTTGTAAATAAAATTAACTATTTTCTAAATAATTTATAAGAAATAATAATTCATGTTATAAGTATTATTAAACTGATACTCAAAATTTATATCCAAAATTATTGGAGTGTAAAAATACAATTGAAAAATTTCCTGAATGCCAAACCTAAAATTTTAATATCATTATTACTTCGTAAACTGCAATATCAATTTCTTTTACTAAATTAACTATCTCATTTAGTAATAAGATCATGATTTATCAATATACATTTAATTAATTTAATGTGTTATTTATTAATTAAAAAATTTATCATTTGATTTTATTATAAAGATGAAGATTTCTTAGATATTTTTCTGTGTAAGAGATATAAATGTTAAAAATAAAATATATATTATTCTAATGCTAATTTATTACATTTAAATTAAAAAATTTGACAATTAAAACTCAAAGTTAATTAGATAATGCAGGTTTATACAAAAAATAACAATAATGTAAGTAAGGCAAGATATGTTAATTTTATTAATACTAACCATTATATTCTTAAATTTAATATCAAATCTTATTACTCCTTTATATAATATATGACAATAAGTCATTATTATATAATTTATATTACATGGAAAAATTATCTAATATAACTATTCTTAATTAAATTAAAATATTGAAATGATATTATTTATTTATTAATGATTCCAAATATATTCTACTTAATGACAGTTTTGATTTAATTAATTGAATTTATAACATATATGCCATGACATAACATACGAAAATAAATATGGTTATTATAATAATCAACATTAAAATAACCATAATTGTTTTTTTATTAAAAATAATCCTAAACGTATAGTAATTAGACCAATATTGACTATCCATATTTGCCTAAGATACTTAATTAAATCAAATAATCTTTTTTTTACAAGAATATTTGTGATATGAATAGTCCATTATCAATAGTCTCATCTTTAACTGAAGATTCTGATACAAAGAGGCTTGAATCTGATGATATTTTCAAGTTTAGAAATTATATATATTTAGATTCGGTATGCATTATTTACTAATTGAATTTTGATAATTAGGTAAGAACTCCTCGAATATATCAGAATCTTGCATTCATTAGTCATATAAGAACTAAGACATAATATAATTTATGGAGAATAAAAGTTTAATATTAACAATTCGTATGATACTTGGTATTTATTAAATAGAAAAGTGCTTAATGTTTATAATTAATTGGAATAAATATAAAAATATAATCGTAAAGTTTAATAATTGATTTAGAAAATCAAATGAAAAAACGAAATTGTGAATTTATAAAATGATATTTGTAATGATTATTGATATGATTTATCTCTCAGAAACACTTTCTGTGAACAATGGTTGAACCGCTTTCGTCGTATTCGCTTCTTGTGATCCACATGGCTTAGAATGTTGACAATGATGATAAGATTGATCCACCAATCCAGACTGAGAATTTTCTTTCAGGTGGGGCAACAACTTTAATTTTCATTGATGATGGTGCAAGTGATGTTAATTCTTTGCTCAATCTTTCTGGGATTCCTGGGAACATTGTTGTACCTCCGGACATGACAACATTTCCATAACTTAAACATAAATTTAAAATATTTACAGATCCTTTCTGACATCAATATCGCACTTCATAATTGATTTGAATGTTAATTCATGGATACCTGAGACTTCAAGACCAATGAAGTTTGGTTTGAAAAGTAATTCAGGACATCTGAATCTTTGATTTTAGATGACAACAACATTTCCATCTGGTAATTCATAGGGTCTATTGTTAGCAGCACTTTCTTTGTATTTCTTCATTTCCTCTTCATAATCAAGAGCAACATAACATAATTTCTCTTTCATATCTCTTACAATTTCCATTTCAGCTGATGATGTGAATGAAACACCCAATTCATTCAAGATATTAACCAAGTATTGAGTACAGGCTCTTCCTGCCAAGTCAATTCTGAGGACAGCATGTGGAAGGGCATAACCTTCATAGATTGGGACTGTGTGTGATACACCATCTCCAGAATCAACAACAATACCAGTTGTTCTTCCTGAAGCATAGAGGGAGAGCACAGCTTGAATAGCAACGTAGAATGAAGGCACATTAAATGTTTCGAATAAGATTTATGTCATCTTTTCTCTATTAGCCTTTGGATTCATTGGAGCTTCAGTCAAAAGAGCTGGATGGTCTTCTGGTGTGACTCTTAATTCATTGAAAAAAGCATGATGCCAGATTCTTTCCATATCTAAATAATTTATAAACACATTCTATACCATCCCAATTATTGACAATACCATTATCAATTGGGTACTTGAGTGCTAAAACACCTCTCTTGGCTTAAGCTTCATCACCAACATAGGCTTCTTTGCTGTCCATACCAACCATAATTCCTTAATGCTTGGGTCTTCCAACAACAGCGGGGAAGCAGCATCTTGGAGCATCATCTCCTGCAATACCGGCTTTGCATTATCCTGATCCATTATCAATAACGACTGCTGGGTGTTCTTCAGACATGTGTTTACAGATAAATAAAAGATATTATTGATTACGAATGACAATTCTTACACCTTTTTCTAGAGCAAATTAAATTAATTAAATCTTGTCACATACCCCCAAAATATTTATTAATTATAACATATTATTAGTATATCACTTTCTCAACTTCAATCCCATTACATTTCTATTCAGTTTACTATCTTAATCGATTTCGATAATAAAAATCAGTTTTTAATTATAATCTTCTATTTTTTTCATTATAATATATTATGAATTTTATAAATAATCCATATAGAAATATATCAATCCTTTATTCCACTTTATCATATTAACTTAATTGTTTAATCTAAAAATATATGAATTGAAATATTTATCAATAAATTATGGAATTCTATTATAATAAATAAATAAAATATTCATCTTTTATAAAGTACATAATTTAATTATATTCATTTGAGCTTCAAATGATTTATATAATTATTTATGTAAAAACAAACAATCAATATTAACATTTTATTAATTATAAATTATATCTAGAATCTTGAAAAATTGTTAAATTTATGTTTAGTATATCATATTTATCTCAATAAAAAATCTTGAATATTTTATTAAATATAAGAAATTTGTCTGCAATGATATATTTGGTTAAAATATTACTCTTAATTTTAAATTATAGAAGCTAATACTAATTTAAGAAAGAGTTCATAATTGTATCAATATTGATTTAAATTTAGTTATATACCCCATCTATCATTAATAATTTCAATTATTAAAGGTTTTCTAAAATATTAATCAACTTTATAAATAAGTTTCTCAATTTTAAGAATATTTATATAATATTTATAATAATATCATATAATAAATGATTTAAATATAAATAGGGTTTTATACTTTAACCTATAAATAAAATCATCTCGTGATTTGTAACCCATAGTGACATAAGAGTTTTTAATAATTTAATTGTTGATTATTACTACAATTTATAAAGTTTAGGGAAAAATAAAAAATATTTTGTAAGAACATCTTAATATTTTTGTCAATTTTATTTTTGAAATACTTATGATTTCGTTGAAAAAATCAACTATTAATTGATATTTATTTCGTTGCTTTACTGTGATAAATAACAATTAATTTGTATTTATGCTAAAATATTAGAAATCAAATATTTCTTCGTATAAAGCAATTTTCAATGCTTTATAAATGTAAGTTGACATATTTGGATAACTACCTGGATTTACTATATTAAAAAAAGAAAGATTTTCTACAAGCTTTGGAGCTTTTTCAACTCTAATAATTTTTGGATTTTGTCTTTTATATTTATGGATTGAACTTGCTAAGTTATATAATCATAGTGACCCAAATGTTATTTAATATGATTCTTAATTAATAGAAAGTAGTGTAAGTATTACATAATATTCTTAGGAAATTCCATTGATGAATTAGAATTTCACAATAGCTGTAACTTTAACTGGATTAAGTACATAACCATTTAAAAATGTAAAAAGGTATTTTTAAATTAATGTAAATACTTGTAAAAGAGAGAGGATTTTTAATAAAACAGATAATACGACATAAGTTATTTCATCGTAAGAGTTAGTGTAATTATTTAGATGTTAAGAATATCCAATTGAGGCTTGCTCACTTGATCATGCAGTAACTGAGAGTTAAAAAGAATATTTTGGGAAACTCCAATTAGGAACAGTCCAATGCTTATAAAATGAAGCTTGGAAAAGAAATCCACCAGTAAATATTTTAAATAAATTATAAGAAATTATAGGGTGTATTACAAGCTATTGAGTTTTAATATCTTTAAATATAGATTCAAATATGTCATAATACAACAACATATAATGAATGTGCTCCAATTGAAGAAATCTAGGATTTAGCAAAAGCTGGATTTTATGGTATACATTTAAGCGATAATTTATTATAATTGAATGAGTTCTTATAGCCTTTTTCATAAATTCAAAGTATGTAATAAGCATCATTCTCTCTAAAAACATCAAGATCCATCTATTAAACACTAAAATAAATAAATATAATTACAGATGATGGATTTATTTTGGAAAATAGAAATTCATTTTCTGGCCTAATTTAAAATTAATGGAGAGAAGAATCATCTACTTACAATAATATATTTTTAATAAATCATTTTATTTATTTAGATGGAAAATAATCTACATATTAAAGAAATTATATAAAAATTTAAGCAATTTTAGGAAAGATTGGAGGATTTTGGAATGTAGCAGTTTTATTATTTAAAATATTTGTTACACCTATAGTTATCACTTTAATGAATGTACATTTGGTAAATAAATTATTTAGATTTGAAATAAATGAGAAGTCTTAATTATTTAAAGATGAAATAAAAGAAGAATCTTTAAATGACTTAAATAAAAGTTAAACTATATATAAAGAATCTTCATAGTAATAATATGATGTAGTTAATACAAATCTGAAAAAAAAAAAACCGAATATAATAAAATCAAATAGAAATAGAAACAATTAATCTGAAATTTAGAAATATTTAACACAATCAAAATAATAATTAAATTTAGGAATAATTGATTTATTTTTAGTTTCATTTTGTTGTAAAAGAAAGGTTAAATAATAAATTAGATATGCAAAAACTAAATGTTCACAAAAATTAGATGTAGCATTGATAATAAGTAAAATCTATGAATTTGATAAATTAAAATATGTTCTATTCTCAAATGAATAGTTAAATATATTT